TCTTTTTAAGGATCCCATGGGTCCCTGTCTCCCCTTCGCAAGTTATACCCCTTCGCCAAAGCCGTCGTGGGAATGTCGCGTTCGCGTGAGGGAAAATCCGCGACGTTGTCCTCAGACCGAATGTACCGGAAAACCACGTGTATCCCCTCGTCGCGGAGAAGTTGGTCCACCTGCTGTAGCTCGGCCGCAAGCGCTCCCGATTTCGAAATTCCGCGTCGCACCGCCCCCAGAACTGATGTGTTGTCGATCAATACAAACAATCGTCTCGGTAGGCGCTCTCGAAAAGCCAGCAGCCCCAGGTGCACCGCACGCGCCTCAGCCTGCATGATCATCCGCGGTGAAGAATCCCACCGAGCCCCCGTGATGAATACTGGACCGGCGCCCAGAAAAAGAACCGCCCCCCAACCCTGGAGCGAAGCATCCGTCACCAATGTGGCTGTCGGCTCACCCCCCGGCCGATGCACGAGACGCGCCTCGTTTCGGTGCAAGACCTCCAACAAATCAGACGCGAAAACCCCGGATGTAGGGCGTCATGGTGATCTTGCTCCTGGTGGTGATCTTACCTCTATTGAGGGAGCTCAGCTGGCGTCTCACAAACTTCAGAAACATGTAGTTACGAAACAGGCGGACGCCCAGCACCGCCGCGCCATAGATGGCGCGGGATGTAAAGACCTCCAAATCACCCACCGTCATCTCCTCGAAAGGAGGGGTCTCCCGCAGATGGCGCCATGTCTTTTCACCTAAACGTACAGTATGAGTTGCGTGATCAAAAAACACCCCGACGAATGTATATGACGCAACCGCAACCTCCGACTCACCAATCGTGACGCTGGCGTCCCGCGCGAACTGTGTCACACGCCGCGTCCAGGCCTCCACGGCCTTCAGGGGACCAGCAATTCTCACATTGTCTATCCAGACGTGGATTTTCAATGCCGTTGGGCAGGCGAAGGCGGCATCGACCACAGTGGGTACTCCTGCCAACGCCGACGTTAACAACTGCATAAGCTCCGGACTCGCAGCATACCCCATCGGCAGCCGCGCCAGCTCAACGAGGGTGCCGTCGTCGAGGCGGCAACGAAAAGCCGAACGCGCCTCCTCAGGCAGCGGTACCTGGTAAAACGAGGCTTTCAGGTCCAAATTGGATGCGCCTTCCTCCCACACAACGTCGAGGTATGCGGAAATGTGACCCAACGGCACGTCAGCCTCGTAGGAGTCCTCCAGGTTCTTCTCTTTCGGCCACGCGATAAACCTCCTACGTAGCCCCGAAGGTTTCTCCTCCACAACCGAGAAAGGAACGAACCAACCCCGCGTAGGTCTCGGAGACGCCGGCACCAAGACGCCTGCCGACATGAGGACTCGGGCATCACCTTCAAAAATCGTCCTGAGCGGTGACGTTCCTGGATCGAGCTGTTCCGGCGATGACAGTAAACGCCATAACTCGTCAAACCGCGCCTTGGCCGACGCCTTCATGCGTGACCGCAAGATTTCGACGTTCAGCGGCTGCACGTCCACGTTCTGGAGGGGGAGAGAACGTTGCTCCTCCTCACTCGCAACACGACTTTTGTTGGCTCGGCGGAGGACCGTGTGCCCTCCAAAAGCAACGCGCCGCTCTGGTTCCATCCAAGGTGCCTGACTCACTTCCGAAAAACCAAACGGTCGAGTAAACCCGGCAGCACGTGAGAATTCGTGAGTTCCGTGGTTTTTGGGCCCATGTAGCGAACCGTCGTCGTCGGTATATCCAGAGGGTCTGCGTGCTTCGCGAGAGCCACCACCGAGCGTGGGGGAAGTGCGTGCTCTTGGGCCAGCTGTGCCGCTGACTGAAGAGCTCCTCGCTTGATGGAGTGTGCTGAGTATCCGCGCTCGCGCAGACGCTGTGCGATTTGTGTCGTCGTGAGCCCAGTCAGCTTGCCGCTCTCCCCGACCTGAGCCTTCAACTTTCGCAGCTCCTGGGCCATGGGACCCTGCAACTTCACATACCGATGTGCGCGGTATGGATTGATCTTTGCCGTTTTTGGAATGGCTGCCCAGTCCAAAATCACCGACCCGTCCGGTTGTGGCAGCAGGTTCTCCCCTCGGAGATCCTTCACCTCCCCCCACCGCGACGCGGTCATCCATGCCAACTGCATCACAGTGGCGTCGGCCCACGAAGGGGCCCCTTCCACCAGGGCCCGCATGTCCGCTGGTGTGATCGGTGCTGCCTGACGCACCTCCTCCTTTGCCTCGCGCTTCCGGCATCCCGCCAGGTACGCGTCTACCACCGCTATCTCCCTCGTGAGCAGGGACTTCAGTGTGGTGCCGTACTGCACCTTGGTAGAGTACTTGAGCTCCTTCGACTCCAGGAAAACCGGCACCGCGTCGAGGTTGAGCGGCAGTCCGGCTTCGAGGCAAAACGACTGAAAGCCTCTGAGCAGTGATGTGCGCTGCTCCCATGTGGTCGGCTCGTACATGTCTGCCGCCACTTCGTTGACCTGGCTCCTCAGAGCCGACAGGTGAGGGGGCACCGCCTCCAACCCGTCCCAAAACATTCGATGATCGTTTACCGACGTTCCCGGCGGTAGTGACGAGTGCGGCCGGCTTGCCACCCCTCCGAAATTTGTGTGCGGCACCAACTTTGCAATCTCCACCAATGTCGGTCGCCGAACCTGTGGTCGACTCACCTTCTCCAAGCTCGCGGGGTCCGTCGACCAGTTTCCTACCTCCGCCGCTGCCTTTCGCGGGGCCAGAAGACCCTTTCGTCTTGTAGGCGTCCTTCTTGCCAGACAAACGTAGAACTTTGAGGAGCGGGTCGAAATTGTACGAGTTCTCCTCGCACGCCTGCAGAAACTCAGTCTCCGTCATCTTGTACGAGGATCCATTGACCCTGTAAAACAACGTCAAACCCATCCTGCGCCCAGTGCCCTGGTGGTCAGCCCAATACCGCGGGTCGGCCTCCGCCGCCAACAGCCACCGCAGGACCGCCTGGAAGGCATCATTCACTGGCGCAGTGCGGGGTGCCTCGCCGCGAAGAAAAATGTGCTTCAGCTGCTTCTCAATCTCGTAGGGAGTCTTCCCACGGAACCAAGGACGCCAGGTGCAGACGTCCATTGGGTCGAACTCCACCTTCAGCGACTCAGCCACTGACTCGGCGTCGTCTAAAAAAGTCAACCGAGACTTTTGTGTTGGCGCCCCAGGCCCGTCTTCCCCGTTGTCGTGTTCGGTCTCCCATGTAGGGGCCTTGTCGACAAGAACCACTTTTCGCTCCAACTGAGCGATTGATTCCTTCAGAGTGGCTTGCTGTCGTTCTATCCGCTCGTTGGACGCGACTAGACCACGACCGCGAAAGTCGCCGAGGTCCTGGCGCCCAGCGATCTCGTTGAGCTGGTCGCGAAGCGCCTACACCTCTGCAGCAGTGGAGCCCATTCGAGCAACCTCCGTCAGAAGCTGTGCCATCTGGGCCCCGTTTCCTTCAGACCCCGCTGTGGTGAGCTTCTCCGAGACCTCTTTTAGCACTGCTTCCATGAGAGAAGCCTGTGCGACGGCGTTCTCGACCTCGGACACCCTGGCGACGGCCCGATCAACCCGCTCGCGTTCTTTTTCGATCTTCTGGTTGCACTCCATGCTGAGGTCTCGATACTTCTTCTCGAACGAAGCCACCACTTGCGATTCCAGGTCAACAACGGATGCTTTCAACATCCTCACGCTTTCCTGGTACTCCCCCCGTTCGCGGAGGAGTTGCAGTTCCAGCTCGTGCCGTTTCTCTTCTTGCGCTTGCCGTTTGTCGTCCTGCTTCCCGACGTAGCGCTCCAGACTCCTCATGCGGTCTTCCATCTGGCGAAGCTTTTCTTGCAACAACGCCACTTCCCCCTGCATGCCAGAGGCTATCAACTGGTTGTGCATCGCTGCCTCATGGCGTGCACCTGCAACCTCCGAAGCCGCCTGCTCCCGCAGTAGGGAGATGTCCGACTGCAGGCGGACTGTGTCCACAGCCGTGGCGGACTGTGCCATCCCCATGTAGTACCCCGCCAGCTCCGTCTTTTGGATCAACCTCTCATAGAGGTCGCGGGTCTCGATGCGGAAACGCTCAACGTGATGGAGGAACGTGTGCCAATCGAACGTCTCGTATCCATCCCTGAGGATCAGAGAAGTATTCTCCCGCCTGACTCGGAAAGTCACAGGCCGAGAATCCGATCCGTTCGGGCCCACGATCTGCAGAGTCAACTCGCATTCGCCCTGCTCGGGAAGGTTCTCATATTAATCCGTGCAAACCAAGTTCCACTTGGACGGATCGATGGGTATAAGCGCCATATTGAGGGAAACTACCTAAAAGGGTTTTAATATATTCATGGATCTACTAATTTTTTATTATTTTTTAATAAAACTTATGAAACAACTGGCGATGATTATAAGAAACAACTGGCGATGAATATGTAAAAAACTTGCGAATAAAACTCTGAGAAGGGAGTTTTCAGCGAAAAACCGGAGTTTCTCTCGATGCTGAAAACAACTGTGCCAGGCAAACCAAAATACGGAAGAACCAGGATTCAGGAGGTAATAGAAAAGGAGAAGATAGTTTAGAGCATTACCCTAAATGACCGAGATCCGCCAATCTCTCCGCTGCCAATCACATTCAACTCATTTTTTCCGTCCCTTCCATTCCCCTCGCAGGCTCACAAAAAAACACAGTTCTTGCTTTTTTCCGGTCGCTGTCAGGTACCCCCTTTCCTGATATCACCGCGACGCGCTGAAGCCCGGGTTGCACACGCACCTTCCAAAGGAAGAAAAGGCCAGAGAGGCAGCCAGTAGAGAAACGTTTCTACTTGGAAAAACTCTAGTCGACTACTCTCAGATCAGGAAGGAAGGAAGAAGAAAGGAGAAAGGAGAAAGATCAATAAAGTGCAAAACAGTGTCGTTACATCCCTGTATCGTTTTCATTTTCCTTTAAGGGTAGACGGCTTTATTTTCTTTTTATATTTATTTTTGAACCAAATAGAACTTTACGAAATGGAGTTTCTTGCAGACTCAGATCGACAGCATTTCCACCTTGTGGGGTTGGAAAAGGGGCGGGACGGTGGGAAAAAAGAAAACAGCCTTTCCTGGAGAGAGGTCGACTGGAGAGGAGAGAAGAGAAAGGGATAGTAGTACAACATGAAGTTTCGATTCATCTCCCGGCGAATTTTTCCTGGCGCAAGCTCTCAGAAAAGGAAAAGGAGAGGAGAAAAAACACAAGAACAAAAAACAGAAAAGAAAAAAAAGAGTTATTGTGAGTACACCGAAGGCACACGTGCTTATTTGCTCTACTAGCATCGTTATTAATGTGGTCGATGTGAGAAAGACGTGCTGCGAGCTGCTTCACCAGTGCTGCCATTGATGGTGTGGAGCAGCAGTTTCGATCGCTGCCAGGTCACAACACAATAGCCCGGTAGTTCTGGACAGAGCAATACCAACACATGTCGGCCGCTGCAGGAGTCCTTCGCTCTCACAACAATGTTTCCAAGGAAAAGAAAGAAAGCGCACTCAAATCAGAGAGAGAGCGGTAGCGTTAAAAACACGTTTTATGGCTGCAAAGCAGCAAGGAAAGAAATTACGGGCTACCGGTTAGCGATGAATTCAACGTGATGTTTTTGATGAGCAAGGGAGAAGATCAAGACGGAGCAAAAGAAGAACGCTCTTTCATGCGGAGAGGGGGAGAAAGAAACGCATCCACGGTGAGACATCGCGTCGATGGACACTGCAGAAGCAGCAAAGCACACTAAACGCCCTTGGGGACGATGAAGAGAACGTAGAAGAACGCACCAATAATGGCGCCGAAGACGGGACAGAACATCGGAATCCAGAAGTAGTGGTGGTGGACGGTGAACGGGTCCGAGCCCCACAGCATTCCCGTGATCATACGCGGGCCAAGGTCACGCGCCGGGTTGATGGCATAGCCGGAGTTCACACCGGTGGTGAGACCGATGCAGAAGACCAGCGCACCCACCGCGCAGGGCTTGAAGTTGATGGCGGGCGTCATCCGGTCATCGTTGATGCCAAGAATGCCCATCATCAGCGCCATCGTGTTGAACAGCTCACTCCACACGGCGTACCCGTTCGGCACGCCGGGGTAGGTGCAGAAGATGCCGCCGTACTTCGTGGTCATGGTCTCGCCGGGCAGCAGGTTCTGCTCCCCCTTGTCAAAGAACGGCTTGAAGAGCGCGTACACGTTGGCGCCGCCCACCATGCCGCCAAGGATTTGGGCAAGAATGAACCCGGGGGCCTTCCTCCACGGAAACGCACCAAAGACGCAGTTCGCCAAGGTCACCGCGGGATTCAAGTGCCCGCCAGAGACGCCCATGCTCACGTAGAGTGCGATGGTAAGCCCGATGCCCCAGCCAAAGGTAATGCCGAGCCAACTCGCGTTGGTCTGGCTGGCAGCGGTGTCGCCGGCGTGGAACAGCATCGTGGCGCAGACACCGTCGCCGAAGGAGATCAGGAAGAAGGTGCCGAAGAACTCCGAGAAGTACTCACGCAGCCACCACCGGTAGCGATAGAGCGGCCATGCGTCCTGCGACATGAGGTTCAGCTTGTCATCCACCGTCACCTCCTCTCCGTTGTCCTCCTCCATCTCGTGGGCCTCCTGAGGGTTCTCTTGCTTGTCGCCATAGAATTGCGCTTCGTTGTCGACATTATTGTTGTCGGGGGCCCGCGCAGTGGAACGTAACCCACAGAAACATCAAACTAGTGTGTGCAGAAAGGGCGGGTTTACGTCGTCACAGCAAGCGCTTTTCGATGTTTCAGTTGCTGCAAAAGACACAGCGAGTGGCCCGATGCACGCGTCTACTATCCGCGTCAGGAACTGAAGGCGATGCGCTGCCACCGAAGGGACACGGCGTACAGAATCCTTAAACATCTTCGTTGATACGTGCGGTGTGCAGGCCAGGACGGAGTACGATTGAACAAACGCCGTGAGCTCGAATCCTCTGAAGCACAAACACCAATTCTAAAACTCGAAGCTCATACAACGTGAAAGGAGAAGGAAGGTAAAAGCATAAGCGAACGTAGACTCCGTCGTTGGCACAGCAGTGGGGAATGCGGATAGCGCAGAGAGAGGGAGCCCGCGCAGTGGAACGTAACCCACAGAAACATCAAACTAGTGTGTGCAGAAAGGGCGGGTTTACGTCGTCACAGCAAGCGCTTTTCGATGTTTCAGTTGCTGCAAAAGACACAGCGAGTGGCCCGATGCACGCGTCTACTATCCGCGTCAGGAACTGAAGGCGATGCGCTGCCACCGAAGGGACACGGCGTACAGAATCCTTAAACATCTTCGTTGATACGTGCGGTGTGCAGGCCAGGACGGAGTACGATTGAACAAACGCCGTGAGCTCGAATCCTCTGAAGCACAAACACCAATTCTAAAACTCGAAGCTCATACAACGTGAAAGGAGAAGGAAGGTAAAAGCATAAGCGAACGTAGACTCCGTCGTTGGCACAGCAGTGGGGAATGCGGATAGCGCAGAGAGAGGGAGCGCGTCACGACGGGGGCGATGGAGACGAGGGGTTTGCGTAGTCCACCAGCACGACATCGGTGGCACTCTCCGAGGCAGCCCACTGCGCAATGCGCTCCTGTAATCGGCTCATAAAACTGGAGTGCTTTGGTTGGTGCTGTGGAAACTCATCCCGTGGCGGCGGATGGGCGTCTGGGGCGGGCGCTACGTGATTTACATCGACTTGGTCCTCTTCTGCCGCCTCCTCTGCGGCCTCCACGGGGACGTCGTGCCATTCCGGTGCATGCTCAACGGGTAGCCGCGGTGGCATGGGGTGTTGGGGTGGCTCGACAAGAGGCGGGGGTGCGGGAGCCGCCGGTCGCGCTCCTCGCTGCCCACCGCGCACTCCCTCTGCCACGACGTGGCGGCCAAATCTCCACAATGCGTTTTTCACCCGCATATGCACCACCGCGAGGAGGATCAACACCGCAGCTGCCATCACGGGGAGCCTCGTATAGTCGGTTGCGAGTGCGCTGCCATAGAGATACTCGAGCCCCGCAATCACCAGCCGCACTGCGACGCAGTGTATCACAAGCGGGATCAAAACAGCGTGCGTGGTTTCCAAAGATGGACCTTCCATGATGACCTGTGGGGCAAATTCAAGGCAGCGCCGAAAGAGGGCGGTCCGCAGAACACGTCCTTCAACCAACACCCACGCCCCGCCTGCCAACGCCCCTATCGCCCACCGCGCCAGCAGCGAGAACCACAACGGGAGTGCAATGTAGTCGGTCGACACCGGTGTCACAAAGTCCAGGTGCCACGCAGAGCACAGACCAAACGGGACCACGACGAGAAGTGTGGCGGCCACGGCCGGTCGAGGGCAGGTGCCGACGTGGTTGAGTGTGTGCGACATGATGCGGAGCAGCAGCTCTCTTGAACACCGAATAGCCTCTGTATCATGGTGATCCAACAGTTGTGTAAAGAAGACTGAAAGCCACAGGTCGTTGTGCTCAAAGGAGTGGCGCAGCAGAGAAGCGGCGATGACGTTGGATCGGCCCCGTGACAGCTTGTTGCACACACACACATCGCCCTCTTCAAAGGTCACCCAGATACCGTAGAAGCACAGCATCGTCGCCCGAATTCCACAGCCCGCAAGGCGGCGACGGAGGGAGGGGAGGCCGCCGCCGACAACCATGCCGAGCCATGAGAGACAGCCCAAGTTCAGAAGGAAGCCGAAAAGAGGGAACCAGCCGTTCCACGAGGCTCTCTCTAGCAAAACGCCGATGAGTACGTTGGCGCACAGCAGACACACCACGTAGGCACCGCGCTCGAGCACCTGATCGGCCTGCGAGGCCAGCCGACTGTCGGAGAATGATGCGTCGCGTGAGAGGAAAAGCCGCTCCAGACCGGTCTGCACTCCGCTGTGTGCGGCTTTGATGATGCGATACCAGCTGTACACAAAGTCGAGCTCTGAGAAGCGATGGGTAAGGGTGTAAAAGGAAAGGTACGACACCGAGCGGGGAAAAGCGTCGGGTGAAAGGCGGTGCAGCGTGGCGAAGGTGGCGACACCGACGGTGATGGTGTAGAGCACGACGAACGCTGGGACCTCACCGAGTACACGCCAGAAGCCTCTGCCTTTCAAGTGAACAAAGGTGCGGAAGAAATCGTGCTGATCGTGAAAGCAGTTTGCGAGCGAGGTGTAGGGGAGGAGTACGGCAAAGGCTCCGCTCAGCAGCCAGAGAGAAGTTGCACGCAACGTACCTACAAGCGTCAGCCATGTCGCCAGCGTGCTCACGCGCAGCAACACACACCCGCAGAAGGAACCGAAGTGGACCGCCAGTGAGAATGATCCTTGTGTCGACGTCCTCTGAGACTCGAGCCCACAAGATACGGGATCGAACAGAGAAGGGCTCCGCCCGCGCCACACGTCCGGAGCGGCAAAGAAGAGCGCGCGGGCGACGTTGAGGGGCTGCGTCAACGGCCGCACCGGCGGGGGCAGCGGGCCAACGGAGGCACCGCGGCACACGAAGGGGAGAAGCCGCTCGCTGCGCAGAATTTGCCACGCCTCCGTCGGCGCCATCACGACGCTCGCGTCCCCCTCCACAAAGAAGGGGAAGAGGCAGGCGTACACGATACAAGGGATGACGGTGGCCCAGACAACCACCATCATGACAATGGAGAGCGCGCTGCGGGCAAAGACGCAGACGAGCGATAAGGTGCGGGAGAGCTGCGCGTGAGAACTGGCAAGGTGCGCTGCAGCGAGCCGCAACGGATAGAGCAACGTCATGATGCCAACTATAAACGCGGAGCACCAATACAGCGGTGAAGAGAGGGGCGCCGCCGCGAGCGCCTCTGTGAGCAGAGCCCACAAGGGGGAGCTCCTGTTGAGTGCGAAGCGAATGGAAATAACAGTGAGGAGACGTGTGAGAAGGGCAAGAGACTGCTGCGTTGCGTCGCCAAGCACAACAGCGCTGGCGAGCGCGACGTGGATGAGAAGAAAAAGCGCGATGTAGCGCAGTGCGGCGTTGTCCCAAATGCGGTTCCGCTGGCTTGGCTTCGTTGCCTCCTTCACCTTCTTACGTAGCAGCTGCAGCACCGAGCCCGTATTCATGCCCGTCTGCCGAATTGCAACGTAGCGGTGCGTGGCAGGAGCGGGAGCACCGCTGCCGTTGTGGTCACTGTGCACACTCGTAAAGCGTATGTTGAGTGCCGCCGCAGCGGCTTCGTCCATGGGCGTCTCCGGTGGCAGCGGCGCGGGCACCACCGGTGGGAGGTCTTCAATAGCATCCTCGTAGACGAACGCCAGCACTTTGAAGCGCTCATAACACACGAGGAGACCACCAGGGATGATGTTGAGCAAGACGCTCATGATGCATAACAACGGTAGAGGGATGTACTGGCCACGTAGGCTGAGACGACCACGAGCTACGCAGCGCCAACAGCACACCCAAATAGCGGAGGTGCCGAAGATGAGGGTAACGAGGCACGCCGCAACCTGTCCAGCAATGCCCAACCTCACAAACCAACGCCGCAGCAGCGTTCGGATGAAGAGAACTGTGAGCTGTGCAGCACCGCGGATGGACCGCAGAGACGGCGTGTCCCTCACAGCGAGCTGAAAGGAGTAGGCGGCACCGCACACCTCACAGGAGAGTCGCCCACGCGAAGCAATCCACTCCGCAAGGCAGTAGGGGTGGGCGTAGGCCATACTGCCCTCGCAGCGACAGGGCCGAATGAGGGGGCCACCCTCGCCCTGGCAGATGCGGCACACAGCAGCGACTGACGGCTCCATCAACGTGCGGCCACCGCGGCAACAAATGCTTAAGAGGAAAGAGGAAACCACAACGAAGTCAAATGGTGCAGGAACTCCACAAAGCAGGGGAGAGGGAAAGAAGCCGTTTTTGCTTTGCTTTCGGGACGGCTGCGGGTCTCGCGTCACAAAACGGCAAGTATAGCGGGCTCTACGGGTTGGACCCAAGTAAAGCACTGGTGACCAGTCAAAAGCGTGCAAGAAGGGGCGAGAAAGAGAGCCGGTGAAAGGAGGAAAGAGAGTACTGTCTTTTCACAGAGTGCACCTGATCGCCGGAGAAGAAAGCGGCTGCGCGGCATGAATGATTCGGCTCCAAGCGCAATACCTCTTTCGATAAATCTGCAAACGAATCCGTCAAAGCCGTTGCCGCCTTTCGCGGAAGACAAGAACCGACGAGCTAGAATAGGCGTACCTTCTGTTTCTTCTTTTTACTGCTGTAAGGAGGCATTCGCCAGCTGGCGGCATGCGGAAATCCACTACGCGCTACAAGTACACTACTTCAATTTGCGTTCTCCTGCAGCACACCACAGTCGCTGATGAGAACCGTCTTGCTCGGCTTCCCGTGCGGCGTTCCGTAGCTCTCCATCTTCTTCACGTGCTCGTACCCGTTCACCACCTGTCCAAACACGACGTGCTTGCCGTCCAGCCACGAACAAGCGACCGTGCAGATGAAGAACTGAGAGCCGTTGGTGTTGCGGCCGGCGTTGGCCATGGAAAGAATGCCGGGGCCTTTGTGCTTGCCCGCCTTGCCGTCAAAGGACTCATCCTTGAAGCGAGTGCCGTAGATGGAGCAGCCGCCAGTGCCGTTGCCCTTCGTGATGTCACCGCCCTGAATCATAAAGTCTGGAATAATGCGGTGGAAGACGCAGTTCTTGAAGGTCAGCAGCTTCCCTTCCGGGCTCTTGCTGCCAGTGCCCCTGCACAACTCGCGGAAGCTGCGCGCCGTGACCGGGACCGTGTCGTCGAAGAGCTCAAACTCAATACGCCCGATCGGGTCCTGCGAGGCCATGCCGAAGAAAGAGCCGCCGCCCTGCTCGGCCACGTCAAAGAAGACGCGGCTGTTGCTTGGGTTGGTGCCGTACGGCGCCACGTAGGGCCTGTTCGCAGCGGCGGCGCTCATATTGGGAGCGGCAAAATAGGAATGGAGAGCGCCACCCGCGAGGAAAGCGCAGGAGAAGCGGAGAGCCATGGAAAACGGAGGAAGGACCGAGAAGAGGGACGAGCCGAATGCGCAGAGGACGCTACGAACGGAAGAGGGAAAACGCTTTTGCAGGAGCGATGTGTGTGTGTGTGTGTGTGTGCTTTTGTGCTTTTGCAAGAGAGACAGAGAAGAGGAGAGGAGAGAAGAGAAGGAGTTGAGTGCGGCAAAACGGGAGCAGCAGAGAAAAGTGGAGGACACGACAACTGAGTCGATTTTGTTGCGTTTCCTCCGGCGGCGAATGGTATACCTCAGCGCTCATGGAAGCGAAGCACGATGCGCCACTGTCAATCGCACCGAGCACAGATATTGCTTTCAGTTACTTTCGTAGAACGTGCAAATGGATAAACAGAATCGTGTGTGAGAGTAATGAGAAAGGTTACAAGGTGCATCCCTAGTAGCCCGGCGGACGTGGGAGGTTTTGGATGCTGCGAGCGATGGCACTGGCTCCGTCGATGGGTGTGATTCCCCACCAGTGGTATCGGAAGTAGCAGAAGGTAAAGTAGAAAACGAGCACGGTGGGGCCGATGATGGACACGTTGGCGACGGTGAGGAGCTTCTTGATTTTAAACTTCTGGTCAACAGGAACTTTGCTCAGTTTGTCCTCGAACATGGACAACTCCTCGTTGCGCTCCTTCCAGCGGCGGTAGGACCGGCGGTTGATGGGGTGGGTATCCTTGTTTACCTCCCAGTACGTGCGCTCCCGCAGGGCATCCGCTTTGAGGGTCTTGTTGAAGGCGTAGAGCCGTGCGGCATTCACCCGCCCGGCCGCCCCCTTCTTCACGAAGTTTGTCATACTTTCTAGGGGGGAATGAGAGACGCGCGAGCGGAGCGGCGAGGAGGTGTTTGCGACGGCTCTCTGCCGTGGGCCGATAGCGTATGCAGCTGTTACAGCGATGTGTTTTCCACAGTAGGCGGTGTCGAACGAAGCACGCGCACGTTATTTCGAGTGCGCCGGCGTCACCGAGAAATGAAGCGGGAAGGATGCAGGAAGAAAATAACAGAAAGAAACGAGTAAATACGGGCCTGCCGCGGTGAATTGCTGGAAGCCGCATCTGATTCAGAACGGATCCAGAGAGAAAGTCGTCTTATTCCCATTACATTAAAGAAGAGCGGCAATTCAGCTGTTTGCGTCGAGATCGAATGGGTGTACGTGCAACGTGGCATCCACGTGCAGTTTAAACCCGGTACCTCCTCTCACGCTTCCACGAAGTATTATTTTCCGTTCTCGGTCATAGTTTGTTGTCGGTAATATTCGCCCATTATATCACTCATCAGCCGGTTTTAAGGAGAGAGGCGCAGTAGTCTCAGCAATGGCCTGCTGTGCACGTTTGTGTTTCCGGCTGGAAAGGTGCGTCGCCCACTTTAGGACAGGAATGTGCTCACGACAGATGCGGCACATCACTTTGCGGTCCATTGCAGCTCCACTCGCCGTTCGGCGGGCCTTGCGTTTCGGCCCCGCGTGCCTGCGCAGCGAGCACCGCGGCGGCACACTCCCTTTGCGCAAGTTATCCAACGTCTCCATCCGCGCATGCTTCTCTGGGTAGCCGGGGAAGTGCATGTCCAGGTAGGTCTGAAACGCTGGCACCTTTGAGGCGTTCTCGAACAGACGTTTGAACTGGTTGTAAGACTGCGTAATCATCGTCACGTCGCTCTTGACGATCGTACCGTCCTTTGTGCGACGCTTGCGCCACCGCAAGTGATACTGCTTGCACAGTCGGTCTAAATCAGCCTGCTTCTCCGGTGCCAGGCAAGTGCACAGCCGGCTGTCGGACTGGTTGACGTGCATCAAGCAGCCGGACAGCCGCTCAAAAGGTGTCGCGTCGAGTCCAATGTAGCCGCCTTTGTGGACATCTAGCGGGGGCACGGTGCGGTGCGCGCGGAGGTGCCGTGCGAGGGTCTGCATGCACTCCCTCCACGGATACGGACCGTGTACGCCGTACCGCGTCCACTGCGGCAGACTCTCGAGGTCGCGTATTTGGTGCATCTGCAGGTACGTCGGCTGACCGCTGGCGTGAAGCTTGTAGCCTTTGCGCACGTACTGGTAGAAGAGGTTCAGCGAGATGGGCGTCTCGCCGACTACCCACGCGTCGTTGGCCTTCGGGTAGCGGTTGCACTCGAGCACGATACGCTTCATCTCGCCAAAGATCGTCCTCCACGGCAGACGGGCGTTGCGGTGCAGGCGGTCCGTGTCCCGGGAGGAGTAGCGCACGCCGCGCCGGATGGATGGCAGGACGAAGCGGTGGAGCTTGTCGGATGTCAGCTTCAGCGAGCGCACGCCGACGACACCGATGTCGTAGGCCTTCTTCTGCGGGTCGATCATGTACTCGAACAGCATCGGGTCCTCGTCCATGAGTGCGTCGGTGAACGGGACGAGAGTGGAGAAGTTCTGCAGGTTGATGGGGTGGCTGGCGGCACGCCGTTTGTCGAAGACGGCGGGCAGAAACACAAAGGAGGACGGCTTGCCCTCCACCTTATTGAGGGGGCGGCAGATGCTCTGGATGATGTCGCGGGAGCTGTATCGGGGAGCCGCAAAGAAGACGGCGTTCAGGTCAGGGATCTCCACCCCCTCCTGGAAGAGTCGCACGTTCAGGAGAAGACATCGCTTTGTCGTGGTGAAGCACTGCAGCGCCTCGGCCACCGCCGCACTGCCCATGCGAGAGTGGGCGATGAGCACCGTGAAGGGTGTGACGTCGTGCGGCGGCGATTCGGCCTGAAGTTCTTCCTGCAGCCTCCTCGCGTGTGCGATATTACGGCAGAAGACGAGCAGCTTGTCCACCATGCGCATCGCCTCGTAAAGGTAGGGATTCATCTTGGCCATGTCCTCCCCCAGCACGATGCGCACCGAAAAGGGGTTCACGTAGCCGCCGTCGATGCCCTCGCGCAGATAGTAACGGTAGGCAATGCCGCCAAAGTAGGCCCTGTCACTCATCTTAATAGGCGTGTCGTACGTCGGCGTGGCGGTGAGGAAGAGACGGCGTCCGTGCAGGGGCAGCTTCAGCATGGAATTGAAGGCGGTGTCCGCCGCACTGCCGCACACGCGGTGGCACTCATCAAACACCGTAAGCTGGAAAACATTCACACTCTTCAAGAGCGGCGAGGAGTGGTAGGTGGAGACAACGACGAGCTTCGGGTTGCCGAGGACAGTTTCTCGAATCACGTTGGGGTCCGTCGTCATGGGCTGACTGCGACCGCCATCAAGGATCACCGGCACGGGATCCGATCCAATCAACAGGAGTGGAGTGTCGCTACTCAAGCCGTAGGCCACCAGCTTCCGCGCTGTTTGGCGAAGCAGAGACAGCCCAGGGACGAGGTACAGCACCCGCCCACTGCCCTTGCTTTGCAGTGCGTGCTGCATGACGTGGTAGGCCACGGGCGTCTTGCCGCAGCGGCACGCCATCTGACACACGGCCTTCCGATTTTGTTCGAGTTCGGCCACCAGCCGCGTCACCGCCTCTTGTTGGTACGGTCGCAGACGGTCGACGTGGTAGTCGCTGCCGTCGACCCAAGAAGAGAGAAAGTCGTAGTCGAACCCCGCAAGATCCTCCTCTTCCTTCTCTTCACTTTCCATATCGGCCTCCGCAGGAGACAGGGTGAGCGAGGACGCGCCTTGCAGCGTGCGCGCGACGGATGGTGGTGCATTCAACCTCACAGATTCCAGCAGAGATCGATAGGGAGCGATGGTGGTCTCGATCTGCCGTGGCGTTAACGAGAGCGCCACATCACTCTTCTTCTTCGACGTGCCGCCACTCGCTGCTGTGCCCGGCAGATCGTCTGCATCGATGGAGACGGCGGACCCGCTAGCAGAAGAGGAGGGGGACGCATAAACAGGTAGGGTGCGCTGAGTGACTGAGAGGTTCATCTTGTCAGCCACCGTCGCCGCCACCTCCGCCACCTCTTCCTCATGCAGGCGAAGAAGCTCGCGATGCTCCACCCGCTTCTCGCGCAGGCAGAAGAGCACCGACTGCTCCAGCAGCAGCGCCTCCTTCGCCGTTTTGCATTCGAACACGGAGGCGTAGTACCACTCCGGTGTAAAGCACGTTTTAAAAGAAGCCATGTCCAACCGCGTCTCGAGGCAGGTGCTGAAGCCGATCTTCACGAGTCCGGCTGCCTTCAGCCACGGGTGCTGCGCAATGTAAAAACCAACGGAGTTGAGGCGCCATGTAGAGCAGACAAGCATAATGCCCGGCGTCCTGGAGGCGATTCATCCGAGAGAACGGAGGGAGGTGTGGGTGATGGAGACACCCGGCACAGCGCGTTCTGCTCCGTTTCGGGAGAAGGAAAGAATGAGAAAAAAAGGCAGAAAACACACGAGGCAATCTATGTTCTATGGTAGGATCATTACGCATTCTATTCGCGGGATTCTATCGATGGTGAAGGAACCAGTTAAGATCGAAAAGAAAACTTCCTTTGTCCTTCGTGGAGTTCATCACCCATTACAAAAAGAAAGAACAGAAAGCGGAGAGGTCGAATGCGGTGATGCAACGGCAAAGCATCGAATACGCTACGAAGGCTATCGATACCGCTGCGCAACGAGAGATTTCCCTTTTGGGTACAAATGCGCTGGTCTGAACGAGAACGTGTCTGTTGTGTTCTTCGCTTGCACCTTCGGAATAGGAAAAGCCTAACGAGACCGACTCTCAGCTCTGGGACCGATCCTGTCCACCACACACACACGCACACACGACGGAGAAGCGCCTCTCACCTTCTTTAACAGAAAGAGAACGCTTTACTCAACAGAGCACAAGCGAAACGGGAGCTGCACCAAAGCGCGGCCATCTGGTGAGTCCAACGCGCCCCGTTTCTTGTTGGCGTCCTTATAACTTGGTTTTGCTGTTTTCCGTATTTCCTCATTCATTCACACCCCACAATGAATTCGTTACAGGAACAATAAAAAAGATTTTTTTTTCCTACCTCATTTTTGATGGTATTTTTGTTTGTTTGACCTTTTAATGCTGGTTTTCCTCTCATATAAGAATTTATCCAAACTTATTTTACTGTTTTCACCATTTTTGTGTCTACCACTTCCCTCTTCCCGATTCTTTCTTTCGATGACTTAGGAGCAAAGAACACCAAAACGACCAGTGGTGTGGTCCATTTCCACTGCCAACGGGCGAGTGACAGCGAGTATAACAATGAAAGCGCTATACGGAGGGAAAGGGAAAAGGGCGAAGAAAACTCACTGACGCGGCGGCACAGTGGAACACACACGAGTCCGCCTGCGCCGTGTGTTTACTCCTTCTTCTCCTCCTCCTTGGCCGGCGCCGCCTCCTTCTCCGTTTTCTCCGCCTTCTCGGCCACCACCTTTGCGTCCTTCTTCGCCTCAGAGTCAGCAGCCGGCTGCTCGCCTTCCGCAGCCTTCGCGGTGCCGTGAACGCGGCATTTATCTCCGAACTGGCACGGGTGGCCCTCGCCGTCCTCGTGCAGAAAGCGGCACGCATCACCGAACTTGCAGTTGCCCTGGAGGTAGAAGCAGCAGGCGGTCTGCTGCTCCCACTCGCGCTGTGTCTCCAGCGTGCCGCCGACAAAGGGCTTCTTGCGGCGGATGGGGTAGCCGCCACGGCCGCCGCGGAAGCCGCCCCGCATGTTGCTGAAGCCGCCGCGACCGCCATTCGGGTAGTACCACCCGCGACCTCGACCACCGCGGTAGCCGGGCATCATGGGCGGGTACCCCTGGGGAGCGTTGTACATGGGATTGCCCATCGGGTACCCCTGCGGCTGCTGGTAGTAGTTGGCCGGCGGCTGGTTGTAGCCCTGCTGCTGCGCGTCATCTACGAGTCGGTTCATGTTGTACCCGCCGTTGTTGTACGCTGGACGGTTGTACTGCTGGGTCGGGCCCTGGGTTTCGTACTGAGGACGCTGCATTATGAACCGACGACGAGAGCGGTAAGGCAATGTAGGTGTGCAAAATCTTCTGTTATGGCGAGGGAGTTAAAAACGCATGGAGCGAAAGAGGAACCAAAAGGGACGGGTCGGAGAAGCAGCATGAAGAGGTCAGGCGATGACGTGCATAGCACTGCAGTGAAACCTGACGTGGGTCGTGGATGCCTGTGCAGCGCAGCATCAAGAAGCATTTAAGGGGGCAACGATGCAATTCTTTCGAAAACAACCCTTTACCGCTTGCGACGACCAGTCCAACAGTAGCGAGAACACGCTTCTCGAAGGTGCACCTCTCGCTGGGTTTAATGCACGACAGTGAATTACATAACGGATAGTGCAATGGGGGATACATAGAGAACAGGAAGAAGAAAAAGGAAAACCATCAAATATGTACATCAGAGCGCACAGGTGCGCCGTTAGACTTCAAAACGAGCCACAACCCCGCAGTAGACGCCTTTACATCCCACAATTACACAGGCACACCGAACCTCGCCGCCTCTTCGATACAGAGACATTAGATACTCTTCACTTCGTTGCTCAGCACGTCCACATCACCGGTGAAGTCCGTCACCGCCTGCTGCAGCCGCGCAGCCGAGCGTCGAAGAAGTTCTTAATCCATAGTTGTGCTCTGTCCAACAGCTGCGTCAGCGGCTGACGAGCGGCGGGCTCAATCACGTAGCTCAGCGGTGCGGACGCGTTGGTGGGTTGGCTCTTCGGGGAGATGCGGAGGGTGCGCATGAGATCCACCACGCCGTTCTCCGTCAACGTTTCCTTCGCTCGCTGCGGGATGATCATGTCGTAGGGTTCGTTGCGGCGGGTGAGGAAGTGGTTGCGGGCGTTGTAGAAGAGGTCCTCAAACAGGCTGCACATTGTCTCCTTCTCCTGGCATAGGCGGTCCCGCGACTCCAGCACGATCGCCGGCACGCCCGTCCAGTCAAAGGCCTCTTCCTGCACCACACCTTTGGACATACTTGCCTGCTGGCTGTCGGCAGCCTCGGTGGTGTGTGCGGTGGTGCTCGCGTTCGCCTCCGCCCTGACCGAGTCCGCCTTCTTCGCCGTCTTCATGTACGTCTCGTAGAACATCTCGTCGTTCGTCAGGCGTAGATAGGCCTCATCCGCGTTGCGCAGAAGCGTGTCCTCGTTGAAGGCGGAGCCGGCGTCGCTAGGCTCGGCGAAGTTGGTGATAAGGTTCACCGGCATCTCGCTCGGCGTGTCGCGGTCCGACACCCGCAGCGAGCCGCACCACAGCAGCCACAGACGGTCGCGCTGGTCCGCCTTGAAGTAGAGCACCATGCGGGTGATATACTTGTGCTCCGTGTAGTAGAAGTGCTGCACGATGTTGCCACACAGCTCCTTCACCTCCACCGCGATGTTGCCCGAGACGCTGCCCTCGTCACTGAGAAAGGTCGGGCCGTCGTAGGTGACGGTGGTGGAGAAGGGGTCGCGCTCGGCCCGCTTGCGGTCGAAGATGCGGTACTTGTTGGTGCGGCGCTGCACCATGCACACGCGCGGGCTCCACACGGCCTTGATGACGCTGTTCTGGTAGCTTTTGGGCATGATAAACTTCTGCAGGATGCCCCCAGGCTTGGTCTTGCGGGCTAAGAAGGCACCCAACGTGTCCTTGTTGAACACTTCCACCAGCGTGCTCACACCGTCGTCCCCCTTGTCGGAGTCCACCTCCGTTGTGCAGAGGTAGCTGGCCGCGATGGGGGAGCTGTCGGTGAGGTCCTGCGTAAAGCCCTGCTCGATGGTGTTCGCGTCCAGTTCCTTGCCTTGTTTGCGCACCACCTCATTCGCCTTCATGTCCGTCGTGTACCACCCGCGTGGGAAGTTGTGCTCGAAGACGACGGTGTCGGGGATGCGGATGCCGTGGCAGGCCTTCATCGTCTTGGGGTTTCGCTTCGCCAGGATGTTGTACAGGCCGGTCACCACGTCATCCCCCTCAAGGGGGTGGTTCTTCATCCACGTCTGGTCCTTCTGCACGCGTGCCATGAAGACGAGCGTGGCGTTGATGGCCTTCTTTGTGTAAAGTGTGCTTGGAAGATGCTAGCTGAAATGGCCGGCGTGAATCACAGCTGCCGTGTTGCGTGAAATCTGCAGAGATGTGCCGTGCAAAGTCGTGGAGCGACGCTTACTTCGTGCTGTGGATAATGGAGAAAACAAAGGCCGTAAATGAAAGTTGCGTTGTATGGAACAGAGGCGCGGGTGAGAGGAAAGGAGAGGTGAAGTACGGAGAGGGCAAAGACGGTGTGGGGGGAAGACAAAGGCGGCACACACACACCCAAAAGCACGACCTGTGAAAGGAGCCGGAGAAGACGGAAAACAGCAGGCTGATGTCGCGCCTGCCGTGAAGGTTTATTCAATAAAAGGATGAAACACAGACGAGAGAAAAACAACGTCTTTTACCCCATTACACGCATTTCGCATTTAATTGGATTCTATTGCAATAACACCGTCGAAACACTGCGGGGTACGACCTCTACACCACACCAGCGCTTCATTCATTTGCGCACAACATGCCTTTAGTCGCGCCAGGTCACGTGCACCTCATCGGTGCGAAAGCGCTGGGTAATCGTGGCGTCCGCCATCGTTGTAAAGGAGCCACTGAGAAACTGCAGCACACCGGCGTAGGCGATCATGCACCCATTGTCGATGCAGTACCGCTGGTCCATGTCGAAGCAGCGACCGCCGCGCTCCGCTGCCATCTCCCGCATCATCTCCTGCAGTCGCTCGTTGCACCCAACCCCGCCGACGACGAGCACGTCGGATGCCTTGACCTGCGACATGGCGCGCTCCGTCACCTCAATCAGCATCGCAAAGACGGTCTCCTGTAAGGAGAAGCAGATGTCGTCCGCGTTGAAGGTTTCGTTTGGCGGGACGGGGACGTTTGTCAGCGGCTGGGCCTTGCGCCTGCGGTCGGGGAGGTCGCAGACGCCCCTCTCGGTGAACTGTGGGTGGCGCACCAGCTGTTCCACGTAGGAGAGCAGCCCGCTGAAGGACATGTCCATCCCTTTCACGGTGTAGGGCAGTCGGATGTACACCCGACCCTTCTTGGCCTTCTGCTCGATGTTGTAGCCGGGCGCCGGGTCGTTCGAGATGCCGAGGAGGCGCGCCACCCGATCGAGGCAGTTGCCCACAGCAATGTCGATCGTCTCGCCAAAGATGCGGTAGCGGTGGTCGGCATAAGCGATGACTTGCGTGTTGCCGCCACTCACGTACAGCACCACCGGGTTCGCGCTCTGGGTGACGACGCGGCCCATCTCAATGTGTCCCACGCAGTGGTTCACCCCGACCAGCGGTTTGCCCCACAGGAGGGAAAGGGCTTTGGCCACCGTGCACCCCACCGAGAGCGGAGCGCCCATGCCGGGGCCTTTGGTGTAAGAGATGACGTCGATCTCCGCCGGGGCCACGCCGGCCTCCTGTAAGGCACGCTGGACAAGCTGCAGAACGTGCTGGGAGTGGTGGATGGCAGTTTCACGGGGGAGGAAGCCGGTGCCAGCGGGCGTGATGTACGTCTCGCGGACGTTCGACAGCACCGCTCCGGTCTGGTCGACGACGCCGACGCCGATCTTGTTGGCGCTGCCTTCGATGCCCAGAGACAGCGATCGTGTCATGAGGGATGTTGCCTTCACATAAACTGCCAAGAATCTGTAAAAGGAAGTACCTTCCGGGAGTACAAAGAGGAGGTGAGAAGAAATGGAAAGAGAAGTTGCGAAGAACACTTCAACGCGAGGGGAACGCGTGGCAGTGAAATGAATGGAAGGAAAGGTTGCTGAAGGTGGCCCAAACGCTCGATTTATGCTGCGTTAGCCACCTCGGCACGCAGTTGGCTTCTGTGACGCATCAAAGCAGCAAACAAGTCGACCAGATCCTCAGGACACGCGACACCTTTCGCTTCCCATTTTCTTTGCTTCTTCTTTGTGCAGTAATGGTGACTATGCCGTCAAAATACTGCTCGCCGTGACACACAAACATACTCGCACGCTCCACTCCTACCTTTCTCACTTGCTCAGCTACCTGTTCATACCAAGATCCTCCCGTGCGATGGCGGAAATGAGCTTCCGCTTCGCCTCGTACTTTTTCTGCCGCTCGCCGTGCCACTTGCGGCGTCGGATGGACGCGGCCGCAGGGGAGTAAAGCGCGGTGGCACGTTGATAAGGGCACACATCGTGCTCGTTGCGGGAGGCAAACGCCGACGAGTACGCGATGCTGTCTGCGTAGTGCTGCCGCTGCAGCTGAAAGCCACGTAGCGTGCGACGAAGCATTCGGTTCGTTTCTCTTACGTCTGAGGCGAAAAAGTGCAATGACGACCGTTGTCACCGTTTGGGGTGAATGGGGAGAACGCGCCGGGTCAAGCGACGCGACGGCACAAATGGAGAACGGATTCAGAAGCTGGCGAGTATAGAGAAGTCGCTCACCCTCAAGAGTGACCAGACAGGAAAAGCCCGCGTGATAGCAGATACCTGCGAGGCAGATAAGCGCCGTCCGAAGACAAGAGCGCGGATTTCAGACGGCAGGTGGTTTCCTCGCGACGCACTGGCAGATACTAAGCCAGCCGCACGTACGAGCGGAAGTACTCCTGTAATGCCGGTCGTAAAAAACCAGGTACAGACCAAACGCAGCTTTCGTCGCTTCATCAACGGCAACAACACACACAGGCAGAGAACAGAAAAACACACGACTGCGAGACAAAGAAGTCCGAACGCAAAACACCAACAAAAAAATCGATTGGCGCAATCACCATAAACCTCTACCGTTTCCACCTAGTACAGATACTGCGGCTCCGGATCGGCCACCTCGTGCCGCTTGTGCACCAGCACGAGAGCCAGCGACACCGCCAGGAACGGGATGACGAGCGTGTACTTGATGGCATCCATGAAATGCATGTTGAAGCTGAGCGGGATGGAGTCAGTAAAAACCTGCCCGTTGGGCAGGGTCAAGATAACGTTCAGCGAAGAGTACACGCGCTCCAGCGGCGCGCGAATCTTGAGCGTGTGCGTGCCTGGCGTGCTAAACACCTGATGGTGCACGCGGATGCGCGTGCCCACGACGATGTCTACGACGTAGCGCTGCTGTGCGACTCCCTTGCGTGCGTCATAGATGGTGATTTGTAAGGTCATCGTGTCACCCTGGATGTTGCGCACAGCGCGGAACGCAGGCTCGATGAAGACGCCAACGTAATTGCCGCTCGCGCTGCACCCGTTCACGCCCTTTGTCTTGCTGGGCCACGCATTCATCGGCGAGTACGGCGTGGCCGTCTCAAACAAGTAGACGCCGCCGTTGATCGTCGTCACGAGCAGGTCCATCTGCCCGTTACCTGAAATGTCGTCCGCCAACACCATCGAGGACGACTTCTCGTCAATGTCGATGGTCTCCACGCAGCCGGAGGTTTCCCGCACCAAATACACGCGACCGTCATGCGACGGCACGACGATGTCGACGCCTTGGCTGAAGATGATGCCGTCGAGGTTGAGGAGCAGCGCCGGGGCCACGATGGCGCCGCCCGTGACAATCGGGAAGGACGGCAGCGCGGTGCCGTTGTTGCCGCTGAGGGCGTAAATGAGGCCGGAGGTGGTGCCAAAGACGACGTCCACCACGCCGTCGCCGTCCACGTCGCCAAAGGTCAGGCGATCCGCAATGCCGCCCACCACGTCGGCCTCCCAGTTGGCGCTTCCGGTGGAATTGTAGCACCGCACCTTGCCCTCCGTATCGCCGATGCAGATGTCCAGCTTGCCGTCTCCCGTGACGTCCTCGGCGGTGGGGCTGGCGGAGAGCGGGCCGAGAAGCACCGGCCACCCGTCCAGCGCACCACCGTCCTGCGTGAAGCCGAACAGAAATCCCAGCGTGGTGCTGACGTACACCTCCATCTGCCGATCCTCGTCGGCGTTGATGACGAGCGGGGTGCTGAGGCCGTACGCCACGTTGGGGCCACGCTTCGTCGAGGCGTGCAGGACACGGGCCCAGCGTGTTCCGCCGGTCACCAGGTTCATGCACACCACTGCCGTCGCGACGTAGTCGTCCAGGTTAATGTCGCCCGGAAACTCCTTGCGGTGGCGTGCCACCACCTCTGCGCTGAAGAAGTAACTCACGTGCAGTATGACGTCCAAGTCGTTGTTGCCGTCCACATCCGTGACCACCGGCGTCGACAGCAGGTGCGCCTCCACCTCGATCTCGTCCTCGCCAATCGTGATGTTCTTCACGGGGCGTAAGTTGCGTCCGCCAAAGTCGTTCGTCTCTTTCTCCATCTCCGCGGCGCGGTAGAGCTCGGGGTGGAAGAGCAGCGACAGTGACTCCTTCGCCTCCGGGCTCAGGTGGCTGGTGGGGCCGATTTCGTTCTTCGCGTCATTCCACCGCACCTCCGCGCGGTCCTCATCGAAAAAGCCCGTGTCAAAGCGGACGTCGTCGTCCACGAAAAAGTTCGCCTCGTCCTCCACTCCTTCGGTTTTAACGGGCGTCTCTCCGTCGGGCACGCCCCCCACACCCACCGCATCCGCATCTGCCGTCTGCGCCTGAAAGCCGTTCCGTTGCCGCGCGGATGGGTGGAAGCGTTGCTGGCGCAGCTGCACGACGTCCACGAAAAGGTCGTCCATGCGGCGTGCACTCATGATCTCCTCGAGCACCGCCGCGTTATGAATCGGGGTGCCGGGCTTCACGGTGGCGGCCTCCCGCGGTGGAAGTTTGTCCTTCACCCAGTTCTTCTTCATGGCCAGTGGGGGTACCTTCAGGTACCCCTGCACTCTGCCGTCCGCACCGAAGATCACAAGCTCCCCCGTGTAGAGCGCCACCAGCCAGTCCACCTGGCCATCGCCGTTGAGGTCCACCGGAAGCGGGCTCGCGTAGGTCTTCATGCGGGGATGCATAAACGGAAAGCCGGGAACGTCCTCGCCGGTGGAGCCGTCCAGCGCCTCGAGGAACTGCGAGAAGGTGGGAATCAAGATTTCCCTGCGGCCGTCGTTCCCCAGGTCGACGATGCGAGGTGTCGCGTACACGCTGCTGCCAACCCGCGCCGACCACTCCAGGTTAATCCCAGCGAAGCATTTAGAGGTGGCGTTTGGCTTGAGCGTCTGCGCCTGCGCTGCCATAACCCAGAGAAGTGCGCACAGCACAAGACACCTCCACTTGGGTGTCATGATGAAGGCTGGTCTTGGGGAAAAATGATGATACAAAAGAGATGCTTCAATGAGACTAACAGAGCGCAGAAGAAGAACGCACGACTACAGCGAGACGTGGTAGTACGAAAGATGTATAAAGAAGTATAAATCTTCCCTTTGAAAGTTCACGTAAGAGGACGAAGGAAAGAGAGAACATGATTTTGCGTGTTGTTGTGAAAACAGAGAGAAGTGCAGCAGGCTAATAAATTGGGCGTTTTCCACTCCCGAGCTTCGCGCACGGAGATGTGTTCCGATAAACACACACCGTTAAGTTCAAAATAATAATAATAATATTAATAATAATCAGTAGATGTGCTCTTTCCGCTGTCTCCCACGTTTACAGCAGTCCTCAATTCAGCCTGTCAAGACCTGCTTCCAAAACAGAATGCGTCGTTCTACATTTCCACTTCTTATCACTGAGCTTGGTCGTTTGCCGCAGGTTCTCCCAGCGGATTCCACAGCGAAGACGGGATGGCGGCCAGGTCGCTCAGCGATCCTTAAGGTGCGCAAAGCTCGGCGTGGGCATCGCCTTCTCTAGTACCTCGGCGGGGAGCTGCTTACCGTCACCGATGGAGGGCAGCTGGCCGGCCTTCATTCCCTTGAGGTACGGCACCGCGTAGGTTCCCAGCCAGGACCACAGCACCATAAACACGATAAACATCTTCCACGGGTACACTCGCAGCTGACCCAGTCGCTCCTTCCACGGGAGTGTGCGGTTGCGCTCAATGCGTTGCCGATCCTTCTGCAGTGCGTTGAAGAGGTCAAAGCGGTCCTTGCCCTTCTTCTCGCTGCTCACCGCGTGAATTGTCGACCGCCGCGGTGCCACCTTTGGCTTTGCCATGCGTCGACCGCAGCATCGCAGCATGTTTGCTGCAGCTACAAACGCTTTTGTTGCCCAATCGTGAGAAAGAGAATCAAAGGTGGAGGCGGTGTCTGCAGCCTTTCTGTGTAGCGCCTCCTACCAGAGCCGTTGGGGAGAAGAGTGTGGAAACGCACGAGGAACGCTGAAATCCCAAAAGCAAAGCAACCAGCAGCAAGATCGGTCATCTACGTGAAGAATCCGATGATAAAGCCCATTGCGGGGGCGAGGATATCTAGGCGTGCCGGTACTTCTCTAGGAATTGAGAAGAGGGCATCACAGGGCGAAATGGCAAAAGGCAGCTCCGCCTGCATCTGCTGCAGAGAAAGTCCATGCTCGGTTTTTAGGTCCCAGAAGTTGCTGTTTCATTTGCCGTTGCTTGAGCGCACAATGAGAACGGAGAGGTGAAAGAAAAAACCGTACAAGTACAGAAAGGTTTGAAGAAAAGAAACACAGTACATACGAAATGCGGCCACAGAATTGATCTACGTTGTGTCCAACTGGCACGTTCGCCCACTCCATACAAACCCAAAGTGCGCACCTCCCCACACCAATCCAACGGAACATCCGTTGCAAGACAATCATCATCACGACTTGCACTCTGCTGTTACCGTCATCATCGCAGATGCAACTACACATCTGCGTGCGAGAGAGAGAGGCGGAGAGGCGGAGCGCAGCACGACATTATGCGTTTGTGCCAAGACGGCGGCTCTGCGAAGAGGGAGAGCGCACGTGCGACGCCACGTACTGCCGCATCTCATGCTTCCACTTCAGAAGCTCCTCCGCTATTTTGCCGTTTTCCTCGATGAGGTGGTCGCGCTCCTCGGCGAGCCGCGTGCACTCACTCGTCAGGCGATCATTTTCGTCTGACAGCTGCTGCAAATCGCCCACCATGCCCTCCGCGCCTACCCCGCGGCCAACGGCACCCGCAGCGCCCCACTGGGTCACAGAAAGCGCCTCCTGCATTTGTGCGATTTGCCGGGCGTGTGCGTCTTCCTGTGCCATCATGTCCTCCAGCGTGTGCGAGAGCGCGACGCACTGCTGCTCCGCCTTCTCGCGCAGCTGCTCCGACTGGCCAAAATTGGCCAACATTCGCTGACACTCTTGCTGGTAGTATTCAGAGGTGTGGTGCAGCTCCTCGACCTCCGCCTCCAGCCGCGACGCTTCCCTCTCCGCCTCCTCCCGCGCCACGCGCTCGTTCTGCAACTCCTCGCGGAACTTGCGCACGCGGCTCTCGGAGTCGGCCCCTGCCGCGGCGGCGTACCGCGTCTGAGCTGCCCGACTCTCCTCCTCCGCCCGCCTGAGTCGTTCCTCCACCTCCGCACGCCGGGCCCTCTCCTGCTGCAGGGCCCGCTTTTGGTCCTCTTTGACGGCCTCCACGGTGCGCCGACTGCGCTCCGCCTCCCGCTGCTGCTCCTCCGCCTGCTCCTTCAGCCTGTCCTGCATGACCGCCTGTGACTGCTGTGCCTCGCGCAGCTGGGCAGCCTGCACGCGGTCTTTGTCCGCCAAGGCCCTCCGCAGCTGCGCCACGTCTTGGTTCAGCTGCTCCATCCGCTGCTCAAAGTCGGCGCGGTCACGCCGCGCCGCATCGTTGGCCCCTGCGGCCTGATCCAACGCCTGCCGCTTCGCCTCCGCCGCCGCCGTCACCTCACCACGAAGCTGTTCGTTTAGAAACTGAAGATGGTCGCGCTGTCCTTTAACTTCCTCGAACAGCGCCAGGGCCCGCTCCGTCTTCTCGCGCTCGTTGGCGATCTTCTCGTTGCACTCCGCCTCTGCCTCGCGGTGGCGCTGCTCCATCGTGTTCACGTCGTAGAGCAGCGCCTGCAGCTGCGTCTTCACTTTCTCCACCTCCCGCTGCTTGTCGCTGTAGAGTTGTTTGTACTGTTCGGCAGAGGATTGGTAGCTCTCGCACTGCTCCGCCACCTCTCCCGCCTCGCGCAGGGTCTCCTTCCTCGCCGCGTGGGCCTCGTCGAGCGCACGCTGAAAGGCGACCTGCTTCGTCTCGAGGTTTTTGCGCAGCATGTCCACCGTCAGCTGCAGCCGCACCGCCTCGGACGCGTCCGCGCTGCCCTGCACGCCGCGCAGCTTTTGATTTTCGCGACCGAGGAAGGCGACCTCGTCCTGCAGACGGGCGTTCTCCTGCTGCAGACGCCGCACCCGCGGGTCCGTGGAGGTCGGCGGGGACATCGGCGCAGCTGCGAGTGCCCCCCTCCACGGACTGGGCTGCCGACTGCCGCCGCGGGGGGCGGAGTTGCCCAGTCGGCGGTGCTCCTCCAGCCGCAGCTGGGCACGGATCAGCAACTCATCCGCTGCCGTCTCGGCCGGTGCGGGGCGCAGCCGCGATGGATCCACCAAGTCCGTGCTTCCGCTGGCCCACAGCTGCGAGCCGCCAGAGACAGGTGGGCGTTGCGCGGCGGGTGGTGGTGGGCGGGCCGGCTGCTCCTGCTGCTGGTGTGGCTGCACCGGCAGCACCTGCTGCACGAAGTCTTCGCTCTCGTGCTCGGAGTCTTCAGGCCCGTTGAGGTACTGCGGAGTGTGGGGAGTGTCGATACCGTTGCCGGTCATGCGAGGGGTGTAGGCACCCGAGGAAGGAGCCACTGCCGCTGGTGATGGAGGGGCGCCGTTCAGGAGCGGAGTCGGCGGCGTCGGCTCCGCGACCTTCTTTGAGTGCGCGGGACGCTCCAACGGGGCAGGGGCAGCCGGGTAGGCGGGCACCGCGGCCGCCGGCGGAGGGGACGCAGAGGCGACAGGAGCTGCCTCCGTCGTTTTGCTCGTCGGGACGGCTTCCGATGCGGCTGAATGCCCCGCAAGCGCGGACGGCTGCTGCTGAGCCGCCTTCACGGCCAACCCGGTCCCTACGGTGGGCGGTGCCTTCCTCTTCGCCTTCACGAAGTTTGCCGGCGGCGCCACTCCGGCTGGCAGATGCTTGACCGGCAGGGAGACGGGTGACTGCGGTGCCTTCGGTGCGGGCGGTGCGGGGGCGCGCCTGTGCTCCGAGTTCTGCGACTTCTCGTGGTCCGACTCGAACGAAATGCTGTCCGACTCGTCCGTTGTGGTCTTGAAGCTGAGGGTGGGCATCGTCTTCTTCGTCGGCACCCCATCCCCGAACTCGGGGTCGCTGTCCGTGTCCACCTCATCAAAGCGTTTGATGCGCGGCATCGTGCAGGCGGTATTTGGTGGCTCGAGGGAAGGAGACGCAGATGTGCCTTGTACGCCACCGCAGACAACCTTTGAGTGTGTGTGAAACAATCAATCAATCAAAATGAAAATCACTTCGATAAGCGGCGCCGCCAAAGCCGTCAGACAGATCAAGGCGGGACAGAAGCGGTCCACGTGTCTCGCAGGTGGAGGAAAGGAGTCGGATTATTGATGCGTTGGGCCACAGGCAGTATTGAGATGAAGGGTGTGGCACTCGCTGCGGTAGAGGGTAGAGGAATAAACGTTGGCTTACGATGTGGCGACAGCCTTGACTGACTTGACACGACTTCCTCGTAGGCGCACAACACTGCGTGAAGGCAGCAGGATCTGCTAGAGAAAAGACAAGACGACTGAAGACAAAGTAGGATCAGAAAAAGCGAAGTGTGCACGACCGGTGTTTCCTAAGAGATATCGCCAAGGCCCGCGAGGAGCTCGTCCACTGCAAGAGCAATCACATGAATCATAACCGTATTCATATTTCACTGGAATGCGGTAGGTGTCGGAGTCTACGCTTTATCGCCGCCGAAGTGCGGAAAGAAAGCAGTGGTGATACGCTTTGGCTCGTCTTTACGGAAGAACAGAATGCCAAACTTGCAACGTGCAACGACGCCGTACTCGACAAAGGAGTCCCCCATTCGAAACGAGTGCAAAGAGACGCCGAAAGGGGAAAAGGGAAAAAGAAAAAAACGCAGTAGGCGCTGGAGCCGCTGCGGTGCATGTGTGAAACGGCTAAAAATACAACGCATGCGCAACATACACATAGAATGAAGCCGCAACGCCTCTTTTTGTTTTACAGTGGAATCACCGGTGTGTGCGTGACGGGGTCGCGGCTGCGGTACAGCAGCACGTAGGCGATGTGCGCCTCACCCACACCGCGCAGTCGCTTCACGTCCTCCTCCGACACGGCGGCGACATGCTCGTCATCGTAGATCAACCACGTCTTCGCCTTCTTTCCCCAGTAGACGTAGTGCCCACCATCCGCGCTGCGGCCCTTATGGGAGATGACGCCGCACAGCTCGTAGTAGCCGCTCTCGTTCTGCAGCGTCAACGGCACCTTCTCTTCCTCTGCCTTTTCCGCCTGCGCAGGTGGCTCGTTCCTTTCAGTGCGAGGACGGCGGCGCTTCTCCAGCTCGCGGTCGCGGCGCTCACGGATCACCTCCCGCTGGGGCTGCTGCGCCGCCTTGAGCGCCTCCGTTTCGACGAGCGAGGTGTCGAGGATAATCGGAAAGCTGATGGGCTTGAGGATCTTCGCCTTCTTTTGGATGTCGTTGCGCCACGAGAAGCGCACCATGTGCACAAAGACGTACTCCGGCAGCTGGCTGAGCTGACTGAGGCGCGTGAACTTCGCCTCGTCGTTCTGCAGGGCAGCGTTGGGGGCGGTGAAGTGCTCGTCGAAGGCGCGCTCTAGGCCGGCCTCCAGCGTCTGCACCTCGCCCGTGATGTTGCACGACAGCATCGTGAAGGGCACCTCCGATTCTTTGCCCTTGTCCGCCGTGTCGTCGGTGCAGGTGAGCGTTTGATGAAGCGTGCCGGAGAACAGGTGGGCGTACTTCGGTGGCAGCACGGCGCTGATCGCCTGCAGGAGCAGGTTCAATACCTCCTGCGCGTCCTGCTGCATGAAACCACCGTGCTCGTCGCGCTCGCCAAAGGTGGGGTTGGTCTGCACGAGCGTCGTCCACAACTGCAAAGGGACAACGGCCTCTTTGGCTGCTTCCAGGGACTGCAGGAGCGAGCCGAGCTGGCGCAGCAGCACGTTGTCGCCACGGTGGGAGGCTAGGGTCTCGCGGATTTCCGGGATGCTGCGCAGCATCTGCAGAGCGGAGTTGAGGTAGCACGTGTTGGCGATGTTCCTCAGCCCGTTGGAGGTGGCAGTGCTGGCCGTGTAGCCGCCGGCCTCATTCGCGTCCACCACCGCCGCCTGCACCGTCGGCACGGCCGCCGCGCTCTCCGTCGAGCCGATCAACATGATCGTCTTACCCGCAGCGAGACCGGCCTCGCTCAGCGTTGCGTCGTCCTTGTTCATGGACGGCTTCAGCCCCATCAGCTTCTGCTTCTCCACCGGCACGCCCGTCTTGTCCTTCAAGGCCTCCTTAAGCGCCGCGATGGTGCTGCTCAGGTCGACCTCCACGATCAGGATCTCCTTGCCCCACTTTACTTTGAGCTCCATCATGGTGAGAATAAAGAAAAATAGGTTCCTCCTTCCTATTGTGAGTGCGTGTGTTGGAGCGTATGAGAATGAGGTGAGGTCAGCGCCGGTAGCTTACGCCCAGGGTATACGGAGGACTTCGAGGTAATAAAACTTATGACTTGCTGCGAAACAACACCGTTGATGCGAGAACGTGTTCAAGCCGGAAGAGGAATTAGCGGGATTTGAAGGGAGGGAAAAGAACGGAGAGACAACGCGAATGCAAAGTGGCAAATAACATATGAAAGCCGCTGCATCGTTTCCTTTTGTTTTGCGGCTCGAGCAGTTCGAAGAAGTGTAGCTCGAAGAAGGTGCGTTTTATTCCCTTTCAAGCACACCGATAATGTTTAATATCAGGTGGAGAAAGGGAGAAGCAGAACGAGAGTAAATGGCCCGCTTCCGAGTCTTTTTGACTCACGTGTAGTTGGTCCGTCGTGTGAAGGGGAGCGGGCGGCGTACTAACACCGACAGGGGACTCCCCAAAACACCAGTGGAAGTCTTCCGTCCGTCCAGCACGACAAACAAACGGCGACCTGTGATCTGACTCAAGAGAGAAGAAACAGAACCTGCTCCTTGCAGGTGCTCCTCATCCGCTGCGTAGGGGGATCCGGTGAGTCGGGGAGGCACTCAAGTTGGCGCCGCAGCAGCGTGCAAATGACGCTCTTGCACTGCAGCGCGTCCCACGGGACGGCGCGGTACCACTGCGTGTCGGCCGTGCGGATGTGCCGCTCCACATCTTTCCGCCGCATCGCCCCATAACTCCACGAGGCAAAAAGCGGTGACGCGCCGTTCCGCGGCATCACACGCAGCCACCGAAACGCCAAGTCGCTGCCCACCACCGTGCTGTTCACATTGACGGCGCGCAGCACGAGGAGCAGGACAATGTTGAGGACGTACTCGGATGCGCAGTTGTGCTGCAGGAGGGAGACGACGCTGAAGTCCTCTGGTGTGGCGTCGCGGCGCTGCAGCGTGCTCTCCTCCCGCACGAGATACACAAACCTCGTCAAGTCCTCAACCCTTCCCACCACGAGGCCGTGCACGTCGATTTTCCGCCGCACCATGTCTGCCATGTTTTGCACATACGCGCGCAGGCACAGCTGATAGTCTTTCATACAATTCTGGAGAGCCGGCTGCGTGTCGCATCCAACGCGTGCACCGTAGAGCGCCGCACTCATGAGGACTAACCCGTCGCAGAGGTCCCACTGCCGCTTCTTTCCCAGCCGCTCCCATTCTGCCAGCACCCACACCGAGAAGAGGGACTCGAGCGCCTCTTTGAGAAACGCAAAGGCGCTTGGGACGGACGTCGTCGAGTACGCCGCCTCGAAGGAGCGCCGCACGACGTCGCGCAGCGAGTCCGCCTGCGTGATGCACACACGCGGTGGCACGAACTCCGCCCAGCGTGTGTGCCCAATGCGTTGGGTGTGCGGGTGCTCGGCTGCGGCGACCAGCTTCAACATTCTGCGGTAGAGCGAGTGGGCGAGCTCCTTGTTGATGGAGTCGCTGCTGCCTCTCATCGCGTGCAACGAGCGAGATGATCCAAGAAAAGCAGGAAAGCGGATGGAAGAAGGAGACGAACGATACGTCAACAACTGCAAGCACACCACATCAAAAGTGAGTTGTGAGAGAAACGAATACCGTGGAAAGGTCGGGGCAGCAGCTACCCTTCTTTAAGTAGTCAGCATGGGAAAGGAAAGGCTTTGTAGCGCCGCTGGCATTGAAGAAGCAAAGCATGCGTAGAAGGAAAGGAAGCAGCGGAGAGAGACAGAGAAATGTGAGAAGGACATCTGTGTGGGCGTGTGGGTGTGGAAGATTACGAGAAGGATGACGGAGCCATCACCGTGAAGAGAGGCGAAAGCTCAAGCGATATTCACTGCGTGCAATTCTTCATGATAGGGATTCTCCATGACGGTAAACAACGGCAGAAGTGAGACGGCGCCAGCAACAATCGTCACGGGTGCAGTGAGCAGCTGTGCGTCCATTCGATTGGTTATTGTTGTTGAGTGCAGAGTGAAAGAGAAGTAGAAACACACACAACAGAGAACGCCACAAAAAAACAGGGGGAAGTCAAGAAGGGTTTTTTAGCTCCTCCACGTGCGTGTCACAACAGAGGAAGAAGACCACATCGCTTTAGTTACGCCCGTCGAGGTGGAAACAGAAGACGCCAGTTGAGCACAAATACTTGGGGGAGCACCACAATAAACGAAGCAAATACGTGCCTCTACGCAGCAGGTGTGGCAGACAAAGAAGGAAACCTTTAAAAAAACATCGGCAACAACACCGCCCTTTACCCTAGCAAAGATAAGGTAGAAAACGTCAAAACACACATATTGGGATACCGAGAGTCTCACAAGACAACACTTTAGCAACAGAAACAAATCTTGGTGGTCACCGCCTGTTTAAGATATATCGAGTTATCCTTTTACTTACAGCGGGCCGGTCCCCAGACGCGGCAGGATCGTCATGGACATCAGCTCCTGGAAGAGCAGCTTGCAGGCGTACGGCATGAGCACCTGCGAGATGCGCGTGTCGTTCTCACACCCCTTGCACTGGTAGCGGTTCAGCTTCGTGTCGGCGACACAGATGGTGCCGCAGAGGTTGCACACGTGCACCGTGTAGTAGTCGCTGACGCGGAAGAGGCGCTCGCGCAGCCACTGCGAGGCCCCGTAAGACAGCATGCAGTCACGCTCCATCTCACCAAAACGCAGACCGCCCTCGTGTGCGCGGCCCTCCGTCGGCTGGCGCACCAGCGGCTGCAGCGGTCCACGTGGGCGGGCGTGAATCTTATCCCCGGACAAGTGCTTTAGGCGCTGGTAGAAGGTGGGGCCGAAGAAGATAAGGTGATCCAGCGGGAGGCCGGTGTGGCCGTTGTAGAGGCACTCGTTTCCGTAGCGCTGCGACTTGAGGGCGTGCAGCGCCTTGCCGAAGTCGTCCACCACGACGGAGCAGAAGGGCGTGGCGTAGACCTCGCCGCCTTTGTAGCACGCGACCTTGCCCGCCAGCGTCTCGATCAGGTGGGCCACCGTCATGCGGGAGGGAATGGCGTGCGGGTTGATGATGAGGTCGGGCACCACGCCGTCGCGGTTGAAGGGCATGTCCTCCTGGCGGAACTGAATGCCGTTCGTGCCCTTCTGCCCGTGCCGACTGCAGAATTTGTCACCGATGTTGGGGATCTTGATGGTGCGGATCTTCACCTTGGTGAAGCGGTCGCCGTTGTTCATGGTCAGCATCACCTTGTCCACCACACCCTTCTCGGTGGTGCGGGAGGTGATGCTGGCGTCGCGCTTAGTGATTTTCGTGTTGCCGGTGGTCAGCTTCTCGAGGTCCGCCTCGGGCAGCGGGATCGTCTTGCCCACCACCACGTCGCCACCGAGCACGCGCATGCCCGGCTTGATGAGGCCGTCCGTGTCCAGCTTGGAGTAGTCCGCGCGCTTCACGTGGCACACCTCGCGGTCCGGGTTCTCAAAGGTCTCCAGAGTGTCCCGCCGCTGCCGTTCCTCCTTCGCCTTGAAGGAGCGCCAGAAGGCGCTGCGGAAAAAGCCGCGCTCGACGGCGGAGCGGCTCATAATGATGGAGTCCTCCTGGTTGTAGCCGCTGTAGCACGAGATGGCCACCACGGCGTTGTGCCCGGCGGGCAGGTCGTTGCTGTGCATGTACGACATCGCCTTTGTGCGCACTAGCGGCTTCTGCGGGTAGAAGAGGACGTGCGCGGTGGTGTCCATGCGCATGTGGAAGTTCGAGGCGTAGATACCCATGGCCTGCTTACCCATGGCCGACTGGTAGGTGTTACGTGGCGACTGGTTGTGGTTCGGGTAGGGGATAATGGACGCACAGATGCCGAGAATCATCGACGGGTCCATCTCGCAGTGAGAGTAGTAGTAGTTCTTCTCCACCTCGTTCGGAGTCATGGCGATGAGCAGCGAGTCCTCCTCCTCACAGTCGATCAGCTCCACGTACCCCTTCTTGAGAACCGTGTTCCACGAGATCTCCTTCTTGCCGCCGACCTTCTCGGAGACGAAGAGGTCGCGCATGCCGGACTTGCGCAGCTTCAGGTGGCAGTTCTCGACGACGAAGAGCGGGCGGAGGCAGCGGCCCGCGTCGGAGAAGACGCGAATCTCGCGATCGCGGATATCGCGCACGATGCTGACCTCGTTGCTGAGCTCCCCGTTGCGGCGGCGGGTGCGCAGATCGTGCAGCAGTCGCTCCGGGTTGCGGTCCACGCCGATCAAGGTGCCGTTAACAAAGACGCGTGCCACGCGCACGTCGGCGGTGTCCTCCAGCCCGATGGCACGGATGCTGTCGATGCGGGCCTGCACCGCCTGCACCACCTCCGCGTGGTCGGTGCCGCGCGACATGAGGCACATCAACGCGACGTTCTTCAGCAGGCCGATCGAGCCGCCCTCGGGCGTCTCCACGGGACAGATGTAGCCCCACTGCGTGCAGTGCAGGTTGCGCGGGCGGGTGGCCTTGCTGGAGGCGGCGATTGGGTTTTGAATGCGCCGCAGGTTGCTCAGCGAGGAGGAGTAGGTGAGCCGGTTCAGCGTCTGCGCCACGCCGGTCTTGATGGCACCCGTCTTCAAGTCGCCGAAGTTGCCGGTGGCGAGGCAGCGTCGCAGGCCGTCGGTGATCAGCTTGCTGTGGATGATGCGGCCAAAGCTGAAGACTCCGCGAGGGTTGGCGGCGTGGTCCTGCAGCGTCTTGATCATCTCCTTCCGCACCTGCGCCAGGAAGGTCTGTAGCTGTACCGTCAGCAGGGCACCCGCCACGTCAATGCGCTTGTGGCCGAGGAAATCGCGATCCGTCTCCTCGTGGCGGCCCAGGGCGACCAGCAGCAGCTTGTGCACCATGTAGCCCATGTAGAGGCACTTGGTGCGGTTGGCGGACGGGTCCGTGCCCATGTGCGGGATCAGGTCGCGCATCAACAGACTCTCCGCCTCACGCTGGAGGTTCGCCATGGAGTCCTGCTTGCCCAGGCGACGCCCAATGTAGCCGAGCGCGTCCTCGCGGGTGAAGATTTGCAGCGTGCTCGCGTCGCTCATCGAGCCACGCAGCAGCTCCAGCATCGCCGTGTCCTTCAGGTCCGGCACCACCGTCTGCAGAATTTCCTTGTCCGCCACCATGTCCAGCGCACGGAAGAGCACAAAGAGGGGGATCGTCTCGTCCATCTGGGCCACGCGGCACATCAGGTTCTCAAAGCCGCTGCCGGGGCCTTTGTTCTTGTACTGCATGATGATTTGCAGCGTGCGCGGCTTGTTCAGCGAGCCCTCAACGATCGACTTCACCTCACACAGTAGACCCTTCTGGCGAGAGAAGGTGTAGACGTGGTTGGCGGCCTGCCGCTCCTGCGCAATGAGCACCTTCTCCGTGCCGTTGACGACAAAGTAGCCACCCTGGTCGTGCGGGCACTCGTTGAGCCGCGGCAGCTCGTCCTCGTCCTTGCCGCTGAGGTTGCACCGCATGGATTTGAGCATGATAGGGATGCGGCCCAGCTCCACGTTGCGCAGGAAGGTGTCGTGCGGGGTGTCGGCGTGCGGGCGGTAGAGCTCCACCCCGAGGGTCACCTGCGCCTGGGCGTCGTAGGTCATATCTCGCAGCCGGCACTCATTCGGGAAGAGCGGCGGCAGATTTCCTCCGGCAAAGTAGGAGTGCGTCTGGTGCGACGGGTTGCCGATGAAGACGTCCTGCAGGACCAGTCGAGGCTGGTCGCGCTCCTCCTCCATCGCCATGCCGGGATCGTACTGGTCATCCTGGCGTGGGATGACAGCCATGTTCTCGATCATCTTCGGAATGCGCATGAGGAAGTCATTGTAGGAGTCGAGCTGCTGGTGCACCAGACCCTTCTTGCGAAAGAAGGACGAGATGACCTCCCAAATATCCTCGCTGTCGAGGTCATCGTTTAGGTTATCGTCGTCGTGGTCGTCGACCGCCTCGGCGTCGTCCGCCTCCAGCAGCACGTCCGGGTCCTCCAAGTCGAGCAATTCGTCTCTTGCCATGTCTGAGAAAGTGCGTGTGTGTGACGATGACGGCGAGAGAAGTAGGTGCCTATAAAGCCAACGAATAAAAGGCCTGCTGTACTCGATGAGCAGCGCAAAAAGCCACAACCGGCTGACGGAAGAAAGCAGTTCTTATATCTGGTTGAGCAGCGTCAACACTGAAAAGAAAATGTGTGGAGAAGTGACAAAGAAGGAGAGCCAAATAGAGATCGATTGATTAGTGCAGAACACGGCTTGAGGGAGTTCTCGAAGCGATGGAAAGCTCTGTCCAAGGCAAGTAGAAATGGACAGGAAAGACACAGACCCCATCGCAGACATTTGGAAAGTGGATAGAGGCACCGCTTACGTTTTAGCCGAACTACGCGTATTTTGCCGTGTCAATGAGTGGAGCGGGACCACACTGTACAGGATTTGTGAAAAGCACTGACAACAACGACCACGGAAGCTACTTCTATGTAAAGATAGTGAAATGGGGGAAAGAAGGCCATTCGCCCCCCCCCCCTCCCCCTCCCTCCTCCCCCCATCAGCTCTCCTCGACCTCTAATTGAGACATGAGGCGACCCACCTCACGCTGCAGCGTTTCCACTCTGGAGCGCTCACTGTTGTGCAGATTCGCTTCAACGAGACGCGCCGTGCGCTCATGATCGGCAATGCGCTGGACTGTGGCAGCCACCTTCGCCTCTAAATCAATTGCGCGTCCATCTAGTTCGGCAACCTCCTCTCTCAGAGCCTGCCGTTCTTTTTCACGTAGAGCTTTACGTCGCTCAAAACCCTGCCGTGCATCGTCCAGCTGCTGAAGCCGCTGAAGATTGCTGTGGGCAGTGCTTTGCAGCTGCTTCGCCGATGCTGTGCGCAGCACTTCCAGTTTTTCCCTCTCATCCGATAAAGCGGCCAAATCGCCTTGCAGCGCAGATTCGGAGGACTTCAGCAGCACCTCCTCGCGACAGAGATGGTGCAGCTGCTCCATCAACGCCGTCTTCCGTCCCATCGAGGCCTCCATGTCTTGTTGAGTCTCCCTCTCCAGCAGTCGCACTGCTGCCGCCTCCACCGTGCACTTGGCATCCCACGCGTGCAGCATGCGCATGCGCTCCTGTACACGGCTCCACGTCAGCGGGGCTCGTGCTGCAGAAAGCGCCGGCTCCGAGGAAGAAGAGGAGGTACTTGGTGAAGGTGAGCGTGCACTGGGACTGGAGGGTGAAGGGGAAAGAGAAGGCTGCTTAGAGAGTGGCTTGCCAAGCACCGCCTTCTCACGCCTCATCGCGGCTTTGATGTCCGCAATGCGCTGCTGCTGAGCCGCGAGGCCAGGGCCTACACCGTGGGACATTGAACTCTGAAAGGGTGCAGTGGAAGTAGAGAGCGTCTCTGCAGCCGAAAATTGCCTGAGCAGCATTTGAGATGGAAAAACAAGAGACAAAAAGAAACGGCGAGAGGTACGTTTGTGGAAGACCCGATAGCGCGAGATACTCAAAGGAGGCGCGGCTTTTCGTTTCGTGTTCGCTTCCTAAGCCACACGTTGATGCAGCGGGCCAGGGCGAACACACACACGGACCTTTTGCATGGGGCGGAACTGTGGCGAACACGAGAGCCCCCAGAAGGCGTTCAATACGAGCAGCACAACTTCTGTGTCGCTTACCACGCTGATCACTGTTTCTGTTTTACTCAAAAATAAGCGGAGGCACACGTGGGTGCGAGCATCAGTATTATATATTTGAATGACCGAGCTGCAGCGACGGTCACAGCTGTGCAGAACGGGTAACGCAGCAAAGGTGTACAGCGCAAGACAGGCATCCACCATGCCAATGGCTAATTCGCTTTGGAGGGCGAGTCACTAAATGAGCCGGAGCGGTGCAGCTGCGATGTGTCCAGCGCGTCGTAGAAGTCTTCGTTGCTGCGGTCGCGACGAAATATGGGGAACGACAGGTTCTTCGCGGTGGTGGGCGGCATGCGCTGCTGCGCCACGAAGAGCTCCGAGTCGGAGCTCTCCATATCGGACGGCGACGACTTCGATGGCGCCAAGAACCATTTCCAGTAGACATACCCGGCAATGACGAGAATGGTGCCTACGCTCATCGTGGCTGAGATGCCGAAGAGCACGGCGACCATGACCAGAAAGGTGGAGATGGGGTAGTCCGACAGCCACCGCGCGACGCCGGTGAGCTGCACCGTGGACAGAAACACCATGCGAGACAGCTTCACCCGCGCCGCCGACGTCAGCTCCGGCAGCTGGTAGAGCGAAAAGTTCATGGCACGTAGCCGCGGCTGCAGCGTCAGTGGGGGCGTGAAGCGGTGGTACACGTCCAGCACCACCGCCACCTCGCGCGCAGGGTTGATGGGCGGAAAGGCGGCGTTGTCGCGCTGATGCAGCGAGCTCATCAGGTACTCGTACGCGCGCACCGGAGGATAAAAGCAGAGCCGCAGCGTCTTCTTGAAGAGCACAACCGCAAAGACCTGAGAGGGTGGGCCGGTGCGCATGGCGACGGACGTGCTCTTCGTGAAGAGAACATCGTACTGGTGCAGCGGCTCCATCGACTTGGCATCCTCGGAAAACAGCATGGAGGACTCGAGGATGAGGGAGACTTCGCGGCCGACGTCCTCCTTCGCCAGGACGATCTGCATCCGAGCCGTGTACTCGCCCCTCGCGTTAAACATGGCGGGGCCCATTTGAAAAAGGCTCTCGAAGTTCACGCCACCATTGGGGGAGAAGACCTCGGAGGACGCCGCCGATCGTGGAACGTACATCGTGGTGGAGGCGAGATGGCTGTTGACGAAGTAGTTGAGGAGGGAGAACTTCGTGTCCACCAGCTGTCCAATGCGCTGCTCTAGCAGGTGGGTCGGGTCGGCGGGGGTGCCCATGGAGGCGATGAGGGCCCGCGTTTCCTTGTCCGGCAAGAAGAACTCCTTCAGCGCGTTGTCCGCCGGGAGGTGCCGCTGCCAGTCGTCGCTGTGGAAGGGAAGGGCGTTGAAGTGGAGGGGGACAACGGTGGTGCCAGGCACGTTGGCGAGAACATAGCGACGCACACCCGCAGCGCCGGCCACCGACGACACAAAACACCCGGAGAGATCGGTGACGAGGACTGCGCACACCACTAAGACGACACTGCAGAATAGAAAGCCGCGCAGGACATAATAGCGGGAGGTGTCGATGATGGCGTGCACCTTGGTGCTTCCGCTCTCGTAGCTCGCCTTTGCTTTCGAGGAAACGGCCGCCTGCACCACCTGGCACTGCAGGACGCCTTCTTGGTACAGGGCCCGCACACACTCCATCGCGGCTTGGAAGGCACTCGGATTGGACGGCACCTCACCGTCAGGTTGGGCAGTCGAGTCCATCATACGTGCAGAGGCTTTACAAAAATAGCGCCGTACGCTGCAGGCGGAAAAGGAGAAGAAAAAGAAGGCAGCAAATGAAGAAAATCCCTCTTTCTCACCTCTCGCAAAAAAAAAAAAAAACGTCGTGTTAGCGGCGATAGAGGGTGGACGGATGTGGGCTGTGAGATTTCGAAAGCACGCAAATGCACGGCAGGTGAGAAGAGATGTGCAGCAGACGAATGATGTGGCAAGCGAGGAGCGCTACGCCGCGTCGCCTTCTAAGGCCGCTGTGTCCTATTGCGAAGGTGTGATCTTCGACGCTCACGTTTTCTACTTGCGATTCGGTTCACGCAGCGGGCGACGGTGCGGGCACAGACGGTGGAGGTACGAAGAGGGGAGGTGGTGGCGCAGCAAGGAGAGCGGGAAACCACGGAGCGCTGTGAAAGGGCCTCTGGGGAAGAAACAACAACAACACGCCCTTCTCTACAGAGAGCAGTGAAGATGTGCCCGCAGCTTTGCAGCGGAGCAGCGACTATTATGTCGTCATAAGTTCTTTTTTTTATTACTATTATTATTGGTGTTGGTGTGGACCGCCTCAAATGTGAATTCACACGCACACACACACACACACGTATATATATGGCAAAGCAGTGAGAGAGGCTTACTTATACAACTGCTACGCACCAGCGGCAATCAGCTCCGCCAGGTTTTGCACACGCGCCTTCGACACTCTCGCGTGCACGAGTAAGGCATAGCTGTACACGCGTAATGTGTCCGATGGAATGGTGGAGACGGCGGCCTTCCAGTGGGCCAGCATCATCTCCTTCGAAGTCAGCTCTGCTAACACATCCCGTGCGAGGAGTTCCCATGTGCGCCTTACTGGATCATCAGCGGTCGTGAAAGCAGCGTGGAAGATCGACACGCCCTCGCGATACAGTTCATGCTCCATCACAAGCAGCTGCGTTGCGAGCTCGAAGTCTTCCTCGAGCTCCCTCTCCAGAGTGAACTGCGCGGCGATGTGCGCCAGCGTCTGAAGTCGCTGCGTCCGCTTCGCCATGCGAGGCAGCAAGGCGGCCCATCGAGAGGGGAGAAGCTCAAGGTACTTTCCCTGAACTGTGCCTTCTAGGTAGCCGAGAGCCTCCTGCATGTTTGACGTTGCTGTGAGCAGAGAAAGAAGGAGATGAGAAACGCGATGCGAAGCGGAGGTGAAAGGGCAGACGGGAGAGAGCCGGAAAAGAACTGCAGCATCAACAATGAGACGAGAAAGCGCATACGAGCAGCTGGGAAAGAAAAAGCAGTGCCTACGCCGTGTTTGTCGATCACAGGCAACCAACTGACGAGCGGTTCCTATTCTACTGCGTTGAAACATCGACTGCGGTGCAGATAAGTGCGTTGTGTCCCTCTTCCCCCACGTTAACGTCTTTAATTCATGGATTTCTTAAACGAATCGCAGAGATTAAACATCAGATTCTTATTCGCATCTTCACACAACAACACCAACAAAGCGGCTTTAGACACGAGCAAACGTGCTTCCGCAACGCACGACTTACGACTGTTATTTCTTTTCGTGTTTCAGTGCTCAAGAGTCATTACCAAAAGCCACTCAGTCCGCTTATATCAATTAAAAAGGGAATTACATTAAATCAAAAGGCGCCCCTCACGACACCTTTTCATGGTGCTTACTTGCGTTTCGGCTGCCTCTTGGGAGCCCGGCGCTCGTTGCGGGCGGCTTTGGCACTCGGCGGAACGCTAATCTTACTACGCTTCGCAGTGTCCACGGCGTCCATCGCTGCCTTCGCAGCAGCTGCAGTCTTTTCCTTCTCCACGCGTGCATGCTTCAAAGAAGACTGGCTCTCACCCGCCTCTCCGTTGGCGCGATGCTTCGAAGAGGGGGCGGCCGCTGTGGGCGTCATTTCGTCATGCGCAGCCGCATCCGACGCCTTGCTGGCGTCGTTGGACATCTTCTTCAGCTTGCACACGTAGAAGCCGTCCATGTTGTGCACGTGTGGGAAGTACCGGCGGGACAGCTCCAGACTATCGTGGTAGCGGTGGTGGCGGTACTTGGTGAAGCCCGGGCGACCAAAGGGCAGGCCCATCTCCACCACCTGCACGTCCCGCCGCTTCAGCGCGAAGTCAACGATGGCCTCGTCCTCCTCAATGAGGAAGGAGCAGGTGGAGTAGATGACGTAGCCGCCCACCTTGCAGGCGTCGATGGCGCTCAGGATAAGCGCCCGCTGCAGCTGTGACGCACGCTGAATGTCCTCGTACTGCTTACTCGTCTTGATGCTCTTGTCACGGGAGATGATGCCGGTGCCGGTGCACGGTGCATCGAGTAAAACGCGATCAAAATTGCGCATGACCCGCTCGTAGTTCGTGCCGTCGTAGTTCGTGACGACGCAGTTCGTCACGCCAAGGCGCTGCAGGTTGGCGTTGAGGGATTTGCAGCGCGGCTCGCTGACATCGTTCGCGAAGAGCACGCCGGTGTTCTTCATCAACTGCGCAATGTACGTCGTCTTACCGCCAGGCGCGGCGGACATGTCCAGCACGCGTTCGTGCTCCTGCGGAGCGAGAGCCATGACCGGCAGGAACGACGCGGCGGCCTGCAGCATGTACTGGCCAGCTAGGTACTCAATCGTGCCCGCAATCGGCACGTTCGACTCGAAGACCTGCAGGCCCACCTTCGACCACTTCTCCAGCGGCTCGATGTTCATGCCGCGCTTCACGAGGGCCTGGACGAGGTCGCGGCGTTTCGCCTTGAGCGTGTTGACGCGAATCGTGGTGGGCCGCGTCTTCTCCATCGCCTCCAGAAAGTCCACCGCCTCTGCCGGTGGGAACAGCAGCAAAATGGCGTCCATGAGGAACTCGTTGTACTCGTACAGCTCCAGCAGATCGGAGCGGAGCAGCTCCACGTACTCGGTGCGCGTGCGGTCTTCCTCGCGCTCCTCCTTGAAGTTCGAGAGGACGCGAACGGTCTCCTGAATGCGGTCACGCAGCTCCTCCGCGGTGTGCGTCTGCCCCAGCAGCTGAATCGCGCCTGCGTCTCCGTCCTCGCCCGGTGCGCTCTCCCGCTGCTGTTGCTGCTGCATCTCGCGGTCGTGCAGCGGGGTGGGCTTGGCGGTGCGCGTCGCGATGTCCTCCTTCTGCTCCGCATCGGCCAGTTGACGCTGGGCCAGCATGCGGCGGCGGTATTTCTCTGCCTTCACCTCGAAGTCATCGTCGTCCTGGATATCCGCGTCGAAGTCCTCTTCGTCCTCGCCGTCCTCGTCATCCATCACGTCGTCGAAGTCGATGTCTTCCTCCTCCTCCTCTTTTGAGCCGGCGTCGAAGTCGTTGACGCCGCCATCTTCGCTCTCATCATCGAAGCCGCTGCTGTGGTCCATCACGTCCTCCGAACTCTCTTCTTCCTCCTCCTCCTCGCGGCGGAGACGCGTCGTCGCTGTCTTCTTCGTTTTGACCACCTCGCGAGCCTTCTCGGGCACTGCAGCTGCGGACACCTTCTTTGCTTTCTTGACCTCAGGGGCGGCGGCTCTCTTCGGCGCCACTGCGACCGCCTTCTTGACGGCCTTGATTGAATTGACCGCCTTGACCATCGCGTGGTGGGAGTGTGTGTGTGTGTGGAAGGGATTTCTCAACGGTGTTCTACTTCACGGGGACGTGTTGTTTTATCGGATCGTGAATGGAAGGCGCGTGCGAGTGGGAGGGAGAAGGAAAGAGGAACAGCAGAGAGGCGGTGAAGGCAAAAGATGGACACGTGAACGGCGGCGAGCGGGCAAGGGAGAAAACAAATGCACATCACACGCCTCCAACATGATACATTTTCGTACACGCACGGAAGTGCATGAACTGGACAGCACATGCGTGTGTGAGTTGGCAACGACGGCAACGGCGACGGCGTCTATAAACTCACGAAATCAAACACAACAACGGCAGACAAAAGAAAGCAAAGAGCTCACACAGCAATATGAGGCCCCAGCTGCTGCTGTCTGCGTTGCCGGCGTGGAGCGAAAAGAAGAAGGTAATATCACACATCATGTGCGCGTTTCCCTTTTGTTTTTGGAACAGTTAAATTAGAGAACCACCGTTATTCGATTATAACTTTAAGTGAGTCAGGCTGCCAACGCACCGAGGGGTGGCGCTCGCACCGCTCACTCGGACACATCATCGTCCTCCAATTATTTTAGCGCCCCCCACCCCCTTCGTCCAACTCGGTCATCCCCATAAGGACCTCTTAGGACGACCGCGTCACAGCACATGAACAGGCTCTTAGATCGCTTAGTAGAGCTCTTCCTGGCTAAGCGCAAAGGACTTCGTCTTGTTGTCCTTGCCGCAGCTGGCGATGATGGACTGGCCGACGTAGGTAACGTCGAGCACGCCGTCCGTGTGCATCGTATCCAGCGTGAGCAGTGCCGTGTTGGTGGAGCGGAGGTCGTACACTCGCACTGTCGCATCCTCGCTCGCCATGGCAAAGAGACTGCCACCGCTGTGCTCGGCGTTGCCCTCCTGCACGTCCCACAGCCAGGCGACGCTGTAGAGCCACTGCCGCGGCCCGCTGAAGGTTTTCACCACCTCCTTCTGCCGCGTGTCGTAAAGGCGAGCGCGATTGTCGGTGCAGGCGGAGAGGATGAGGTCGGCCCCCGCGCTGCCCTCCGCCGGCTTCACGGCGAGACGGTTGATGGGGTGGTCGCCCTTGTGCCGGGACTGCAGCTGGGCTTCCTCCGAGTCGAGGCACGTGATGTGGCCGTCCAGGCCGGCGGAGTAGAGCCGCGCCGCCCCAAACGCGGCGGAGAAGCGGCTGCACAGCACCGCACGGCTGTGGTCCGTGAAGGTCACGAGCGGCGCTTTCGTGGACGGCACGGTGTCGCCCTCCATCATCTGAGACCAGTTGAAGATCTTCACGGTGGTGTCCCACGAGGCCGTCGCCACCAGTTTCCCCTCGCCAGGCGAGATGGCCACCGAGTCGACGCCGTCGGTGTGCGCCTGGATGGAGCCGAGGAGCTGCATGCGGCTGTCGGCGCTGTCCAGCTGCCACGCGGCGATGCTGCCGTCCTTGCTGGCGCTGGCAAAGACAAAGTCGCCGTCGAGGCGGGTGCGCTTGCGATTAGCCTTCTGTCCGCTGTTGCTGCTCGCCGACGGCGCCACCGGGTGGAGAGCGATCTCCTTGACCGCCTCCTTGTGAAAGGAGCCGAGGGCAACGCAGTTCTCGCCGTCCCACAGCCGCACGCAGTGGTCGTAGGCGCCGGTCAGGAGGAGCTCCGCGTTTCCCAGGTAGGGTGCACGCACGGTGCTCACCCAGTCGTCGTGGGGCAGCAGACTCCCCTCCTTCGCCTGCAGGGCCGGCGTGTACTCGATGCTCAGCAACTCCTCGTAGCTGATGCCGCGGCGCTGAAGGAAGCGGAGCAGCGTCGTGCCAATGTACTCGTCCTTGTACAGAAAGTCAAAGTTCTGTGTCTCCACTCCCAGCACGCTCTGCACAAGCTGGTTGAGTCCGTCCGGCAGCACGTTGAGGGGAACGGAAAAGGTCTGCTCCGGCATCGCTTTGGAGTAGGTGGTAGTGAAGAAAGTGACCATGGCGTTGCCACCCGTACCGGCGGCAGCGGAGTCCACCGCATTGTGGATGCCCCGGTTCGACGAAGAGCCGACGCTCGTCATTGATTAAGGAAAGAAGAGTAGATTCGGCGTAGTACTACAATCGCTATAAAAATTGAGCGGGCCTGTGGCTCAAGAAGGCAGACGCAGCAGACAGGAGCGAACACGTTCAGCTGCCAGTTGAAAGAAAACAGAAGGGAAAAAGAGAAGTGTAAAAGAGCGAAGCTGAAAGAGAGGAGCCACAGCCGATAGAGGGTGCAGGCGCATTGGCTCGCTTTCTCATGGGACAGGCAGATTTTGTTGGGCAGTGCATGAACCACAGTGTCGTAGTGAGAACAAATAGAAGCCATAAAAGCGTCAGGCAGTGCGCCTGGTTCAACAGCACTACCTTCGCATATACTTCCGATAATATGTATATTTTTAGTTCAGTTCGACGCGAAGGTGAGCAAACGGGGTGAAGAAGTGTCGAGCGCCGAAACCATGTCCTTTCAGCCAAAGTTTTAGTCAGCTGCAAGCCCACAGGAATAATTAAAAGCAGCCCTTGAGGCGTGCGACTACCGTAACAAAACAGCAGCAACAGCACTGCACGGCCGTCAGCTCTCATTCGGCTTGACACGCCGCTCTTCTGTCTCCTTCGGGGGCGCGAGAGAGGTGTTCGACAGCACAATTAAAAGCGCAACAAAGAAGAAGAAGAGCAGCAGGGACCAAATGGCAATGTCACCACTGCGCCAGCTCCATTTGCGACCAAAGGCCATCTTTGGTGTGCGTCAATTCCGTTGATGCGATCGTTTGCTATTGCACTGTAACGAATTCTGGTTGGTTCTTTGATGCGGCCGTAGTCGCCGACTCTCTCGGTGATCTCTCGTGATCGTTCACTGTGCGAGTGTGGGGATACACCTCAGGAGTAAGACGGAGGTGCTACAAGGAGACAGGGAAGTTAGTTGGCGCGGATGCTCCGAGGCAGTGTGAAGCAGTGTGAGGCGTGTGCACTGTAACAGGAGGCGCGGAACACAAAAGGCGGAGGAGAGTGGAGGAAAGTAACGAATGAGGAAGTAAAACGGAAAAAACGAAGAGAGAAGAGGCAGCGAGGTACAGGAAAGCGCTCCGCCTGCGTTCGCCAAGAGGGAAGGACGCCCCCCTTCATTATCGTGCCGTTTGGGCTTGGAGTGTGTTTTCGTCCGGTGATGAGACTCGTGACGCAGCTGCTCTGGAAGAGTCATTGGGGTTTTAGATGCTGTTCCTTTTTTGTTGTTGTTGTTGAGTATCGAAAGAGCGGACAACCGCTAAATATCATAGCAGAGGGCAACAGCAGTGGCTGACAAGAGAGTCGCATCCAAAGAAGGCCTCCACGACGGTGAGGTTGGATGCGCGGCGGGGGCCGATACACTACTCAGCGGGCCCGGTGTTTTCCTGGGTGCTCGCGGCAACGGCGACGCAAAGAAAAGATACGTTGGATTGTGCTGGTGGGGTGGAGTAAAACCGGTAAGTACAACGGCACACTCGCGCTGGCGTGCGCCGTTGTACTCAGCGGGGAGCGTCGCGCTCGGACGCCCTTGCAGGTGTTCTGAGGCGAGCGCGCGAAGAGTCTCGCTGCTGTACTCGCGCAGGCGCATCCAGCAGAGTAGTGTGGTCTGATCCGTGTCGAACACAAACGGGCGCTCGAACAGAAACGTGTCTTTTCCGTAAAAAAGCCCTTTCTGTACGTCCGTGGGAGCAGCAGAGGGGATACGGTTTGTCGAAAGGACAGTGACCTCCACAATGGCATCCACGAGAGGGGCGCCGGCCAAGTCGAGCTCAAGCGTACGCCTCGTTGGGTGGTAGCGCGCCAGTAGACGCGGTGCTTCCATCTTCGACGCTGTTCTTCTGTCTGTCTGTCTGGTGTGTCTAAGATTGTGTTCTACACAATGATCAACAACAAGGAGGGAGGGGGGGGGAGAGAGAGAGAGAGAGATGCGAGGAAGGAGACATAGGGGAAAAGTGCAGTTTGTTCTCAGCAGTTGCCTCTGCGAGAGAAGAGAAGGCGTACGTCCTTTTGCGGATCCGCTACAAAAGACGTGCCGCCGCTTCGCCATCCGCGCAGTGAAGCGCACATCGCATTAACTTATCTCTCCTTGGCTGTACAGCGTTGAACTGAGGACGCTCTCACCGCAACGATGCAGCAGCCCTTATTTTACGGGGATACGAAAAGAATTTAAGTTCACGGTAGCTGCCAACGCCCTCGCAACGGAATAGACACTCCACACCACACGTCACACCCTCGCAGTCACCTGCGCCGTCTCCTCAACTCTTCAAGTACTCTTCGGTCAGCAGAAAGCACAGGCCAAGGTCCTTGTCCAGCGCGCACCCATTCACCAGCAACGTCAGCCGGTCAGCGGACGACGACTCCACCAACACAAAGCCCATCACGGCGCTCTGTCGAATCGCCCGCTCGAACGCGCTGTACGGCAGCCGATGCAATTCACCGTCCGCGCTGCGCTCGTACTCGGTGGCGGTGCTCACGGCGAGGAGGCGGTCCTTCAAGTTCACGTCCTTCAGCGTGACGAAGGAGACGGCGGCGGTGTCCGTCTTCTGCCGGCCCGCCTCCTCGGAGTCCATCATGGGCAGGAGGGTGGACATGGCGTCGAGGGCGGCCGCACCGACCGTCGCCACCCGCACCTCCGAGGCCTCCAGCGTCACCAGCGTCGGCTTCACCGGCGAGGACGGGGTCCCGAAGAAGTACTGCAGCCACCGCTGCCGCTTCACGAGGGGCAGCGGGATCTGTCGCACGAGCTCCACCGCGTCCATCAGAAAGAGCCGGAAGTGCTGCCCGCCCCCGCAGCTCACCTCGGGCGGCACGGACCAGCGAGGGTCGAGCATCGCCTGCACAATATCCATCGTCCCCTCCCCGCCGTAGCGCTCCCACGCACGCTGGACGAGCTTCCACCGCAGCCAGGCGCTGCCCACGACGCAGACGTGGTCGATGTCCGCCGCAACGACGGTGTCCAGCAGCGTATCGAGGGGGTTGACTTGCGTCCGGTCACTGCCAGGGGAAGTCCCCCCGGCACCAGCGGGGGAAGACGAGAGGGAGGCTGGGTCTCCCCCCGCACCCGCTGCCTCCTCGGCCTGTGCCACCACATTCGGGTCCACCACACCGTAGTCGAAGAAGAGGCCACCAACCCGGCAGCGCTCACCACGCGCCATCTTCTCCAACCCGCGCGGGAGCAGCTGCTGCAGCCAGTGCAGGTAGAGACGCGGGTTGCTGCTGCGGGTCTGCCCCACCAGCACGTGCAATGCCGGCGTGAAGTTCATCTCCTCCTCCACGTCGGTGCAGTACTGCAGGTTGTACAGTCCGATGCACCCGGGGTACGTGAAGGCAGGGCTATCCAGCACCCCGTCCACCAGTAGCGGGTGATAGCCGAGACGCACCGCAAAGTTCGCAAGCCAGCGGACGTACGTGCTGAGGCCGCAGTGGTGGCGATCGCTGACGAAGAGCACGCGCGGCCCGACGTCGACGCGGCTGCGCGCTTCCACCCGCGCCCGCTCCAGGTGGGAGTGGAGGTCCAGCAGCGAGCGCACCCACGTCGTGCCGAGCGCGGTGGCGTAGCACCGCTGCAGCACGCTGGGCGGTGCCAGGACAGTCAGGGTGCACCCTGTCGAGGTGAAGATGCTGAGGGACCGACCGGGCGGCAGTTGCACCGGCACGCCAGGGAGCAACTCCGTGCCAAAGACTTCGGCGCGTGCGACGGTGGCGGTGCCCTCCTCGTCGGCGGTTTTGCGAAGGGTGACTTTCGTTAGCTGCGTGCTGAAGAGGGAGGTGATGAGGCGCAGCTCGCAGAAGAAGCCCAGCACAAAGTCACGCTCCAACGAGGCCATCACTCTACCTTCTAGCTGTTGTTGCGCGTCTGTGTGGCTGTGTGGGTGCTTGCGTGTACCTGGGTAGCAGAAAGAGAGGAAGGATTAGAACAGAAAGGTTCAAGAGAGGAAGGGGGACGCGGGAGTGCTACGTGAAACGGCAAAGCAAAGCACACGTCTGGGTCTCCATGATACAGAGCAGAGATAATACCTTTCCAAAACACGTCATGGCCTTCCGCCCATCTCACAGCACCCCCTTCAACGGTGATGAGCTACCGTTATTCAACGGCATCACCACAGAGAAAAAAAAACTGAAGTCTTTAGTTATTATGTAGATGCAAAAATTCGTTGCACATCCGCGTGCGCCCTCAAAGCCGCCTCGGCTGGCACGAGAAACCACCACCACATCAGCACGGCAACTCACAACTACAAGAGAGCAGACCTGTCATCACCGCCGCACGTTGGCTGGAGTCTCTACAATCCAGCTATTGTGGCCCGTCGGCAAGGACGGCCTCGGCGCCTCGGGCTGCCGCACCAACTGCTCCTCTACCTCCCCGTGCTCGTTCACCGTCGACCGGCGAAGAAGGTGCGCCTCCTGCAGCACCTGCGCCACCGCCAGCAACACGTCCGTGTCGCCCTGCAACATGGACCGTGCCCGCTCCCGCTCGACCGGGTCATCCATCTGACGCCGCAGCTCCCGGATAATGCTGTAGACCTCCGTGGTGGCGATGCCGTGCACCTTTGGCGGGGCGTGCACGGGTGGGAGGGGCGGCAGCGGGTACACCTCGATTTGTTGCTCCTCCTCCTCCTCCTCTTCGTCCTCTTCCTCCTCATCGTCGGTCATTTCTTCATCGTCCTCCTCGTCCGCATCCATGTCGACGTCAGCGGTGGAGGCGGCCTCTTCCTCCTCGTCTCTCTCTTCATCGTTGTCGCCGGCCCCTGCCCCCTCCATCTCGAGGTCATCCGTCGCCGTGGCGTCTCCCTCGTCGTACTCCGCGTCGGCGTGTGCTTCGCCATGGTGCCCCGCCACGCCTTCCTCCTGCGGCACCGATGGATGCGGCTCTGCGGCTTCGTGGCCCGCCGTATCCATTTTGCAAAGCTAAGAAGGAGGTAGAAGAGGATCGTTGTCTTGTTTGCTTATTTCGTCAGTGCGCGCGTGTGGTGTGTCGAAGAAGACGCGACTGTTTACGGATGTGTGAGGGAATGCGCGTGATGCTGCGCTGCACGGTGCACGAAGAAAGGAAAAGAAGGGAAAACGCTACGCGGATCTTCTAGGCTTCTTCTCTCCTATTGGCAATGGCTTGACAGAGGAGAGGAGACGAGACGAGACGAAAAGTGCAGCGGGAGAAAGTTGGTAAGAGTGATGAGAAGACATATTGGGAATGCAGAAGAAGGCCGCACCACCCCCTTTCGACATCATTTACGAAAATAACCCACGGAGGCGAAATGGAAGAGTACTGGCGCTTCGCTTCTACGGTGGCCAATGACAGCCGTGCTTGTGAAAACAGCGACCGTCGCGTTGCGTCTCACTACGACTATAGCAATTCTCCTTTCATGCGTTCTAACAGAAGCGTACAGTGTACAGCAAAGGGGAAAAGAGGGAAAAAACTATGTACATCAACAGTGTCCTTTCCGACGCTCTCTAGAGAGGAACGGAGACACGCAGAACTTAGAATTTACATCCGCTGCAAACAACAGAAGAAAGGCACAACGTCAAAGAGCTGCCGCCGTGGTTGCAAAGAGATGCTCGCGGTGAAGCCTCAACTTGCTGGGGTGGAGGTGTGCAGCGGCACGTGGTGAGCCGTCAGCAAGTCCTTCACCACGTTGTACACCTCCTCACCGGCCCCCCGCGAGACATTGAGCAGCTGCGACACGGCGCTGTCCAACCTCTCCCGAGTGCAGACGAGGTCGATGTCCCGCACGATCGCCTCATTCACGTGTGCCTTGGCCTTCTCAATCGCCTGATCGTAGCGCACCGCCGTCTCGCGCAGCGTCAGCACGTCCTCCATGACCGCCTCGTGTTCCTGTAGCAGCTGCTGCTGCGTTCGGCTGACTCGCTCGTGCTCGAACTGAAGAGACCGCAGTTCATCCTTTTTGTTGAGGGCGGTGGCGCTGAAGTCATTCGCCTCCAACGCGCGGCGGCTCATCACGCTCTTCAGCTCCTTAAACTTCGCCTTCAGCGCTTTCTGTGTCTGCACCTCCTCGTCCCTGTCGCACACCTTGTCGAATTTGTGCTTGTACTGCGAGTTGCTCGCCTTGATGACGGCGATCGTCTTTTCCAGCTTCAGCATCTCCTTCTCCATGCGCCGAATGCGCGCGTCCAGCGAGTCGCCGCGGTACTGCAGCTCCTCCCGCTCCTTCGCAGCGGCGATGACGAGTTGCGCCTGCGACAGCCGCGCCTGCGCCGGGTCCATGCGGCCGACGAGCACCTCCTGCCGATTCTTCACCGCCGTTAAGTTCTTCTTGCGGTCCAGCAGCTCCGTGACGAGGCGCTTGCGCTCCTCCTCGGCCATCTTGCACTCCATCCGCAGCAGCCGCTGGTGCACGTCGATCTCTGCCTCGCGCTCCGCAACGTCCGCCTCCAGCTGGCGCTTGCGCTCCTCCAGCGTCAGCAGCTCCGCGTCTCTGGCACGCAGGGCGGCGCGCAGACGGCGCAGCTGCAGCTCCTGCGTGTCCACCTTAATGAGGAGATCCTCGCGCTGCTTCTCCATCACCTTACTCTCCTGATCCGTGTGGGTGCAGAAGAGCTCTGTCTCTAAAACCTCCTCGAGGGTGCGCTTCCGAGACACCTCAAGTCGCTCGATGGCCAGGGCGGCCTGGCGCATTTCGTCGCGGACGCGCTTCACTTGGCTCTGTAGCGTGCGGTGCTGCTTTTCCAGCTCATCGAGGGTGCTCTGGAGCAGGTTGATCTTGTCGTGCAGCTCCTTGCGCTCCTCCTCGGTGCGCTCACCTTTGGCACGGCTGACCTTCTTCTCCATCTGCTGCACGTTGAACTCCACGCTGTACAGCACCCCCTGTTGGGAGAAGGATTCCTGGTCGAGCTGATTGATCTTGGCGTTGTAGTTCTTGCCCTGCGCCTGCGCGCCGTTGATCTCGCCGAGAGCGGACGTCTGCGCCGCCCGCACCTCGCTCAGCTCCTGGTTCGCCTTGAACTTCACATTCTTGAGCTGATTGATGTCCTTCTCGACGCTGAGGTGGGTCTTCTGCGCGTCCTTTAGAAGCTGAGCAATGAACTGCGCCTGCTGCTGCATGTCGTTCGCCGCCGCACCCTCGTCTTTCAGCCGCTGCGCCGCTTCGCCCCTCCTCTCCTCCGTTCGTGTGAGTTCGTTCTTGCGGCGCACGATTTCGGCGATCGTGTCTTCCAGCCGCAGCGCCATGGCCTTCTTGTCGCGCGTGGCCCGTGCGACCTCCTCGCGCAGCGCACTCACCTCGTCCTGTAGCGTCTGAAGTTGCTGGGTGAGAACCGGCACCGCCTCTTGGTACTCATGCGAGGTTTTCTCCCGCTCCGTGATGGTGTAGTTGATGACGTCCAGCTCCTCCTTCGCCTCGTCCAACTCGGCCTCGAGTGACTTCTTGTACTGCTGACGCTGCTGGAGCCAGGCTACGCCCTCGGCGTACTGCTCTGCCGCTACACGAATCGCCTCGTCGCGCTCCGTGATGGTGCGCACCACCATCTCCCACTCGTCCAGCATGTTGCCGCGATCGTCGTGCAGCTTGCGGTACTCGCTCGCCACGCGGTCTAGTTCAGTCTGCACGTGCTGGGTGGCGAGCACCTCGTCGTCCAACTCCCGACGCTGCTTCCGCACCGTCCCCTCGAGCTTTTCGATGCGCTGCGTCAGCTGCTTCACTTTTGCCTCGTCCTGCTTCGAGTAGTGGGCGATGGCCAGCTCGTCCTCCTCCTTCTGCCGCCGTGCCTCGTCCCACTGCTCCAACTCCTCTTGGTTGTAGTCCATGGTGCTCTTCAGCTCCTCAATCTTTAGGTTGCCGTGGAAGATGCGGTCCTGCACGGAGGTGAGGCGGTCGCGGACGTCTTCGGCCTCGCGGTCGAGTTGCGCCTGGCGCTGCCGCAGTCGCGCACACTCCCGCTCCATCACACGGCACATGTTGTCCTCCGACTCCACCTCGCGCCGCTTGTTCTCGGACAGGCTCTGCGTGTTGACGATCTCCGCACGGACGTTGCTTAAGTGTTCCTTCATGAACTGCAGCCGCCGCCGCTGGTCCTCCACGCCGCTTTGGCGCTCCTCCAGCTGCTGCTCGCAGCGTGTGAGCTGGGCGGTGAGTTCCTTGTTTGTGTTGTTTAGCATCTCCAGCGGCAGCGCCTCCGCCGTCGCATCCACCACGTCGAGGTTCATGGCAGCGATGCGATCCGTGAATGATAAAACAAAAAGAAACTATCAGCTTCGATGCTGGTGTGGCGCCACACACTGTAAAAAGCATCGAGAAAAGATGGGAAGAAAAGAGGAGAGAAGCAAGACGAGAGAGCGGTGGGCGAGGAGCAGAGGACATCCGAAGTTCCGCCTAACAGCCGTTTTCACCGGTGGGGCAGCACGGCGGCCCTGTGTGCGATGCAGCCGGCAAATAAAGTCAGCTTTTAGACAAGTGGGCATGGAAGTGGGGTTTGTAACGCGAAGAAGGACAATCGAAGCAAGAACAGTTGACTCAAACAAGCGATAATCGTTGGCCGTCGTCGCCCGCCAACACCAAGCAATAAGCTACAGAAGCAAACTATCATGCCCCAGATTACGTTACAACGATACCAGACCGCATCGGTTATTTACACCCTTTGCGCGTGGATAAAATTTTGATGTCTGCGCCTCCCGTCCTCGGGGAACCCCTGAGAGCCGTGAACGACGCCGGAGGCAACTGGCAGGCTGACCCATCTCTTCACTTTGCGGCCTCAACGTGCAGGAGTCCGGCGTCGCGCAGGGTCTCCACCAACAGCAGCTGGTTCTCTGCAACGTCCTCAGGGTCGTCGAAGCCGGGGAAGGGCAGCGCCTCCACTGCCGTCAGTTTTGGGTAGCTGGAGATGAGCGTGGCGATGGCCGGTGCGAAGTCCGCCTCAAAGCGCAGCTCATCCAACTCGCCAGCGAGGCACACACGCGAGTTCAGTCCAATGTGATAGATGCGCGCCTCACCCGGAACGTTCAGCATCATGCGCAGACAGTTGCGTGAGATGAGGCGCACGCGTGAGCCGTGGTCTACCGCGGCATCTGCCGGCGCCGCTCCGCTGTAAAGCGTCGACGGTGGCTGCATCTTCTGTACGGTGTCCTTCGCGTAGACGTCGGTGCAGACGTCCATGTGGGCCTCATCGGTCACAAGGAGGGTGAGCTCGGCTGCCAACTCACGCACCTTCGCCTGCAGGTGGCTGCGGCGCAGCTGCTGCTTCTCGGTGAGCGCCTCGACCCCGTCGGACTGGCGAAAGATCGGGTGGTGCATCTCCCCCAGCACTTCTATCATCTCACGCGGCAGGGCACGGCGCCACTCGATGCTGTTGGCGGCGAGTGTCTCGATGGTGTAGTGCGCGGCGCGGCCCATGAAGTCGGCCCAGGAGTTCATCTGATTCGCTGAAAAGGTGATGTGGAGCGAGTGGGTGTGGGGGGTGGTCCTGCCCTGGTGCACCATCCCTCGCGGCATGTACAGGACGTCGCCTGCCTTCAACGTAATGGCGTACTTGGGCTTCGGGAACTGCTCCGGCACGTAGTCCTCGCTGGAGTGGCGGGACAGGTAGTCGACGTCCTCTGGGGGGTCGTAGAGGTACCACATCTTCTCACCTTCCATCTGCAGCAGGAAGACGTCCACGTCATCGTAGTGCGGCGCGAAGCCCTGGCTGGAGGCCGGCGTCCAGTAACTGTTCACGCCGCAGTAACAGTTGAACTCCTTCTCCATGCAGGCCACAAAAGCGGAGTTGCACTCGACGTGCTCGTTGGGCCGCAGAAATCGTACTGACCAGCCCTCCTGCATGCACCTCTGGAGCTCCGCTGGATCCACTGGACCCGCTGTCTTATAGGGGACGCGCTTCTTCAGCTTTGGGTCGAAGCGGACAACGTTGAGGTCGGTGCCGTAGCTCATCGGGTGCTCCGTGACCAGCTGCAGCATGCGCGTCGTTGACCAGTCCACCGGTGGCACCACGCCGGGCAGGCCCTTCTCAAAGTAGGCTGGTGAGCCGTGCGAGGCCACGAGGTGCTCCTTTTCAAAGTACTTGTCAAAAAACACCTCGCGCGACGTGTTGAGCAGCCAAGAGAAGAAGTTGGGGCTTTTGCCGATGGTGGGGAGGGCACCAGCGGCAACCGCTTCGGTGGTAACGTGCGGGGCTGACGCCGCCCCCGCCTTGCTCTTCTTTCGCTTCGCCAGCGTTGTTGCCTGCGCGGCCGAGGACGGCGTCTCTCGCGGACGCTTCTCTGACTTGCCGTTCTTGCCGACGTGTTCCTTCGCCATGTGTGCGTGTGCGTAGGTGCGAAGGAGGAGCTGTGATGGAGCCAAAATGGCACTGGAAGTACCCACAGAAGAGCCGACACCGTTGAAAGCAGTAAAAACAAAGAAACCGGGGAGGCAAAACAAAAGGGGCGACGCAAAGGGGTAACTTCAAAACGGTGTTCTCCTGTTCGAGCAAACCGGATATGCTGGAGGGAGACCGCGTCAAGGATACCGCGCTTCCTTGTTGTTGTTGATCATCCATCATAGGAGTTCGTATGCCTTCTTTGGGTGTCAACAGCTAGAAATGACTACAAAACGCCCAGTAGCACCTGCCGGGAAGCGCAGCGACATCGGTGCTTTGCGGACCTCTTTACCTGCTCCGTTTGAGAGTTGCAGAGATCGTCCACTGTTAATAAAAACCCGAGTATTCCAAACGCAGTACCGCCCTCCACCGGTCGTGTTCGGCAAAAAAAAAAAACGTTCTCGCCGGGAAAGCCAACTTTAAACCAACCACAAAGGAAAGAGGAGCAAAACACGAGTTAGGTGCAATGCGACGCCAAAGGCCATTCAAGTTCAAGCCCCTCAGATACGCAGCCCAATAAGGCACGGAGGCCACCACCACCAACAACAACAATTTAACTTACGTGAAGGTCCAACACTGTCAGGAGTACACCCCGTCTCTTGCATCTCTTTTCTTGCCACCACGAAGCAGCAGGGCGTTCCGGGACCTCATCCCTCTCCTCCTCTCATCCGTTTCTTTTTTCTTCTTCTTAAGCTGATGGTGCGGGAAGAGCGAAGGAGAGAAGGGACACCACATCCAAGTCGTCCTCGTCGTGTTCCACCTCATCCGCAGTCATGTCCTCCAGGTTGTTGAAGATGGACACCAGTGCCGTGATCACCTCGCGCTGCAGGTCCGTCAGCGAGTTCAGCGAGTAGCTGGCGAGCAGCGTGTTGAAGTCGTCCTCGTACAGAAGGCGGTTCGCGTGGGTCAGGCGCAGCACCTCGCAGATGGCCGACAGCTTGCGGCGGAACTCGAGCACGATGAAGCCCGCCACCTCGTCCACCTCGACATAGCGTTCCTTGCCGCCGTAGGAGAGCGCGAAGACGTGGAAGGTGCCGTCGTCGTCGCTGAAGGTGGCGTAGTGCACCCTCTGCGAGAAGAGCAGCAGCGACATCCAGAACTGCTTCGGCGAGGCGATGGCCGTCGAGAAGCTGGCGAGCAGCTTGTCAAAGAGCAGGTTCAACTGCGTCGGGATGATGATGTCGCCCTCCTGCCAGCGCAGGCAGCTCGGGGAGTGGATGTCCGGCACGGCGGTCAGGTCGCTGAAGAGGCCCAGCGCCATCTCCTTCGAGTTCGTGTAGGCGTTGCCCTCGCTCGTCACCTCCAGCGACTGCGCAACGAAGGCGACGTTCGTCATGACGGCCACCATCGACGCCAGCTTGTCCAGCTGCTCGAGCAGCTTCTCGGCCTCGACGATGTTGCGGAACGGCATGAACTCGGCCAGCTCGTACTTGATGTGACTCTCCAGGTCTACAATGGCGAGCAGCTTGTCGTAGCTGAGGTGCTTCTGCAGGCACCACTGGCGCAGGGCCTGCGTGTTGTCGCCCATGCGCTGCACCTCCACCCGGAAGAGCAGCGTCGCCTTCATGACAGCCACGATGTCGCTGCGCAGCCCGCAGCACATGTCTCGCATGACGTTCTCCGTCTCCTCCATCGCACGGGCGACGTTGAAGTGGCGCTGCCTGCCCTCGCTGGAGTTGATGCTGAAGGGCGAGAGGCTGCTCGTGACGGCCGCGGCGAGAATCATAAGCGACTCCAAGCCAGTCAGGAAGCCGAAGAAGACGAGCATGCCGGGCTGCGGCGAGACGGGGATGAGCTGCAAAATGCGTCCAATGAAGGTGTACTGGTACTCTGGGATGTCGGCCATCACCTCCGCCCGCGCTGCCTCCATGATCATGCGGCTCCACGACTCGTTTCGGTGGTTGTAGATCTCCTCCACCCGCTCGCCGGCCGAGAGGGGGTCCTTCGTGTCGAGGATGCAGCCGAGCTGTGTGAGGGTGTTCATGGAGGACGCAATCGTCTCCGCCAGCGGCTGGCCGTGGCACAGACTGAAGATGGCGACGGGGTTGCTCACGACCTGCAGGCAGTGCAGGGAGAGCTCGTCGATGCGGGAGTTCTCGATCGGCGGCTGCGAGAAGGGCGGCAGGTCCATCACCTGCGAGGCGGGGAAGAGGCAGAAGTAGAAGCCCTGCTGCACCCGGCCGATGCGGCCACGGCGCTGCGCCACGCTGCCACGCGAGATCCACTGCGTCACCAGCGGTGGGTACTGAATCGATGCCGGCGACTCCTTCGAGATCTTCGGTCGCTTCACCAGCACGAGGTCTACCACGTACACAACGTCCGGCAGGGTGATGGAGACCTCTGCGATGTCGGTGGCGAGGTACACCTTCTGCTTGCCGGGGAGGTGGCGTTGCATGGCGGCCTCGATCTCGCTGAGCTCGACGGCGCTGTGCCACGGCACGGCATCCACGCGGTGCGCCAGCTGAGTGCGCAGCCACGTGTTCATGCTTTCCACCTGTGCCCGGCCGGGCAGGAACACGAGGATGGAGTGCACCGGGTTGGAGCAGCTGTTCAGGAAGAGAATGAGGTTCTGCGCAAGGTAGAAGTGCTTGTCCATCGTGTCCTTGTCCACGACGTGGCGGGAGAGGAGGTTTGGCGGGGCCTGGTAGTCCGTGCCGAGCAGCGTGCAGGTCTCCTCCAGAAAGTAGTCGTGGATGGGGTGCTCCGGCTCGCTCTGCTTGTAGGTGGCCACCTTCAGCCCCGCAAAGTACTCCTCCCAATCTTCCGTATTGAGGGTGGCACTCATCAGGACGAGCTTAAACGGGGACGTCTTCTTGAGCAGCGCAAGACGCAGCAGGGCTACCGTCACCTCGAGGTCCGGCTGGCGCTCGTGGAACTCATCCAGCACGACGTGCGTGAAGGGCAGCTCCGCCGGGTTACCCAGAATGCGTAGCAGCAGCGTGTAACTGGTCATGTACCACAGCCGCGTCTGCTCGTCGCCCTTCTTGTCGCCGCGAATCCAGTACCCGACGTCCTCGCCGACCTGCTCGCGGCGGAGGCTGGCGACGCGGTTGGCAATGGCGACGGTGGCCGTGCGCCGTGGCTGAGTGCTCACCACCCGCGTCTCGGAGGAGAGCTCGAGCAGCGCCTTGGGCACCCCTGTACTCTTGCCGCTGCCCGTATCGGTGCAGATGAAGACGACGTCGTGCTGATCGATGAGGTCGAGAATGACCGGCATGTCCAGCCGCTCCGTCACCGGGTGGTCCAGCAGCAGCGTTTGCTGCCGGCTGTACTTGTCGAAGAAGTCGGCCTGCGAGACCTGCATCGCCGCCTGCAGCTCCTGCATCGACTCGAAGCGCTTTTTGTAGGCCGCATCGGTGCGCATCGCCTCCTCGTGGGTGCGGCGGACCTCCGCCTCCTCCTTCTCCATCCGCTGCTGCAGGCGCGCTGCACGACCCTCATCCCGACGGCGACCACGCACGCGCCGCGGTGGTGGTGGCGGCGGCGGCGGGGGAGGCGGGGGAGCACCAGCGGCGACGTCCGCTTTGGCTGAAGTCGGCTCCGGCATTGGTGGCGGAGGCGGAGGAGGCGGGGACGTCTTTCTTGAGACATGCGCCGGGGCGTCGGGAGGCGATGCATCCGCCTTCTTGGCAGCCACCTCTGTCTTTGGTGCGGCCAATGCGGTGAAGCTCGCCGTCTTGGAGGGGAAAAGCTGCGCCAGCTTGCTGACGGCATCGTTGGAGGGTTTCGGCGCCACCACCGCGTCCGTCGCCTGCGAGCGCGGCTTTGGCACGGTGGACGCGTCCGTAGTGGTTGGGCCGGCCGCCGCGCTGACTGCGGGAGCTGCCGGAGGGGTGGACGTCCTCGCCTCCGCTTTGTGCGACGGCGTTCCTTCCTTCTTGTCAGACTTCGCCGCTGTCTCCTTTGCCGTTGTCTTGGTCGGCGCCTTGGCAGCCGAGGGGCGCGGCTCCGCTGCTGTGGTGACGGCGGTCTTCTCACTAGACGGCTTGGCCTTGGCAGCTCCACTGTTGTCCGTAGCGGCAGCGGCGTAGCTCTTCGCCTTCTTCGCCTGCGTCAAGTACTCCACGGCGCCACGCGACGTCGGTGCATCGGCTCTCGCCTCCGTCTTCTGTGCCAGCCACAGCAGCACGTTGCCGCCTTGATTCGACGAAGACCACTGTGCGTCGGCCGGGGCCTGGACGGCAGTCGTCGTGGCATTCGCCTTCGCGCTGTCACCCTCCGGGCTCTTCTTGTCGGTCGCGCGTTTGATCTGCGGGCCGTGGCGGCGTGGCATCCTTGCGTGGTGGTGGAAATTGAATAAAGATTGATAACGGTTCAGCAGCTCCTGTCATATCTTGCAGGTAACTTCGCATCGTTAGTTTTGTTGTTGTTGTCGTCGTGCGAGGTGAAGAGAGAGAAAAGGTAAAAGGCGGTGAACAGCAAAGTGACGTCGATGCAACTCATGCAACGACACCGAAGGGCGATGCGTAACACACGTCACTTCTCCTGTGTCCCCGCTGAGTAAAAACGAAGGTCCACGCAAAGCACGTGGACGCACACACGCAACTTCACGATGAGCGTAGACATCGCCACAGAACAGATCTAACACAAACTACGGTCTCTTCTGTATTACACGATCAGCGCTGAAATACTAACTGCTCTTCCGGTTTTCGTTGACATTGCTTTGGAGAAGAAGCGTAGTTAAGTTCAGCAGCTGTTAAAACCAGCCAGTTGTCTCCGCACGCCGTTCGGTTGTGGTCAAAGTCCCGCGCTCTTTCCACAGCTGTCTTTTGGCGTTACAGCGATAAAGTGGCGGCGGGGAGTGAAAGAAAATCTCTTCTATGATCTTGAGAACAGGCGGCCGGCTGCGTAGATGTGCGAAGGCGTCGTACTGTCGGAGAAACACGTAAACGGCGACAGCACGTTTAAACGGCATAATCCTGTAAAAAAAAAAAGAAGAGAAGAATCCTGCAGAGTTGTCGCCAAACGACAAGACCTTCCATTCCGTAAGCGACGGATTCTCCAGTCCCCTCTTCCGTTTCATCGTGCTTTTGCGTCCTGCCTTCCTCGTAGCAGCAGGCAGTGCGAAGAAAACGGCGATGTAAGAAAAAGGCCCGTCGCTCCGTACTGATCAAGTTAGCGTTCCTTGTGGGATAGAGAGGCGTCGGGTGTGCCAGACGTCATCCGGCCTCTCACGCGGCCCTGCAGTCCGTCCGGTACGACGCCGTCGTCGTTGCGAACAACGTCAACGATCGTCTCCACATCGTTGGGAGTCACACACCCAAAGCAGACGCCGCCGTGTTTGCTGTAGATCAGCACATTACCCGCGTACACGTGCCCGCCGAAGTGCGAGCACGGGATGACGTGGACGGTGCTCAGCTCGGGAAAGGCGCGCTTCATTTCCTGAGACATGACGTCGACCAGCACCGGGCCGCAGTAGCCGCAGCGTGCATCGCGAGAGCGGTGCGAACACACAAAGATGAAGTAGTGGGAACTGAAGTCGGCCGGCTGCGCGTTCTCCACCCGCCACGGCAGTTTCAGCACGGCGTCGTCCTTGACCGCGGTGTATTGCTTTCACTGCCCGCGGGCGGAGCTGTCCAGGTGAAAGCGGAAGACGATGTTCGCGGGGTAGTCTGGCGTGTGACAGACGGCGATGCTCGCAGAAGGCAGCTCTTCGCGGAGCTTTCTTTCGAGTGCCGCGTACAACGCCACGTTCTGCGTCCGCTTTGCCCACTCTGTCGGCGGCACAGCCGTGTTGAGGAAAACGTGGTCGGTGATGCGGAAACGGCCTAGGAGCTTTGCCGGCACCGGCCCACCGCACTCTGCACGGGAGAACCCAAAGACATCCGCATCCAAACCGGCGATCGCCTTGCGTGTTTCCGACGTGATGGTCGTCTTGTAGCGCTGCGCCGACACCCCGCACAGAGCGTGACATGTCCGATGGAACATGGGTCGTATGCAGAAAGTGATGGGTGGATGGAGGGCCGTGCGCTTGGGAGTCGTTAAAAACAGACGCGCGGTCCGCAAAGTGTGAAGTGGGCTTGCGGATATCAGTTTCTGTGAAATCTCGCCCGGCGACGTGGAGCAGAGCCGTTGCGTCGCACACTTGGAAACAACCGTCGTCTCACAGGGCAAGGAGATACAACAATTTAATGGAGAGGCGAGAGTTAAGAAGAGAGAGAGAGTCCGCGTTGCCTGTGCAACGCCCACACCGACCAGAAAGTTCCTGTTAGAGGAGCCTCCGCCCATGAAGTGCATCCCTCTCAGACACACACCCGCACACACCTCTCTTCCGCTGCTGTGGGAAAAGGCACCACAGCAAAGGAAGTGCGTATTATTTGAAGAGCCGCTGAGGAGAGGACGGATGCGTTGGGCTAGACCGTTAAATGAGACATTTCGATACAAAGACGTTCAGCAGTAATCGCGTGTACGCCGAAGGAGAAGAGGAGATATAACAAGTCAACTCGCTGCAACTTATTGATGGGAAAAAGAAAGCAAGGGGAGGGGATTAAAGGTGTTCGCAACCACACAGAAAAGCTTCTAGTTGGCTTCGATGTCCTCATCGGCCATATCGCAGTAGGTCTTCGGCGACGAGAGCGGCGAAAGAGTGTTTTGTTGACCAGCAAAGTGCGTTGTAGCGACCGGGTCAGAGACGGCACTCCCTGGAGGGCCGGCGGCCACCTCGTTGTAAACCACGCTGGGATTATTTGACAACGCGGCCTCACGATCACGAAAACGGTTGTTCCACTCTTCTAAATAACGGGCCTTCGCGGTGTCGCTCCAGTGGGCTTGCAGGTGCGGCTGCATTTGCCGTAGCGCGCGTTCCCGCCGCGCCTTTTCCTGCTCGTCGAGGTCCACCTCATACGCCGTTGACGGCGCTCTCTCTCGACGCGGTGCGTACTCGTACAGGAGATACAGCGCACTGCCGTAGATGAGGCAGTTCCACACGAAGCGCCTCAGCACGTGGAGTCGCATCGCCAGCTCGGCGCGCGCCACCTCTGCACGTGTGAATCCGGTAGCGCTGGGATCGTAGTAGTTGGACGAGTAAGGGCGGTAGAAGCTCCGCGTGGAGTTGTTGGCATACCGAGTGCCGGCGCCGTAGTCCCACGTGCCCTTGTCCGACGACGTCGTCGCATCCCCGTCGTTGTAGCGCTCCGCGTAGATGTGCGGGCGACCGGTCTGCGGCCTACGAGCCGCGGCCGCGGTGTCGTGGTACGGATCGTGGTAGGGCGGCTGCGGACCGGCGGCGCCGCCGGCACCACCACCGCGACCGCGCAGCGCATCGTAGGCGTCCTTCAGCTGACGGAAGCGGGCGGGGTCGCCGCCGGCATCCGGGTGGGTCGATTTTGCCTTCTCGACGAAGGCAGCCTTGATTTCCGCGGCGGTGTGCGGACGGGTGCCGTCCAGCCCCAACGTGCGCAGGTTGGCACAGTAGAAGCTCGTTGTGGCGCGCATGTCTCTGCGTGTGCCCTTCTGTGCTTCCGTTCCTATAGAATTTCACACACACACACACACACAAAGAGGAGGGCTTAGTGCGCAACTAGCGAAATGAAAAGGCCGTGTAACGCAGATTTCTGTCCTCTGTGGGGTGAGCCAGGAATGTGATCGTCGAGAAGAAGAGGGGTGGGGGTGCAGAGCGGGAGTCGTCTGATCTTTCTGCCGCGGCATCATCGAAAAGACGGAGGGAGCTCGAGGAGAAACAGGCGAGGTTGTTTAGCCCACGAGACAAAAGAAGACACACATAAGACTGCACGACCACAACGCTTTCCGTGAGAAGCCGAATGGTTGCGCGATGCCAGAGGCAAACAACTTTTGAACGAGTCTGCGCGTCTCTTCCCTTCCATTTTATGTTTGCTTGCCTGCCTTCTTTATTCCGCACGATTAGGGCCTAAACTTTTACTTCTCAAGCACGTTACAACGCTTATTCTGTTATAAACTCGAAAACGTATGGAGAAATAGTGAAAAGGGATGTGCCGTTGGAGCAGCGACGTCGCCGGTGAACACGACGAGCCGTCGACCGCGGACCACCGGCACCACCAAGAGGAAGAAAAGGGTCACCACAACGCGTGTGACCGTTCGAAGGGACTTCATCCTTTTTGAGTTTCTGTGGGTGCAGTAGAAGCCGCAGCAAAGACAGAGAGATAAAAACGTGGTGTTGGGAGACACGCACGCAGCACAGGTGATGCTGGTTATACGAAATTTAAAACACTTGTGAGCGCAAAGACGTCCACCAGACGACGATTTGTGTGGAGTCCACTGCGGGCGTGCAGCACAAGTTAAACGCGGATCTACCAAAAGAGTGAACGCGGGGTACGCACCGCAGAAACTACTCCTGACGGATGTCTTCGCGGTAGTCGCGCAGCACCTCGAGAAAACTGCGCACCTTTTCGTGCTTGAGAAGCTGCTGCAGGTGGGCGTGGTGCTCCCGCAGGCTCATCTTCAGGGCCGGCGTGTCCGCGCCAAAGCAGTCCGCCAGCGACTGCTCGTACTCCTTCGCGTACACCGCCCGGGAAAGGGTGCGCTGCACGGCGCTGCGGCGCAGAAAGGGGATGGCGTCTTCCTCCAGATGGTGCATCTTCAGAAAGAGATCGTCGTCGCTGTTCGTCAAGGCTCCATCGAACCAAATCGTGAAGCAGTAGCGTACCTTCCCCACGGCGGACACGATGGGCCGCACGCGGTGCAGCGTGGCATCCGACTTGAAGAAGGCCACGGTGCAGAGTTTAGGCGCCACCGTCACGCAGGGCCCGAGAAACGGCATGAGTTGCAGCTCCCCCGCCACTTCTGGCGTCCAGTCCTCGGTGAGGTAGACGGCCACGGTGAGGCGGCGCTTGTTGGGCCGGCCGGGGTTGTCGTAGTGCCACGGAAATGCCCCGCCCTCGTTCATCTGCAGCTTCAGCGTGACGGAACGGGAGGCGAGGTCGGCGGTGTCGCACGGCAGCAGGTCCTCGCAGCAGCCCACCTTGTCCCGCAACACCTCCACCAACTCGCCCAGCTGACCGTCAAAGAGGGCGCGGAAGAGGGGGAGCTGCTGACGAATGTCCGCATTGTAGAGGTCGCACTCGTAAATGTGCGGCTTCGTCAGCTTCACCGGGCCATCGGCGGTCAGAAACTCCACTTCATTTTGAATTTTGCCTCCGTCGATGTCGTGGAAGCAGTGCTTGATCTCGCGCAGGAACTCTTTGGCCACGGCGTCCGGGAAGGGCTGCTGGTCCAGCACCGTGTACCCGTCGAGCTCCAGCTCCTCGCACCGTTCGCGTGTCAGCTGCGTCTTCAGCGTATTGGCTAAGTTGAACTGGAGATCCATTTCGAAGGGTGTGCGTGCGTGTGTAGAAGACAGGCAGACCCTTTTATCGGAAAGAATCTTCGCCTAACGAAAACGCACAGAAAGCAAATCGGCTTGTGAGCAGAAAACAAGGTGAGGTGCGTAGAAAGAGACGGCAGCCAGTTGAGCAGCAACAGCGATGACGGCACCGCAAGGCGGAGCAGCAGCCGGGTCTAATCCCTCGAGATCGTCGCGCCTGCCAGTGAAAACGCACGATGCGACCGTGCCCTCTCGCACGCACGTCGACGTAATGCAGCATACGACAAGAAGCGGACGGAGCGCGATGCACTAAGCGCGCCATAAAGTAGGCGATTCGAAGTGAATTAATACTTCGTCTTTTGTAGCCTTTTTCGTTGCCTCTTAAATATGCATGTACACATGGCCGCTACGGCTCTGGTAGATGGGAGAAAAAGTCTCGACTGCAGGAACAGAGACAAGCGGAAGCACAAACATCAACGTCGAGACACAACAGAATAGCCACGAAGCTCAACAGCACACGCGAGCCTTTCGGTACACCTTCGCCAAATGGAACAATACTATGACGTCGACAAACAGCAGCAGCGACAAAAACAGTATTACTTCTCTGCTGGACCCTTCATGAGAGCCTCTGCGTTGCGCTTGCTATGGGCCGACGCCTCTCGCAGTCGCCGCCTCCGCGCAAGCCACTCCAGTCCCGCCTCGACGATGCCCGCCACAGTGTACACGCCACCCGCGACGGCGCACAAATTCACCGTGAAGTGACTGACCGTGTCGTAGGACACCTCGCAGTCCATCGAGTAAGAGGAGGGCTGATAGGCGAAGTAGAGCCCGGGCGCTCGGCCAGCGCCGCCGTACCGCAGCATGGAGTAGTAGGCCGTGTACTGGTAGCCAAAGCGGTCATCCTTGCCCGGCCGGTCCACCGTGGTTTGAATCAGCTGCAGGTAGAACTGAAAAAGGTAGGGTGCGCTCAGTTCGTAGTGGGCTCTGAAGCCCGCGAGAGGCTGCAGCGTCCGCCGACGGATCTGCGGCACACCCCAGTCGCTGTACTGATTGCCGATGTAGAACTCGTTCACCACAAAGTCGGGGTGCAGCTTCATGCTGTCCTGCACCACGTAGTCTTTGATAATGACGTTGAAGGACGCGTGCGCGTTGGAGAGCGGTGTGGTGCCTCTGATGAAGCAGCCGCGAAGGCTTTCACTTGGCAGCGCACCTGGAAGGTACTCCGCAGACGTGTTCGCGATGGTCGACGCGTATGGGATGTGGAAGTACTTTATGCGAGCATCCTTCTCGGCGTCTCTGTCGTGACCGTAGCCGGTCATCGTCTCCGTCGTAATACGGTGACAGGGAAGGTAGGGCAGCGTAATGGCATAGTGGATCGTGTCGACCTGCCGTCGTGCGTCCTCCTCTAAGGTGTTCTTGAAGGCGGAGGGGGTGATATGGCAGTTCTTGTGTCCACTGAAGTATCCGTGTACCTCGCCGAGGAGGAGGACGACCAGGAGGACGGTGGTGACGATGCTCACCGCTGCGCCGTACGGTGTGGCAGGTGTGAGGTGGTTCTCCTTGTCCTGCACGACTCGAAAGAGATCGCACTTGTGGAGAAGGCGCATGGCGAGGGGAAGAGGGTTGGTGGTTTCAATGAATGCACACAAGAAGATGCGGGGATGCAGAAGAGGGCAGGGAGAGAGCGGTGCTGTCGAGTCCGCTGAGGCAGTAAGACAATCTGCGCCACCGCGACGAGTGAGCGAGTGCAATAAACAAGGAGGGCGGTAAAATAGGGAAGGGACGATAAATTGGTCTATGCATTCTGCTAGGGAAACTTAACAATGCATATATGAATGTATCGGACCGCCTTAACAAGTCGATCCATAAAGGCTGCATAACAAAGACGTCTACACGCATTCAACGGCAAAGAAGCAGACAAGCCAAACAGCCGCTCCATACTCCATCAGAGAGCAAGATGCAAGACAGAGGATCGTACGTCCCTTAGTAAGCGCTTTACCTCGACTCGTTGGAAGAACACAGTCGTCGTCAATCATCCTCACGTATTGAATAAATTCTTGCGGACTCACAACCCAAGCAACAGGATAGGAAATGAAGAAAAATTTAAAAAGGAAGAGAATGAAGCTTGCTGACCAGCCTCGTGAAGCCTATGCAAACCAACCGCGCAGTTCAGCCCGTTATTCCAGTCGTACGTGACAGCAAAGAATAGTGCGTCGACGGAGTGCAGTGGCGGCACCGCCCAAAGCCCCGAACGTAACGCAGCTCAGCAGGTTGGGTCCACAGTTCCATTTTCGAACGCTGAGCTCTACCTATGATACATCGAAACGAAACAGGAGAAGACGGGAAAAAGGAAATAGAGAGAGTAAGCAAAAAAAAAAGAACTCATCTAGTTCTACGCAGGCAGACGCCGTTTTGGCGGTTGACGTGCTGCACGTCATGCCAGCAGTCGGTATATATATAAGAGAAGCCTGTCAAAACACTTCCACTAACACACATTGTAAGCGCACGTGTGATACCTTCTCATGTGGTGTTCCAGCTATTTAAAAAAAGGAAGAAATTTAGATCACCCGATAGGCGATGTCATCGGACGGAGCAGATAGAGACGCACCAGAGGAGCTGAGCTCATTCAGGATGCTCGGTGAAGGTGGGTAGAAAGCAAGCGTCATCGTCCCGCTCCGTCGGCCTCCCACCTCGTGCCGCGAGGGGAAGCTGTCCGAGCGGCCGTTTTCCTGCTGCGTGCGCTTGAGTTCTTTGCGCAACGCATCGTTCTCCCGTCGCAGGGCCGCAATCATCGCGTCCTTCTCGGACAGAACGTCCTCGAGCTGGTTGCCGAGGTCGCGGCGAAGCTGACACATAATTTGGTGGGTGAGGCGGCGCTCCAATGCGGCCATGTCCTCCAGCACACGCGGCGAGCCAGCGGAGCCGAGAGGCGGCAGCGGTTGGGCGTTGCCACGGAGAGAGGAGCCAACGTTTGACGACGCCGAGCTGAGCGTGCTGGTGCTGCGGGGCAGAAGCAGGCCTGTTGGAGGGGCTTTGTAAATGGGACGCAGGGCACTGCGCCGGGACGAGGGCTCCTCCTGCTGCAGCGAAAGAAGAGAAGAGATGTCTGGCCGGTTGGAGGCGTGGCTGCTCTTCGCTGGGTCGCCACTTCGCTGCTGAGACGCACGACGTGCCCGCATCTCCGCCATGGAGCTCAGTTCCATCATCTCCGTCAACCGGCTCATAGCCGCCGCGGTGGATGCGTTGCTGGTGCTGTCATCGTCAACGCCGTGGCGGTGTGTCGGGCTCCTGTGGTGGTTGTGTCGTCCCTTGCGAGCGTGTCGCCGATTTGTGGGCGATCGAACAGCGCCGTCTTCCACGCCAGCGCCATCTTTGCGCCGTACATCACGTGTCAGTGGGTTAGGCACGTTGGGCGTCTCTTCGGTTCCCACGTTGGACCGGCTCCGTGGCGCGGGGACGTACGGACGTGGCACATTGCGGGCCTTGCTCGGCTCCACCGACGCGATGCTGAGTCCCTTTACCCGAAATGCGTAGCGGAGTGTGTTGTTGCTGTGCTCGTGGTTGTGCGAGCCGGGGGACACTGCCGCGATCATCACCGTCTTGCTGTTCCCCGCAAAGCTGTCGCGCAACACCTCTGTCAGGCGAGAGCCACGAAACGGAACGTGCTTCTTCTTCTCGTCCAGCGCGCGGATGCACTCTTTCAGGGCCAGCAGCGACTTGTTGATCTCTGCGCTCTCCAGCCGCGTCACGCGGTCGTTGGCGGATGTGTCGGCTGCCCGCTCACTCCCCGCGAGGTCGACGAAGTTGACGGTGCCGACGAAGTCGAGGCGGGCGCAGTCCTCAATGCGGATGGAGAGAACGGCGTGGGAGCGGCTGGAGTGCTCGTTGGCGCTGGTGCTGCCAGTGCGGCGCTGCTGCATGCCGGCCTTCATCAGCTGCCACAGCTCCGACACGTCCGACACGGCCCGCCAGACGACACCGCAGAGGTTCACCCGACGGTTCGCGTCCTCGCGCAGCACGATGGGGTGGCGTCGATTCAGCAGGTCGAAGAGGGAGTTGCAGTAGATCTCGTAGAAGCAGACACAAAGCCTCTGACCCGCGCCGAGACGACCAAAGAGATCCCCAGCGGCCAGCAGATAAAGCCCGCGCTCGCTGTCTGTGCCCATCATCGTGTACGTCTTGCCACTGCCCGTCTGACCGTAGGCGAAGCACGACGCACTGCCCCCTGCAAGACTGACCGTCAGCAAATCTTTTACCGAGGTGGCGTAGATGTCGGTGTTGCTGGCTGTGGAGTCGTAGACGTGGTCGAAGATGTAGTCGCTGTTCTCCTCGTAGCTGCTCAGGTCGACGCGCTGCTTCGTCACGGCGACTCGCACGTGCGGGCCGTTGACCTGAACACAGTCGGGGCCTTCTTCATTTGCGGCGAGGGGGCGTTTGCGCACCACCACCATAATGCGGCCGTCTCTGCCCTTCCCTTTGCCGTGCGGTGCAGCGGGGGCATCTTTCGCCGCTGCGGGATTCCGCGGCAGGGGACTGGCCAAATTGCCGTCGTCGTTCGCTTTGTCCTCCCCTCCATCGCGCGCCGCTGTCGTCGCTTTCGGTGTGGTGGGCTGCCGGGCCACCGACGTCGCCTCGCTCGGCTCAGGCGGTGCGGCCCGAAGAGGGCCGTCCACAACGGTTGGTGTGTTCGATTCAGGTGGAAGAGACCACGACGACGAATTCAATTTGGCGGTGTCTCGGACCTCCGCCGGTGCGTGACTGTCCTTCACTCGGTGCGGCGGCTCCGGCACACCGAGTGACGCTCGCCGAGGCGGAGGCCGCGTCGGCGCCGCATCCAAAAGTCGTCGCTGCGGTGCCGCGGTGCTGCTGGTGATCAGCGTCGGTGCACTCATGCCCGACTCTGGGCGGCTGCGCTGTGGGAGCGATGGATGCTGCGCAACGGGGGCGGAGGTGCGGCGCGTGGTGCGGCCCGCATGGTGCGTCGCGGCGCTGCTGGGCAGCCCGTCACCGGCCTCTTCACGCATGCCGGCGTAGGCGAGGGAGAGACGGCTGAACTCGCGATTGAGGGTGGAGACGGAGGGCACGGCGAGGTCACCCGCGGTGTGTCGTTCGATTTCCGTAGTACTCGTGCGTCGTCGAGCCAGCGGGGCGATTGGATGACTCGCGATGGAAAGAGGCGTGTGCTCGAGCGACGGCGCGGTGGACTCCGGATGCGGCCGCACGAGCGGTGGCAGCGGAGGGAGCTCGTCGAGTGGGGCCTCGCGCCGCAGGGAGAAGCGCCGTGCCTGCTGCGCGCTGGCCTCTGCCTTGGAAGCCCACGGAGAGCCATCGGCGGCTGCGCCCATTCTTCTATGCTGTATAGTAGTCGAGAAGAGGAAGAGCTACACAACGGAGAGGAACTTGGATGGGTATAATCAGTAAGGTGCTGCGTGCGGATGCCGCTGCATGGGCGGGTGGTCGCGAGGGAGAACAAAGCAGAACAGGAAGTAAAAAAAAAGGTATGAAGTTGCAAAGAAAGGTGGGCAGAGGCGTGGCGTCGTGTTTGAGTTGCTGCCGCCTCTCAATGAAGCGGCGATGAAGCAGAAAAACTCCGTACGGCACGTACAGGAGCGCTGCAGAGAACACACACGTCACGGTTATGCATGAAGTCCGCCGTGGCGCACTCAGCGTAAAGTGTTGAAGTCGAATAGTACCGTCGACTGCGTCAAAGGCGGCTCAGCCCTCACTTCACGTAGAACTTCAACACTAGATGGACCCGTAAGGAGGTATTTACGATGGCAAACGCAAAGAAGTGAGGTGAACATAGTAATAACAATGCGGCGGTCTAAGATGTACAACATAGCAATAGCACGCCAACAACCGAATCAGAAGACATCTACTCGATACTGGGTTACAAGACGAAAGGGGTAGTTAAAGTCTCAGAGGGATAGGAGAGTTATTTGCTCAAAGCCGTGTACACGTGCTCCACAGCACCGTTATAGTTGTATTGCAGTCAATTTGGTTTTTAATAGCACATTTAATAATACAATTTCTCTTTCTTCTGTCTGTTCCACCGTCTCTGATCAAGAGCAAAGCGTGTTCAGTTCGTCGATGGTGGTGTTGATGCGGTCACACGTGGTGCCGCCCAGGCGGCAGGGGATGTACTGCGTGGAGGCGGAGCGCAGATACCACGTCGAGAAGACCGTCTGCATCGTCTGAACCGCCAACAGCCGCTGCGCCAGCGTCTCCTCCGTCAGGTGCAGGTCAAACCTCGACAGCGCAATCGGCGACCCCGAGAAGACGATGCTGCGCAGGCTGGGCACCCCAGTTTGCAGGCCCACGACAGCGGCGTAGCTGCCCAACGGACCGTGACTCACCACGTAATACGTCTCGTTAGACGTACCCGTCTCCACGTTGCCCAGCAGGCGCCGCACTGTTTTCGAGGTGGCCGTCACCGACGTCTTCCACCGCAGTGGCACCATGTCCTGCATAAAGGAGAGGTAGGGCAGCAGCTTCTCAACGTAGGGGGCGGGTGTCAGGAAGGAAAAGAAGGACAGCGCGTACGTGTCAATCCACATTGTCATAGACTCGATCAGGAGCATCACATCCGTGCCAGGACGCACCACCAACACCGTCGTGTTGCGCGTCGACGTCTCCTCACGAAAGGCAGACACGTGCACGAAGTTCTCCTCTGTCATGTTGGCGATGGAGATGCGGTGGTACGACGGGAACCAGCGGGCTAAATCCTCATCTTGACTCACCTGGTCCAGGTTGAGGCCCAGCTTGGCGAAGAGTGCCATGCCGACGATGTCAAGAGTGGGTGCGAAGCGACTCAGGCAGAGCGGCGGCATCACCTGCGAGGGGGCGGCGAAGGTGCCGTTGTCGGCGTGGGAGCGCTGCCAATCGACGGCGGCAACGCCACTGCCGCTGCTACGGACATTACGAAAGCGATCTGCGTAGCGAGGCATGATGGAGTTGCTCACCGACCCGCTGTACACGTCCCGCATGCTGGAGTGGCCCATGAGGCAGCAGGTGAGCAGCACCAGTGTGAAGGCGGCCGTCATGGTGAAGACGCCGTAGTGATTCGACGCCTCGTTGGTGCGCACGATGCACAGCAGCAGATGTATGACCAGCGCCACCACAAAGAGACCCGTACGGTAGTTCAGCACCAGCAGCCCCACCACACACCCAATCATGTGCAGCAGCAGCAGCAGCCACGACACACGAAAGAGCCACCGTCGCACGGCCCCCTTCCACGGCCCGTAGACGCTCACCATGCCAAGAACGACAAAGAAGAGCATAACGAAGAGGACGGCCAGCATCGAGCCGCCCCACTGGTTGTACCACGTGTTCTGCGACATCGTGAAGACGGCGTCCATCCAGAACATCGAGGCATAGAAGACGCCGCAGACGGTGATGTTAGACGACGCGCCCACGTTGTGGGCGGACATGAAGACGGTGCACAGCAGCAGCAGCACCGCCTGCGCGACGACGACGGCGCACAGAAAGAAGAACCCGCCGCCGGTCAGCCACGCCACGCCCATCGCGACGGAGAAGACACCGACCAGCGTCAGCAGGAGCACCTCCGTCGGCGGGCAGCGATCCTCCGCGCTCTCGTCGTCCATCTCCACCTCCATGAAGAGGTACAGCGTGGCCTCGGCGTTGTTCTGCCGGCTGCCGTGCGCGTAGGAGCGCTTGTTGACGGTGCGGAAGCCGAAGGCGAAGACGACGTGGTAGATGAAGATGAGACACACCGCGACGATCCAGCCGTAGGCGAGGCTGTACTGCAGCCCCGTCAGCACATCGTAGCGGGCCGCCATGACGCAGAAGAGCACAAAGTAGCCAACGACGCAGCCGACGTCGATGACGAGCTGGAATGCTAACGCCTTCCCACCAAAGGCTTTGAGCGCTTGAATGACGCGTCCTTGGAAGGTGTTGCGGGCCACATCGAAGCCGCGGGAGCAGAAGATGACAAATTGGCACGCCACCACGATAAATGCCGCGCCGTACAGAAAGGCCTGGAAGGGCTTCACAAACATGGCGAAGAAGATGTTGATGAGAACCAGGACCCCGAGGAGGGCGATGAAGCACGTGCCGACAAAAAAGAAGAAGGAGTTCACCATGAGGCACAGCCAGAGGAATCCTTTCGCCACCATGAGCAGCGCGGGCGGCAGCCCAGCGAGCAGCTTGTCGCCGCGAATGACGCCTTCGTCGTCGCAGAGGGTGCGGCGCTCCTGCAGCTCCCACTGCACAATCTGCAGCCACTCCCGCTCGTGCATCTCCATCAGGCTGATGCGGAAGAACGTCTCGATGGTGGCGTACTGCGTAACGTACTCCGTGAACAAGTCTCGCTGCGTGGGCGTCGTCTGCACAGACCCGATGCTGTGCCGATACAGCAGATCCGAGTTGCGCCGCCGCACCATTTCCGTGCCGACGGTGTCGCACGTGAGTAAGTTGGCGTCGTCATCAATGTCGACGTACACCTCCCCGGGCGAGCGCTGGGAGAAGCTGTGTTCGCTGAAAGAGGTGTTGTGATCCAGCCCCAAGAGGTTTGTGTCGTACAGAGAGGGGGTGGCGCCGCGCATGGAGGAACCCGGTTCAATGACGCTGCGCTTCAGTGCGTCCATGCGAGATAACTCTTCGATGTAGCCCCCCGCACGGAGGTTGTTCAGTTCCCATTCCTTCACGCTATCTCCTCGCAGCACGGCCGCCTTCAGCTGAGAAAAGTACGCGCTGACCGTCGTCGCGAAGCGGTCGTAGTTCTCCTGCTTGTCGCAGTCGTTCTTGCCGCCCAGCGCGATCGGCAGCACGTTTTCATCGTAGAGCTCCAGCAGCTTTCCGTTCTTGATGTCCGAGTCAGACACGATGATGATGCGGTCCGAGACGATGGCGGGCAGACGCGAGAAGATCGGCTTGGCGAGGGCTGAGAGCAGGCGACCCATCTTGCAGATGTACATCTTGTCCACGCAGCCCGGGTAGAACTTGGCGATGCGGAGGGCGATGTCGGCCTGGAAGGTCATGTCCAGATTGCTCATCATGCTGCTCTTGTCTTGGTTGATGAGCATCGCCATCTGACAACGTTTGCTCTCCGGACGCAGCCGTGTGGCGTAGTTGACGAACATGTCAAAATTCATGCGACTCTCCTCGCGGCGCGAGCTCTGCGGCTTGTCGCGTGCGGTGGTGACGTACAGCGTGACGCGGCCCGCCTTATCGTTGCCGACGACCTGGATGATGCCTTTGCGCATGTTCTCCATCATCCAGTCCGTCACATTGTAGGTGGCCAGCTGCTCCCGCTCGAAGTCGGCGCGGCGCTGCAGCTTCGCCACGGCCTCATCGATGTTGAAATTCTTGTTCTCAAGAAAGCCGTAGATCCAGCAGTCGAAGTAGTGGTGCGTGATGCCCATGCGGCGCTTCACCTCGTCCACCTCCGCCTGGTGGGCAAGGGCATCGGTGCCGATGTCCAGCAGCACCGGTGCGTTTGACATGGCCCATGCACAGCTGAGAGAAGAAAGGAAAACAGAAGAAAAGGACGAAGAGTGCCTATGAGAGATCCCCAAAGAGTGTTTGCGCCACCGCGGTAGAGAGGCGAAAGATCTACGTTAAAAAAAGGTAAGAAGGGGGACTCAGATTGCGACGAAGGCCCGTAAAACCAAAAACCAACAATGAGGTGTTCGACACGCTGCGACAGCCAAGCAGCGGGAGAGGACAAGAGGCGAGGAAAAAAGAGCTGAAACCCACACGCCGGACTACGCTCGCAGCAACGCCGAGATACGCGACGACGCACCTCAACGCTGGAAGAAATAGAAGCAGCAAGAACTGCGTACGTAGCTATTCAAAAAAAACAAAAGAAGACGCAGGAAATAAATAGAGAAGATCGTATCGCTGCATAGGAAACGGACCGGCAAACAGGAGAGAAAAAAAGTTTTGACGGCGGAATCCGCTCTCTTAGCCGATCTCCGCCACGAATAAAACAAAAGGGTGCCACGCCACGCTCTACAGCCGTTTAAAGGCCTTTAGACCCCAACCAGGAGGAGGCGGAAGAAGAGAGAGAAGAGAGTGGTGGGCACGTCCGTGTAGCAGAACCGTTCCCAGCGGCCCTGCAAGTGCTCACCAAACCCGCAACTGGAATCGCAAGAACAAGTGAAGGAAAGGGAACAGAGAAAAGAGGAGAGGCGACAGTTGCAGGACCTGGAAATAAGCCTAACTGAAACTCAGCAGAGCACTGCGCGAGCTTGCTCTCGTGGCATCATCGGAAGTGATTTTTTTCTTTCGCGCACCGTGAGAAGAAGCAAGGCAAAGGAGAAGCACTGTCGCTATGAGGAAAGTCGAAGTTGTCGATGAAGCGGGAGCTCTTTCGCTGCTTTCAATGAAATGGCACACAGAACAAACAAAGGCTGGAGTAAGACGGAGGCGTTGCGAGGGCGGCCCAAACGAAGACCATTGTGCAGGAAAGGAAAAGTGAAGGCAACGATCGTCGTAAACGATGAAGCGCTCCGCAGCGCTTTCCTCTTCCCTTGTCGTGCCGTTACAGTACAGCACAATAACAACGTAACGCAGGTTGCTGGCATTCTACCTTGAGGCACTGGACATACAATCAGTTCCCCCATAAATAGAGAGAGATTCGAATCGCAGTAAACAACAAACAACGCGGCGCCAACAACGAGGCATCTAGCATTTTCTCTCACGCTCTGAAGAACAGCGCACCAACATCCATAACAGCGCGTGCAGTGCCACAGCGTATGTACGTGGCTCTCATGCCCCCGCACTCTCTGCACCTATTTCGCTCCAACGTGTCTCCGGCCGTGGGCGTCGCCGCAGGCCTCGATGAGGGCGGTCGAAAAGAACTGCGAGCGCATGCAGTGCAGCGCGGAGCCGGAGCACTGGATCCGCTGAGAGATGGTGGAGTCCTGGCCGCCAATGTAATTGAGCGCACCCAGATAGGCCCCGACGGACAGCACGTATTTGTGGTACGCCGCGTAGTCCACCCCCATCTTGCGCGCACACTGCATGAGCCCCGGCGAGGCGAAAAGAATGGACTGCGTCTCGGTGCGGGCGGCGGCCGCGCCCAGAAACCCGCCAGCCAGCCCCGTCGCCGTCAAAATCACTTCTGTCGTCAGCACTGCCTTTTCTCCGCTGATGAATGCTGCCAACTCCGTTGCGAGATCCGCACCCGCAAAAGGCACGAGCCGGGTGGCGAAAGATATGATGTACACCATCGTGTTGATCATCTCGTACGGCATAAAGATGCTCAGCGGCGACAGGGCGATCGCGTCGATCCAGCCAACGGTGCCGACGATGGAGGACATAGCGTACCGGTTATTCAACACCAGCACCGTCGTATTCGCGGCGGCGGGCATGTCGAAGCGGTGCATGTCCCAAGAGACGCCGTCCGCCTCAAAGTGCTTCACGACACCGGAGTAGGTGACCCCACGCGAGCCGAACCAGTTGTTGAAGTCCACCGTCCGCACCGCCTCCGTGCGTGCGGCGACCACCTCATTCAAGAGGGAGATGTCCACCATGCTGATGCTTCTGTCCGCCCCCATTGCCAACGTGCAGACGGGGTATTGGTGGTACATCTGTAGATTGGACAGCGGGAGGGTGGTGGCGGGACCGGAGGGCAGGCTCTGCGGTGTGGTGTTCAGCAGCGTCGTGCCGTACCACCCGAGCAGCACACACGAGATGCCCAGAAGGAGTACCGCTGCGGAGAGAAAGAAGGAGCCGTGGATGCCCGTCAGCGCGCGCGGGGCGAAGATGATGTTGACCACGTTGTGCACCATGATGGCGAGACAGAAGAGCCCCATGCGCCACGACACGAGAGGAAAGACACAAATCCAGCAGGCGAAGATGTACAGCAGGACAATCACAAAGGAGATGCGCAGCAGCCGGCTGTGCCCCGGCAGGTGCAGGGAGTTCACCGCGAGTATCACAAAGATGCCGTTTAGGATGGAGGACACGATGACGCTGGCGCCGTACTCCCGGTCGTAGTCGCGGAAGCCAAAGGAGAAGGTGACGTAGCACCACACGATGGTCAGCATCCACAGCGTCAGCCGCATCAGGGCTCCCGTGAGCGTGTTGGACAGGTTGTCGGAGTAGTAGTGGACGACAAAGGCGGCTGTGATGGCGGCAGCAAAGGTGGAGACGTAGAGCGACACGATGCGGCTGATGAGGAAGCCGATGCCGAACAGCATGCTGACCACCAGCGGAATGCCGCAGATGACGTACGACGACGTGCGCAGCAGGAAGCGGGTATCCACCTCAATCGACTTGTCCACCGTACCGCCACCAAAGTTGAAGGTAAGAAAGAACGGCAGCGCCCCCATTCGGTTCTCCGTGTCGCGTGAGCTGGCGGAGGCAAAGATGCCGGTGAAGAAGAAGACGTGTGTGACGCAGATGATGAGGAGTGCGCAGATCCACCCCGTGCAGAAGGACACCTCCAGTCCTCGTAGTGGGTTGTCGCGACGTGCGTATACGATAAAAATGATGAACTGGATGGCCACCGTGACGAAGAAGAGACACACCTCGGCCACGGTGCCCCAGTAGCTGCCAACGCACTCAAACACCGGGATCACCCGGCCTTGGTAGATGGCGGAGATGATGTCCACCGCCCGCGAGCACAAGCATGCGCCTTGGATGGCGACCATCAGCAGCACGGCACTCAGCGGAAAGACGTAGCTCGGCTTCACAAAGAAGCCAAAGAAGATGGTGACGATGACATCTGCGCAGAACACCGCGAGGAAGATCAGTGCGGCGATGAAGTACACCACGTTAAACACGGTGATGCCCATGAGTACAATTTGGTACAGCGCCTGCAGCGGGTACGGGACACCGCTGTACCACTTCTTGTCGCGTACGTTCAGCCCACGCATGCCCCGCTCCGCCACCGTGCGGGTGCCGGAGACGTAGCGGTCTAGCAGTCTGTACCGCTCCGCTATTTCCGCATTCTCGACCGCCGTGCGCCACCGCACCAGCTCGTCCAGAAAGAAGAGCGCGAAGTCGCGCGGCATCGGGGCAACGACCTCCGCCCACGTCAGGCGCGTCCCCGGCTCATCGTTGCCGGCGCCGCCAGCTGACGCGTCATCGTACAGCGGGGTCACGGCGGACTCCATCGCCGTCGCACACGTGATGAGGGGCTTCAGATCGGGGTCTGCCGAGTCCGGCGGCCGCCTGGTGAAGAGCTGCGAGCTTGTCCGCGTAAGGAAGGGCGAGGCCTCGTGCGAGGTCGTGCGCAGGGCGAGCGACCGCACCGAGTACGCCAAGGCCTCCGCTTGGGGGGCGGTGGCATGCGAATCAGCGGCGTGCCCACCGCTCTCTGCCGCGTCCACGTCAATCCCAATCGTCTGCAGCTCCCACTCCTTCACGGTGAGGCCGCGCTCATTCACGGCGCGCTTCAGGTCCGCGTAGTATTTCTCGACGCGGTCGGCGTACGCATTCCAGTGCTCCTCGTTGTCGCAGTCGTTCTTGCCGCCCAGCGCGATCGGCAGCACGTCTTCGTCGAAGAGGTCGAGGAGCACACCGTCCTTGATGTCGCCGGCGTCCACGATTTGAATGCGGTCCGACACAATGGCGGGCAGCGTCTTGAAGATCGGCTTCGCCATGGCCGCCAGCGTCCGGTTCATCTTGCAGATGTACATCTTGTCCACCCCGCCCGGGTAGAACTTGGCGATGCGGAGGGCGACGTCGGCCTGGAAGGTCATGTCCACGTTCTTGAAGAGGCTTGCCCCGTCTTGGTTGATGAGCATCACAATCTGCGCTCGCCTGTTCTCCTTGCGCAGACGCGTGCCGTAGCTGACGAACATATCAAAGGTGCGTCGCTGCTCATCGCGGTACCTCGACTGTGGGAAGTCCCGCTTGGTGTTGATGTAGAAGGCGACCCGGCCCGCCTTGTCCACGCCGATATCTTGAATAATGCCTTTGCGCAACGAGGCACGCATGAAGTCTGAGAACTCGTAGGTGGCCAGCTCATTCACCTCCATCGCAAAGCGGCGGTGCAACTTCGCCACCGTCTCCTCGATGTCGAATTTCTTATTTTCCAAGAAGCCGTACATCCACGCGTCGAAGTAGCCGTGCTTAATGTCGAGCTGGCGCTTCACCTCCTCGATCTCGCTGCGGTGCGAAAGGGCCACCGTCCCCAGGTCCTCCAACGAGGTGTAGGAGGACGACATGAAAGGCGCCTGCTGAGGTGGTGAATACAGAGAAGAAGAAGAAAACAATGATGACGGATTGCACAGTATATGAGGAAAAGAGAAAGCACCGGCCGAGCACGTTCGCTCGCGTACGCACTGAACACGGCCGACTTGTTTTACGTATTGCGTACTTTTGAAGCAGCCGGCGAGAAATGTATCGAGAGGAAGGGGGAGAAGAAGGAGATAAGAAGGAGTAAAAGCCCCGTTCAACCGTCGCGAGTCGACGAGAGCCCTCCTGCTACGCTGCTCCCGACCCTGCCTATCAAAAGAGCGGCGGACGCATTCATCAGTCCACGAATGACAGAGAGGGGAGGGGTAGGGAAAGAGAGTCCACCCACCCTCCACCAACGTCAAAGGAGTTCAACGGTAGGGCCAAGTGCATCAGAGGAAAGAAGAAAAGCTTGTATAGCTCTCTTTCATTACAATTCGTGGAGTCGTTCCATATACCTGCAGCGCTAGAAGATCACGTTTGCGGGTGCATTTCCATGTATTGTTAATAAGGCAGAAAGAAATATATAGATAGATAAAGTACTGTTAAAGGAACAGATAAAAGGTATTTAAATAAAAATGTGTTTCCCAGTGTCGGAGGCAGCCACAGCGACCCTTCGGTAGAAGCAGATATGCAGCGTTCTCACCGCGCCTTGTCTGCATTCCGTTGTGCCCACCCCGCACTTCTGCGGTAGACCAACAGAAAACAAAACTACGCATTGCTCTCCTGCGATGTGGCACAGCTCTCCCAAACTGTCGTCGGTGTTTCCTCGCGATAAAGGAACGAGGTCACTCTCCCCTCTCCCCTCTTTCAGCACTAAACACCGCTTTCAAAACGCTGTAACAAAGGCCAAAGAGCAGAAGGGAGAGCCTCAGCAAACGACGAGGGGAAAGAAAAAAGAAAACAAGTAGTGGAAACAGTGCGATCCGGCAGATGTATCAACACACGTCAATGTATATGTCCATCTGAGCTAGAGGTAAAACGTTTGCTGAAGGACATCACTTGCCGCAGGGCCAGTTTAGAGGCAAAGCTTCTTGCTGTTGCAGCCGACAAGGAAACAAAAGAATTAGAAGAAGAGGTAACTGTCACAATCACTTACGAGCGAGAAAACAACGAAAAAAATAAGATAGCCGCTGCACGACACACACACACCATTATCAGACGTGAAGGATTCGTTGTGTCCCATGGTGGGCTGCACTTGACAGCATCCGCGCGAACTGTGGAGTCAGAGCTCCTTTCGCCGGGAGATAATAATAATAACAGTTTTCGGTAGCAGCAGCGGATACGTTTCTTCGACGCTGCGGAGAACACACACACCTACAAAACACAGAAAAGAAGGCTAAAGAGCTCTTAATAAATAAAGAAATAAAGAAAAACAACGTCACCAAATGAGAACACCTCTGAGCAGTTTTCTTTTTCAAGAGGACTTGCATCACGTGAGAGAAAGACACAGACCGCCTCTCACTGTGCATCGAATTCGCAGGTGTGGGCGTGTGTGTGTAAGTGCGTGGGGGACATCTGAGCCGGTTTTTAAAGATGGGCATACAACAACCGACGAAAACGACCACCCACTGCCACACAGCACGATGCCCCGTTCGTTGGCGGTGAGGGGACAACACTCTCGCCGAGTGGAATAACCCGGCGACGCGAAAGGGGCGAACAAGACGAGCGGAGTAGAAAAGGAGAAGAAGCCGAGGCCAGACGGCTCCGTACGTCACCCCTCGTCTTTTCCGGAAAGAGAAAGTACGAAGAAGAAGGATTTTTAGTCCAATATATTTGTAAACCTTCAAAAACACATCCAGAAGAAAAACAGATAAAAGCAAAGAGCAGCTTAACAGGAGGTACATACTCAAATAACAATAGAGTGGGAAGAGCAGTAGCGCGGTGCTGTGCCTACGCTCCTTTTCTTCAACGTATTTTCTTATCCTTTTCTACTCGGACCAGTCCGTGGTGGCGGCACCGTAGACGGCCGCGCTTGTACCCCACACCACGGCAATCACACCCACCACGAGCAGCGCGTACGTGCCGAGGAAGTGCGGCCAGCCCAGCCGCGCCGCCGTGAAGCCGCCGGAGTACATCATGAAGAAGGACGGAAAGATGAAGCCGACGGAGCCGCCGCAGAAGCCGCCGAGCAGGCCAAAAACGGTGCTGATGCGCGGGATGAAAAGTCCGGCGACAAGCGCCACGGCGGCCTGCAGGGAGCACAGCAACGCGTTCTTCCACCACGGCACATGTATTGCCTCGGTGCCGAGGACGTAGTAGACGCAGTCGCGGCACGGAATGAGGTGGAGGCTGAAGCCCACACAGATCTTGAGCAGCATGCCGACGTAGGAGACGGCCATGAGGTGGTCCTTCATGGGGTTGTACATGGCGAGGATGGAGTCGCTCACCTCCGGGCCAAAGTCGAGGTAGCCGAAGAGGCCGGTCAGAAAGTACAGGACAGCGCACAGCACCATGCCCAGCAGCGCCGAGAGGAAGACGCGGTGGACGGAGAACTTGTACATCTCGCGCGAGATCTCCGGCGCGTTCACCTGCGCGATAAAGGCAAACATCAGGCTCGACAGCCCGTTGATGGCCGTGTTGCCGGTCTGGAAGTACACCAGGTCGTCGCGCATGCCGCGGTGGTGCAGCGTCTGCCCCGAGTGGATAATGCAGGTGAGGGTGAAGAAGACGACGAAGAGGATGGCGACGGTGGAGATGATGCGCAGCGAGTTGATCTCCTTCAACAGACACATGGGCAGAATCACAACGAGCCACAGCATCGACGTGACAACGCGGAAGCCTCCCTCCGACTTGAGAAACGCCGTCGCCGACTCAGAGTTCTTCAGAAAGCCGGAGAGGATACTCTTCAGGGCGATGATGTAGGAGACGTCGCCACCGAAGCACAGCACCCACATGACAAAGACGACAGCGTAGTCCCACCCAGGCCCCATGAGGCGGCGCGCAATCAGTTCCCAGTTGTACAGCCCCGTTTTCTGCGAGACGATGGCGAGCAGCACGAAGGAGTAGATGGCCATGGTCATTACGATAAGCAGGTAGATGGTCGCCATGCCCAGGCCGCTCATCTGAAAAGCAGAGGGCAGGCCGATGATGCCGCCACCGATGGTCGAGCTCGCGATGCTGAAGGCGGAGGAGACGATGCCGCCGTACGGAATGACGAGCTGCAGCGCATGCAGAAAGGGGTTCGTCGTGTGACGGCGGCGCCAGACCCGCTCCTCGCGGTCGCGGCGGTCGGCCTCGATGATCCGCTGCGCGATGTCGGCCTCACCTGCCTGCTTGTAGTCGTCCACTGCCACCTGCGCTGGGATGCCCCCTTCATCAGACGAGGCAGGCGAATTGGTTTTCTTTGTTGTCTTCGCCATCTTCGTCGTCACATCGTTGCCGTCGAGACGCTCACCGACGATGACCACCTCGTCGGCGAGGAACTCCCCGCTGTCGTTGAGCACATGCAGGCCATCCTCGCCGTACTCCGGCGGGTCCTCCGGCATGTTATCTGGTGCGATGGCGGGCCGCTCTTCCCGCTGGCGTGGCCGCTGCGCCTGCCGGTCGTTGCTGTCGCTGCTGCTGCTTTCCTGTGGCATCGGGATGAGCGTAGGAGGCAGAAGAACGCAAGAAATGGCGAATGTGAAGAGCGCACGGAATGCAGAGAGAGAGAACACTGGAACGAGTACGGTTGACGGCGCGTCCCAGCTGATGCCTCAACTCGCTGTGGTGTGCTTTGGGCAGTTTGCTTCCCTTGTAAGTGTTCCTAACTGTGAAAAGTGCACACAGATAACGCACGACGAGGGGCAGAAACAAAGAGATGAAAAAGCCAAAAGGAAGGGGGGTATTGATAAAACATGCGATAGAAACCCGCGAAGCCACAGCGAGACTGCATCCGCAGAAACAAGAACTCAAACAAAGGAAAAACCAACACGGAAAACAACATCCTGTCCATGCGGCGGCAACTGGTAGGTCAACGAAAAGCGAGACGTATTCCTCGTCACCCACACCTGTTCATTGTCGTGGTGCGCCACCAGGCGTGCGGCAGCTTCCCTCCTCTTCTCTTTTCAACGATTAACATTTCTTTCATACGGTGCACGTGATGCCCTCGCCGATACCCGTTCGTGGCGACGTCATCGTAGGACTTGAGAAAAGAGTAATCACAGAGCGATCCAAGAGACATTTCGAGGTTCACCAGCTCTCGACAACGGGGAAACGAAAAGACACAGAGAAGACTTACAAAAGGAAAAACAAAATATATATATATATACATAAATGAAGATATAAAGAAAGAAAGCTCATTTCAGTTAAGAAAACAACAGAAATATATATATTCCGTTGATTTGCCGCTCCGGCGTAGCAGCTCTGGTGAAGTTAGAGATATGCTAGCACCCGACGCGGGCAGATCGAGAGAAAAACAAGAGAAATAAAGCTGACAACTAAAATAGTGGGGACAACATTCGCGTAAGAGATTAATAAACAGAAAGGAGAGAGGGTGGGGGGAAAGAAACAACAGAAGGAAAGCACAACAGCGACACACACAAACAAATAGTAAGAGGAAAGGCACGTGGGACTTCTCAGGCAGCATCTCGCAGGCGCACACGGCGAGTCCGCAGATCCTCGAAGACATCAATGAAGAGAAGACGAGTGAACCGGTACACCTACGTTTTTGCAGTGTCGTTTAGCAGGAGAAAGAAAAGAGAAAAACAAGCGTTTGGGCCGTGCGTTTCTCAGGGCTTTCAGCGTTCTCTTCTCTTCGTGAGTGGTGTGCATACGGCCGCGGAAGGGCTGCAAGGGACGGCCGAGATAGTCGTCCCCGCACATACACGAAGGGGAGAAAGTCAAACGCTTAGATAAAACCAAAGCTGCAACGTACATCCCGCACATGCACGCCACCTGCACTTGTCTGAGATACTCACGGTGAAGTTGTGGATAGTTGTCCCAGCAGTGCAGCGGCGCCATTTTCTAGTGCGGGATGCAATTAGCAGCGGCTTACGGCAGCACGCCTCTGTCTCTTCTTTGCCTAATACCCGCTCCATTCGTTGCTGGAAGGTCAGACGAGGTGGCGTGTGAGTACACGCAGCTGAAAGCAGCTACTGGAAGAACTACAGAGCAAACAGGTACAGATAAACCCGCACAGCGGACGTACCTGCGGAGTGCTGCGGTGCGGCAATAAAACTCCAGCCGCACCGGAGCCCACAAATTGCTGATCAGCCTCGCACGGTCTGCCACACGCAGTGAAGCAGGTAAATAATAAAGATTAAACAAGAAAAAACACAACAATACAAATCACGTTAACAGGAGGAAAAGAAAACGTCAAAAGAGTTCTGGCGGCGTAGCGGCTCCGCAATCCGTCGTGTGCATGCACTCTCGACAGCACAGTGACTGCTGTTGGAGGGAAATCTATCACCCTTTCATCAGCCGCACCGCACCTCATCGAAATAATAATAATAGTCGAAGATGGATCACAGAAGTGTCGTGCTACTTCATCGTGTACAACACAAAGCACGTTTAACGCGAGCAGCGAAAGAAGCGAGGGATAGGAAACCCGAAGTAACAGCGTGCAACGGCCTAGATCTCGCCGTAGATGGAGGAGGCGGTGCCCCACACCACACCGATCACACCGACAATCAGCAGAAGGTAGGTGGAAAAGTAGTGGAACCAGCCAACGGAGGAGAAGGTCCAGTTACCGGCATACATCATCATAAACGCTGGGTAGATGAAGCCGATGAAGCCGCCGCAGAACCCGCCGACGAGACCGAAGACGACGTTGATGCTGGGAATGAACAGGCCAGCAACAAGCGAAAGAAGTGCCAAAAAGGTGCACACACACGCGTTCTTCCACCACGGAAGCCTGTGCACGTCGGCGCGGAAGCAGTAGTAGACCGCCTGGCGTACCGGGATCATGTGCAGGCCGTAGCCGACGCACAGCTTCAGCATAATGCCACCGTAGCCGACACCCATCAACGGATCCTGCACAGGGTTGTACATCTTCAGGGCGGAGGTGGTGACCTTGGGGCCGAAGTCGAGGTAGCCGAAGAGGCCGGCGAAGAGGTACAGCACAAAAACGATCGCCACACCGACGGAGGCCCCAAGAGTGAGACGGAGCGGGGAGGGCTTGTAGAGCTCCTCCGCCACCTCCATCGCATTCAGCTGCGAGAGGAACGCGAAGACAAACGTGGTGAGGCCACCGATGGCGGTGTTGCCGGTGTTGACCATTTTGATTTCCGGGCGGGGGTGCTGGCGGAGACCGTTCTGTGCGCTGTGCACCACCATGCAGACGACGAAGAAGATGATGAAGAGCACCGCCACACAGGAGAAGTAGCGCAGCGTGTTGATCTCCTTCAATAAGGTCAGCGGCAGCATAAAGAACAGCCACACCGCCACGGTCAGCACACGCTGGCCCCAGATGCCCCTCAAAAAGTCTGGCGTGTTAGGGGAATCCTCGAGGAACGCAGTGAGAACATCCTTCAGGGAAATGACGTAGGAAAGCTCGGCGCCGAAGCTGAACAGCCACATACAGAGGGCGAGGAAGTAGTCCGCACCGGGGCCCAACAGCGTGCGGACGATCATCTCGTAGCTGCGCAGTCCCGTCTTCTGCGCTGCGAAACCAAGCAGGTAGTAAGAGTAGACGGTGAGGTAGGCGACGACCACCATGTAGATGAGACCCATCACTAGACCGGACGAGTTGAACGCCAGAGGCATCGCGATGATGCCGGCACCGATGGACGAGCTCGCCAGGTTCAGCCCCGTCGACAGCAGGCCACCGTAGGGGACGGCTTTGCCGAAGTACTTCTGGAAGACGTTGGCGGGGATGCGGCGGCGTGCAATGCGGTCCGCACGGATCTGGTCCTGGCGCTCGATCTCACGCTGCGGGTCGTAGCGGTCAAAGTCGTAGGCGTCCGCGCTGTCGGGGGAGCTCGTCTCCTCCACGCCCTTCGCCTCCTTCATCGCGTACCCGTCATCGACCACGTCGAGTTCCCCTTGAAGGGCCATCGGATCGACGGTGAGCTGGTTGCCGTTGCGGGGCTCCTCTCGAAAGGGTTGGTTTGCCTCTGAGCTGCTCATTATGAATGAGGCACGTGAAGAGAAAGTGTCGGAGTGCACAGGGCAAGTGTAGCGTGGGGACAACCAGTGTAAAGAATGTTCGTATTGACGCTCTTCAGCTCCTTTTCCCGGCGTTGGAAATGATATTTAAGTACTTACACCTTTTGCTCCTTCCTGTGAGGTGGGCGGCTCGCAGAGATCTGATGGGCTGCAAAAGAGGAGGCGTAAAAAGAAGGTGCTGTGTTCGGTGAACTTAAGGACTGCCGCAGCGGAACCACGCGCAGGGAGAGGAAGAGAGGACGTGGACGAGGAGACGGATGGAAAACAAAAGCCGCGTGTGAGCAGCGCAGCATGCTAACGCACCTACGTTCGCATGGGCATCGGAGAAGGAGAAAGCCACGACGGCATACGTGGAAGTTGAGGAGACGGTCAAGGCAGCGAACGGTATTGCGCGGCGCAGTAAGGATCAGGGTACCTGTTATTCTGTCCAATACATCCGCTGCTTTTTACCTTTCACTGCCTTTGAAGCTCCTCTTCGTGGGGCTACCGTGTCACCGAACTTCTCACTATGCGCCACCAGACGTGCGGCAGCTTCCCTCCTCTCTTCTCCTTTCAGTGATTGGTACTTCTTTCATACGGTGTCCGGGATGCCGTCGCCGGTGCCCGTTCGTGGCGGCGTCATCGGAGGATTAGAAAAGGAAACACACACAGTGGGATCCAAGAGACATTTCAAGGCTCACCTGTTCTCGACCAACAGGGCAAAAGACAAAACGGGCTAGTCTTCCACTGTAATCTGGCAGGTCCCATCGAATCGGAAGTTATTTGTGGAGGTTGGGTGCGCGTACAAGGCACCGTCTGCTTCCGTTGAAAACAAAGGGCGTCTGCAAAAAAGGGGGAAAGAGGGTTCCGGTGATAAAGAAAGGAACATCACGCAGTGGGTGGGCTTCGGGAAGACGTGGCGGCTATGTCGTCTCTGCCTCCGCACTCGACACCGCTACAAGAGAGATGAGAACCATCAATGAAGCTCGGCAAATGACCAGAAACACAGTGCCTGTCGGTACATCATCTCCTTGTAGGCCGACCAGTGAGGCACAACGACACACCACCACGTTCCCAGGCTCGGTGTCCTTGAGCTTGTGCACCAACACACGTGCGTGTGAATATTCCGGAAGAAAAAGAAAAACAGCGTGCCTTCTCGCTTTGTGAGACTCACACGTTAGTGTGGTATCAGCAAATCTGACAAAGACACCGTACAACAAACGCGGGTCTTTGACGGCACTAAGATTTAAAAAGGAAGTGAAAATGAAGATATAAAGAAAGTATCCTCAGCGCAGATAAGAAACCAGTAGAAAAATACATTCCGTCCCTGTGCCATTCGGGTGTAGCAGCTCTGGTGACATTAGAGATGCGCTAGCACCAGACGAGGGGAGAAACAGAGAAGACAACGTTTCAGACTTTTAATTAGGAGCATTAGAGAAACCAAAACAGTACAAAACTAACAAATGAAAAAGAGGAAGTGTAGAAGGGAGGGAGGGGGAGAGAAACAACAGAAGGAAAGCACAACAGCGACACACACAAACAAATAGTAAGAGGAAAGGCACGTGGGACTTCTCAGGCAGCATCTCGCAGGCGCACACGGCGAGTCCGCAGATCCTCGAAGACATCAATGAAGAGAAGACGAGTGAACCGGTACACCTACGTTTTTGCAGTGTCGTTTAGCAGGAGAAAGAAAAGAGAAAAACAAGCGTTTGGGCCGTGCGTTTCTCAGGGCTTTCAGCGTTCTCTTCTCTTCGTGAGTGGTGTGCATACGGCCGCGGAAGGGCTGCAAGGGACGGCCGAGATAGTCGTCCCCGCACATACACGAAGGGGAGAAAGTCAAACGCTTAGATAAAACCAAAGCTGCAACGTACATCCCGCACATGCACGCCACCTGCACTTGTCTGAGATACTCACGGTGAAGTTGTGGATAGTTGTCCCAGCAGTGCAGCGGCGCCATTTTCTAGTGCGGGATGCAATTAGCAGCGGCTTACGGCAGCACGCCTCTGTCTCTTCTTTGCCTAATACCCGCTCCATTCGTTGCTGGAAGGTCAGACGAGGTGGCGTGTGAGTACACGCAGCTGAAAGCAGCTACTGGAAGAACTACAGAGCAAACAGGTACAGATAAACCCGCACAGCGGACGTACCTGCGGAGTGCTGCGGTGCGGCAATAAAACTCCAGCCGCACCGGAGCCCACAAATTGCTGATCAGCCTCGCACGGTCTGCCACACGCAGTGAAGCAGGTAAATAATAAAGATTAAACAAGAAAAAACACAACAATACAAATCACGTTAACAGGAGGAAAAGAAAACGTCAAAAGAGTTCTGGCGGCGTAGCGGCTCCGCAATCCGTCGTGTGCATGCACTCTCGACAGCACAGTGACTGCTGTTGGAGGGAAATCTATCACCCTTTCATCAGCCGCACCGCACCTCATCGAAATAATAATAATAGTCGAAGATGGATCACAGAAGTGTCGTGCTACTTCATCGTGTACAACACAAAGCACGTTTAACGCGAGCAGCGAAAGAAGCGAGGGATAGGAAACCCGAAGTAACAGCGTGCAACGGCCTAGATCTCGCCGTAGATGGAGGAGGCGGTGCCCCACACCACACCGATCACACCGACAATCAGCAGAAGGTAGGTGGAAAAGTAGTGGAACCAGCCAACGGAGGAGAAGGTCCAGTTACCGGCATACATCATCATAAACGCTGGGTAGATGAAGCCGATGAAGCCGCCGCAGAACCCGCCGACGAGACCGAAGACGACGTTGATGCTGGGAATGAACAGGCCAGCAACAAGCGAAAGAAGTGCCAAAAAGGTGCACACACACGCGTTCTTCCACCACGGAAGCCTGTGCACGTCGGCGCGGAAGCAGTAGTAGACCGCCTGGCGTACCGGGATCATGTGCAGGCCGTAGCCGACGCACAGCTTCAGCATAATGCCACCGTAGCCGACACCCATCAACGGATCCTGCACAGGGTTGTACATCTTCAGGGCGGAGGTGGTGACCTTGGGGCCGAAGTCGAGGTAGCCGAAGAGGCCGGCGAAGAGGTACAGCACAAAAACGATCGCCACACCGACGGAGGCCCCAAGAGTGAGACGGAGCGGGGAGGGCTTGTAGAGCTCCTCCGCCACCTCCATCGCATTCAGCTGCGAGAGGAACGCGAAGACAAACGTGGTGAGGCCACCGATGGCGGTGTTGCCGGTGTTGACCATTTTGATTTCCGGGCGGGGGTGCTGGCGGAGACCGTTCTGTGCGCTGTGCACCACCATGCAGACGACGAAGAAGATGATGAAGAGCACCGCCACACAGGAGAAGTAGCGCAGCGTGTTGATCTCCTTCAATAAGGTCAGCGGCAGCATAAAGAACAGCCACACCGCCACGGTCAGCACACGCTGGCCCCAGATGCCCCTCAAAAAGTCTGGCGTGTTAGGGGAATCCTCGAGGAACGCAGTGAGAACATCCTTCAGGGAAATGACGTAGGAAAGCTCGGCGCCGAAGCTGAACAGCCACATACAGAGGGCGAGGAAGTAGTCCGCACCGGGGCCCAACAGCGTGCGGACGATCATCTCGTAGCTGCGCAGTCCCGTCTTCTGCGCTGCGAAACCAAGCAGGTAGTAAGAGTAGACGGTGAGGTAGGCGACGACCACCATGTAGATGAGACCCATCACTAGACCGGACGAGTTGAACGCCAGAGGCATCGCGATGATGCCGGCACCGATGGACGAGCTCGCCAGGTTCAGCCCCGTCGACAGCAGGCCACCGTAGGGGACGGCTTTGCCGAAGTACTTCTGGAAGACGTTGGCGGGGATGCGGCGGCGTGCAATGCGGTCCGCACGGATCTGGTCCTGGCGCTCGATCTCACGCTGCGGGTCGTAGCGGTCAAAGTCGTAGGCGTCCGCGCTGTCGGGGGAGCTCGTCTCCTCCACGCCCTTCGCCTCCTTCATCGCGTACCCGTCATCGACCACGTCGAGTTCCCCTTGAAGGGCCATCGGATCGACGGTGAGCTGGTTGCCGTTGCGGGGCTCCTCTCGAAAGGGTTGGTTTGCCTCTGAGCTGCTCATTATGAATGAGGCACGTGAAGAGAAAGTGTCGGAGTGCACAGGGCAAGTGTAGCGTGGGGACAACCAGTGTAAAGAATGTTCGTATTGACGCTCTTCAGCTCCTTTTCCCGGCGTTGGAAATGATATTTAAGTACTTACACCTTTTGCTCCTTCCTGTGAGGTGGGCGGCTCGCAGAGATCTGATGGGCTGCAAAAGAGGAGGCGTAAAAAGAAGGTGCTGTGTTCGGTGAACTTAAGGACTGCCGCAGCGGAACCACGCGCAGGGAGAGGAAGAGAGGACGTGGACGAGGAGACGGATGGAAAACAAAAGCCGCGTGTGAGCAGCGCAGCATGCTAACGCACCTACGTTCGCATGGGCATCGGAGAAGGAGAAAGCCACGACGGCATACGTGGAAGTTGAGGAGACGGTCAAGGCAGCGAACGGTATTGCGCGGCGCAGTAAGGATCAGGGTACCTGTTATTCTGTCCAATACATCCGCTGCTTTTTACCTTTCACTGCCTTTGAAGCTCCTCTTCGTGGGGCTACCGTGACGCAGATCGCGTAATCGGTACCGGAGGAAAGACACCTGCCCCATTCCCTTGCGAACAGAGTTGCTTACCATTCTCAGTGTGATTCTTCAGCAGCTTTTCTCACGCGCGACACGAATCGACAGACGTAACGATACACTTGAAGTAGAGGAAAGAAACAACGAAGAGAAGCTTTACAACAGCGGTGAACGAATTTGGAGACCTGCGTTTGACGACCCGCTAAGAGTGGGTTATAACGAAGTTTGACCGGTAAAACAGAAACGGCCAATGAAGGACGCACAATAATGAAAAGCAACCGGCGCTTCGCATTTGTGCAGACGTTGGTGGCGGAACCGTCGATGGAGGAGAGGAAAAATAGAGATGAGAAGGAGGCGCATCAAGCTTTGCCACCGTTGACCACTGTACGGTGACTCGTAGTGGCCCGCCGTTTTCTCTTCTCTCGTCATCACGAAGCCCACGACGCACTGCCCGACCAGACTATAACCCGGTGACGCCTGCCACTCAGCAGAACGCATTTCTTTGAAAACAATTAGAAAAATAATAAAAGCATCACACATGAATATATGTGTGGACTATTTCCTTGTTTTTCCTTTGTATGCTACGCTCACAACAACGCGAGTAGCGTTGGTATCAGGAAGGTTTTGTTTCTTTGCCGGAAAGAAAAGAAGAGAAGGCGCGAACGGAGACAAGACAGCAAATTCAAACGGGAGAAGAGAAGAGATCAAAGTAAGCGGTGCTCCTTGTCGAATTGGCTGCTTGCACAGAGGAAGGAAAGCACTTGAGTCAAGAAATGAAAACGCACTGACAATAAAGAACGCTGAAAGCAGCACAGTGAAGTACGAAGGGAGAAAAGAAAAGGAAGTAAAAACGAAAACGCGGGTGCCGCCCTACGGTGAAGCTGTGTGGGCGGAAGCAGCGGTAAGTACCATAGGAGAGGCAGTGCGAGAGGGAAGAACGCGTATGATTTCGTTGACGGCGCCTCACGGTGAAGTTGTGGGTTGTGACCGACGTACGCAATCAAAGGCGATGACGTGTATAATGCGCTAGCACGTGTCTCCCCATCAAGCGTCCCGCGGAATCGTTGAAGTCCGCCCTGTTTTCCTGGTTTCTCAAGCTCGCGTTGCACACACACACAAGGCTGCTACGAATGCTCTCTGGTCCGCGACGAGGTGAGTGCATCGGCGCGAGTAAGCGAGTGGAAACGTACGGCACAGAACAAGAACATCCTCGCAGGAGCAAGGAGACGGAAACGGCAGAAGACGAAGACCGCCTGCCCCATAAATAAATAATGTCGATTCATAAAAGTAATAAAAGAAAACACAATCGGCAGCGCTAAAGGAAAAAAACAGAACAAACAACAACAAAACAAGAGAGAAGGGGAGAAGCGAGAAGTGAAAAACGAGCTCTGCGACTGCATTGTAAAACTACGAATCGCCGTTGTAACGCACATCGCCTGAGAGAGGCCTGGCACGTGGGAAACAAGCAACCAACAGGGGAGCTGCGTGCGTTTGGATAACGTTTGCGCGCAGGTTTACAACGATGTTTAACACCTTGAAGAAAGAAAAAGAAAACAAGAAGAGAGGGAAACGTGGCCGGGGACGCCCCGCTGCGTCCAACAAAGCCTTCGTCGTTGTTTGACAACGCTTCCCGTTCCTTTCCAAACGCACAGTTCATAGGCCTTCGTCTATGGTGTCGACATCAGCGCTTAGATCTCGCCGTAGATGGAGGAGGCGGTGCCCCACACCACACCGATCACACCGACAATCAGCAGAAGGTAGGTGGAAAAGTAGTGGAACCAGCCGACGGAGGAGAAGGTCCAGTTACCGGCATACATCATCAACAGCGAAGGGTAAATGAAGCCGATGAAGCCGCCCGAGAAGCCGCCGACGAGACCGAAGACGACGTTGATGCTGGGAATGAACAGGCCAGCGATGAGGGACAGCACCGCCATGGAGGTGCACACACACGCGTTCTTCCACCACGCGATGGTGTGCACATCCACGTGTATGCAGTGGTAGATGGCATCACGCACCGGGATCATGTGCAGGCCGTAGCCAACGCACAGCTTAAAGAGGATACCGCCATAGCCGACACCCATCAACGGATCCTTCACAGGGTTGTACATCTTCAGGGCAGAGCCCGTCATGTCCGGACCGAAGTCGAGGTAGCCGAAGAGGCCGGCGAAGAGGTACAGCACAAAAACGATCGCCACACCGACGGAGGCACCAAGAGTGAGACGGAGCGGGGAGGGCTTGTAGAGCTCCGCGTAGCACTCATACGCGTTCAGCTGCGAGAGGAACGCGAAGATGAAGGTAGCGAGACCAGCGATGGCGGTGTTGCCGGTGTTGACCATTTTGATTTCCGGGCGGGGGTGCTGGCGGAGACCGTTCTGTGCGCTGTGCACCACCATGCAGACGACGAAGAAGATGATGAAGAGCACCGCCACACAGGAGAAGTAGCGCAGCGTGTTGATCTCCTTCGGCAGACACAGTGGCAGCATCACACACAGCCACACAATAAACGTCAGCAGACGCTGGCCCCAGATGTTGCGAAAAAACTCCGGGGAGCTGTCCGAATCCTCCAGAAACGCGGTGAGGACGTCCTTCAGGGAAATCGCGTACGACACCTCCGCACCGAAGCTGAGAAACCACATACAGAAGGCGAGGAAGTAGTCCGCACCGGGGCCCATCAGCGTGCGGACGAGCTGCTCGTAGTTCCGAAGACCTGTTTTGTGTCCCACCTGTCCGAGCAGGTAGTAGGAGTAGATGGTGAGGTAGGCGATGACCACCATGTAGATGATGGACATGATGATGCCCGAGGCGTAGAAGGCAGATGGCAGGGCGATGATGCCGGCACCGATGGACGAGCTCGCCAGGTTCAACCCCGTCGACAGCAGGCCACCGTAGGGAACGATGTAGCTGAAGTACTTCTGGAAGACGTTCGTGGGGACGCGGCGGCGCTTGAGGCGCTCGGCACGAATTTCATCCTCGCGGTCGATGTTGATCTGCGGGTCGTAGCGCTCGAAGTCGTAGAGGTCGCCCTCATCGGGGGAGTTGAGGTCCTCCATCCCCTTCGCCGTTTTCGTCGGGTACTCCTCCCCCGGGTACTCCACGCCATCTTGAAGGGCGGTGGCGACATCGGTGTTTTCGCGCTCGCCCTGGCGACGCTCGTCTTCGTACGGCTGATTTGGGTGAGCTCCACTCATTGTGTAAGAAAGGAAAGAAGGGAGGAAGTACGGTAGCGAACACGAAGAGGACGGCGAGGTATTGAACGAGCTGGATTCAAGACGGCCTCGTAAAAAGCACAGCTCCGTGCTTCGCTTGTCTTCCCTTTTCTTGTAAGAGATACTTTAACTGAGCAAAGTACAAAAGAAATTGGCGCAAGAGACGAAAGCGATGATTTTTTTAATGGAAAGTGTTTTTGTCTTTTCCCCAGAGCAGTGCGCGACGGGGAGGGAGTGGTTGTAAGAAGCAGAGAACAGAAGGCCCAGAGAGAGGATGATAGTTGTTCGATTCCGTTGTGGTCGCGACAGCTTTCGTGGGCTTGCTCATAGCCGCTAAAAAGGTGTTGCTCGATACGTCCTCATCAAGAAGGCAGAGAGAGAAAAGCGCGGTCAGGGTCAGAACGTGTGGCGAATTAATCCTCCACAACAGAGGAAGTTAGCGCTCTTCTCTGCCATAAGAAGTGCAATCGCACTCCAATCCGGTCCCAGTTGCTCCATTAGCACAATTCGGTTTCCATGATTTCCAGTTGTTGTCGATGATTTAATGAAGATATATGTATCAAATCATGAAAATCCGCGATTCCTATTTCTTTGAAACGTTCGAAGGAGGCAGTCAACTGTGCAGAGCCGCAAACCGGCGTTGCGCAGACACACACGCACTCAAACAAGAAAAAGGACTGCTGCCCACCTTCATAGACGTATGGAACCAAAGAAACGGAAAAGAAGAAGTTAGCATGAGAGTCGTCCTTCGTCTCTACTTCTTCCGGCTTTACAATAAAACTCAAGGCACTATATATTGTAGCGTACTTTCGTACATGTCGCGGCAGGACAACAGTGCGAGTAAGCAGGTCAGCGATCTGATACAGCTGTTAAAGTAGGTGAAGAGAAAGAAAGGGAAAAAAAAAGAGAAGTCACCTTCTTTAATGGCGAGCTGAAACGGCAATTCCAACACACACACACACACACACATCTATATAGAGTCTGTTTACAAGCTCGCGGGCGTGTATTGGAAAGGAAAAATCTTACGTCACTGAGCTCGACATGATTGCCCCCTTTGAGAGGTTTGTTTTTTAAGGTCGATGAACAGCAGCGACTTTTTGTTTGTTTTTACGATTAAGCGGGGCTGACACCAGAGAAAGGGTTGTACAACAAGAGGTCGCAGCCACCGTCACTTTTACGTACCTTCTCCTTCACACTTGACTTTTTTTATATATCTCGTCGTGCTGTGCGTTGCGCCTTCTTGACGGTGTCGCTTTGAAAGGCTAGCGGGTCCTTGTGGCGCGACGACCGCAAACCGCAGTGCACAAAACGCCAAGACTCTCTTCAAGTATGAAGGGAAGTGAGAAAGGAGAGAAAGAACAACAAAAAGAAAAGGTGCTGACAAGAAGAAAAGAAATGGGAGGGAGCCCGTGAGAGTCGTCGTTGCCGCCCTGCGAAAGAAGGCCCCGGGTGTGACTCGGCACGGACTGCGAGATCACAAATGCCGTTGCGCAGGTTCTCTCTCAGCACATCGCCGGCCTTCGCATGGGCAATCCCTCGTGTCGTTTCCACGCAAACACAATCGACAAAAGTAAAACTTAAAAGAAAATAGAAACAATATCGCGTGGGAAAAAACAACATAACAGTACTTTTGGAAAACCTAAAACATCAACGAAACACTCACTGCAGCAGAGTCCACATCGACACGGCAACGAAAGCTCTTGCACCTCCGTTGCCCCTCCTTTCCTCCTTTTTCCAGCATCAATGCGCCATCACCTCGCCGTAAATGGCAGCGGCGGTGCCCCACACCACAGCAATCACACCGGTAATCAGCAGCACATAGGTGGAGACGTAGTGGAACCAGCCAACGGAGGAGAAGGTCCAGTTGCCCGAGTACATGTACATGAGAGCGGGGTAGATGTACCCGATGAAGCCGCCCGAGAAGCCGCCGACGAGACCGAAGACGACGTTGATGTTGGGTACGAAGAGGCTGCAGATCATCGACAGCGACGCCATAGAACCGCACACACACGCGTTCTTCCACCAGGAGATGTGATGGACATCGGTGTGGAAGACGTGGTATATGGCATCCCGCACCGGGATCATGTGCAGGCCGTAGCCGACGCACAGCTTCAGCATCAGGCCCCCGTAGCCGACGCCCATCATCTTGTCTTTGATTGGGTTGTACATCTTCAAGGCGGAGCCGGTGACTTTGGGGCCGAAGTCAAGGTAGCCGAAGACGCCGGCGAAGAAGTACAGCGTAAAGCAGATCATCACGCCAATCGTCGACGCGATGCTCATGCGCTTCACCGAGAACTGGTACATCTCGCCCGCCACCTCCATCGCGTTCAGCTGCGAGATGAACGCGAAGAGGAACGTGGAGAGGCCGACGATGGCGGTGTTCCCGGTGTTGAAGTAGATAATCTCCGGGCGCGGCTTCTCCTGCAGCCCGTTCATGCCGCTGTGAATCACCATCGTAATGGCAAAGTATACGACGAACGCGATGGCGATAGAGGAGAAGTAGCGCAGCGTGTTGATCTCCTTCGGCAGGCACAGCGGCAGCATAAAGACGAGCCACAGCACAAAGGTCATCACACGCTCACCAGGGAGGGTCCTGAGGAAGTGCGGGGCGGACGGTGAGTTTTCCAGAAACGCGGTGAGGACGTCCTTCAGGGAAATCGCGTACGACACCTCCGCACCGAAGCTCATAAACCACAGGCAGAAGGCGAGGAAGTAGTCCGCACCGGGGCCCATCAGCGTGCGGACGATCTGCTCGTAGTTGCGCAGCCCCGTCTTCTTGGCGACGATGGCCAGCAAGACGTAGGAGTAGATGGTGAGGTAGGCGATGACCACCATGTAGATGAGCGCCATGATGATCCCAGAGGCGTTGAAGGCAGAGGGCAGGGCAATGATGCCGGCACCGATGCAGGAACTGGCCAGGTTAATACCCGAGGACAGCAGGCCGCCGTAGGGGACGACGTAGCCGAAGTACCGCTGGAAGACGTTCACTTCGGTGCGGCGCCGCATCACGCGTATCGCGCGCTCCTCGTCCATGCGAGCCACGCGGTTCTGCGGGCTGCAGCTGTCGAAATCGTAGGGGTCAGCATTGTCGACAGAGGCGTTCACGGGCGAAATCTTCTTCTCCGGCACCGGCGCGGAGTCAGAGAAGGGCTCCGCCTCCAGATATTCCGCCCCATCGCCCTCCGGCGCGTCGTATTCCCAGTTCTTGTGGCGCTCATCTGCGCCGCTCTTCGCATTTGGTGATCCACTCGACATGGCGTTACCCCGTGCGTGCAAGACGGAGTTGAGGAGAATTGAGTGGGTGCGGTAGAGCCGTAGCCAAGACGAAGGAGAGCTTTCAGAGGGGGAGGGGACACCGATGTGCACTTAGGACCACTTGTGAGATAAGAGAAAAGAAAGAAAAAGCGCCTGTTACCTGCTTTTGTTGTTCGTGCTGTTACTTTGGCCGGCAAGCCACGTTCATACCCGTAAAAGGAGAGGGGACGGTGCACGTGTGTATGCAAAGGCACAATAAATAGAAAAGGAAGCAAGCGTGGGTGAACAGGAGGTGTTGTCGATAACGGTAGAGAACGAAGACGTGAGCAGAGGAGAGGTTGTAATTGGTGCCTTCCGCTTGAAGCGCTCACAGCGTAGCACGGAAACCGTTGTTGAGAAACAGGAAACCGCGATCTTTTGGTCCGCGATGACGAGAGCCGCGCGCCTCTCCGTTATCTAATGTGAGTCACTGTCGTTGAGACCCTCTCTCCCCACTGTCTGCGTCTCTCGCGTCCTCGCTTTACCACAGAAATTGATTGCGGCTCTGCCACTCAACAAATCAATAAATGGATAAAATTCGTCTAGTACAGCACACACACAAGTTGGGTTCAGTGCGGTGATCGCTTCGAGTGACGGCGCAGAGTGCATTCACGAGTCGGAAATGATTCCTTCAGGAATTGAGGTTGGAAGAGCAAACGGTGAGACAGAGAGAGAAAGAAACACCGCAACCACGAAAAGCTGCAAAGTACCGAAATAAGATGTAAAGAACATATAGCGGCCATCAGCAAACGGCAGTAGCCCCCTTTTCACTCCGATGTGGTGTGTCGTACACTATCCGCGCCGGTCATGCGGCTAGTAGATGTAGACGCGCTTGAGCGAGGCCAGCCGGGCCGCGGGCACCTCCATCGCAGTGAGCGTGTCCAGCAACGACGCCACATCTACCTTCACGGCGGGCAGGACAGAGGGGAATGCCTTGCTTCCATTGGACGGTCCATCCGTTGCGGCAGATGGGGCGTCCTCCTCGCTGGACAGCGAGAGCGCAGGGACAGGTTCGGCGCTGGTTGGCGACGTCACCGTGTCACGGATGCCGCTCTCGCCGTCCTTGCGTGTCCGCAGAATCGCCACGGCCAGCAGCATCTCCAGCCCCAGCGCGTAGCCCTCCGCGTGCACTGCCACAGCTGAGTATGTCGCCAGCAGATTATATAAATCACTGCCAAAACTGCCTTGCAGCTCGGTGCAGACACGCGTGAAGGACATGGCCACTCGTTGGTGCTGCCGCAGCTCCGCAATCAAGTTGGTGTGTGCGCGTCTAGCCTTCTGCAGACCGGCTTTGATGTCCGCCTCGCTCATCGTGCTCGGGTACTCGTGCTGCAGCACCGTCTGACTCGCCATGATGAAGAGGAGCTCCTTCAGTGGGGCTTCAGCGTCGCGCAGGGCATCCGCCGCCGCCTTCTTGTGCTGCTCGATGCTCTCACTCGGCACAACACCGGTTCGCTGGGTGTCGTAAGGGATGTATACCTTCGTCTTGCTCACCTCAAGGTAGCGCTCCACGATGGTACGCGTCGCCACTGCGCCGGAGTCGGCCTCCGTGGTCAGCTGATCCGTCGTGTACTGCAGCGACTGCTCAATCAATGTCATGAGCGAAGCGGCTGCGTCCACAGTCGGAGAGGACTCGCCCCGCGCCCTCAGCAACTCCTCCAACGTTGGCGGCTCATCGGTCAGGGACTCCTCCACGGCCAGCGGGGGAAACACGTAGAACAACCAATTGCGCCGGTGCAGCTCGCGGTACTGTAGCACGTCGGTAAAGAGCTGCCGATACCACTCCGCTCTCTCGTTGATGCGGCCACCGGCGATGAGAAGGCCGTAATGGCGGATGAACTCTGCGATGGCGATGCCCACCTTGGACTCGATGTACACGCGGAAAAGCGGCTTCAGTTGCCGCCATAGCTGACGCGCCTTCGCCTGCAGTAGCTGCTCTAAGACGGGCCGGTCAGTGTGCGGCGGCCACGTCAGCAGCAGCCGGCGCTCGACTCGCATCCGGCGCCGAGCGATGGCAATGAGCTCGTCCCAGTTCTCGACGAACTCCACCGCGCCAACCTGCGCCGACAGCAGCAGGTTGTCGGGTGTCGTGCAGTCAAGCCGGAACGCCAGGCGGCGCGGGTTAATCTCAAAAATGTCCATCTCATCCAGGTGCGACGGCGGTGGGTCGCTGGCAGCGGTGGCGGCCTGAAGGGCGGCACTGCGGTAGCGCGCGGTGGCACCGGTGGCGTACCAGTCCAGCAGCGGGAAGGGGAGCGTGGCCTGCGTCTGCGGGAAGAGGTTCATGATGTGGTGGCCGCAGCGGCGCAGCTTGCTGACGAGGTCACCGTCGGGTGGCGGCACCGCACCGCGGCGGAGGGCCTCGAGCAGCGCCTCCACCTTTGGCACCACCTCCACGCACTGGCAGCAGAAGGAGACCCAATCGCGCACGCAGGCGTCGCTCTGCGCTGAGGTCGTCTTCGCTGGCCTCTGCGCCTCCACCTTACGCAGCACCGAGGAGAAGGAGAATTCGTCCAGGTGGGTGAGTTCAATGCGGTAGAGTCCGTTGGGGGCCGTCGGTGAGTTGAACGAGTCGTCAAACGAGCGCCCGGTCACACTTATGCAGTCCATCAGCTCAACGCTCGGCACGCGGCGCACGGGCGACTCCAAGGCAACGGGCGGAGAGACAAACGACATGTTCCAGTCTATGGCGGCTGACGCATCGGAGAGGCCGTCCTGCGCTCCGCTGCCCTCCCAGCCCCGCCGCGTGGCGCTCTGCACGGTGATCTCCCGCGCCTTTGCGTCCACCGTCACCTCACACGCCTCCTGCATCGCGGCGTGGTCGAGCACCTCCTCGCTGGCCGCTTCGGCCATTCTCGCACGCGGCGCCACGCTCTCCCGCATCTTTATTGCAGCCCCATTTGCAATACCAGCCGCTGTACCGGGAGGTGTGGTCTTTGACGGAGTCGCGGCAGCAATCGGGTTGCCATCCTTGTCCACGCCGAACTCCTCCATCATCTCCATTTGTTTGATGGACAGCCCGCTGTTGAGTGCGGTGATGCAGCGCGCAAAGTAGCCCTCAACGGTGGTGGCAAAGCGCTCGTAGTTCTGCGGATTGTCGCAGTCGTTGCTGCCGCCCATGTCCACCGGCAGCACCGACGCGTCGATGCGCTTCAGCAGCTCGCCGTTACGTATGTCGCTGGCGGAGAAGAGAAAAATGCAGTCGCTGATGGAGCTGGGCAGCTGCCGGAGCAGCGGCTTCATGACGAAGGTGAGGGCACCGCTCATATTGCAGATGTACATGCGGCTCACCACCCCGGGGAAGAACTTGCTAATGCGCAGGGCCATGTCCTTCTGGAAAATAAGATCCGTGTTGCGCAACAGCGAAGCGTTCTTTTGGTTAATCAACCACGTCACCATCGCGCTCGGGTTCTTCTTGTCGCAGCGCACGGCCCAGCTGAGGAACATGTCCAAGTTTGCCTGCCGCTCCGCTCGCTGCTCCGCCTTGGGGTGATCACGAGCAGTATTGAAGTAGAAGGTGGGGTGGCCCTCCAAGTCACGGCCGATGTACTGCACAATGCCGGCACGCATAGAGCCGCGGAGGAAGTCGGTGATGGTGTACTTGGAAAAAACGGTGCGCTCCATGTTGTCGCGGCGCTGCAGCTTCGCGATCGTCTCCTTGATGTCGAATTTCTTGTTGGACAGAAAGAGGTAAATCCACCCGTCGAGGTAGCGGTGGTGCACGCCCACCGCCTGCTTCACCACCTCCAGCTCCGCCACGTGCTCGCGGGGGACCTGGAACATCGATGGGCGGACGCAGTGCAACTCTGCAGTAGGGAAGACAGGAAGGAGAAAGAGCAGAGCCGATGCTATATAGAGAGCAACGCCCTTTCTCGCTCGCTCGCTCTTCGTTGAAGACGCTTAGGCCTATAAGGATAGCAGTGAGGGGCGATTCTGCTGCTGCGGGGAGTCGTTGACGATGCAACGACCGAAAAATGCGTTGTCGATACCCAGCAGCACCGCTAACGTAGAACTGTTACGATGTGTAGGAAGGTAGGGGAAAAGTAATGTGTGTTTACTACCGATGAAAAAAACAAAACAAGTAAAGCAAAAGGGTACTTCAGAATAGCGACAGCATGTGAACGACAATTTATTTGGACTCCGCCTCCGGCGTTCTCTTCTTCAAAAACAAGAAACGATCAGTCTTGACGTGCTATCTCTTGCACCTGGCGTATCCTCTGGTAAAGGAGGAGGAAGCACTAACAAGCTAAACAGCGATCGCCAACTGTGCCCCACCGTCCCACCCGTTCAGTAAAGATGCAATCCGAATTTGTTCCCACTTTGGGGGACTTTTTGATAGGCAGCTGTGAGTCGAGAATTTCAGAAGGGGAGAACTAATAGTACCGACAAGTTGGGGGGGGGGGGGCCGAGAACCTCGGAGTATTTTAAGTTCTTCACGTTAACGCGTTGTGTGCTGCGAGGGTGCAGAAAGGAGTGCCGACGCCTCTCCTCTGCCCTCAGGGATGCTGGAACCTGAAAGGAAAGAAAAACGCATCAAGGAAGGGTAGAGGAGGAAGTCACCGAGAAGGAAAAGCGACGACAAGCGAAGGCGCCACAGTATCAACGGAGATTGTCACCGCATAAAACAGACGCTTGTCTCCAGTTACTTCGGCGTACTCACTCGTGAAGACAGAGAGGAGTAATTCTAGCAGTAAAGAAGCTGCCGCGAAATGGGTAACACACGTTACGCATCCATCATGCAGAGGACGACCTCAACACGGCTTCAAAGGTGGACCAGCATTTCGTCACGGCAGAATTATGCCTTAGGCCTTCTATTATATTGTTATCTTTCTACCGCATATGAATACGGCAGTTGCATCAAACACAGATGGCTCAGAACTTTCATAAAACGAAGAGCGCAAACAAGCGATTCCGTTTCGGCCTCCTTTTCACATCATCGCAGCAAGGTCCTCTGCAGTCAGTTCTGGAGGTTCAGCGGGGGAAGAGAGCGCAGCGGCGTCCTGTGCCACCTCACGCTCTCGAACAGAAATGCCCGCTGCCTCTTCCCCTGTCTCGCGTGCAGCTTGGACAAGCGCTACTTGCACAGCCGGAGGGATGAGGAGGGGGAAGGCGGCAGAGGCACGGAGAAGCACGCGCAGGCCGTCCGCCATGGCCCGTTCTCTTCCCCTACTTTCTCTTTCAGCCAATTCTTTGCGCTGTTGCTGGAACCATTCGTGTGGTACGCCAAAGCACTCGTAAAGGTCCTCGTACGAGGTCAGGAGCGCTCGCACGGCAGCAGCGTTGCCTTCGGCTTGCAGAAGCCGCGCATGGGCGACGACGGTAGAGCACGTGCCGGTGATCATCTTCTTGGCTGGCTGCCCCTTCCGCAGCCGACTCCACAACGTGCGAGCCTGCGCATTCGTCTCCGCCGTGTGTGCGTTCAGCAAAGCCGTCATGACGGCGGCGATGGTGGCGGGGGTGTCCTGCACGTGGTAGCGTCCTCTATTCCTCTCGTACACCTCCAAGGCGTGTGGGCCGGGGCAGCAGGCGAGGTACGCGTTCCACACGTGCGTGTTGGACAGCAGCTGCCTTGCGTGGCGCGTCACGCCGGCGTCTGTAATGTTGTCAGTCGCGGCTTGCAGGTCCAGCAGGGAGGCACCGCAGCGATGCAGCGCGCGTAGGTACTCCCCCCACGCCAGAGCAGGCATGTACGCCAGCGGCGCTGCTTTTTTCTTCTCGTGGTAGTAAGAGGAAGGCATGGAGCGCCGAATGCAATAGCGATCAGCGAAGCGCTGCAGCTGCTGGGTTGAATTACGAAGAGGGGTATCCACACCTTCCCGCAGGCCCACAACGGAGAGCAGCGGAGCGGCCACCACTGGACTCCACAACGGACCGTCGTGATCCTTCTCATCCACCACCCCACCGCCTCCGGTGCTTTCCGCAAGTGCTCGGTGAGCCGCGTCACAAAAGAGCTCCGCCTCTTCGAGAGTGGGCAGAAGCGCGGCATTCACGGCAGACGCCCAACGCAGCGTGTCGAAGAGCAGAGCTACAAAGTGTGAGGAGTCGGCCACGTGCAGCATTGCAGGGTCTACGGCTGACGGTGATGCGGCGGCAGGGAAGTTTGCCAGCGACGGCCACTGCGCGTGCAGCCACAGCACGAACGGAGCGGCGGTGCTCCACTCTCGGTAGCAGCTCAGCGAGAAGACAACAAACAGAGCCACGCTCTTCTGCAGCTCCCGGGAGTGCTTCAAGGCGCGCAACGCGGCGGTGAACCCGCAGCACAGCCGGTCCATCTCCACCGGCGTCGTCGCGGCACGGAAGCTGCGCGACTGCACAAACGCGAGAAGGCGCTGCACGGCGGGCGGGGGTCGACGCGGTAATGCACGTTCAATCACTTCCGGCGACAACTCCGGTGGGGTGCGGGCTTCACGAATCACGCAGTGCCGCACCACATCGACGGAGCGAATCTTTTGGCGGAGACGTGCATCAGTGGCAGCGGCACTGCGCCACGCGCCGAACTCGATGGGGGCGACGCACGAAGCGGACTGCCCTCTCGACGCTTCCAGAGATCGACGCGGCAGCGCCTCGTCCGATTGCATGAGTGAAAAGTGAGAAGCCGCCGTTGCTTTCCCGCTGTACTTCGCCTCCAGCTCCAGGGCCAGTGCCGTGAGCTCGCGGGAGGCGGTGAGGACACTCGAGCTGCGGGTGAGGGCCGCCTGTGCGCTCGGTGCGACTTCTACAGCGTGGCGATGCATCATCGCCGCACTTTGCGCCTCAAGGAAAGCGTTGATGTACTGCTCCTTGTGATAGGAATTCGTCGTCTCCTTGCTTTCCTTCAGATGACGTGTACGCCAATGCTCCACCTTCCGCGACGTGGCCCTCAGCTGCTTGGACGGCGTGTCCAGCACAAAGTTGAGGAGGGAACAACGTGTGCGCTGCATTGCAAGAGCTCTGCAATTTTCAAGGCGTGCGTTCTTGATAAACTACCTTCAAGGGCCAAGGAAGAGAATACATCACAAAGAGAGGAGGAGGAGGAGAGGGAGGGGGGGGGGAGGAGGAGGGCACAACACGTGAAGAGAGGCGACAGGTGATGAAGGATACGGTGCGGCAGATGCGTGAGAACGGCAACAGCAAAAACGGTTCTAAAGGTCATCAGCGGCAACGAGTGAGATGATGTGTGATTCACACGAGAAGAGCACGCAGGACGCTTGACCGCCTCGGAGCTTAGAGGAAGCAGCCAATTGTATCGCCGGCTCTAACAATTTCCCTTCAGCGGACAACACTCGACATTATTTTTTTTTAAGTTGGAGCAGAAAACCAACATAAAAAAGTGCACGTGAAAGCGTCGTTTGAAGACAAACAGAAAACGCAGGCACCAGTGCCAGTTGGGTTGTGCAAGAGGTTGTGCCGTTGTGGGCCTCGAGCGTCTTCCCCGCCTGTTCGCCTCTTCACAGAGCGAGCTCCGCGCGTAGGGCATCCAACTCGCGAATGTGCGACGCGGTGAGTTCGGTCTGGCGCCGCAGTTCTGCGACGTCGACGCGCAGTCGGGTGAGACGGCGTCGACGGCAGCGGTGCGCCGGCGCCTCAACAGCGCTCCACACAAAGGTTGCGGCACCACCTGAGAGGCTGTCCCCTCGCGAGGGCCACCGCTCCGCGTACTCCCACGGCCCAACGGACCAGTCCTTCAGCTCTTTCACCAGGCTCCGTACCCGCGCTGTCGCGGACGGCAGGGCGCCCTCCTCCTCCGCCCAGATACTCGCTTCCCGCTCCGTTGCCCAGCGCCACTCTGGTGTCCTGGTGCTGCGCGTGCTACCCGCCGTGCGATTGAGCCAGTTCAGGTCCACCACCGAGCCATCTCGCTCGTCATCGTACGGGAAGGTCGCGTGCAGCCTCCACTCCGCCTCGCTGGACGTGCGCTCCTCGTTGCGGTAGACCGTCGTCAACGCGTAGGGGTGCACGGCGGCCATGTCCCGGGCCTGCTGCAAGCGAAGATCCGCCAGCTCCAGTCGACACTTGTCCTGCTCCTGCACCTCCGACAAGCGCGGTGGCACCTGCAGGGTGGCGAAGTACTCGGCAAAGTTGAAGCAGTCACCGTAGGTCGACGTCTCGGCTCGCCACGCCACCACGGAGCGGTATTTGGCGACGAAGCCGACGGAGTGCACCCCCTCCGCCACATCGGCGGTCGTGTTGGTGAGAACGGCGGTGGTGGTGGTGGCCGGGTGGGTCTCGTGACGGCCCCGTGGTGACGCCGGACCATTGCCGTTGCGATGGGGCTGCTGCGCCGCAGCCGCCTGCTCCAGTGCATCCTGCTCCACCGAGAGACGGATGTAGAGGTCGTTGTGGCCGTCTTTCCAGTTGTACAGAATCGTGTTGCGCCCCAGCGGCTCGTCGACGTCGGTGAGGTGACGCAGCGCTAAATGGATCTCCTCCCCCCTTCGAGCAGGATTTGGGCCTGCAGTGCCCGTCTCAACCACACCCCGTGTCGTCGGTGTCGAGGTGTCCTTGGTGAGGAGGTTCATCTGCGCCTCCATGTAGGAAGCCTGCATCGCATCCTTATCCGTCGCTATCGTGCGTGGCGGGAGAGAGGCCGGAGTGGAACCGAAGGAAGCCTTCGATGACTCAGCTGATTGGCCGCCTCTGCCCCTTCGCTGTTTGCTGTCCCCCGCACGGCTACCATTACCAGCACCGCTACTGTTATCGAGATCCTCCTCTTCCGGGAGTGACTCTGAGGAGGGCAGCCGATGCTGGCGACGGTGGCGGCGGCGATGGCTGCTGTGCCGACTCCCGCAGGATGCCGCGCACGACCCGCTGCGCTGCCGTTCGCCGTGGGCCACGCGGATCGGCATTGCAAGACTGACCGCCGCTGCTGTCCTGGCCGCGGTGGCGCTCACGACGGTGGAGGCTTCGCTGTTGCCGCTGCTGCTACGTGCATGGGCAGCGGGGGAGATGTGCTCTGCGGAAGGAAGCCCTTCCAGTGGAGGAGGAGGCACGGCAGGAGGTATCGGCGGTGAACCGCCTTCTGCCTCTGCTAGCTCCTTCTTCGCTGCCCCACCATCGGCGTCAGCGATGGCGGGGAGCGGCGTGGGCTGCACAGGTGGCTCCAGCGCCTCCTTACCCTCGCCGGTGAGGTGGAAGACGGCGGCCATGAGAGGACGGACAATGCTGAAGGGGTGAAAGGCCTCGGTCGCCGCGGTGGGTGGAGGTGCGTCTGCTCCGTTGGCCGACGCGTGGGGCGGCATGAAGAGGGAGGGGGCGGCTGCATCCCGTCGGACAGCGGATCCTGCGTCTGCCTTTGCTGATGCCGTCGGCGGGGCACCAGCTGCAGCCGATGCAGCAGAGGTATTACGACTGGGAGAGGCGTTGCCCGGAAAGAAAAAGGACGAGGACGAGGACGGTGCCCACTTGAGCATCGACGACGACCAGCCCTGGGAGGCACCACTGACCGTTGTGCTCGTGGCGCCCCACAGATACGACGAGGAGCGATGAGAGGTCGTCGTCTCGGCAGCTCCCTTCACAGAGCCACCGCCACCAGCGGTAGTAGTCATCTTCGTTTTGGAAGCGGAAGCTTCCGTAGACAGTTGGACAGGCAAGCCCTCTTTCGTGCGTGGTCGCCCCGCCGCTCCCGTCCTCCCCTCCTCCTCCTGCTCTTTCGCCACATCGCTGTCCGTCAGCGTGGCGATTCGCTCTGCAAACGGAAGCGGCACACTCAGCAGAGCCTCCTCATCCGCCATGAAAAGAAGGAGTCGGTTGTCGTGCAGGTCCGGCATGATGGAGACGACACCGGCCGCGACGGAGGGGGCCGCGTTGCCCGTCTCGTGCGTGCTGGAGGAGCTGGCCGGGCTGTACAGCTTCATGAGGACCGTGTAGGGCAGTGCAAAAGAGCTGCCGTTGTCCGCAGATGTAGCATCATTTGCTGGACTCTTTCCTTTACTCGACTCCAGTGGCGCTGCGTATGGTGGGTTGGAGGTGGGAGAGGTGTGGATGTCATCCAGCCACCCTTCCAAGTCGGCATCTCGGAATTTCCCCGGCTCCTCCTCCTCTGCCTTCAACGGCGCTGCTGAAGCTGATTGGACCGGAGAACGCACCGGTGTGTGTGCTGCCGGGGAGACCGCCGATGACGTCGTGCACCTCTGCGGCGCACGACCGAGCAGCAGCACTGTGTCATCATCCGTCACCGCGGCAATGCAGAACCACGACTGCGGCCCAACTCGATCGTCGTTCTGCATCGTCAGGCGGTGCCGCCCGAGTGGCACCCAGTGGATGATGAACTCCGAGGCCGCACGCGGTGGACTGCCGTAGCGGCCGCTCTTGCTGGAGGAGGACCCCGTGGTGCGGTAAAGGTTGCGAGTGTCGATGCGCTCGCCGGTGCAGGCCCGCAGCTGCCACAGCGTCAGCGCTGGCCGGGCGAGGAGGAGCGTCATGGGGAGTCCTACCTGATAGGGACGGGCGGCGAGGGCTACACCGGCCTCGCACACGTCGGTGGGTGCCGCCTCCTGCACGATCTTCACCTCCTCGAGTACAAAGGCTCGGCGAGGTCCCCACAACACCCGCAGTAGGGTGACGTTCAACTCGGCGGCGGTGCTGCAGTCCTGCTGCGTGGTGTCGGAGGGCAAGTCGTGCGAGCGGGAGCAGACGTAGACGCTCACGAGTGTGTAGCCGCGGGAGGTGGACAAACTAGTGAAGGCGTTGTGGCAGTGGTTGCACAGCTCTAAGCACGGCCCCACCAGCGTGACGCGGGTGGCGACGCCGCGATCGAGGTGGTAGGCTGCGCTCTCCTTCACCGGCACTTTCTCCATGGCGTCCACGACGTGGTCTTCCTCCTCTGGTCTTAGGTGCTGATTCAGTAGCGGTGTTCGCTGAGGGTGGCGCGAGTGACTCCCTTGGGCCGTGTTAAGGTCCTCGACAGTGCCCGGCTGACTTGGCACACGTCCGTCGGACTGCCTGAACCACAACGGCGCCTTCTCCAGCACACAGGGCACCTCTCTCTCCACGTCAAACAGCACCACCGTCCCCACCTCGTCCACGCTCGCCACGGCCGGCGTCAGCACCGCCGGGTGAAACGGTTCCGTGGCGATCTGCGTGCAGTGCAGACACACCACCTTGTTCATCTGGTGCCGCTCGTGGTGCAGGCAGAAGTGTGCCGCGCTGCTCATGACGGCGACGCTGTGCACCACCCGGTCGTTGCCGGAGGCCACACAGAAGTACCGACTCCACTTCGACAGCAGCGCCGCGTCGTCGACGAGGACCGGCTGCATCGCCGCGCAGAGGTACGACTCCCGCAGCTGGAAGTTACTGCGCGCCTCCAGCAGCTCAAACACGCCGCTGGTGGTGCTGACGCCGCGGATGGCAGCGGTGGTGGACGCGGTGGCCGATAAGGTCGTCGACAGAGGCGGGGTGCGTAGGGCGGCAGAGCCCTGCAAGAAGGACGCGGTAGTGTTCAGAGGGGGACTGAGGTGACGCTCGCGGTAGAGACGCACCCCGGACCGGTGCACCGTGACCAAGGTGGACATCCCGGCCATGCAGATGGAGTCGATGCGCAGGCTCGGAAAAGGGTCCAACACGGCGGCTGCGGGTGGGCGGAAGGGGGAGAAGCAGCAGACGTGCGGAGCGTAGAGCTTCTGTGTGCTGCCGAGCCCACGTCGCAGTCGACGGCGTGTGGAGGAAGAGGAGCCGCCTCTCCGTGATCGACCCGAACGGCTGGAGCGTGAACCATTAGGTGAGGCGGAGAGGGGCAAGGGAGGAGAGGAGGAAGAGAAAGGAGCGGCGGCAGTCCCCAACGCGCCTTGCGTGTCGTTTGGGGGCTTGAGATATGAGGGATTTTGCGGCATCGCGTCAACGCAGGCGGCGCCGATGCTTTAAAGCCTGAGAAGTCAACAAAACAAACAAAAGAGGAAACGAATAAAAGAAGAGTGAGTTCTTGAAAGCTGTGTTACAGAAATTCGGCGTTCAACGAGTATATATAAAAACATTAACAAACGGAGAGTCCCACGCAATGAGGTGAAGAAATCAACCAAAACAAGAAGAGAATGTTTGCAACTTACAAAACAAAGTACGTGGGTGTCGTCTGCGGTGCGACGTGCGGCCACCCGAAGAGCACGTCCAAAGGTTCTACCAGATGAATTTCCAACAACAGAAGGCCGTCGCTCCGAATAAACTAAAAGAGACAACGAAGCATGCAGTGAAGCACCTACCGATTCTGGCTAGAGATGCATTAGTGAAAAGAATGGATGGAAGTAAAGCAAGTTGTGGACAAGAAGGAGGGGGGTTGAGAGAGTGAGGTACGGCATTTAAAAGTGTGAGGCAAGACACAGAGAGCTGTGGTTATCGACAGCATGACGATGCCACATTGCAAACCGTCCAGGACTGCTTTCACGTCCGTTGCCTGGGAAGGAAGCACACACACACGCAGGCTCCTTCTCTCCCTTTCTCTCTTTCTGCGAACTTCTCACGCGCTCACCGCCATCGGCAAACACCGAAGTGGCCTCTAGCAGGCGTGTCTAAACTCTACACGTTTACTTGTCTTTCCGGCTCACCACTGAAAAGTAGGTGGAGCACGTCAGCACGCACACATACACATAGATCCACGAACACGATTTAAACAAAGAAGGAGCGAGCGCCCTCTACGGCGTTGCGAACAACACAACAAAACACTCAAGAAAGAAAAATAAAAGGAGAGGAAGAATGACAATAAAAGGGAGGAATGAAGAATGCCCCTCGCTGAGGAGGCAGAGCGGTGGATCACCAAAGACCTCGCTATGGCTCAAATAGAAAATAAATAGATGGAAGTAAAATATGAGTCGGATTCGCTCTTTTCGTGGATGATGAGTACGCTGATATACGACATGAAAAAAAAAAACGAAAAGAACAATGATCTTGAAACACAAAGCGTGTCACCGCTGAGTGTGTCTACGCGGGGAGATGCGTCCGCGCCGCCGACGCTGCAGATCGTATCCGAAAGTGGGAGACGGTACAGTCCCCTCTCGCGAAAGAAAAGAAAATCTAAAATAAAAGTCTGTGCACCTGGCGCACCGCAAAGAAGGACGGTGTGCGTCCGTTACGTACACACACCACGCATTCCTGTGCGATGCATCGGCCCTCCGCACGTGCGTTCAGCTCCTCTCACCCGCTATGCGCTCGGATTTGTTTTCTCACGACAGTGGTAGAGGGCGTCAGGGTTTTTTTGCTCTTCAAGGTGGAGAAACGGCGGTCATTGAAATCCATTCTTTTCTCAAAAGCCAAGAAGAAAAACAAAGGAAAGCACACCAACCCTCTTCTCGGGTGCTTCGTTGTCTTGTTGCCAACACGCACTCAACCCTTTCGCTGATTTCTCGGCAAGGGCCCTCTTCTTTCCGTTCACAGAAAACAGAAACACGCACCGTGCCGAGCACAAAATTCCGGTCGGTCATTTCAGAGTCGGCGGGCGAAGGTGCTTTTTAGGGAGGGGCAGACGGCTCGTCGAAAACCCGCCCCAACATGAGGCAGCGAGAAAGTCTAGGAAGGCCGCGTTGCTGGTAACGCAGCTTCATTGCGCTACAAAGGCGACAGCAATTCGATACAACAGAAGTGGGGAAAACAAACCGTATGGAATATTTGAAAAAAAGAGAGAAGACGTGGCGGGTGAGTGAAGGATAAGGGACGCACGCACGACCGGCGAGGCGGCTCCTCTTCGCTTCTCCTGTGTGCAGTCGCCATCACCATCATACAGTTTTCTTTTCTAACTCACCTCGTTGGGAACATACGTGCATCCACCAATCCATCATCAACTCTCGCTTCTCGGGGCTTCCCCTTCTCTTCGCAAGGCGTTACTCCTCCACGACGCCAAACTCGCGCAGGCGCTCGTCGACGATCTCCTGCCCAACGGACTCCACCGGCTGGCGCGGGGTGCGGATTTGGTACTCCGCCGCCGTGTCCTCCATCATACCCGTCGGCACAAATGAGGGCATGTTGCTGAAGACGCGGCAGTTGCGGTCCACCTTCTTAAACTCCACCTTGATGCCGTTGCCCACGTAGGTGTCGGACAGCAGGCCCATCACGTACGGCTTCGTCACGTTCGGGTCGTGGATGCGCGGGATGACAAAGTACGGGCTGTTCTCCGGCGTGAAGGTGTACTTCATGGCCACATCGCGCGAGAAGTTGAACTTGAGCTGGCGGTCCGGCTTCTCCACCAGCGAGTTGCTCGTCGCGTCGAGCTTCTCCTTCTTGCCGCTGCGCTTGAAGACGCTCAGCAGCAGCGCGTGGTACTCGAACGACGGGTCATCGCGCTCGTCTTCTTGGGAGAGGGTGATGTACACCTCCGTTGGGTCCGCCACGTTGATCTCGAAGGACACGGTGGGGATGCCCTGGGTAAACTCACCTCGGACGCGGTAGTCGTACCACGGCGCGCGCAGGTGGCAGCAGCCGCCACCAGAGAAAATGTTCAGCGCGTCCGTCCACTCAATCCAGAAGGTGCGGTCCAGGTCCGATGGCGCCCCGCCGTGCTTGTAGCACTGCGAGAGGACGGAGGGGTACTTGTCCCAGCGCTTGTCCGACTTGTTCCACGCGCCGTTCCACTCCTCGCCGGTGCCCCACGGGTTGCGCACGCGCAGCAGGCGCAGGTCGAGGTCCTCGAAGTACTCCGCCTGCAGCACCGTGTAGCCGTGGTGGAGGCGCAGGCCCATCTTGTCGTACTTCGCCTCCATCTCGGGGTTGGCGCTGACGACGTTCGCGTTGCCGAAGGCCTCGCCGCCGTCGGACGGGGTGCAGAGCACCTGCAGGTAGCCACGTCGATCGTAGTCACGCATCTCTTGAAAGATCATCTCGTCGCCCGACTTCGCGTCCTCCCAGAAGCTTTCGAAGCGGGTGATCGGGAAGCCGGTGAACTCGGCGATGGGTTCGAGCGGGTCGCCGCTGGCGATGTTCGCGTACGAGCCGTGCACCTTCGCGTACGTCTTCTCCAGCAGCGCTACCCACATCCGTCGCATGTCCACCGCACAGCGGGCGAACTCCGGCCCGTCGCGGGTGGCCGGCAGGTAGTCGTCCAGCAGCACGGGCAGCCACCAACCGTTGAAGTTCATGGTGACCCAGTACGCACCGAGGGCGCGCTCGATCTTGCCGTTCGCGGCGCTGACGGGGTGGCGGAAGAGATCGTGCAGGCGCTCGCCGTTCGCGTCGGTCAGGGCCGCCATGGCTGAGATGAGGTACGTGTCGCCGATGGAGCCGTGGGTGACCTGTGAGGGCAAGATGTCGCGGCGGAAGAGGCGCACCTCCTTGAGCTGCTCCTCCGGGATCCACGTCGAGGGGCGGTGCCACGGAATGAACCGCGGCAGGTACGTGTCCACGTCGTGGCGGTAGAGGGAGTAGTCGCACGGGCGGAAGTCGCAGTCCACGTAGGGCTTTTCGTTGTCCTCGCAGTAGGCCAGCACCTTATCCTCCGTCAGCTCTTCCTCGCGGACGCCGATGGCCTGCGCGAGCTCCTCGATGTCGTCGGCGATGCGATCGTTGACTTCGCCGTAGAGCGTGTCGCGCTTGTCGTCGTTCAGTGGCACCGCCTTGGCGCTGCACTTGAAGCCGTTGACCTTGCCGGACACGAGCTTCGTCGTCTCCCCTGGGTACACGACGAGCGAGGCGGCCAGCTCGTTCGTGTTCATGACGTACATCTCCACCTTGTCTCCGGGCTGCAGGTCGGACTTGGCGCCGAACGTGAACTTCACGTGCATCTCGTACTTGTCCGTGTCGTTGTAGTAGTACCACGTCCCATCCGGGGCCACCACCTTGTACAGCATGCCCGACTCAAAGACCGGCGTGACGTCACCCTGGATGGAGGGGCCGGTCAGGAGGTAGGCGGTGCCCTTGTTCTTGGTGCGGCTCTGCTCCGATAAGTTCAGCACCGTCGTATCGATCGTCTTATCCTCGAACTCGTCGCACTCGTCATCGTTGACGTACGGCGGCGGCAGGTCGCGGCGCGGCGGGACGTACTTCTTGCCTGTGTCGCCGTCCTTCTGCAGGCTGCGCATTTTCTGGATGTCCTTCATGTTGCGCGGCAGCAGGTCGGGCAGCGGGGTGGGCACTCGCACCGGGTGAAGGGCGTCCTCGTCCATCTTGCTGGGGCGGGACGGCAGCGGCATCACGTAGTCCGGCGGGTAATCCGGCAGCTGCGGCTCAGCAGTGGAGGCCATCGCTTCGTTTTCCTGGAGGTTTTTGGGGTTTGCTTTCACAGTAAGGCAACGTAAAGAAGCTCTGTAGAAGCGAATAATAATAATACTAACAATGCAAAAGACGGAAGGGGAGAGGAGTTGAGCAAGGGCCGAAAAGATGCGATGCACGATGAGCCCCGCTACGCTTCGGCGGCTAAAGACACTGATCACGTGCAGTCGAGGATCCCGTGCGGCATTTCCCGCGTGGAGACACCACGCGATTACGAAGAAAAAAAACGTGTGATCATCACACATGGAAGTGCAGAAGGCTTTGGGATGGCGGCGGCTTTCCGGTGAAGCAATGTGCACCTGAACTACAACAGACAATGAAGAATTTGCCGTGTGGGGGTGAGGGCGGAATACGGCCAACGAACAAACAAACAAACATAAAAAGAATCACGGAATGAGCGGCTTCATTCGCATTTGCTGAAACGTACACAAATATACGGCTGCCGTACTGCCGTAAAAAGGGAGAAAGAAAATAGGAGTAATAGCAAAGACTGTATTGTTATCGCAGCGAAAGAAGGGGGGAGGGGGGAGAGAATGCGAAGCAAGATGAGAAAAAAGAAAGCAGGAGCGTTCGCCACGCCCTTCTTCCCAGGCGAGTACATGGATAAATCCGACCACCCACTATACCGGTACGTACTCCCACCCACACACACACACCAGCAGACGCGTAGAAACACACGGTCAAGAAGGTTGCTGCCCGGACACGGCGTCGCAGATGCGGTTCCCTTCGAGCGTCGTCACCCCCCTCTCCGTGCAGATTTGATAGAGCGAGGTCACACGCGAGGTGCTCTCCAGATCGAAGGGTGCGGTGGAGTCCGTGAAGACGCCGCAGCTGCGCCGCATCGACACAAAACTGATGGTCAAGTCCTCCCCGTCTCCTGCCACGGCGTCGCTCACGACGGAGAGCACAAATCGCACCTCGGTTTGGGCCTGGGACGCAGCAGAGGCACTGCCATCGCTACTGCCACCACCGGTTTTAGCGGATGCCGCCGCTGCCATCTCTTCCACTGCCTGCGGGTTCAGCAAGGGCACCACGAGCACCGTGCCGTCCGCCACGCGTGGGTCGATGCTGAGCTTCATGGACACGTCCTTGGCGACCACGTAGGTGCGGCGCGCCGCAATGCTCTCCACGTCCTCGCAGGACTCACTGACGACGCGGGCAGACTGCTTTGACACCCGCCGGACGACCGACATGGCTGTTCCGTGTAGCGGGGTTGGGTGGGACGCGACGACGGTGCCGTAGCTGTCCAGCGTCTCGCTCACCGTCTCGAGGGACAGCGTGACGAACAGCTCGATTTTACGTCGCGTCCGCACCTCCAGCACGAAGCGGGGCCGTCCATTCACAAATGAGTTCCTGGTGCGGTAGCGGTGGTAGTTCCAGAGGGTGTAGCACACACCGCCGCCAGCGAAGGCGGCCAGCACCTCGCCCCACTCCACCCACATCGTCCCTTTGCGGTCGTTTTTCAGGCTTTCCTCTTTCGTCATCCCCGCCTTTGCACCGGCCGCTCTTCGCTCAGAACTGGATACGGAGATGAGGGTGCCAGAAGAGCCCAATGCAGAACCTATCGCACTCATGCTGACGTCCGGGCGGTCGTACCAGGTCGTGTACTTCCACTTCTTCTCGCAGTACATCTTGTTCTTCGTCTCCCACGTCCACGGGTTCTTCAGCTGCGCCATGCGGAGGTCCAGCTCTTCGTAGAAGGCGACGTCGTGCAGGAAGTAGATGTGACCGGGCAGGAACTGCGGCATGACGCCCTTCACGGGCAGCAGCCGCGAGAAGCGCTTTCTGGAGAAGTCCACCGTCTTCTTCGACTGCGCATCGGACGCGGCGGGGGTGAAAAGCAGCACCGTGCACCCCGCCCGCACGACGCGGTTCACGTAGCTAAAGAGGGTGCGGGACGGCGCCTCCGTCGGTTTCGACTGCGCCGCGGCCCACTGCGCGTCGAGGTAGCGCGCCGGAAACCCGGTGAAGTCGCCCATCGCCTCCATTGCATCAACGACGCAGGTCGCCGCGTACGATCCGAGACACTTCGCGTAGGCCTTCTCCAGCAGCGGCACCCACAGTCGCCGCGGATCCTCGGCGCAGCTGGCGAAGAGCGGGCCCGTCTGCGAGGCCGGCACGTAGTCGTCAATCACGTACGTCTTCCACCAGCCGTTGTGCAGCAGCGTCACGCGGTAGCACCCCTCGGCGCGCTCCATCTTGCCGACGTCGGCGCTGACCGGGTGGCGAAACATCCACCGCACGTGCTGCGGGAACTGCGCCACGGCGGCCATGGCGGCCACGACGGTGTGGTTGCTCAGCTCGCCCTGCTTCACCAGAAAGCACGAGATCTCACCACGGAACAGACGCACCTGCGACACCTCGGGGAGGTAGACGTACTCCTCCGGCCTGCGCCACGTCACGGGTGGAATCGCCACCGCATCCCAGTCGCGCCGCGAGAGACTCTCCGCACAGGGGCGGAAGGTGAGGTCCGTAAACCTCAGGTGGTTCTTCAGACAGCACTTGAGAAACGCATCCTGATCCGAGGCGCGGCTCCACTTGCCCAGCGCCTTGCGTACGCTGTTGATCTCGGCGTTGATCTTCCGCAGCGACTGCGTGACGGACGGAGAGACGTAGTCGGGTGGCACGGCGACTCGCTTCGCCATGAAGTGCGGGAGGTGTGACACGCCGCTCATGAAGAAGTTCGTCTCCTCCGGCAGCACCGCGATGGTGACCTCCGTTTCTCTCGACCCTTCCACCGGGGCGAGCATGGCGCGCTCGTTGATCACCTCGGTGCCGCGCAGCACGCACTGCACCCGCACCATCATTACATCGTGGAGGGTGTCGTTGTAGAAGTAGTACTCCCCGTTGACGGTCTTGATCTTGAAGAGCATGCCTTCCGCGAAGACGCGCGACACAACGCCGGAGACGGTCGGCTGACCAAAGCTGAAGTGGCCCTGAGTGGGGTACGGCGTGTCAAAGAAGTTGAAGTCATCGAACTCGTCCGCGTCGGGGTCGTGCCCTTGGTCCTGCTGCTCGGCGGCGATCTCCGCTAAGAGCCGCTGAAGCTCTGCTGCCCTGTTCGTCGCCTCTTTTGCATCCTCCGTCTGCGTCACGTCCAGCATGAATGACTCTGCTTCGGTGGCGTGGTCGCACACACCGCGGCGCGACGTGTCGTCCGCCTTCGCCAGCTGCGGCTCCTGCGTCTTCAGCAGCTCTTCCTTCCGCTCCAGCAGCTCCTCACAGGCCGTGGCGGCGAGGCGGTAGCGCGGATTAGTCCGCTTGTGCTCCACCAAGTAATCGTGTATGACGTGCAGCACCTCCGGGTCGGAGACGGCGCGGACGAAGGTGACGAGTCGCTCCGCCGCTGCCCTGCTCGACGGCGACACGAAGCTGGAGGAGCTCGGCGCGAGGTCCGCCTTCTCCGTGAAGGCGCGTGTCTGCGGCCGCAGCGTGGGCGGGGAGTCCGTGACGAGGGTGGACGCGGTGTGCATCGAGTCCGTCGTGTGAAGGGCGTCGCTGACGTCGGAGTGCTGGGCCGGTGAGACGTCCACGAAAGGCACCACGTTCTCCGCTCTTCGCCCCGCATGCAGTGGCATCTCCGCAGTGGCCGAGGCGAGCTGCTGCGGGGAGAGAGCGGGGAATGAGTTCCTCACATTATCGAGACTCCGTCTACCTTCTATGCTTGGAAAGGGAAGCGCCGTCGACTCGATTGGCGACGTGATGAGTGGCTTGTGCGCCGGATAACGGACTTGTGGGTGCACGACGACGGTCTCAACCAAGCCGGAGACCGTCTCGTGCTCATCTGTGTCCTTTGACTGCGTTGGCGACAATTGCTGGTGCCCATTGCGACGCCACTGCTCGCGCTTCGCCGAGTGCGGAGAGTCAACAGAGGCAGCTACGTTCGGTGCCGGGGCGTGGGTGGCGCTAGTAGGGACGGACCCGCGGACAACACCAGCGGAAGAAGGAGAGACCGGCGGGAGAACCGCAGCGCCGCTCGAATCACCGATGGCCTTTGCATGGCTACTTCCTGGGAGGTCAATCGAACGCTTCGGCTCCACTCGCCGTGAAGGCAAACCACGCGAGGACACTTCATCTCCATTTGCATCCGGGCTAGAGCGCACAACGATCTCCCCACGATTGTTGCTCCTCGTCTGCACAGGCATGGCGGAGGAAGCGGCGGTGGATGCTTTGGAGAGTTTGTCTTGTTGTTCTTTAGCGATGGGAACGATACGCCGTGTCGCGGACAGGGCTACGCGGCCTGCCTCTCTTAAAGGAGAAAAGGCAACGTTGTTTTGGGCCGCGGCGGTCGACGTAGCGGGCACGGCGGAATGCTGGATCGCATCCGGTTGCGTCGGAGACGGCTTTGAAGGAGAAGACGTACGATGAGCGTCGCTGTTCGCGGAAGCAGCGGACACACATTGCGGTTGTGTATGTGCAAAGGGCGGCGGCGCAGCACTGGCCTCGCCAAGCGATGAGACGCTGCTCTTTTGCAATGGTAGACGAGTCGCGGTCGTTAATAGAGGCGGCTTCTTGTCTTTCAGTTTGACGGACCCTAGCGCACCGTCGGCAGCATCGGTTCCTACCTTCGCTGCTTCTGCTGCCGGCGCCTTTGCTGCCGCGAGTTTCGTTGCCTCTGCGCTCTTCAGCGCTTCTGCTTTGTCCGTGCCACCGTTGTGCACCGGAGAAGACTCCACCCACGGCGGAGGCGGCGTGAGCCCCTCCGAGTCGCTAGAGGAGCTCAACGACAGCACCGCAGACTTCTCTGTCACCGCCGGGCTGGCTGGTAGGTTCTTGCTGACTTCGCGCCGCACCAGCAGCTCCATATCGCTGTCGTTGTCGCGCCACTGCGGTACGCCGACCTGCAGCAAGCGTGTCCGGCGTGAGACGGGCTTCACCTTGCGTGCTCGACGCGACATCGGCGGTGGCCCCGGCACGGCAGAGTTCGTTGAGAGGTCTGTTGTATGCTTGACAGCCCACATCGCGGGAGGAACCTTTGCCGGGGGTGTGGCAGGGCTGACGACTCCATTCTTCTTCGCAGCGACCGCAACAGCAGAGGTAATAGTGCTGTTGAGGCTATTGCTGTCGCGTGAGTGCGTCGCATTGAACAGTGTTTGCAGATACGAGCGGGAGTGCAGGTCCTGCGTATAGAGTGGCCGAGGGCTTCGTGGACTGGCTTTGAGAACGTTCGACGCCATATCCTGTGCGCCAGAAGCTGAGCCGCGCAGCCGCAGGTTGGAGGGGCCGTGCGGAGTAGAGTCGAGAAAGGTCGACTCCATCCCATAGGGTTGATGGGACACCTCGGAGAAGGGGAAAGACTCAATGCTGGCCATGTTCAGCACTGTCCAGTTGGTTCCACGGAAGTTGGTGGCCAAGTCACCGTCGGAGCCATCGGAGTCGTCGGATGAAGTGGAAACGACGGCGAGCGGTATTTTTGGCATTGCTAAGTCAAATCAAAATGAGAGGGGCGTCTGAGTAGATAAATATATGCACAAAAGAAAACCGTCACATGCTATTTCCACCACGTACGATGGTAGATGCGAGAAAATGAAAAGACGATGGGGCTGCTCGGAAGCGATTTGCTGGCCCGTCCGATCGAGCAGAGGCAGCCTCTCCGACAGGAAGTCACAGGGGCACAACGGAGGGGCGGGTAACGGACAGAGAACTGAAGAAAAGAGAAAACGATGCTTACCACAAAAAAAAAGCCACATTGAGGCTCACGCGCTTACGGATGTTTGTGTCACTCAGCAGCGGCTGCGTGTATTACATAAAAGACACTACGTGTCGGAGGGCTGTACACATCAACACGTGTAATAGGACTGACTCAGTCAGGGCACAAAGTGTCAACGCTGTTCAATTGGGAGAGGTGATGCTCAGCCTACCACTCGTCATCCACGGACTTACTCGGAGTGGCTTCCTCCAACACGAGATTTGCGTTCTAAGACAGAGGCAGCAAGAACAGAAAAAAAAGAGATGAAGCGCGAGAGAGAAAGCGCACCGGCGGCAAAGAGAAAGGAGCGGCATTCAATACGAGAGCGGCACCGCCACATCCACGACGCAGCACCGCGACTGTCGGCAACAGTTTTTTCTTTTTAACAGCACGTCATTTATTTCCTCCGCCACGCCAAAGCGAGAAGAATCATAATGGACGCTCTTTGCGGTACAGCGCAACGCCACCGATCGCCTCGGCAGCTCACAGAGTAGTGATTTTATTTTGTCCTTTTCTCTTCCTCAGCAGATCAAAGATCAGCAACGACACTATAAAGCACAGACTCAGCGTAATTGACATGAAAAAAAAAAAACACAGAGTAAAACACATCTTTTGAGGTAGAAACCAAAAAACAGGGATACATGCTCCGTGGACAGCGGTGCTCTGCTGAACACGAGAACTACAAAGGAAAAAGAGGTCGGCTTACACGCTTAGGTTGACGGAGGTGCCCTCTCCGATTGTGATGCGTCCGTTGTGGGGCGGACGCACTTGATGGGTCAGCGGCGATGTCCACGGTGTGATGGAAGATTGTCGCAGCGTCGGCTTCGCAGCATTCTGAAAGAGTGCAGCATCCGGGTTGACTTTTACAAACCCCACCGACAGCTTCGCCTCCTGCGCGGCGCCTCCTTTCCTTGCTAAAAACTCGACCTGCGCCTGCACCGTCACAGTGTAAGGCACATCGGCGGCGTTGGCGTGAAGGCAGGGGATGAAGTAGTAGGGACCACGGTGGGGATCGAGCAGCAGACCCACACTCACGTCGCGCTCATACGCAAAGCGAGGCGCGGCGGTGGACAGCTCAAACACGTCCGCGGTGTCGCTGTTCAACCCCACAAAGCGCAGCGCATCCGCCGTGCCTTTCGAAAACGCCAGACAACTCAAGCCAGCCAGGACGCTGGCTGTCTTCACCATCTCGCTCTTCTCCCCGTAGTTGGAAGAAGAGGAGAAAGTAGCGGAGGTGATGGATCCTTTGGTACGCCTCGAAGCCTCCGTCTCCGCCTGCGTCACGGTCACCAACACCCGCGTGGGCACCGCCGCTGTGACCTGCAGCGCCAGTGAGGGCCTTTCGTTTGCGAAGCACCCTCGCGCCTTCACCGCTGCCCAGTCGCTCGTCAGCGGCGTCAAGTAGCCGCTTTGGAAGTACTGTGGGATGTCCTCCAGCGCCATCCACACCGTGCCCTCCGCGTCGCCGAGGGCGAATACGAAGTCACTCACGGAGTCCACCCACGGCTTCTTCGCGCTTCGCCAGACGACCAGCCACGCTTCCACCGGCTTCTTCTCCGCCGCGGTCTGGCGGAGCCGCACCATGCACTGGCCGTCCTCCAACGTTTCCAGGCCGAGAACGACGGCGGCGGTGCCTGGTCTGAGTCCGACGTCGCGGTAGAGCTTCTCCAGCTTGTCCCGCGTGTCCCGCGAGCGCGCGGTGGTGAGAGAATACGGCCGCAGCCAGCAGAGGTACGCCAGTCCCGCCAAAGACGTGGACGGAGACGGGGAGGGTCCCCGCAGCAGCTTCTTCAAAGTGGAGAAGAATCGGACGGCCTTGGTGGTATTCGAGCGCAGGTCGTCTCGCGAGGGCCACAGCTCCCGCAGCGTGCAACACGGGTCGCCGGTGAGACGCCCTACGAGACCTTCCATTGGTACGTTGAGGGACGCTGCGTAGGATCTGCACAGCTTCGCACACGCCTTCTGCAGCAGTGGCAGCCACAGCAGCCGCAGGTCGTCCGCGCAGTGACTAAACTCGGGACAGGTGGACGACGCAGGGAGGAAGCTGTCGACCACCACACTCTCCCACCACCCACTGCGACACAGACTCACGCGAAAGGCACCAACCGCCCGCTCGCGTCGGCCCTCCTCGGCGCTGCTGGGGTGCAGAAACAGCTTTCGTAGCTGCTCAGGGCAGCGGCAGGCCAGGCCCGAGACGCAGGAGAGAAACTCGCCATCCGGGAAGAAGTGACCGGCGTTGAGGCCGTCCACGTTGAAGTCGGGGCCGCGGAAGAGCCGCACCTCGCGGCGGACCTTATCATCATCCGGCAGGTACGCCGACGGCGACCGCCAATGCAGCGGGACGATGAAGAACTCATCGATGTTGTGCCGGTAGAGGGAGGCGTGGCATGCGAAGAAGGTCGGGTCAACAAAGCGGAGGTGGTGCTCGATGCAGTAGGCCAGCAGCTCCTCAACGTTGATCGTGGACCGGTCACTGCTGCCACTAGCGTCACCACCGGAGGCAGCGGCCGCAGGCGGGTAGGCAGCCGCAATCGCCTTCCAGGCGTTCCGCGGCTCCTGACACAGCAGGTGTTCCTCTTCCGCCGTGGCCGCTCTCTTCGGCAGTAAGGCGGCCGTGGACAAGTTCTCGAAGTCGACTACCTTTCCCTTCAGCAGCACCTTCGTCTCCTCTGGGCCTAGCTCCATGCTAAGCTCCTCGTCGACGCCGGCTGCCGCTACGGTCACGGAAGGCCCAGGGGTGACAGCGGAGCCGCCGAGCAAGCGATAACGCACCTGCACCACGTAGTACCGCGTGTCGTTGTAAAAGGCCCACTCCCCCTTATCCGTAATTACGCGGTACAGCATCCCGTCTTGCATCACCGCGGACACCATCCCCTTCACACTCGGGCCGGTGTAGCGGAAGACGGACCGCTGGCTGCCCCACGTGTCCGGCACCGGCGGCGCAGCCCGGTTGATGCTGCTCTCGTCGAACTCGTCTGCGTTGACTGAGTGCGCAACCACAGCGGACGCCGTCGCAGGGGAGGGCGGCGACAGCCCTCGTGTGAGGGTCGAGTCAAACGCTGAAACAGTGTTCCCATGCGAGGTGGAGGACGTGACAGACGCCGTGGCAGACTCGTTGATGCCGCCCGTGCTGCCCGCCGGTGGCTGCGCGGCCGCACGCAGGAGGGCGTTACGGGACCTCAGCAGGGCTACTTTGCGCTCCAACGCGGTGCGGCGTGCCGCCTGCTCGCCGCTGCGCACGAGACGCTCCTCGAGCCGTTGCAGCTTTGCGGGATCGGCGGCCACGGCGGCGCGCAGGGCGGCCACTGTCTCGGCGTTGAGTTCATACGTTTGTCGAGACGACGACGACGCCTTGGTTGGCATCTCCGCGGCTGTGCACTCTCAACGGAGACAACGAATACGTGGAGGAGGAGAGGGCGAAACACAATATAGAAGGTGCAGATGCCTCCTGCTACGAGAAAACAAAAAGCCAACAACAAAAGAAAGCAGCGGTAAACAAAGAGAGGAGGTCAAATGTGCGATGATCAAGCGCATTACACCGAACTACTCGTCCGTAACTTAGCCAGAGAAACCGAAACGTCAGTGAAAAACAACAGCAATGATATCGCCAGCATGTTGGCGCGTTGAACGCACATCCACGGACATATATACATATACACACGGATGAGAAACGTCTGTGTTGGGGAGATGCTTCATGGCTGCTGGTTTGTTTTTCCCTCTTAGCAGCGCAAACGCTCGACACACGTTTTTGTTGGCTTGCGAAAAAGAAAGCGCCGGATTCCATGAGGGAAAAGCAAGAGAAAGAGGACTATACACAAATATACAAAGAAATACTGAAAATAAAACGATTTTTGGGAGGTATCTAAAGGAAGGAGAAAGCGAAGCATCAAACAAACAAAAAAGGAACACAACTGGATTAGAACTGAAAAGTGTACGTGAGAGTTTCTCCGTTTTAGGTCAATAAGCGCCCCACACGCGGCGCAGTTGAAGAAGAAAGTATGAAAGAAAAACGCAGGCAGTTTGGACTTTATAAACGAAGATCATTACGCATGTCCGTCAGTTCTTTCGCCCATATCTCACTGATACTAGCCAATGCTGCTGCCGCATCCCACGCGCACCCGCCCATCCGCACCGCGAAGTTGGAACGCCGCCGCCGCCACGCCCGTCACCTGCGCCGTGGAGAACTCCCACTGGTTTTCAAAGACAGGAGAGTCTGACGGCAGCTGCACGGCCCGCACACGCAGCCGGCCGTTCTTCGTCACCGGCGTCGAGGAGATGATGCCCACTGTGAAGAGTTTGTTCGACGTTTCGCCCAGGGAGCGGGGGATGATGTAGTAGGGATGCGCGCTGGGCTCGAACGCCGTGCGCAGCGCCGTGTCCCTTCCCAGGATGTAACTCAGCTGCTCGGTAGGGCTGTCCGGGTCGGTGGAGCAGGCCAAGCAAATACATTGTGTGGATGCCGTCCTACCGGGGGGCTCCAACGCATCTTGCGAGCTGATAACGCTGCTGACGCACAACATCAACGGCTGCAAGGCGCGGTTGGGGTGGTCCGGTGGCAATCCGCGGTCATCTTCCTGCGAGAGCACGCAGTAGGCCTCTACAGGGCCCGCAGCCTCCCCCTCTTCTCCGTCTGCCGCCTCCACGCGCACCTCCAAGGCGAGCGAAGGGATACCGTTGTGGAAAGCGCCGCGCACGCGGCAGTCCTCCGTCCAGTCCCAGTGCGAGCAGCACACCCCACCGCCCTCAAACATAAGCAGAGCCTCCGACCAGTCGAGCCATAGCCCGCCGGGGGTCACATCGTTGCCCTCATCAAACACCGTGCTGTCACCGCCGCCGTCGTCGCCCACTACGCCAAAATCGGAGGATCCGCCAGCCGCGGTGCGCATCCCACACAACTTCGCCAGTTCTGGTTCCTGTCGCCACCGCACGCTCTCCGCACTCCACAGCCCATCGCCGTCGAGCCGCATGGTGGGGCACCGCACCTGCACGAGCCGGTAGTCCTCGTACCGCACCACACGCAGCACCGCGTAGGAGGACCCATACACCATTCCCATCTGCATCTGCTTTGCCTCGGTGGGGCCCTCGTCGGGCAGACTCAGGCAGACAAGGTACCCGCACGCGTTGACCTTCGCCTCGAGCATGTCAAACAGCCGCTCCGTCTCCGCCGTGTTCGGGAAGCACGAGAGACTACTCTTTACCTTCTCCGCCACCTCCGCCCACTCCTCATCGAAGCGGAAGGTGGGGAAGCCGGTGAAGTCCTGCAGCGCCTCGAGCGGGTCGCCGCACTGAATGGCGGCGTAGGAGCCGTGCAACTTCGCGTATGCCTTCTCCAGCAGCGGGTACCACAGCTTCCGCAGGTCGTGCGCGCAGCGGCCCATGTCCGGCCCTCGCAGCGACGCAGGGAGGTAGTCGTCCACAACCGTGCTTGTCCACCAGCCACCGTGGCCCAAGGTGACGTGGTAGGCGCCCACCGTACGCGCCTTTCTTCCTGCGTCGGCAGAGGTCGGGTGGCGAAACAGCTTGTAGATGCTGTCGGGGTGCTCAGCGAGGAGCGAGGCGGCACTGCTGAGATACGCGTCGCCGCCGTCGCCGGAGGACGGGTCCGTCGGCAGTGCGGCGCCAGCAAACAGACACGCCTCCGCTATCTGCTTTTTCGGCAGGTAGTCTGCCGGCCTCCGCCACGGCATATCCCACAGAAAAATATCGTCGACGTCGTGGCGGTAGATGGAGGCGCTGCAGGGTGGAAAGGCCGGATCCACGTAGTGGCAGACCGACGCACCAGCAGACGCGCCGCCGCTGCTGCCCTTCGTTGGGCCGTTTTTGTTTCCCTTGAAGCAGCAGTCCAGCACATCCTCCGAGGTGAGCATCGTCACGCTGGATTTGCCAGACTGGCGGGCGTACCGACTCAGCAGCGCACGGGCCGTTGCCGTCGAGGCGGCGGTGTGCGTGTTGACGTAGCTCGCGTCGACCGGTGTGGCGACAGAGAGGTTCTTGAAGCCGTTCACCTCGCCCTGCAGCAGCACCTCCGTCTCTTGTGGCCACACGGTCACCGCCAGCTCAACTTCGCCGGGCCGCAGCTGCTTGAGGGACGCGTGTGGCCCCGCCGCGAGGGTCGAGGTGGCGCCGAAGATGTACCGCACGTGCATCTGGTACTTCTGAGAGTCGTTGTAGAAGACCCACAGGCCTTCCCGAGTCGCGCAGCGGTACAGGAAGCCGTTCTTAAAGACAGGTTTGTAGTCGCCCTGGAAGCTGGGCGGTCCGTAGCGGTAGAGGGCTCGTGTCTTCCCGCCGGTGCAGGCGTCCACGTAAGGGCATGGATTCAATGGATCGATGTCCTCTTCAGCAAACTCCTCGGCCACGCTCTGCGCGGTGCACCCGATGTCCCCCTCTACTCTCGGAGAAGCGCCTGCGGACACCGCACCGTCGGCGCACAAAGGTGATGCGCTGGACGCAGCGAGAGAGCCCCGCTTCGTCATCTTCACCGCCACCGCCGCTCCGTAGAGAAGCTGCTGCTCCGCCTCCAGCTGCGCACACTCCTCCTCTAGTTCCTCCAGATCCTTCTCCTGCTGCTTGCAGTAGACCAGGTAGTCCCGAATCGCATCGTACGCGTCTGCGTCTCGCGCGTCGCTCGTGAGAAAGCCAAAGTCGCCGCTGTCGTCGCTGGTGATGTTCGAAACGGAGGCGTTGTCGTCCAGCGACGGACGCTGCTGCACGTTGGTGCGGCGGCTCTGGCGCTGAAAGACGATGTTCTCCATGCTCTCGAGCCCCATCAGCGAGCTGCTGCTTTGGGGCCCCACCGCTGCTGCCTCCGCTGGACGCACCGTGCCCAGCGCGAGGGGCCCGAGATGGCCGTTGGGGCGGAGCGAGCAGGAGGCAGAGTCGACGGTGCTGAACTGCCGGAGCCGCAACGCACCCGTGTTCGGCGATCCGGCACCGTAGTTGGTGGAGTGCATCGCGGAGACGAGGGCGTCCTCAGCGTAGAGGTCGAGCATGTCATCCGTGATGTTGTCCTCCCGCGCAGTGGGCGGCAACGTACTGCAGTCCATCGTGATAATCTAAACGTACAGAGAGACAGAGATGGTAGGGAGTTGAAGAAAAGGAAAAGAGATAAGTCGACAGTGGCGTGGTAGACGGTGCACTAACCCTTCGTGGGGGACGGAAGCTGCACAGCAGGGGCTGAAAGAGTTTTACGGTGAAAACAGAGAAAAGAAGATGTGCAAGAAAACGAAAGCAGAATGCGCAGCAGCACTGCTCGGCAGGTTCAATCGCACCTTCCGCGAGCCACACACACACACACACAGAGAAGAAGCGGAAAACATGGAAGGAGAGAGAGAGAGGAGTGAAGGAGCGGAGGGATGCTCTACTCGAGCACATTTTCAGTTCACAACACAGCAGCCACAACGGAGGCAGAAGCCACAGCATAAAGAAGAACGCTCCACACCTTGACGATGAAACGTGAATGGCCCTCCTCAAAAAGCATGGGGAGTCAGCTGAAAGCACCAACGGACAGCACTCTCACAAGCTCAAACTGCGTCATCTCGTCAACAGTTGGCGCAGTCGCCCAAAGCGAGTGCCGCCGCGGCGCAGCACGGGTAACACTCGTCGTAGAAATAATCGCCTTCACCGACGGATTGATTTGGCGCTTTTCAACGGGATACAAAGGAATGAAATGAACAACTGGCGAGAGAGACGACGACAACCCAACACACAAACATACAAAGGGAACGTACGGATATCCACTCCTATCGAATGCACGCGGAGGCCGCTTCCGTGCGAGAGACATCGAAGAAAAACAGAACAACGCCAAAACAGAAAGAAACGACAATGAAAAGAAAAAAATATGAAACCAGGCGACAAGCAGAGCACGGTGCGAGCCTGCTGTCGGATATCTCCCGCACACGGTACGACGGGACTCGCCTCCCCACGTCCCTCTCACGCCTTCCTCGTTGTCAAACCATCGCCGCTCCAGACTGAAAGGAAGGACCTACAAAAAGTAAGTCTTGTCTATGGACATGCCTGTGAGAGAGAGAGAGAGACAGACGGCGGTGTAGATGGAGAGGAGGGTGGGAGGGGGAGAACGAACACATGCGTTCCACCGCCTGTGTGCAAGAAGAAACAAAAGTTTGCGGTACAGCGTTGCACCAAACACCTTCTCTATAGCAACACTAAACCAAAACAGAACAAGACGAAATCCTAAAAGAAATAAATAAACAAAACAGCGAACATTGATAACGGGTAGATATAGAAGTTGTCAACGCGCAAACCACACAAACACGCCAACACAAAAACTATCGTCAGTACAGATATTAAGCTAAAAGAAAAACCTCAGGTGATAGAGAAGGAGAAACCCCCCTTCCTAAAGACATGCGCTTTCATTGGCTTCTCCATGTTTTTTTTTTCCTTTTCAGCACCAGAGTTTCCAAACTCCAAACTTCTTTTTTTTCGTTTACATATGTCTGTGTGCTCTTCGCACTATGCGAAAGGTGTTTCTTTTTTCTTTGGAGAGACGCTGTGGTGTGAAGCCTGCATGTCGCGTGGTGATAGCTTCCCCCTCACTCAGCCATTTATTACGCAAGAGAAAGCAAGAGAGCAGATACCGCCACGCAACAAGCATGTATGCCGCCTCGTTGCTACCGGACTTCTATTTTCTTGCCTGCGACGAGACCCACCGGGACGTCCCTCTCTCTCTACTATCCTCTCCCTCTCGACTCTCTCCACGAAAAATGATGATCGATACAGCTAAAACAAATAAATAAATAAGAGGCAACAGGATAACAGGGGAATAGAGAAGAGATACTCTCCCCTGCTTACAGCTCGGAATCTTCGTCGCTAGCGCCCGGGTTCTGCACGTGCTCAGAGCCCTGGATGTTGTCGTTCGACGCACCGCCCTCGCTGTGCACCGGCGACGGCTCGCGCTTCGCAGGCGGGCCGCGCGGCGCCACAGCCGCAGCCGCGGACACCACCGTGGACGAGACGGCGGTCTTCAGCGGTGCACCGGCGGTGTGCACCTGGTGCTGCACGTCCACCGAAGCCAGGTCGGTCGCGGCGTACGCCACGTAGTTCGTGAAGACGCTCGATTCGGCCGGGAGGTGCTTCACCTCGATGTGCACCTTGCCGTCCAGCCGGCCGTCCGCGATGATACCGATGACGTGCGGGCGGTGGTAGTCCGTCCTCACGCCCTTGCGGTGGATGCGCGGCACGACGTGGTAGCGCTCGCCGGGCTCCAGCGTGGCCCACATCGCGACATCGCGGCCCACGACAAAGTTGAACTCCTCGGACGGGTGCAGCGGGTTCCAGCTAGTATTTTGCACCACGCGCTGCTTGTCGCCGTCCTGCTTCGACAGGGTCAGCATGATCGGCGCGAGGCGGCAGGAGGGGTCGCTGCGCTCCACGCCGCGCTTGTCGGGCTGGGAGAGGGTGAGAAGGACGCGGATGGGCTCGGCGGCCGTGATGTCGAGCACCGCGCTCGGCACGGTGTCCTTGAAGCTGCCCTTCACCCGGTAGTCCGTCGCACCCTTCACCGTCAGGATGATACCGCCGCCGTCGAAGTACTTCTTGGCGTCCTCGAAGTCGATCCAGAAGCTGCCATCCTTCGCGTCGTTCATGCCGTCGCAGACGGAGCAGACGTCCGGGTTCTCCTCCCAGGCCGGCGAGCCGTAACACCACAGGCCGGTCCAGCTGCCGGTCGAGCGCCATGGATTGCGCACCTTGAAGAGGAGGGTGCGGCTCTTCTTGACGGAGACGACGCGCTCTACGAAGTACGTGTAGCCAGTGCGCAAACCCACCTCGGTGAACTTCTCGCGGAAGGCGTTGGAGTCCACCTGCGCCTCGCGGCCGAGGTAGGTCCCGGAGTCGTGGCTCGGCGTGCTCAGCACCACCGTCGCGCCGTTGTTGCGCGTCACCTCGGCGAGCATCCCCACGAGGGTGTCCGCCTTGCCGGCGTCGACGGCCGCCGCGGCCCAGTCGCTGTCGAAGCGGAAGACCGGCGAGCCGGTGAAGTCGGCCAGCGCCTGCAGCGCGTCGCCGCCGGTGATGGTGGCGTACGAGCCGTGCACCTTCGCGTAGGCCTTCTCCAGCAGCGAGGTCCACACCTCGCGTGGCTCGTCGACGCTGTGCGCAAAGACGGGCATCTTGTTCACGGTGGGCAGGTAGTCGTCCACGATGACGGACTCCCACCAGCCGTTCTTGTTGAGACTGACGCGGTACGCACCGACGTCCTTCTCGGCGGGCGTGACCTGCGCGAACAAGTTCTGCACCGCCGTCGGCTCCTCGGCCAGAGCGGCCAGCGCGCACGTCAGCCACGAGTCGCCGAGGTTGCCGCCGTCGACGGAGTGACTGACGACTGGCCCGGCAATGGCCTCGACGGACGCCTGCTTGTCCTCCGGCAGGTATTGCGTGGGCCGCATGAAAGCCATCTCCGGTAGGCTCCGCACGTCGTGCTCAGGGCGTGCGAGCGACTCGGCGTGCGGAGGGAAGTGCAGGTCGACGTAGGGGGTGCGCGTTTCCACGCAGCGGCGCAGCACCTTCTCCTCGTCGTCGCTCTCCGCGCCGACCAGTTCCCGCACGGCCGACGTCTCCTCCTCGGCCGTGTGGTTCGCCTCGGCTGCGATCTCGTGGCGGTACTCGTCGCTGAGGGGTTTGATGGTGATGCCGCTCTTGTAGCCGTTCGGCGTGCCAGAGATGTAGTGCAGCGTCTCAAGGGGGTGCACGACAGCGTGGGCGCAGACCCACCCGTCCTCCGTCTCCTCCAGTGTCGTCCGCTCGCCGGCGGAGATCTTCGAGCCCGGACCGAAGCGGAAGTCCGCCTGCGCCTCGTAGTCGAGGGAGTCGTTGTAGACGTACCACGAGTCGCCCTTAATGACGCGGAAGACGAGGCCGTTCTCGAAGTACTCCTTCACCTCTCCGCCCTCGACCGTGCAGGCGTTGTAGCGGAAGGGGTACTCCTCCTGGTGCTCGCGGATCGCACGGATGCGCTCCGCGGCTGGGTCAGCCGGCTTCTCTGGCGCGGCAGCCTCGGGGGGCGGGGCGGCGGCCTCACGCTTCTCGTTCTCCCGTGGCGCCTGCTTCGCGGGCTTCGGCTCCGCCGCCTTATTCGCCGTCCCCTTCGGCTTCTTCGTGTTATCCTTGGACTGGCAGCACCCCATTTTCGGAGTTGCAGAAGGAGAGAAGAGAAGGGAAGAAAAACAAGAAAGTCTGAGAAGAAGACAGCGTATAAATGTTGACGAAAACGGATCGGGCAATCGGTTCCGTGAGATGCGGCAGCGCAAGCAACAGAACCTGGTACAGTAAAACAGAAGGGTAGTGGTACTTTAGAGGAAAAAAAATAGAAGATGGAGAGTACAGTAGGGGTATAGAGAAATATAGGTGTTGATGACTACGCCTGTGTGTATGTGTGTGTGTCGTTGCGCTAGTGTGTTTCCGAAGAGCACAGGACTGATGGATGAAAACAAAAATCTTTCATTTCAGCAAGCGGAGCAGTGATTATAATATTATACAAGTGTTAGTCGAGTAAATAGAGAAGAAAACAAATGGAGATAGAAAGAGAGGGCATAATAACGAGGAGAACGGTGACGGAAGGGAGGAAACACGCTTGTCGAGTCGGGAGGCGCCGTGCCTTTGTTTATTCCTCTCAGTTCCCTCAATGGTATCACGTATTTCTACCATACGAAATGAAGCGGGGCGAACGCTGCGTAAAGCTCCCAGGAAAAGCGTAGGAGGATACTCCTTCAACCACCGGGTGCAGTGAACGCGATCACTTTGGCCTTCATTGTGTCCGTGCAGTGCACAATTTACCAGAGAGTAAAAAAAAGATATTCTTCCTGCAGTTATAAGAAAGCAGGGAATGGGTAGAGAGTCTACCTTCCGCCAGGTGGGTAAACGTACGCCGGTATATACGTGGGTGTTGCGAGCCCCTCACGGCGGCAGATCATGATTTACGCCTCAAACTAAGATTTCTAGAAAGGAAAGGGGAACTCCTCCTTGACGTTGGTGGCCCCGAAGGCCGTCACGCCCTCCTTCAGCCGAGGCGCCCCGCCACGCTTCTTGTACTGAAACCGCGTCGGCAGCAACTCCTCCCCCTCCATCTTGAAGGACGACACCTGCTGAAAGGCGGGGCACGAGTCGGGGAGGTGCACAAAGGACACACGTAGCCCTTTCTCGGAGGACTTGTTCGGTGTCAACATGCCGAACGTGTAGTCCTTCGGTCCGCCCTTGTTGGCCACCATGATACGCGGGATCACGTAGAAAGGACTCCGCGCTGGATCGAGCTCGATCTCCAGTCCCACGTCCCGTGCGACAGTGTACTCGTACTTTTCTGGCGGGTTGATCTCCGGGTTCTGGGTGCTGAGGGAGATGACCTGCTGCATGTCGGTTACCGCGTTGAACCCGGTGACGGAGATGAGAAGCCCTTTGTACAGCTGCTCCGGGTCGCCGTCCTTCAGCATGCGCCGGTCCTTTTGCGAGAGGGTAAAGAAGATCTTCTGCTTCTTCTTCAACTCAATCTTCAGCGCGATAGAAGGGAGGATGCCGATGAACTTGCCCTGGAAGTTGTACTGGAACCACTTCTTCTTCACCATGCACACGCCACCGCCCTCGAAGTACAGCACGGCGTCCTTCCACTCCATCCAGAACGTCCCGTCGCTCTCCTTACTCGGCTTGCAGGAGCGCCGCACCAACGAGTGCTTCTTCCACTTGTCGCTGTTCTTCCCCCACGCGCCCGTCCACTCGTCGCCGGTGCCCCACGGATTGCGGATCTTCAGCAGTTTCACACGCGGCATCAGAAACTGACGCACCTTCAGCACCGAGTACGCGTGGCCCGTGCGGAGGCCGGCGGCGGTGTAGCGCGACTCCAGGTCCTCGGAGTTCGCCTTCGCCCCGGCCGCGTTGTACGCACTCGTGTCCGTGCCAGGGGTGCTGATCGAGATCAAGTAGCCCCTCTGACGGTGCCGCAGCAGCACCTTGAAGAAGGCCGAGGCTTTGTCCTCGTCGAACGCGGCCTCCTTCCAGGTGTCGTTGAAGGAGTACACCGGAAAGCCGGTCAAGTCCTTCAGGGCGTGCAGCGGGTTGCCACCGATGATGGAGGCAAAGGAGCCGTGCACCTTCGCGTACGCCTTCTCCAGCAGCGACACCCACAGCTCGTAGGGGTCGCCGGCGGAGCGGCCAAAGTACACGGCGCAGTTGTAGCTGGGCAGGTAGCTGTCCACGATAACGTTGTGGTACCACCCGTTCTTGTTGATGTACACGCGGTACCCGCCCGCCTTTTGCTCCTTCTTCCGCTTCGACTTCGACACCGGGTGGCGGAACAGGTCCTTGATCATCGTCGTGCTGTCCGCCACGACCGCGATGGAGCACATAAACCAGCAGTCGCCCAGCATGCCTTGGCCAATGTCGTTCGGGTCGACGCCCGCGCGGAACAGCTTGATCTCCTTGTGGGCCATTTCAGGAATGCAGTCCTGCGGCCGCCGCCACGTAACCGCCTCCAGGTTCGCCACCTTCTTTGTATCGGACGGCCGCTGCAGCGACGCCTCGGCGGGGGGAAAAGTCATGTCCACGTACGGTATCCTGCTCTTGCGGCACTTGTACAGCAGCTCCTCGTCGCTGTGCGTGACGCCCGCCACTACCGCCACCTTCCGCGTCTCACCCGCGCACTTCTGCCGTGCTTCGCGGTTCACCTTCTCGATGTACCCCGGGGCGAGTCCGCGGGAGCTGTTGACGGCCGAGTAGGCAATCCCCTCCTTCTTGTCGAGCTTGACGAAGGGGATCGTCTCGAGGGGGTACACGATCACGGTGCATTGCGTGCTGCCTGCTCCTGTGCGCTTCATCTCCGTCCGGCCATGCTTGACGTTGTGCACCGCGGTACCCCGCTCGAAGGTGAAGTTGATGTGCATCTCCATCTCGAGGGTGTCGTTATAGAGGAACCACTTCTTCTTGCCCACCTCCACGCGGAAGCAACGGCCATCGTCGAAGAGGGCGTAGCTGTCGCCCTTCACCGCCGGCCCGCCGTACTTGAACTTCGTCACCTTCTTCTGATTCCTGTCGGCCTTTTTGCCCATCGTGACAAGCGGACTGCACACGTGTGCGGCGTCGATTGACCGGGTAGTATTCGCTGTTGAGGTGGGTGGATTGGGAGAGGGGGAGAGGGGGAGAGAGTAGGAAATAATTATGCAGAGAAGCGACTCAATATATATCAAAAGAAAGCAGCAAAAGCAAGCAAAATGAGAGGAGTGCAAACACGCGGGTATACTGCAAAGAGGAGAGAACGAAAAGATGGGGGATAAGAAAAAAAGAAACTCTAGCCCCTCAGTCGAGTCGAGAACGGGCGCGTGCCAACCGCGGCTGCGTTCGAGACGGGTGTCGCTGTAAATAAAAAGATTTGTATGTTAGAAAAGGGGTGGAATAAAAAGCACAGCGACAAGTTGACGCACTACTACGAGGTACCGACCAATCGACACCAATTCGAGAGCACGAACTCGTCTTCTCGCTCTGCTACTAATACAGAGAAGGACAATGAAACTAAAAATGAAAGAGCAGAAAGGAATTTGCAGTGTATAACGTGAAGTGGGCGGGCAGATGCAGCGAGCTCGGCTGTTGTGTTTCCGGTTTACTAGGTGCAATGCACAGTCGTGCTACCACGCAGAAGACGAAAGAAAGATGCTGTGGCTTGCTGACCTTGTGAAGCAGCACCTCGTGGTGACGTAACGCACTTAGCTCATTGAGGAATAAGATGTGAATTAAGAAAAAAGAAAAGGCTTGTGTGTGCGGAAGAGTCCTACTCAGACAGGTGTACCGTAGACTGAGCAAAGGCCTCTAAACCGCAGACGTGTCGCTCCGTATCGTGCTTCACACGGAATAGAAAGCGTCTCTAAAGCAAGTAGAGGTGCTCTTGCGGAGTACGTATTACTCCTACTTTGCTTTACAGGTGTTTACGATGTACCGAATCCTCACGTGCGGTGGAAATCGTCGAAGTTTCTCAAGTTCACACGCACACAGGTTAAAGAAGCGAGGGAGAGAGAGAGGGGGTGGTAGAGAACGGGAAGTTGGCTCAGCCTTGGAATGACGCGGCTGCATAAGCACAAAATATATTGCGTCCTTTCTTTATTTACATACAGAAGAGCACACAAATAGTTGAACACTGCGAGACCGCTTCGAAAGGAGGGAGGAGGGAGAAATTAGCTCCTCTAATGAGGCTTCGAGCTAACAGCTGTTAGTGCAGACGAGGTTGGCAACAAACGCCTGAGTTGGGGCTTCATGTTGTACACATTTTGAATTTAAAAGTGTTTCGTTATAGCAGCAGCAGCAGTGATAACGTTCCATAAGGTATTTGTTCCATTGCAAGATCTCCAGCTCACGCATAATCTCTCTCTCCCTCTCTCTCTCTATATATATATATATGGGTATGTGAATGATGCATTCCTCCCTTTCTCTTTCTTTCTCTTACCGCAGCTGCAATCCGTTCCGCCACGTCAGGTACGCCGGCGCGATCACAGTGGGATCACACGGCACCGGCGTCACCTGCACCACGCCAGACGCACCCACCCACACACTCACCAACGGAAAGGCGGCGTAGGGCAGCGCCAGCCGCGTCGCCGATTCCGGCAGCGCGTTCGTGACGAGAACGTATGAGAACGGCCTCCGATTCCGCGTTATCCAATCGTGGATGTTTTCCAAGTAAGAGAGACACGCCGCGGCGGCGGTGGAGGTGAGCACGTCGGCATGCTGGCCACTCCTACCGAGCCGAGCTGACGGTGTCTCCACCTCGAACCCGTCATCGTCGATCAGCAGCAGCGGCGGCACCGCATGGAGAGTGCGCAGCTCCATCAACTCCCGCAGCGCCGCACTCCAGCTCTCGACGTACACGAACTCGATTCGGCCCAACTCGGACGGCGAGAGGGCGCCGAGGGGGGTGAAGGGCACCGGTACTTTGGCGTAAAACGCGGACTCCTGGCAGAGCACCACGACCTGTCCGCGTTCCCCTTCGCGCTGAACGGTGTTGATGGCTGCCTGAAACGCCAGGGACGTCTTCCCGGACGCGCGTGCGCCGTGGAGAAGAAAGCCATGACCTCGCAGCGGCTGGGAAGGGCGACGGCCTTCCTCGAAGAACACGGCGGCGTCCAACATCTCCTGGCGGGTCACCGCCATGACTCTTTCTCGCGCCTCTCTTCCCTTTGTCACCTCAGCGAGACCGCCTTAGAAACACGCGGTGCGGAGCGTCCGCTTTTTGGGGCAGTGGAAAAGACTGTTGTGAGGGCACAACCACCACAGAAGAGAAAAGAAATGCAATGCAAAGACAAGGACCGACAATGCGTGGAGGTGAAGAAGGGTGGTTGATGAAGTGGAGTTCCATTGGGGTATCCACGAGGCCGTGGAGGTGCAAACTAGCGGACTCGCTTCTCGGCTCAGAGCAAGCTGCTGACGCAGTCCTCCTCTCGAGATTTGGGCGTTTGGACTTCCACGCTGCAGGTCGAGTGCCGCTTCAAGCCCTGAAAAGGAAGACCGTAAACCGCTATTAGCGTTCAGATGAAATCGCCGCCAACCACTTCCCACGTAACTATATGTAAATTGGACGCGCTTCTTCAACAACTAGGAGGACGCCCCGCGTGTGAGCGCCTGAAACGCCTCCCACCCCTTCGCAGGCTCCAGCACCAACACCCCCTGCGGCGGGTGCTGCAAGTACGCCTCCGTCAGCAGCGGGTCGCGCACCGTCACGCCGGTCGACGGGTCTGACGTGAGCTGCACCGGCTCCCCCGCAACGAGAGGGCGGCCGCGGCGCTGCATCAGCTCCCACATGGCGTGAAACGCGTAGAACACCACCTCCGAAGACGCCACGTCTGTTGCGAAGGTGGCGAGGTTCGGCAACCCCAGCAGCTCCGCGCCGTGCGTGCGGAAGCCGTACCGCAGCTCACCCTTTGCCCCCTCCGTCTGGTACGGCTGAAAGCCGGCGTAGAGCGTGGTGACGGGAAGGGCGCGGAAGAAATCCAACGGGCGCCCCGCACAATCGCAGTTTTCTTCGATGAACGAGCGCGAGAAGAGCGAGGCGGAGGCGGCGGTGCAGGCGTGCACGTTCAACACCCCACAGCCGCCGCCTGCCTCGCACAGCGCTGCGGCCACCGCAGACACTGCCACGTACTTCTCTAGCGGCAAAGCGGCGTCGGTGCCGTGGTAGGAGAGATAGGCCGCACTCTGCGCCGCTTGCATGCGCACCTTCACCGCCTCCGGCTAGAGGGAGTAGGTGATGCACTGCTCCGCCACACTCGGGGGCAGGGGGCACCGGTTTCGCACAACGAAATCCACCCGGTGCTCCACAAGAGGGGCGTGGGAGTCCGGGGAGCCGGCAGCGGACCACGCGACGATGCCGCTGAGGCCGGCGTTGTCGGCGTCCGGGGCGGTGCGCAGCGTTGCCGTTTGCAAGGACGGGTCGAAGCGATGCAGCTGTTCTGTGATGGCGGGCACCGCGAGACCCGCAGGGGCGGGGTCGGGGAAAAGAACCTGCAGTCCAATGACGGGGACGCGTGACCGCAGCTCGGCCGCCTGCTGCAGCGCCGCAACGGACCGACGTAGCATGTGTCAATTGGCGGCAGATGACACTCGGTGTCCCTTCTGTTTTGAGGGGGAGGACAGCTACGAGGATCCGACCTGAGAAACGCGAGCAGGAGGATTGAATGCGCCGTAGGAAAGCGAAGGTTAAAGAGAAAGGTCGAGAGGCTCCAAAAAGTGAGCGGATCCTCAAGGCCTGCATAAGGCGGCAATGGCGGCAAAGACGAGGCGGAACAAAACGCAACGAGCAGGGAGGCAGGCGATATACGTCTACGTCGAAGAGTACGAAATAGAAGCTCTGATCCATCAGGAGAAAAAACACGGTTGCTGGGAACCGCCAACAGCTGCCTCAGTGAGTGGATATTACGACTATTAATTTTCATTATTATTCTCTGTAGATCTGTACAAACAAAAAGCCCCTAGGCCTGCCAAAGTGATGCCACGCCACGACACGCGCCGACGCTACCCACTCTTCGTGCGAGTCACAGAGCCGCCCCGCTTCCTCCACTCCTTCTCAAACTTCTCCGCATCGCTTTGGCGCCCACCCGCCGCAGCCTCCGCCTTCGTCTCTCTCTCCAACACCGCGTCGTCACTGTCCGCCCCAAACGCGACCTGATAATCCGTGTAAAGGTCCGCGAAGAACTGCGTCACACCCGCGCAGCGAGGCACGACGGTGATGAGCAGACACACGACACAGATGCCGCCCAGAACGTACTGCAGGGCGTAGACGAACTCTATACGCTCCTGCAGGTTGCCCAGCACTCGCAGCCCATCCTCGTATTCAGGAAAGGGGGTGGCGGGGACGGCCTTTTCCAGGAAGCTGCAGAGCGGTTCCCAGCCGTCTCCGTAGCGGTACACAAGCAGCTGGCCAGGTGGGACAGACATCTTCACGCTCTCCTCGTACAGCTGCAGAGCTACCGCACGGGGGTGCTGCAGTCCGCCATTGACGTTACTTTTCTCCGCCGTGTTCTCCTTGCCTTTCGCAGAAGCGATGGAGTCAGACTCTGTTGTGGTAGTGGATGACAATGTGCCCTGCATGACTGCGGCCTCTGCCGCAAAGGTCCGCCGCAGATCCCCCGATGAGGCCGTCATGTGCGAGTGGCTCGCCTCAGTGGACGCAGCCACTCTCGACGCGCCTTTCTTTTCCGCTGTGGCCGACGAGAGGGACGAAGAGGCGGCGTAGGAGGGGTCACCGCCCACCACCATCTTCGCCAGCATATTCTGAAACGCCTTCGAAATTCGGTTATTTGACGCCCGCCTCGTCGCGTTCTGCAGTCGGCGCATGTAGGTCTCGTACTTCTCCGCCCACCGGTCCTTGTCGACCTCCTCGACGAGAATCACCTTGGTGTACTGCGGTGCCTGGCGCAGCAGCGTGGTGTACAGCATCGCACCCGGTGGGCCGACCACGCAGTCGTAGTCCGCCAGCAGATTCGGCGGGACAGACTGCGTGGTGCCGTCGAGCAGCTTCGACCACTCGATCGGGTGCGTGCTGGCGTGGCCCTGTTGGAAGGAGGAGCGGAGACTGTAGGGGGTGTACCCGAGCTGCCGGAGAGCGCGCGTGAGGGCGCCGCCGTCCGGCAGCATCGTCAGGCACAGCACCCGCAGCTGTGCAAGAGAGGTGCGCCGAAGCATGGCGAAGTAGAATTGGTCAAAAGAACACGGCGGAATGCCTAGAAGGAAAGACAAACACCTGCGTTGCCCTACAAAACGTCTGCGAATACTCGACCGGCAACAGAGCCGGAAAAGGTGGGAAAGACACAAAGAAAGAAGAAGAAAGGGGTTGCGATACACAGGAGCACCATAAAGATGCTCGCAGTGGCAGCCCATCCACCAAAGCGGAGGGAGAGTTCGCCGCACGTAAGCACCGTTCACGCACCCCTGCGACGATCACCGTTTCACACGCACTTGCTTTTTATCAGCAGTAGTGATAACATTAAGAGCGAGTCAACTGCACACACTTGCCGATGAATTCGCTCTCGCTACAACGCAACACGCATCCATTATCTTGTCATTTTTAAAACCTCCATTACATGTGAAGCGTGAAAAAGAGAAGAAACAGTTTTGTTCTTCTGCGGTTGAACCTACCCCACGAAAAATAAGGAGAGGACAGAAGTTTACATTGTTCATGCACATTCAACTGGATGCCGACATCAGCAGCAGGACTGTCTTGCAGTGATCTTCTACACGCTCTTCCTCCGATGCCTCAGGCTAACAACATCACTGCACCTGCCTCAGCGCCTTGTAGCGGTCCTGCGACCAGAGCGATTGGAGGTACGGCATGGCGGGACGGAATAATCCGCCAAACGAGCTGGCCGGTACGCACAGCATCCGGGTGCGGCACTCACACACGTACGCCGCCGCCAACGCGCCGCCCTCCATCGCCTCCTGCCCGCCCACGATGTCGCCGCGACGAAAGGTAGCGACGGCTTCGTCCTGGCCATCGCCGGTGTCGCGCTGCCCGTTCCTTGTTGCCGGAATGCGTTCTGCTCCGCCACGGTAGGCGTTCACCCGTCCATCCAGGAGCAGGGCTACGTAGACGCACGGTGCCCCTTGCATCCCAATCGGGTCACCCCCGACCACCTCCTGCTCCGTCGTGCAGTGAAACAGAAAACGCCAGTAATTCTCGGGGAAGTACTCCGCGCAGGGCAGGCTGCAGAAGACACCGCAAAACTGACGGATGCCCGCGACGTAGGGCCGGCGCAGGAACTCTCGGAAGGCCTTCGCGCTGAGCTCGTACACCTCACAACCCGCATCGCCCGTGACGACGACGCGGGTGTGCAGCGGAGCGGCGGTGAAGCAGTGAAGGGGCGGCAGCAGTCCTTCCTCGCCGAGGCTGTTGCCGCGTACGGCGGTGAAGATGCAGGCGCCGCTGTCGGCGTCCAGCACACTGATGGCCCCCGAGGCGACGACGTAGAGGTGATCCGCCTTGGCTGGCGAATGTGCGACGAGCTTCGGAGAATGCGATGCTCCAGTAGTGTCTCCGTGCGGCTCGTAGGCGACCTCGAAGAGGACGGCGCCGCGCGGGTAGGAGCGCTTGGCGGTGAAGGCCGCCATCGACAACCCGCGCTCGCGCCCATCCGCGTGGCAGTACGTGGGGCGGGTGAAAAAGTTACTCAGCAAGAAGTTCGTCACATCCGCGCCTTTCACCGTGACGTCGTCCATCACCGGCTCCTGCGCCAGCTGCCGCCCATTTGGAAAGGCCGCCGACCCGATGAATTTGGCCGGCCCTGCAGCTGGCTTCTTCCTCTCGTAGCTTCCGTCTTCTGCTTCCTCTGCCGTGTCCTCGATGTCGGTGTCGTCGGAGAGACGGGCGAGCAGGCTCTGCTCCACCAGCGCACGCACCGACTCTCTAACCTGCTCCTCACGGCGATCCTTTTCACGCACATTGCGGCTGTTGTGCTGCAGCGCCGCGAGGTCCGCCGGGGAAAGGAGGTCCATCAAAGCTTGAAGGGAGAGGCGCACCGCCTCGATCGGCTGCTGCGTGGTGTAGGTGTAGGTAGCAGCGGCAGCACAGGGGTGCGCAGACGAGGACGCGGCACAGCCGGCGAGCCACTCTTCATCGCCAACGCAGTCGCTCACGCTTAAGATAGCCGCCTGGATGCGCGCCTGCCCACCATGGCCGTTCGCCCGCTCGTGCTCCACCGCAACGGTGCCGGACATCAACACCAACAAATCTTTAGGGGCCTCGCCGGCGCAGAGCAGCGGCACCGCCGCACCCCGCGTGACGACCTCTGCCTTCTCAGCCAGGTCGAAGAGCTGCACCGGCGTGAGGTGTTGCAGCAGTGGGCACTGCGAGAGCGCACGCAGAATGCGACGCAGCTGCTCATCGTAGTGCAGGCGTAGGAGCTGCTGATAGCGCACCCGACTTAAGCGCCAGGTGACCGTGTTAGAGGTGCTGGCACTCGCATCAGCGTTGCCATCCTCCGATGCACTTGCCGCGTGTACGGAGGAGTCGTTGTAGCGAGAAGATAACGGGTAGAGGAGTCCCTCACTGCCGAAGGCCTCACCGACGTTCCATTGCGTTCTGTCGCCGACGCGATCACGGGGAGCATCGTTATTGCCGCTCTCATGCATGGCTTCCGTTGCGGGACATGAGCCTTGTAAAGGGCGAGAAAGATTGTCGGCGTTCAAGCTTGACGTTTCGTCTGCCTTCGTTTGTGTCAGCCCCGCCACCGCTCTACCCTGCACAACAACATGAAAGGCGGTGACCTCCAGCGGAAACGCTATGACTTCTCCCGGCGCCGTCTCCTGGCGCTCAAAGGCATGTAGCATCTCTTCCATCAACTCCGCATCGTCGCGGCAGTCGGTAAAGAGAGAGTGGGTGAGCAGAACGTGTCGCACCGTGTCCAGCTCGCTCTGCCGTGCATCTGGTGTATCGCTATGTGGATCCTTCGCACTGCCCCACCACTTCACATCTTTCAAGTAGCAAGAGAGAGCTTCGCCGCAGACGGCCCCACGACGACGCGGCAGGAAAACGCGTGTGTCGGAGGCCCCGTGGCGTCCAGCAGTCGCGTTGTCATTCCCACTGCTGTCCGTATCAGCAGATTTGATAGCCGCGGGTGCATCGATGTCGCTGCCGTCGTTTGGCACGGAGGACAGTAGAGGCGGTTCGACGCTGAACGGATTTCGAAAGCGAGGGCTCACGTTGAATCTGCCAGCGAGTCGGTCAGCGGGGGACCTCTCCGCCACCGGGGACCTTTCCGCCGCCGGAGACGGCTTACAACAGCACATCCCCATTTACACAGCGTGGGCTAACAGAGAGCGGTAGTCGGTAGTGCGGTTGTCGTTCCTATCTGATGCAGGTAGCGTGTCAAGCTCACGCGAGTAGACGCCATGAATGTGTATGTGTGGTTGTACAACGCGCCGTTGACGCTGTGAATCAACGTCGAGGGCACCGGAGAGTCAAGGGCACCACTAGAAGGACTGGGAAGAAAGAAGATAAACCTTTTTGGCGCTGAAGGGTCGCCCGCTGCCCACCGGAATGGGGAGGCCGCGCAGGCGTAACGGCCCCAAACGCGTCCCACGCACGAGGAGTTCCGGCATATTGTTGTTATCCGGGAGAGGAGGTCGTAGAAACAGAAAGAGTGCAGCTGTGGAAGCGACACAATGGGACAGTGCGTCGACGTGGTGGTGGTACGAAGGCGATTTGCGTTGGTGTGCTTTACCGCTCCCAACCTGCTGAGAAAGGCAAGTCACCATCTCTATGTATTCATCAACGACGCGAGGCCATTCATCAGCGGTAACATATTCTTTTTAGGTGGTCCGCTGTTTCGGGTACTGCAGCACCAGCACCGATTCACATTATTCGTACTACTGTTTTGGCTGAGGAGCTCTACACAACTGGAAAAAAAACGGCGCTTGAGGAAATCAGAAAATAAGAGAAAAAGAGAGAGCGAAAGACATACATGTAAGGGGGGAAACGAAATCAAGCACAAGTCAAAGGGGGACGGGAGGTGTACAGCAAACACGGTGCTGTGTGTAAACCCCCACCGGAAGAGACACCACACGTGTGCCCATATCAGCGCCAAACAAACACATACACACGCCCATGAACGCAACGAGAAAATCAAACAAGAAAATAACATAAAGAGAGAGACCACAAAGAAATGGGAAATGGAAGCACATGAAAGGAAAAGGCGCCGCATCGCACTCTCCGCCATTAAAGCAAGAGAGAGAGAGAGAGAAAAAAAATAGCCAAGTGTAGACACAGAAAGGTGGAGGGTGCATGCGCCGACCCATTTGGAGCACAATAGGAAATATCTCTTAAAAAGAAACAAAAAGAAAGCAAGCATAGCAACGTTGTTGGAAGCGTTCCACCAACAACACGAAGCAAACGAAAATAAATATGGTGCGTGAGAAAAGAAGTGCATACATCGGTGATAAAATGACTTTTCGTTTATTCGCTCGTCTTCCAACGAACAAGGAAAACCAAGAGAGGAAGAAAGGGGAAAATACTGCTGCACATGGTCTTGAAAACGAAGCCTTTCCGAGCACCGCACCGAGTGCATGAGCTCAAGAGGGCCGCAGTGTCTGCCAAAAACACAAGAGCGAAAGCAAGAGGGACGGGAAAAGACGCGTCCGCCAACGCACACGCCGTCGCTGCAGTGCTGGCGAAAGCTACTTTGCGAGCCGCTTCATCGTTTCATGGGGCGGTGGTTGCTTCGATTGCTTCTCAAAGAACTCCACCGTGTTCTTCATCGGCGGTGTCGCAGCCGTGTTCACCGGATTGTGATCGCCACCGCTGCCGCTGCCATTCCCGTCTGCTGAGGGTCGTCGCGACGTGGACGAGTTTCGCGGAGCACGGGCCCCCACAGAGCCAGATGCGACGGTGCTGGCCATCGAGGGCGCCGACTCCGTCGTGCACCGTCTGCTGCTCACCGCGCTGCCCCGCGCACCCTTCTTCTTCGTCCCCTCCTCCGCTTCGAGGGAGACGACGTAGCCTCGCAGCTGCCGCTCCACCGCCATCACCACGCCACGCTTCAGCTGCTCCTCCTCCATCAACTCGCTCAGCGCCGCCTCGGTGGCTGCGCTGTGCCGCGTCTTGGAGAAGTCGAGGAGCGAGCGGGCCGAGGAGACGACCACCGGGGCCAGGACCGTCGGCAACGCCGTAGTGTCGTTCCCCCAGTTGTCGTCGTCGTCGTTGGCAGCGCCGTTGCCGAGCGCTTTCGAGTCTAGTGACATGCACAGCGACACACGCGGGTGCGCACCGCCGCCCGCACTTCGTCGGCGAGGGCTTATTTGCCTACCGCCTTCGCCGTCTTGCCGAGTTCCGCTGCCGTCCAGCTTCCCTGAGCCACCGCCACCAGCGGCCCCGCTATCGAGGCTCATGTTGCTGTTGTTCAAGCGGCCCTGGGGAGGGCCTCCGCTAAAGCGGCGGGTCCTCGCGGCGCTGCTCACGCGACATTGCGAGACAACGCTGTTGCCGCTGCCGCTCTCCTTCGCGAGTTCCGCCGTGAGCTCGGCGGGTGCCGGCATGACGCCGCGCATGGACTTGCTGATGGAGATGTCATTCACGTTGGGTCTGGTGCCGACCGACTTGAACATCGCCTGCTCCCCGACGTACATCGGCTCCAGCTTCGTGTCCGACTCGTCCTCCACCGCGTCGACGTCCTGCATGTTGCTGCGCGTCTGAAAAGAAATGAGTCCGAAGACGTTCTTGTCCACGCCAAGGGAGGAGAGGACGGAGCGGGTGGAGGGCAGTCCGTGCTGCCGGAGGCCCCCCGGGCCGATAAAGCTATCCATCGCCTGCGACACAAAGAGGGAGACCTCGTCGGCGTCGATGCCGCTGCGGCCGCCGCCCTGTCCCTGCCGCGACGACGCGACGGCACGGCGATAGTTTTGGGGACGCGGACGATTGTACGAAATCGGGTTGTCGTCGTCCGGCCCACCGGTGGTGCCGTGGAAGTCGCCGCGGGAGGAGGTGGCCTGCCGGCTGTACGCCCGCACGAGGGTGTCAACTAACGTGTCGATGCGATCGCCGGTGGTCTGGCGGCTGCCGTTGGCGGTGAGGCCCTTGACGAGCGGCCCCTTTGCCCCGGGGAGCGGCAGGTTCGGGGAGCCGCTGCGCTGTGCCTTGGAGGTGTCGCCCTTGTCCGCGCCGCTATTACCGGCACCTTCCCCTTTCCCTTTTGAGGCCACCGACGTACCGCCACTGTCCCCTCCACCTCCCGCTGCGCTGGTGCTGCTACCGCTCGTCCGATCGCCGTACATCACCGTCAAGAAGTCCGCCATGCTCTGCCGAAACGCGGCGTCGTCCTTGTTCGGGGCCGACGGCCGCGGCTTCGATGTGTTGTCGAGGGCGTCTGCGCTGAACTGCACCGATGAGCGGCGCGGCACCCCTCCGTTGGCGCGGCTGTGCATTGAGTCTTTGCTGTCCAACGTCGGCTGCAATTCTCCAGTGACGCCGAGGCTGGCCGTTGATCCCCCGCCGACGGCGGAGTGCCACCCCTGCGCACGCCGACTCCCTTTTGCCGTGGCATTCGTTGGGGTGCCGCTGTGGCCCGTGGCCATCGAGGAAGGACCGGGCTTCGTGGGATGGGGTGGGCGGGCGGTTCCTTTCTTGGGAGAAAGGGACGGCACTGAGCCACCCGCCTTTGGTGCCCCGGTGACCGGCATGGGAGTTGGAGTACGACTGCTCTTATTATACTTGTATTGGAAAGGCCCGGGAGAGATGGGGTGTGTTTCCTCGACAGAAGGTCACGGCGTGTGTTGCGCGGCGCAGAAACAGGAAGGAAGAGGAGGACAACTATATACAGTTACTGATGAAGAAGCAGCGGGAGAGTGCGCGTTTGTTTCTTTCTCCTTTTTACGGAGGAGCTATATTTGATCGCTGTCAGTGTGGAGCGACCGGACCGCTGCAGTTGTAGCGGCACCGTTTTCCCGCTCTAAGCGACAGTCAAAGGATTGTGAAAAGGCACGAGAGAAGTGCGAAAAACAAAAGAACAAGCCGTACGGCTCCTACTCAAGTAAAGCCCAGTGAGGTACGCCTGCACCAACGCGTCTCTCCCACCCTCTCTGGCTCTCAACGTGCGGGGAAAAGAACACGAAAGAAGAACTACGGCGAGGGCGCCACGCAGAAGGGTGAAAAACGCCGTAGGGAAGATGCAAAAAAAGAAGGCAGCAAATAAGAAAAAAAAAAGGAGTCGGAGGCAAGTAAAATGCGGATCGTGAAGGGAGAGAGCCACCATGCAAGAAATCACACGACGCGGGTTTTGGGGTGACAAACGTAATGCGGACCGTGGAAAGACAGCTGTCCATTCCCTTGTAGCGATGATTCTGTTTTCTGGTTGTCTAGGTGCTACGCCGAGCCATCGCTTTAGACGACGCCATTTCCGAGCCCTATCCGCCTCGAAAGCAAACAAAGGCGAAGGTTCCCCCCGAAAGGAGATCACCAGAACTCATTAATTCGGTTGTAATCAACTTCAAAGATGAAAAATAAAATGCATTGCATATATATAGTTGCACGCCTCACCCGGTTCACTCCGTGGAGGAATAGGAATAAAACAATATTGTTTTTTTTCCCGTGTTAAAGCGCCCACGACAACAGTCCATCAACCAATAGAGAGAAACAGCCCCAAAGAAAAGAAACGCTCTACACGGCAGCTAAAAGCTTCAGAGCATCGTTTTGTCTGCAACGCAGCAGAAATACACGGCATATACGTAGAATAGAAAGGCAAATCATAAAATAGGAAAGGTAGATACTACTTAAGGTGGAGGCGCTGCGCTTTCGCCGTCATGCTGCGGCTTTGTTTGCCCATCTGTCGCAGCAGCAGCAGCAGCAGCAGCAGCGGCCGTCTGCTCCTCCGAGGCTGCGATCGCCGCTGCACTCTCGCGCGACGCGATCTCCCGCCTCACCTCCGCCATGGCCATCTCACTCAGCTTCTCCAGCCCCACCGCCCGCTCCTGGCGCGCCTGCGGGGTGACGCTCGTGTCGTACAGCACCAGGCGGCAGGCCTGCAGCGCGATGTGCCGCACATCGCTCTCAGTCGCCACGGCGAGGACGCGCAGGATGTCCTCCTCGGCCAAGCTTTTGTCGAAGAAGGCGCGGCGGGCGGTGTGGGCGCCGGTGGAGGCCCAGTGCCAGAGCGACGAGGCAGACATCGCCCACGACGAGTACCAGCTGTCCATCTCACGTGCCCAGGCGTTGCTGTGGAGCTGCTGCCGCGAGCTGAGGTGGTACTGCTCCGCCACGTAGGAGACGAGCACAGGGCCGAGTGGGGTTGACACGGCGTCCCGCATGGCCAGCTCCGCCGCTTGGAGCCCGGTGGGGCCGTTGTCCAGCCAGGAGACGAGGTTCTTCGCGACACGCAGGCGACGCCGCGCGTGCAGCTCCTGCTGCATCTCCGCCGAGAGCAGCACGCCGCCCTCGAAGACGAGAATGAAGTGCAGCTGCCCCACGAGCGGCTCGAGGAAGGTCGCACCCAGCATCTCTTTCATGGGGTTGCTCGTCATCTCCGGCACGGTCTGCGGGTCCACGGTTCCGTACCGGTCGTAGGCGGCGCGAGTGTCCTCGTTGCTGAGGACGCTGTAGATCTTGTTCAGGTTCTGGAACTTGAGGGTCGCGTTCGGGTCGTTCGGGTTCTTGTCCGGGTGCATCTCCAGCGCTTTGCGAGTGTAGGCCTTACGGATTTCCCCTGCCGTCGCCGTCTTCTCCACCCCGAGAAAGGCGTAGTAATCAGCCGGCTCGGCGGTGTCATCGTCGGCGGCTGGCGCCTGGGCCGCTCCCCCGCCTTGGTGGGGCTCTGCTGAAGGGGTCTCCGTGGTGCCTTCCGCCGCCGCGTGCTCTGCGGCGGAGGTGGGCGGATGCGGCGGGGCCATGGTGGGCAGCGTGCCGTCCTTCTCCGCCTGGGCGTAGGCCTTCCGGGCCTTCGTCATCACATCGTCGTCGGTTTGCGGCAGCGCCTCAAAGTCGTGCGCCAGGTTCACCCGCACCCATGTCTGCGTGTTGCTGTCCCAGTAGGATTCGCCTTTGTTCACCTCACTGACCGCGGATGGGGTGTTGCCGAGGCCTCGCACCACCTGCCGGCCACCGGAGTAGAGACCGTAGCCCGTCAGCCCCACCAAGCCGACCGCTCCAGCGCCGAGGCCCTTCGCCATGCCTTTCCACCCGCCCTCCTTCACCCCGCTGTAGGTGCCGGCCGCAACACCGGCGATGCCGAGGCCCACACCGGTCACCACGTTGCGCACCGCGTCGGACGCGCCTTGGAGAGCGTGCTTGGGGCTACGATTCGCAAAAAGACTGGTGATCTCGTCCAGCGTTGCATCGATGTGTTCATCCGGTGACTGGTCCGCCGGCTCAGGCGGCTGTTGATCGTTCGTGTTGGGCTGCGGTGACCCATTGTCTGTGGTTGCCGCCGGAGGAGACGCCGTGGCACCTGCGCCGGAGGGCTGGGCAGGCGGGGCGGATGGCGGCTGCTCCTCTCGCTTCGATGCGCCGTTGTCCATTCTGTCCTCCGCCTCTTGTTTCCTTTCCTGCTCCCTCTCCGACTCCTGAGAAATGCGACGGACGCGACGGGAGAAGAAGATGATGGCGACTGCCGCAGCAAAAATGACTCTCCAGTGTGCAACCCACCAGCTGATCAGAAACATAAACGAGGCAGCAAGAGGGCTGCGGGAACAGCAGAAGCGCACAACGAAGAAGCAACGGATTTAGAAAAGAGGGCGCTTCCTAACTAACAGTATAGGGGGCAACGAGGACGCTGCTTTGCGATCACGCAAGCAGTGCTTCGAAAGAAAGAAGAAATGAGGTCTGCTGCGTTCGGCTGAAACCGCTCCTGTCGAGATTGAAGGTGTTGAGCAAGCAAGCGAGAAATAAAATGCAGAAAGGAAGTGAAGAGCACCGCGTCATTCAACCGTGCGGTAGTGAAGGAAACCGTGCAGTGAAGCAGCTAAGACCCCATGGCGTATTGGTTAGTTAAAGATGGGATACAACTCTGCTCCTTTTCCTTCTCCCTCTTGTCTGGAAGCTGCGTGGAGCGTCAGAAGCGGTTCTTATCATTTTTTTTTTCTCTCTCGCGTGCAATCGCTTTTCGTCTTCTAACGACACCGTTGGAGGAGACTTTCGTTTTTCAATGTGTGAGGCGAAACAAAGGCGTCCACCCAACAATGCCCTTTCCACGAGCGCCGAAAGGGGTTCAACGCTGACGAGAACAGCACAGAAGGAATTCTCAATAAATTTCACTTAGTTTATGTGAACCGGCCTCGTGAACTCGCATACCTACGGCACGGGCATCCGATTCCTACCTTCTTTGTTTTCTTTTCCTTCTGCCCTTTCATTTCCGGAAGGCGACAACGCAGACGTTCTCCTCCGTGACGCCGCGGGTAGTGTACTGACACTGAAAGGCCGCGTAGCCCACGCGACGCAGGAAGTGCACCCGCAGCTGATCGATGATGCGCTTGCACTGCCGCCCCACGAGGCGCCTCGCCTCGTCCACGAATCCGCCACACACAGCCCACGAGGACATACTCGCCAGAGCAGCGAACTCGTCCTCCGACCACGTAAAGTCGGACCCGGGCAGCGTCAGCATCGCAGGCGCCTCCGTCGTCGTCGCCGTCGCCAAGGACACCGGCGGGTTGAGGTGTCGCAGCTCGCACCGGTGATGGCAGCAGGTGGCGATGACAACGATGGGCAACCGCACGTGCGCGTCGTGCGAGAGCGACGGCGCCTCCATGAGACAGGAGAGAGCGAAGTCGGTGCACGCGCCACAGAGGTGCTTGCCCAACACGGCCCAGTTCTCCATGGACGGCTCTGTTCGACGGTGCGGGGAAGGACCGCTCGTCTCGTCAGCCACCACCGCAGCAGCAGCGGCGGCGGCCTCATCCTCTCCTACCATATTCGAGGAAGTGGGTGAGTGAATCACCGTCAGGAAGGCCTGCGTCAAGTCAACGTCTTTGATGTTGAGGCGGAGGCGGCGCAGCGGTACGGCGGAGTGCCGCACCCGCGCATCCCCTTTGCGGCGGAAGCCGTCCATATCCAGCACCACCAACGGAGGCCGCGCCGCCACCTCCTTGAGAAAAGGCCATAACGTCGGTGGTGCAGACGACGGCTCTGATGCGGTGGCACTTTCTGTCGAAGTCGCCGCCTCATTCTGGGTTGCTGTCTCCGAGTTGGAGGGAGGCAGATGCTGCACGATGAGCTGCTGCAGCGCCACCGAGAGTCCGCCCTTGCCAGCGCCAAACTCCAAAAAGCCATCGACGTGTATCGGCGTCGTCGCCATACAGTGGAAATTGGCACGTCGACCGGGCTGTAGTTTTAAGTACTGCGTCACGATCGAGTCCGCGTCGTGTGACTGCAACACGACATCGCTGAGGCAACGCAGCAACGCGGTGTGCTGCGGCCCATGCTTCTGCGAGGTTGACTCAGCGTGGGGGAGGGGTGTCGTACCCGATTCGCTGAGCGACGGAGGAGGGGAAGAGGTGAAAGCAGTTGCGCTCTCACCCTTTGGCTCTTCAGCGCCGGTGCTGGGCGTGTCGCAGGACGGCATCACAACGATTTCCGGCTCCACACAGGTGCGGTAGCAGTCCGCCACTTTGACCATCAGCTGCGTGAGATCGTCGTGCGACAGGTCGCGGTGGGTGCGTCGTGCGGTCGCCTTTCCCGTGTTGTTTGCCGCCGCTGACGCGACGAAGGCGGCCCCATTGTTGGCGTGTTTGTCCTCGCTGAAGTACGGCAGCTGCGTCGGCACAAATCGCAGGTCTGGGCACACCTTCACGTGCCTCTCCAGGCGAGAGGCGTATACTGTGTGGTTTGGATTGATGGGGCACGCCACTCGCACATCGCCGGAGCTTTTGGCCCCTTCAGCTCCCTGGGAAGAGCTTTCCGGGTCCCCTGAACCGCTCTTTGCGTCAACCGGCTCCCGACCAACATCAGCGGCGTGCGTCCCGTTGTGTGTGCAGCAGTAATGAGAGCCGGCCTTGCACTCGGTGCGGCAGAAACGGTGTTTACGACTTACATAGTAGCTGCAGTACATCGGGTCGGGGTTGAGCCGCGGGGCCTTCTCCACTCTCGCCGACTTGCGTGCGGGGAGCTCTGGCACTTCAACGCCATCTTGTTGGGACATGAACACAAGCCGCTGGAACACAAGCTGCTGACGTGGTTTCTTCAATGGGGCGATGCGTGTGGTGCGCCGGTGGTCACGGAGCACGCACTTGTAAGTGTGGATGTGTGTAGCCGAGCGCGCGCTTACGCAATGGAAGCACTTGGCAAGGCGGGTCAGATAAGCTGTATGGAAGCAGCTCCGCACCGACGTCGCCGTGGGACATCGACAGAGCGAGCAGGAGAAGAAGAATAAGGAGAAAGAAAAGAACGAACTGGAGAGGAGAGCACTTTAAAAACGCCTTTTCCATCGAGGAAATCAATTCCTCTGCTTCGCCGCCGTTGTAGTTGATGCATTCAGAGGTTTTTCTTTCTACTACAAACAAAAATGGCATGGGAGCTACACCGACGTTACGGCTTCAACGCGGAGGGTAAGAGCCGCGTCGGACCAAGAGCACTCTGAACAAGGCGATTGCTTGTGCCGACCCACTTCGTTGTGCACCACCTCCCTTGCTCACAAGACGAAACACTTCCCGCACTGAACATCCACCTTCCCACACCAATCGCTACACCTGACGGCGTCCCATGAGAATACGTTGGCTGGTCATTGGTTCACTTGACTAGACCGCCTGCATTGAAAAACAGAAAGAAAGAGAGCATGTCATGTCCACTTGTACGCGGTCCCTCCATTGCAGCCACAATGGGCGATAGCAACGAAGAAACAGAACTCGCACCTCTTCTGTCGAAGGCGTCCACTAGACGGTTCATCGTATTTTCAATTTCATCAGAATGGGCTTCTTTTTCTTCTTCCTCGCAGCGGCACCAATAACAGTTGTCAGGCAAACTTATATATATATATATCGCAATAGAAACGGTTGTGCTGCGAGCACACTCCAGGGAGGAGGCATTTGCGAGAAGAAGAAAGAAGTCGCTAGTCACGATAGGTGAAAACCAAGGGGGAAAAAACAGGAGATTAAAAATCAGAGAATAGGCCTTTACGTTAGTGATTAGAATGCAGTTACTTGGAGAGCGTGTGGCGGTCGGCACGCTTCGTTCAAACCACAACAGCTATGGCGTCTTAGCACCATAAGAAAGAAAGAAAAACAAAAGGTTTTTACCGAGACGGGTGGACAAGAGAAACTTCGTGTGTGTGCGTGTAGCGCCCACGCGTCCCATCATTACATGCCTCTCGCGACAAGGCTGGAAAAGTTACAGAAAAAACAAGTGCGGTTGTTCGATGAAGCAAAATCCAGAATGCACGTGGAGGATGGTAAGCGAGAAGGAAGCAGCCCGGAACGGCAGACGCAGCACATCTACGTCCCGTCGCGACTATGTGCAGTGAAGGACAAAAGCTTTTGTGTTTTTACATATTTTGAAAAGAAAAAATCAATTGAGGTATACCTACGTGGGACAGAAAAGGAAAGAATAAAACAACGAGTTGTTGCTTCAGATGAGCGATGCGGAGACCACGTGCTCATCGAAGAGGAGAACTAATAATAACAATAATAATAGTCCGAAACAACGAAATAGGAGAGATGAAAATAGCACTGCCACGTGACGTGAACATTTGCAGGGCGGTGAAGAGAAGGGAAAATGTTGGCCGCCTTAACCGCTTTCGGGTTTAGAAGATAATTAGAGAACACGAAGAGAAGGTTAGAAAAAAAGAAAGGGAAAATCGAAAGAAGAGAAACCAAAAACTATATTCATAATAATAACAAGTTTATGACCCTTCGGGAGCAAACAAAGAGAGAAAATTCGGACGGAAAAAGAAGAGCGGTACGAAGAAATTGGAGACAAGAAAGAGAGGCACTTCAGTGAAGAAGATTTCAAAGGAGGGGGGAAAAGAGAAAGAGCACTAACAAGACCGCTCACGTCCTGCAAAAAAAAAAGAAGTAAAATACTACAGTTAGGAGAGAGAGAAAACGTCATAATCGGCTGCTGTGTCTTTGTCTCCTCCGGCTTTACTGGTTCGCTAAAACTTCGCTCTAAAGTGTCTTTAACAGTCAGAGACGAAAACACCTCTCATGCCAAGAGCAGAAAGCACGAGAAAGGCCTCCACGCAGTTAGAGATACGTGATTGCCTCCTTTTACAGGGCAGTCACTAAAACTTGTTGCACCAGCTAGGAATACGAATACGAAGCGAAACGGAGAGTCCTGACAAGTGACGACATCCACTTGCAGAGTTCTCTTACGCTCTCCCTTTCTTCATTATTATTGAGATCCAACGATCTCGACTACGTCAACAGCTAGTTCAGCAACCTCACCTCAACGCGAATTCTCACGTCAAGGTACACCCGTTATTCAATTTATTTACTATGAAAAAAAAAAAGAAACTACAATTCACTTTCAGCGAAGGACCTCCTTAAGGACGCCGTTTCTATCAACTAAAAGAAAACAGGGAAAAACCGGAAAAGAGATGAAAGAGGGAGGAATACATCGTTAATGGCGAGGCTCACCTGTCTCCTTTCCGCAGTGTAAAAGGGAGTACTATAACGCGCTCTTCGATCAACGGTCACGCTGTGTGCAGAGGGTGTTCGGCCCAACACAGCGAGAGGACGTTTCTTACAGCACCTCGAAGAAAAACAACACCGTAGAAGGGAAGAAAAACAAGAAGAAAAGCAAACACAAAATCCACCGTTGTCAACGGCGCGAGCGGACCGAGAGTACACCGGACAAAAAAAGACGGTTTAGGCGTGATGGTCTTTCCGCTGCCCGTTTGAGGGAAATGGAGAAGGATCGTCAGAGCCGGTATTGACCCACACGCGGTTCTTGTGCCTTTTCGGCTCTTGAAAAAGGTGACCCAACAACGAGGAGCGCGGCCCCGCCGACTCTGCCCGTGTAGAGCGTGACACATTGCCGCGAGAAGCGCAGGACAGGTCGCCCACGTACACCGCCGAGGACGCACGCTCCAAACATGGAGCGCTCGTCTCCTGTGCAGTGGAGTTCGACACCTGCGAGGACAGCGGCGGCAACGACGAGCCAAGACTGTTGACGTAGCTCAGTGGCCGAGACGAGTCCACCGACCCGTTCGCCGTTGCACTGCTCAGCGAGTTGACAGGTGTGATGGCCGGCAGCGGCGACACCCGCCTTCCATCAGGCGGGGCGAGCGGCTCCACCGATGCGTGGCCATCGTGGGCGACGCGATACAAATGGCGGGGTACGGGCGCACACAACTGCACCGATGGGGCCGACGGGGGGAGGGAGGAGGAGGTGGTGGTGGTGTTGACCGCAGTGGGCAGGCAGTTGGAGCTGGTGAGGATTTCACTCACGCTGAGGGCCACGCCAGGTCCTTGGCGCGGCGTCGACCCGCGGCGTCGCGCGGAATCGCGGACGTCTGCCAGAGACCGCGAGCCGGAGCTGCCGGGGACGATGATCTCCTCCGACGACAGCACAGCCCCCGTCGTCGCAGTCGCGCCCAACGACGTGAACGGCGACAACAGCGGAAAGACGCCACTGACGCTCTCGCTGAGGCGGGACGGCGTGTCGGCCAGCGTCGAGCCCAGCGCCTCACTCTTCTCCCTTGAGGGGCCATCCGTGGCAGGACCGACGTGCGGACTGGAAGGGTTCGCAGGACAGCTCGGAGCGGCCACGGGTGGTGTGGCGACCGCCGGCCTCTCGCGCGGTGTCGTCAGCCCTCGGCCCCTCGACCTCCTGCTCGATCGCACGCTGGCGCCGCCGCGGATGGATCGCGAACTGCGGTTCAGCACCGTTTCGGTCAGGCCGCTGAAGACGGGAAAGCCCATTAAAGGGCGCGGCTGCTCGCGATCCTCAGGAGGGCTCCATTGGGCTGAGACGTTCGACGCCACCAGACTTCCGCTGGGGGACCAGGCCGGAAGTGGCCGTCGAGGTGAGCCTTGGCCGGACGACGGTGACACAGGGTACAGCACGGTGCTGACGAGAGCCTGCCGTGCGGACGCCACCGCGTCAGGCAAGCGCAGCGAAGACGGCGACGTCAGGTTGTGTGGCGCAATCCTGTGCCGCTGCGGGTTGCACGAATCCACCGCCCTGCCGCGCGCCGTCGTCTTTGTCGTGGTGCTCGTCTCCAACTGCAGCGACAGACGTGTCAGAAACGTCGGTCTCACGCGCTGGTTTGGGGACGACGCCTGCAAGCCGCCGCTATCGCCCTTCGACACGTCCACGACAGTGTTCTCCTGTGCTGGCGACTCCTCCTTCGCTTCCTCTGTACCAGCAGCGGTAACGGGAGTTGTGTTAACCGCCGTCGCCATCTCCACAAGCGGAGGTGAGACGCGAAACGTGTGTGTGTTCTCCAGTAGCAACTCATCCACCTGCATCTCCTCCTCCCGCTTCACGCACGACCCGCGCGAGACCATCTCCGACGTCGTCTCCGAGCTGGGGGACGGACGCCCACCGAGGAGAGCAGGGGGCTTGTACTTTGAAAAGAGAGAATGAAGGCTGCTCGTGGGACGCAGTGCGAGATGGTCGGCGTTGGCCGGCGGTGCCGGCGGCGGGGCAGCGGTGGTCGCCTCGGACGTCGCGCGAGACACCGTGAAGCTTGCACTGCAGTCCTTCGGTGGTGACAAATGGGTCGAGGACGACGTCCGGGAGACGGTGTCGAGGCGGGGGGTGCACGGCGAGAGAGACTGCGGGCTGGAGAGCACCGCTGTTTCCAGCGACGGACTCAGAGAGCTCATTTACCGCCAACAGTGGAGGCCGACGCCTGTTTGCAAAAAACAAATAGAAAGGAAAACAAATACCAGTGTCGGAGACCTGCTCCGCGACCTTGACTGCGCTGGCAGATCGGCAGCCGATCTGTTGCCACGTGGAGAGGGATCCACGCGACGCGCAACAACACGATGAGAGATGTCCCACACCCGCGCACACACAGAGAGGAGCAGAGCGGTGACGCAGCACACGAACAAACGATTGCACACACACACGAGAGAAGAGAAAAGGCACACAATCGGAGAAAACACAAATGTTGCTCAGCGTATAGGAAAGAAGCAAAGAACACCAGAGTTCAGCGAAAAGAGGAAAAGATTACACACACAAGCAAGCGGCGCACACACGAACACACGAGCCAAACAACGCCGGACACCGAGATAGCACAGGATAGAGAGATATAGAAAGCGGCGTAGTTGTTTAGTGCATTTTCAGCTACGAAAGCTGGCACAGAAGAAGAAGAAGCCGACGAAAACAAATAATAGAAAAAAGCGAGAATTGCTGCGCGAATTGCTCAAAAGAAAGAACAGGTTAAAAAAGAAAACCAGACATGAAACGATAGCGTCTGTCAAAGAGAGAGAGAGAGAGAGAGCAGCGAAACGTGACTCAAGTCATAGCAATAAAGAAATCGCTTACCGGCATTCTACGCCGATTACTCGCTCCTTACAAACGAGAAAGCAAAGCAAAAACTATATATTTAGGTGGATGAGGTCTGTGAGTGTGCGGCAGAAACGATCCAAAGAGGCAGAATAGTGCGCACAGCAAAAGATGGGAATAGTAAAATAGAAGGGCAACAGAGATGGCGTACAGGAAAGCCGAAGCCGAGGGAAAAGGGAAGACGCGCTGTTTACTGCGGAGAAAGGGATGGGAAGAAGAGAGAGGGAGTATTAAAGAAAACAAAACAACCAACCACAAAGGACGCACGCAGACGTACTTGAAAGAGAGAGAGAAAGAGAGCGGGAGCAGAAGAGGCACGCGGGATGGTGAATCAAAGAAACAAATAAATCCTCACCTCAAAAAATAAAAAAGGAAGAGTTAACTTTTAACCTTCGTAGAGATACACGATCTGCAAATCAAATGCCAGTGGGTCTCTTCGTGCAGAGAGCAGCAGAAAGAATACGAAGACCCTTTCTTCCGCCTTCTGCACGGACTTGTGTGGGTCGTATGTTGAAGCTTTCTTAATGAGGGTGTGTGTGTTTATGATGAGTTGAGCGTCACACTAGGTCGAATTGGGAAGGCGGGCACCAGCAATGACGCGGTTCGTCGCACCAAAACAGTGTTGTGGAGTCAACAAACAGAAATCACAGTAAATGCAAATGGGCCTTGTCTTTGTGTCTGTGTTGCTGGTGTGAAATCATCCACAATAGGGAAAAGGGGGAATCAGAAATGGATATTTACATTAATATTAATAATAAAGGAGGAGGTGAAGGTGAGAAGTGAGCGATGGAAGAAGGCGTTTTACGGGAGAACGCACCGCGTGTGCCGTGCTGCCGCCATTTCAGCTGGGATGAGGTGCGCAACAGAGGAGCACAACTTGGCCCCCCTTCTAGGTCGGCCATGCCCAGTGTCGCGTGCGAAGTTGCCGCCATGAGAAAGAGGAGGGCACATAAGGACGGTGTTTTTTTTTCAATCACGTGCTGATACGTAAAAGTACCTATCGTGCTTGTATAGGCAAGAGACCATCACAAGTTATATACAAATATATATATCTAGGAAAAGCGCACCATGAAGAACAAAACATCAACACTAAAGGAACTTCCGTCGTCTTGGTCTAAAACGGTGCGCTTTGGAGTCAGTGGGCCACCGAGTAGACGTACACGCGACGCACGAGAGCACGGACACAACACAACGATAAATTATTTATGAAAGCAATGAGCACACCTCGAAAGATCAATGGAAGCCAACCCATCCAAGCGGACAACACGCATGTGAGGCTATTGATCCGCAGAGAATGTGTACAGCACCCCTCGAAGCATTGGACGTCGATTCGACGGCCAGCGGACGTCAGGAAGCATCCAGACGGGAAAGAAAGAAAAAGCAATGTGTAGCACCAACAACGTACCGGCAAGCATTTACAGCGGAAACGTCTCCATAAAAACGAAAGCTAAACGAATTACCGGCACCCAAAACCCTTCAAAAAACACGACAACCGCGCTAACCATATTCGCAGCGCGTTGTCATTCCGTGCTGCCGTTCTCGCCGGGGGCGGTGATCTTCACCTTCACCGACCCACCCTTGCGGTGGCGGTTGCGACGTCCTCGTTGGAGCGCCGGTCCCGTCGGCGACGCCGTCTCATCGGATGGTGAGGCCGGTGCCTCAGCAGAGGTGCTGCTCTCGTCTTCCTTGCTTTCCTCCTTCTCCGTCCTCGTCGCCGGCTCATCTCGAGCGCCTCTCGTTGGTGGCAGCGCCAGCTCAACCGTCCTCGGCGACACACTGCGTAGTTGTGGATGGGCAGCAACCGCGGCGGGAGGTCGATCCCCGTTCTGAGGCACCTCACTTGCGTCTCCCGGCGTGCAGAGGCGGTCCGTCACGGGAATGCGCACCTCCTTCCCGACCTGCGAGGCGTCCGTCGCGGACTTGACGCACGTCAGCACCAGCGCCGAGGCCCCATCTGTGAACTGCAGCGGCGAGAACATGTACCCGCCGTTTCCGTCGAAGTAGAGGATCCAGTTGTGGTACTGCCACACGCTGCGGCGGTGCGCAATCGTGATGACGGTGATGCCGAGCTGCACGCAGCGGTTGTAAATCTGCCGCTCGACGTCGAGGTCGATGAGGCTGCTGCACTCGTCCAGGATGGCGAAGCGCGGGCGGTGGAAGAAGAGGCGGGCCATGGCGAGCCGCTGCTGCTCACCAAGGGAGAGGCTGTCGTCGCTCCACGACAGCCGCGTCTCCCAGGACATGCTCGACTTGGTGAAGATGTAGTCCAGGCCGGCCATCTGCAGGTAGCCGTACAGCTCCGACTCCCCCACCGTCAGGTCCTTCCGCTTGAGGGGGTAGATGACCTGCTCGAGCAGAGTGCCGTCAAACATGTAGGGGCGCTGCGGCACGTAGTAGAGTTGCCCCGCCTCGGGCTTGATGATGCGGCCGCCACGCAGTGGCCACAGCTCCCCGAGGAGGCGGAAGGTCGACGACTTGCCGCAGCCGTTGGGGCCGATGATGAGTAAATTCATCCCCGGCTTGACGTAAAACGACATGGACTGGCATAGGCACTCGCCCGTCGGCAGAATCAGCGGCACATCGACAAACTCGATGTGCTCGTCCCGCACGACGCGTCCAAAGAGGTCCTCAAAGCTCGCCTCCGGGGCGCCGCCCTCTTTCGTCGGCTGGAACTTCGTCGGACCACGCGTGGCGGGGGACTGCGCGGTGCGGTCCGTCTGCAGCTCCGCTAGCTTCTCGGCGCGATCCAGCGCGATGATGAACTGTGTCAGACGGCGGGTGTAGCCGCCGACGACCATGATGAGCTTGATGTTCCACAGCAGCCGCCCAACGGCCGTCGCGAGGGTCTTGAAAGTGTAGGCCGCCTTGGTCAGCGTCGACGCGGCGTCCTCAGCGGTGCTGGCGATCGCCTTCTGCCGAATGGCTGCCACGGCGCAGATGGTGTAGCCCATCAGCACCGACCCGTATTTGTTGTACATGATTTCCGTGAAGTTAAAGCGGGCGTACACGTAGGCGGCGTAGCGCGACTGATCCGTGACGGCCTTGAAGAGCCTCTGGAGCAGCTTCTCGTAGAAGGGAAAGCCCCGCGTCATGGTGATCTCCTCGGCGTGGGTGAGCACGTCCTGATGAGCCGCCTGGAAGGCACCCTGCTTCTCCATCCGCTGCCCCACCAGCCAGTCCATATTGGGTGCAAAGAACCACACCCACGCGGCGAAGCCCAAGTAGTAGCCCCAGGTGGCGGTGGGGCCGACTACGCCGGTCTGCTTGTACAGCGTGTAGGTGAACATGACCGCCTCGATGAAGGGGCGCGGGATGCTGGTGAAGAGGGCGGCCGCCACCCGCGACCAGTTGCGTGCGTCCTCGGTGATGCGCTGGTCCACGTGGTCGACCGCGTGCAGACCCGCCAGCTGGAAGAAGACCCGCCGCTTCAAGTAACGCTCAGTGAGATAGGTGGTGACATTCTCGCGGAAATGCAAATCCAGAAGCTCGGAGTAGTAGTCCAGCGTCACGTTCAGCAGGGCCGCCGGCACGCAGGAGAGGCCAAAGGTGATCAAGGCCTTAAACATCCTGCCCAGGTTGCCCTCGATCGCGGTGCGGCTCACAATACCACTGGCGTCGACAATCCGCACCGACACAAAGGCGCGGGTGATCATGAGGGCAAAGAGCAGCGCCAAGCTCCGCGCCTCACGGCCGTGTGCGGTGGGGATGGCGATGCGCAGGAGGTGCAGAAAGTGACGCAGCATCGAGACCTCCTCGGGGTCGCGCGCGTGGCGGACGACGGCCGCGGTGGCCGCGTTGATCGCCTCCGATAAGGCCGCGGCGCGCAAGGCTGGATAGGCCGGCGAGGAAGGGGCTGAGACGGCCGGCGCAGGGGCAGTGCCTTTCGAGGGGGATGGCGGGGCCGCCTTGGCCTCCTCCACCATCGTCTTGACGATGTTGCGCACACGTGGCGGCGGCGCTGCCTGCACCATCCTCCGCCCGCTGGACGTGGCGTACATCGTCGTGAGCAGGGCGACGCTGCCACCGACCCAGCTCACCATGACGGGGTCGCGCAGACGGGACGCCGCGTACTCGCGCACGTACTCGCAAAGAGCTTCCGTGGTGGCCATGGTGAAGGGTAAGAAGAAGAAAGAAGAAAGAGGGGCAGGAGAGAAAACCCAACCGCTGTGCGCTGATGGCGCAGCGCAACGGGAGGAGTCGATCTATCTGCGAATCGTAAGGGGCCCAAGCTTCGTGCTCCAGCAAACCTGGTGAGTTGGGTCAAAGCTGACCAGATCAACTGAGAAACAAACGAAGACAACGCAGTAGAATATATATATGAATATGTGGCGGAACGATTTAGTTGCGAGCTGGCACACAAAAAGACGCCTCTAGCCGCAAAGAGAAAGAGGAGACACTTGAAAGGACAGTCAATATGTAGGCAGGGGTGTTCTTCATCACAGCTTGCGCCCAAAGCATCGCCGAAGACGTACACAAAGAAAACTAAGACAAAGGGGAAAGAAATACCGGAAAGTAATGAGCTGTATTCGTATCCTTTTAAAAGGAAGCAGCACAGACAATACGGTTAAGCCATTTCAGACACACCGAGAATTTATACGAAGTTCCAACAGTATACACTTGAAATATAGCGGCACATGTTGAGTAGGCGCGTTCTTTGGTGTTCAGATGAAAGCAGAGAAATCTGAAGATCTGCAGGTCCGCTTCTTCAGCACCGGTTTACGACGAACCCTTCAAAGGTCCATAGTAAAGCACCGTTCTTCTTGTGTGTGTGTACGTTTTATGTTGCTCCTCTTCTGAGCAACTCTACATGGAAAAGCACAACAGCCCGTTGCAGCGAAACGCTGCGCGCAGAAGCCACACCCGTCTTGGTGAGCCTCGACACGGAAAAGAACGGCAATGATACAAAGCTAAGAAGATAATAATAATAACAATAATACGCATTAGCGCAATAGAAGAAGAACAGAAAAAGTAGCCGCAATTGCCCACCCACACATCATCAGTTGGTCGAACGCTCAATGACGCAAGAACGGCGTCAACGGCACAGTGCAGTTAAATCTGGCAACAGCAATCACACCAGCGAGTGTCGTCGTCAAAGAGATCTATCGTGGTATTTGACCTGGGTAGCTACATGGCTTCCACCGCGTCGAGCAGCTCTTGAATGTACGCCTCGTTTGTCTCGTTGGTTTGGTAGAGCGACAGAAGCTCGCGGTGGAGTCGCTCGTACTCGGCACTCGGCACCTGCACGACGCGGTTCGCCACAGACGGCGTACACTTGACGGGTGACAGCACCTGTTGAACGTAGTCGCGCAGTTGCGCCTCAGAGAGCAGCAGCAGCGGTGGAGCCCGTGGACACCGCTCCGCCAATGAAAGAGCGGGCATGGCATCATCCAAAGCGAGGCTTTCCTTGTGTAAATCCATGAGTGCGCGTCGTGTGGCATAGTAGTCGGGGAGAAGCCGCGGCTCATGCTCGAGGGTGCGGCACATGCAGATGCACATCGTAATGGCCGGCAGCAGACCCGCGTCCAGCACCAGGAGCGCCTCCATAGCATTCTCCGCTTGTGTCCGCCCACGTAGGTCCACTTTCACATCTGAGAAGGAAAGGCCGCGGTGCACGCCAAGAGCCTCTAAAGACGGCAGCAGAAGGACTGCCGCGTCCATTCGTTTTTCTTCTGTCACGGCGGCCGTCATCATTGTACGCCACCCACACAGCAGATACTCGTACCGTGAAAGGTAGAGCAACAGAGAGAGGATCAGGAGGTGCTGCGACGGCGTCAGCCGCGATGCCGCCGCTGTGGAGAGGAGTCGGTGTTCAGCCGCTGAGTCCACACCGTATCGGCCCTCGCCAATCTCTGCTTTGGCCTTCGCCATCAGCTGAAGGGCCGCCACCTGCAAAGAGAGGCGGGAGATGGGCAGCACGTCGCTCAGCAGACCGTGCGAGAGCAGTGAAGCGAGATTACAGGTGGGAGACACCGCTTCCTCCTCCCATCGATTGTCGCGACGCAACTCTCGACGAGGAGTGCTCACGTCTGAGTCGCTCGCAGGGGAAAAGACAGCCGCAGCATCTTGCTGGGCGAGCTTCGCAAAGAGCGCATAGGGTGTGGCGGCTCCTTCCGTCACAACGGAATGCAGCCGTCGGCTCGTCTCGTCTTCGCCGTCGCCCTGATCGCAGATGTGTCGCAAGATGGCCCGGCAACACCGCCATTTGCTCGCGAAGCAGCTCGCCACCGACGTCTTCTGTGCCAGTGCAGCAAGTACTGTGTCCGTCTGTTGCGTGGCCTTCGGAGTCGATCCTGTGGTTACCGCTGCATCCTCGTCCGCATCCCGAGGGCGAAGACACACGCAAAGCGACGCAACTATGAGAGTGTACGCATCGAGCGGATCGTGACGATCGCTCTGACGCTTGAAGAGCCCCGCTGTGGACGCTAGAGCGTAAAAGCAACGCGCCGTGTCCGCCGGACTCAGGGGCAACCCCTGCAGCTGCACATCCAGCGTCTGCTGCAACTGGAGAAGAAAGCGGCGCCAGATGACAGGGAAGTAAAGCCCGTCGCCCAGGAGACCCTCCGCGCGGAGCAAGTTGAATCCAACGTGGTAGAGCGGCCCAACGGCGTCTAGCAGCAGCTGATCGTGAGGGCTGAGGTGCTGTGCGGCGTAGTCCTTGAAGCGAAGCGGCGCCGTGTCCTCCCGCAGCCACCCGGAGAGGTCAACGGGCGCCGGATAGAGGGTGCCCTCCTCCGCGTGCTCCTCTAGCTCAGAGAACGCAAACCACCGGAGCGGCACGACACTCGCCGCTGTCTGCGTCGGTTCAGGCGCCACGCTGCTGCCGCGCACGGCTGAAATCTCCGCGCGCTCAATATCGGTTTCGAGTACTTGGATGCGGGCCTCATGCTGCGCCACGAGTCGTTGCGCCGCCTCCAACTCCGTTTCCATCTCCGTCAAGGCTGCTCCGCGGTGCTCCAGTTTCCGCTTCAGGGCTGTCCGCTCCCGACTCATGCGCTTGAGTGACTGCTGCAGCTTGCGCACGTTGGTGCATCGCGAGATGGCGTCCGCACTCTCGTCGTTGTCGCCATTGCCCGACGTGCTCGGGCTCTCTCCCGTCTCCTTCTCGTCGAGTGCGACGCCATCTCGACTCTCGCTCACATCCACGCCGCTAAAATCCGGTCGCAGCAGCCGCAGTGGCGTCGACGCGGGAACCAAAAAGGAGGAGGAGTCCGCCACGGAGGCGCGATCTCGCTCCTCGAGAGCCGTCTGCGCCGCATCCCTGGCAGCCGTCATCGCCTGCAGCTCTGCCGTGCGTTGTTCCACCTTTGCGGTGGCGTCCGCTAACTCCGTTTCCACGTGTGCCCTCGCCGCCTGCAGCTTGTCAAATGCCGCCTCCTTCTCCTGTAACGCGGTGGTGTGCGCCGTGTTGAGTGCTGCCACCTCGGCGCGATGCGCAGCGGTCAGCTCGTCCACTTTGTGCAACGTCGCGCGGATGGCGTCCGCCTGCATCTGCACCTCCGCCTCCAAAGGTTGCAACTGACGCTCCAAGGCCGCAATGTGCTCCTGCTGCGCTGCAACCGTTTCTTGGCTGCTCGCTTGCAGGGTGGCGTGCGTGGACTGCAGGTTCATGTGCTCCTGCTGGAAGCTCTCCAACGCGGCGGTTTTCTTGTCCAACACCTCTTGCAGCTGGGCAAGTCGAGCCGTCCACTCCTTCACCTCCGCAGCAGCAGCCCTCTCCGCCGCTGCAGCGTCCTCCACGTTCGCTTCCACTTCTGCTGTTGTAACGGGGGGCCCTTGCACAGCCGGAGCGGCAGCAGCAGACGCCACCGCATCGCGTGACTGCAGCAACGCCGCAACCTCCTGCTCCCACGCCTTCTCCCGCTGGCGATACTGCGTGTAGCGCTCCGCCAACGCCGCCTCACTCGCGCGAGCGCGCCGCGACCACTCCTGCTTCTCCTCCATTAACTCCTCCACTGTCCGGCCCATGGCGCGCAGGGCGGCGTCTTTCTCAGCCGCCTCCTGTCGCAGCTGTGCAGTGACCTCGGTGAGGTGGTCCGTGATGGAGAGCACGGCTCGGCAGTCGTTCCGCTTCTCCTCTTCGAGGGTGTGGATGTGGTCCAGCATGTCCGGCCCTGCCTCCGCGATGAGTTCGCTGACAGTGGTCATGCAGGCCAGTTGCGGGAGAAACGCCGCGAGGCGGTGAAGACCCTCGATCAGCTCATCGGCGCTGATATCTGCGACATCCCCAAGCATGCCATTCACAGCCTCCGCATTCCCTTGAGGGCCACCATTCGCCGCAGTACGTGAGGGCGCCGCAGAGCGGAGACGTTTTGGATCGGTCCTGCTGTTCGTCGGCACGGCATCGTTGGTGGCCTTGGCTGTGGTCCAGTCTTCGACCACATTTGGGAAGCACCGCGTCACCTGCGCCATCACCGCCAGGGCTGCGTCGTGCACCGGCGACCACGCAAAAGGATCAAGAGAACCTTCTGGTGTTGCCACCATAAGAGAGGAGGGTACCTTTCCAGGGGTTTCTTTGGCCAGTAGGCTGGCCAGCTCTATGCACTGTTGCTGCAGCTGGTGCTTCTCACGAATCAGTTGCTCCACCTCACGCTGACTGCCCCGCAGTACCGCAGCGGACAGTGCGGTCTCCGTCGAAAACACCGCTGCCAGTGGTGCGGAGTGCTGTAATGGTTTTGCAGGCGGTGGCTCGTACGCAGCGGTCGTGGTGGCGGAGGCCACAACGCCTGTGCGCTGGCTGCGCGACGCACCCAACGCCGGCAGCGACGGCGAGGAAGAGGACGGCAATGACTCCTCGCGTGAGATGGGTGCGGTGGGCCGACGTGGCGCTGCGGAGCTCACGGTGGAGCACAGCGCCGCTTTCAGTTGCCGGAGGTGCTGCACGTTTTGGCGATGACGCTCTTCTGCAGCCACCAGGTGGGGGGCCGCGGCGCCGCCAAGCCCATTCGTGCGGGCAAAGGTGCGGTGTTGGTGCCTCGCCTGCGCTGCGTCCATCCCGGCAGACAGCACCACAACGCAACGGCACGGCGTGCGAGGAAGAGGAGCCACGCTCGGGGAAGTATCAACGACACGGAACACGGGCAGCGATCTATTTGACGGCGGCTCCGAAACGACACCGCAACTAGCGCCGAGGAGCCGTTTTGGCGCGGGTGGGGTCAGGAATCTCACGAAAGGCGTGCAACGCACCACCTCAACCGCCTCTGTCTCCTTCCTCTATGAACAATGAAGAGCAACGCGCTGGCGTTACCGCCTCCTGCATTCAACGCCAACGCACTGACTGAATAGCAATCCCGTACGAGCCGGTAGGAGCTGCAACTCAGTTACTCAGGGTGCGCACTCCTGCTTTCTATGATGGTGGTGTTCGCGTGTGCTTACGCGGCAGCTGCGGGAATGGGTGAGAAGGGAGAAGTCGGAAGTGAGAGCAGCGCGAGTAACATCGGGGAAAGGAGCACCACAGGTTGGTGTACGACAGCGCACCTGCAGCGAAGCGCTACGTTGCAGCGCATCGCTTAGCGTGCCATTGTCTTCCTTCGCACCAACATGCGTGCGGCAGGTTGGAAGACAATCAGCGACGACGCGGCGAGGTCGCCAGCGGTCATCGATGTGTCACAGAAACACGTGAGACAACAGTCACTAGGTCTTTCGGCGTTTGATCGCTGACAGTCAGCTGGGAGAAGTTATAGGCGCGCACCCACCTCCGCCGCGCGCATTCAGGTGACAAGTAAACAAAAACAAACAAGTAGAGGAGCGCCTCGGGTGCCCGCACGCCCCGACAGAGGCGCTGGCCGCAAAGCTACAAGCTGGCCGCGGCCGACGGCACCACCGTGTACTTCCAGACAAATTTAGCCTCGGGGCAGTCGGCTTTGAGGCCCGCCACGATCTTGTCCCGCTGTTCCGCGTTCTCCGCCAGCGCCACGGCGATGCCACCGCGGCCAGTGCCGGACAGCTTCGCGCCAAGCGCGCCGTAGCCGCGGCAGGTCCGCACGATGGCCTCCAGCTCGTTGCACGAGACGTGCAGGTCGCGGCACAGGTCGTGGTTCGCGTTCATGAGCCCGCCGACGGCCCGCAGGTCGCCCTTCTGCAGCGCGTCGCGGGCCTGCGCAACGACGTGGCTGTAGTTGCGGCACAGGCGCGAGAACGTCTGCGGGTCCGACTCCTTCATCTTGCGCACGTCGCCGACAACCGCAGTCGTGCTGGCAGTGATGCCGGTGCCCACCACGACGAGGTAGAGCGGCTGCTCAAACCGGATGGGGCTGAACACGGACTTGCCACCGTCGCGGCGGTAGGAGATGAGGCCGCCAAAGGTGGCCGCCGTGTTGTCCACACCGCTCGGCGTGCCGTGGTAGCCGCACTCCCCGGCAAAGGCGCTCTGGTTCACCTGGTCCTCCGTCAGCCTCAGGCCGTACAGCTCACTCAGCGCGCGGGAGAAGGCCACCACGTCGCTCGCAGACGCGCCAATGCCGCTGCTCGGCACCAGCGGGCCGCCGAGGAGCACCTTGAGGCCGTCCTTCGACACGTCGATGTGCAGGTGGTCGAGGACCAGCTGGTGGGCACGCTTCTGCTCCTCGCGCTTCTGCGTGATGTAGCCGGGGATGGCGGGGCGCCGATCGTCCACCTGCAGCCCAGGGACGCCGGGCGTCGCCTCGAGGCGGCACGCCGTGTACTCGCTGATGCCCGCCACAATGGCCGGCGCGCCGTGCACGACAAAGTGCTCGCCGAAGAGGATCACCTTGCCGTAGCCGACGTGCTTGCCGGTGGTCTCGCGCTTCACCGGGCGGGACATGCGTTACAAGAAAAAGTTAGAAGAGGAAGAAGTGAACACCGAGGAAGGTGCGTTTTGAGGCGCGAAAGGGAGACAGCGTGCGTATGCAACGGGCAACCGACGAAGCTACCGCACAACGGACTACGCTACGTTTTGAAATAGGTGGTGGGGATAGGTACAACGAAACAGATGAGATGCGCGAGACGAGGACTGCGTGAGCCGGCCGGATGCCGAAGAGAGCGCGGGGGAAAGATGGGGAGCGGAGAAGGGTGGAAAGCGTCGCACCGCCACGTTGACGTGCGCCACGCAGAGCAGGCATGGAACGGGCACAGCGCTTGACACGGGGCTCGCACGCCCACGACGGAGAAAGCCGCGGCCCCAAAGAGCGGAAGCGAATTTGCTTGATTGACGGAGGGGATATGCTCGCTATGGCTGGACGGCGGAAGCAGCAGAGAGAAGCATCGATGGGAAGATGAACGAGCCGGGACACATACAGTTGCACTATGCAGCGGAATACGAAGCGAAGCACCTTGGCGGTGCTCACCAAAGTGAAAGTATCAAGAGTTTGTACGTTTTTATCGTAGCCGAAGAGAAAGAAAACGAAGAATCCACTTTGGTCAGTATTAGTATTAAGGTTTGCCAGGGAAAAGAAGAACGCTTATCATGAACATATTCTGATGACTTCTTGCTTTTGAGCGCATGTTCGATTATGGTAAGCAGCCCTCATATGTCTGTTTTGATCGCTAGTGCCGAAGAAGCTGAAAGAAAATAGGAAGGTATTGCTGAAGCGGCATTAGTTTTGACGGCGCTTGGGGATTACACCAGTGAACGGAGGAAAGAAAGCAAAGGCACCGCCTCACGAATTATTCTTAACTTTAGGCCTTTAAAAACTTTTTACAACAGTTACAAGGAATTATGAATCCGAAAGCACGTAAAAAAAATCTCTGCCAACACCGTCGCAGATTAACGAAAACCATAGATTCTTTATCATTGTGATTGCTCCCTTCCCTCTCGAAAAAGCCGTTCTACTCAACTTTATCGCGTTAGCGGCCCACCGCACTGTAGATGGTGGCGGCAGTTCCAAACACCAGGGCGACGACACCGGCAAACAACACGAGGTACGTGCATGTGTAGTTCACGATGCCGACGGAGCGCAGCGTCCAGCCGCCAGAGTACATGACAAACAAAACGGGCAGAATAAAGCCCACGGCCCCACCACAGACGCCGCCCGTGAATCCAAACACCATGTTTACGTTCGGCACAAACAACCCCAGCATGAGATTTAGCACCGCAAGCAGGACGGCTCCGATGAGATACTTCCAGTAAACGACGGTGTATGGATCCCACCCAAACAGAGGAAACAGGGCACTGCGGCAGGCGTTGCTGACGAGCCCAAACGAGGCGCAGATCTTGATGAACACGCCAATATAGCTCACAAAGATCTGCGGCTGCTCCAGCGGGTTGTACTTCAGCAAGATCGAGCCCTCGACTTCACCAAAGTCCAGATAACCAAAGAGCCCGGTGATGTAGGACAAGAGACCGCAGATAGTCATGCTGATACACGCGCAAATCGTGAAGCGCCGGAGGCTGCGCGGGCGCATTTCGAGCGCCACCTCCACACAGTTGATTTGGCACATAAAAGAGAAAATGAACACGCCAAGACCCTCCAGTGCGGTGTTGCCGGTGTTCACGAGGCGCACAGCCGGCCGCGGGTTGGCGCTCATGCCGTTCATCGCGCTGTGCACGACAACCACAACGGCAAAGTATAGAATGAAGAGGATGCCAACCGCAGAGACGTAGCGGAGAGAATTAATCTGGCGCGGGAGGACAAGCGGAAACATGAACACAAGCCAGAAGGCCGCATGTAGGAGCCGGATTCCCTTCGTCTCACGAAGAAATGCGGGAGTGGAGTCGAAAGACGCGAGGATGGGCCTCAGCAGATCACCGATTGTCACAACAAAGGCAACAGTGCCGCCAAAGGTGTGCAAGACGCGGAGAATGGCGACCACGATGTCCGCACGCGGATGCAGCAGGTGCCTCGCCATCTCCTCAAACGAACGCAGGCCGGTTCTCTCCGAGACTTGCACGAGGAGATGCATCGAGTAGATGGTCTCGGCAGTGATGAGCACGAGGTACACGGTGGCCATGATGATGCCAACGCTGTGAAATGCAGCAGGCAAGCCGAGAATGCCGGCACCAACGGAGGTTGACGCCATGTTGAAACCACTCGACAGCATGCCGCCGTAGGGAATCATTATCTGCAGGAGTTTACGTATCGTACGCAGGTTGCTGTCGTGAACTTTGTCATCGCTATTGACATCCATCTCGCCATCCTGGAAGCCAGAAACTGCAGGCTTCTGGTATTCGCCGTAGTCGAGGCCAACAGTCTCGTCTTCGAAGGCATCAAGTTCGGGCCGACCACCGGTACTCGCTTCGCGTCCCGCACCCGTTTCGACGGGTACCTCGCTCATCGTGAGGCCGCAATGGAAAAGAGCAAGCAATAGAGCAGGTTACGTGCTGCAACAGTGGTGAGGCCGCAAACAAGAGGGAGAACGAAAGAGAGGAGAGGAGCAGCAGCGGAGAGTTGCAATGTAAACAGGAAAGCGACATGGAAAGTGAAAAACGATGGGGTTGAACATCGAAGGGCGAGCTACACAAATCAGGCGAAGCACACGTCCTCAGACGCGTTCAACGGGCCCCCACTTTTGCGGGAACAATCCAATTGACATCTCGTGGCTGGGTGTTCAGGTGCTGGTGTCGGTCGCGCACGCAGGTGTTAGTAAGCCTCAACCGACGCTCCAATCAAGCAAACGCAGATGCGCGCGACAAATGGCTACAAACAAGCAGCGACGACGCGGCGAGGTCGCCAGCGGTCATCGATGTGTCACAGAAACACGTGAGACAACAGTCACTAGGTCTTTCGGCGTTTGATCGCTGACAGTCAGCTGGGAGAAGTTATAGGCGCGCACCCACCTCCGCCGCGCGCATTCAGGTGACAAGTAAACAAAAACAAACAAGTAGAGGAGCGCCTCGGGTGCCCGCACGCCCCGACAGAGGCGCTGGCCGCAAAGCTACAAGCTGGCCGCGGCCGACGGCACCACCGTGTACTTCCAGACAAATTTAGCCTCGGGGCAGTCGGCTTTGAGGCCCGCCACGATCTTGTCCCGCTGTTCCGCGTTCTCCGCCAGCGCCACGGCGATGCCACCGCGGCCAGTGCCGGACAGCTTCGCGCCAAGCGCGCCGTAGCCGCGGCAGGTCCGCACGATGGCCTCCAGCTCGTTGCACGAGACGTGCAGGTCGCGGCACAGGTCGTGGTTCGCGTTCATGAGCCCGCCGACGGCCCGCAGGTCGCCCTTCTGCAGCGCGTCGCGGGCCTGCGCAACGACGTGGCTGTAGTTGCGGCACAGGCGCGAGAACGTCTGCGGGTCCGACTCCTTCATCTTGCGCACGTCGCCGACAACCGCAGTCGTGCTGGCAGTGATGCCGGTGCCCACCACGACGAGGTAGAGCGGCTGCTCAAACCGGATGGGGCTGAACACGGACTTGCCACCGTCGCGGCGGTAGGAGATGAGGCCGCCAAAGGTGGCCGCCGTGTTGTCCACACCGCTCGGCGTGCCGTGGTAGCCGCACTCCCCGGCAAAGGCGCTCTGGTTCACCTGGTCCTCCGTCAGCCTCAGGCCGTACAGCTCACTCAGCGCGCGGGAGAAGGCCACCACGTCGCTCGCAGACGCGCCAATGCCGCTGCTCGGCACCAGCGGGCCGCCGAGGAGCACCTTGAGGCCGTCCTTCGACACGTCGATGTGCAGGTGGTCGAGGACCAGCTGGTGGGCACGCTTCTGCTCCTCGCGCTTCTGCGTGATGTAGCCGGGGATGGCGGGGCGCCGATCGTCCACCTGCAGCCCAGGGACGCCGGGCGTCGCCTCGAGGCGGCACGCCGTGTACTCGCTGATGCCCGCCACAATGGCCGGCGCGCCGTGCACGACAAAGTGCTCGCCGAAGAGGATCACCTTGCCGTAGCCGACGTGCTTGCCGGTGGTCTCGCGCTTCACCGGGCGGGACATGCGTTACAAGAAAAAGTTAGAAGAGGAAGAAGTGAACACCGAGGAAGGTGCGTTTTGAGGCGCGAAAGGGAGACAGCGTGCGTATGCAACGGGCAACCGACGAAGCTACCGCACAACGGACTACGCTACGTTTTGAAATAGGTGGTGGGGATAGGTACAACGAAACAGATGAGATGCGCGAGACGAGGACTGCGTGAGCCGGCCGGATGCCGAAGAGAGCGCGGGGGAAAGATGGGGAGCGGAGAAGGGTGGAAAGCGTCGCACCGCCACGTTGACGTGCGCCACGCAGAGCAGGCATGGAACGGGCACAGCGCTTGACACGGGGCTCGCACGCCCACGACGGAGAAAGCCGCGGCCCCAAAGAGCGGAAGCGAATTTGCTTGATTGACGGAGGGGATATGCTCGCTATGGCTGGACGGCGGAAGCAGCAGAGAGAAGCATCGATGGGAAGATGAACGAGCCGGGACACATACAGTTGCACTATGCAGCGGAATACGAAGCGAAGCACCTTGGCGGTGCTCACCAAAGTGAAAGTATCAAGAGTTTGTACGTTTTTATCGTAGCCGAAGAGAAAGAAAACGAAGAATCCACTTTGGTCAGTATTAGTATTAAGGTTTGCCAGGGAAAAGAAGAACGCTTATCATGAACATATTCTGATGACTTCTTGCTTTTGAGCGCATGTTCGATTATGGTAAGCAGCCCTCATATGTCTGTTTTGATCGCTAGTGCCGAAGAAGCTGAAAGAAAATAGGAAGGTATTGCTGAAGCGGCATTAGTTTTGACGGCGCTTGGGGATTACACCAGTGAACGGAGGAAAGAAAGCAAAGGCACCGCCTCACGAATTATTCTTAACTTTAGGCCTTTAAAAACTTTTTACAACAGTTACAAGGAATTATGAATCCGAAAGCACGTAAAAAAAATCTCTGCCAACACCGTCGCAGATTAACGAAAACCATAGATTCTTTATCATTGTGATTGCTCCCTTCCCTCTCGAAAAAGCCGTTCTACTCAACTTTATCGCGTTAGCGGCCCACCGCACTGTAGATGGTGGCGGCAGTTCCAAACACCAGGGCGACGACACCGGCAAACAACACGAGGTACGTGCATGTGTAGTTCACGATGCCGACGGAGCGCAGCGTCCAGCCGCCAGAGTACATGACAAACAAAACGGGCAGAATAAAGCCCACGGCCCCACCACAGACGCCGCCCGTGAATCCAAACACCATGTTTACGTTCGGCACAAACAACCCCAGCATGAGATTTAGCACCGCAAGCAGGACGGCTCCGATGAGATACTTCCAGTAAACGACGGTGTATGGATCCCACCCAAACAGAGGAAACAGGGCACTGCGGCAGGCGTTGCTGACGAGCCCAAACGAGGCGCAGATCTTGATGAACACGCCAATATAGCTCACAAAGATCTGCGGCTGCTCCAGCGGGTTGTACTTCAGCAAGATCGAGCCCTCGACTTCACCAAAGTCCAGATAACCAAAGAGCCCGGTGATGTAGGACAAGAGACCGCAGATAGTCATGCTGATACACGCGCAAATCGTGAAGCGCCGGAGGCTGCGCGGGCGCATTTCGAGCGCCACCTCCACACAGTTGATTTGGCACATAAAAGAGAAAATGAACACGCCAAGACCCTCCAGTGCGGTGTTGCCGGTGTTCACGAGGCGCACAGCCGGCCGCGGGTTGGCGCTCATGCCGTTCATCGCGCTGTGCACGACAACCACAACGGCAAAGTATAGAATGAAGAGGATGCCAACCGCAGAGACGTAGCGGAGAGAATTAATCTGGCGCGGGAGGACAAGCGGAAACATGAACACAAGCCAGAAGGCCGCATGTAGGAGCCGGATTCCCTTCGTCTCACGAAGAAATGCGGGAGTGGAGTCGAAAGACGCGAGGATGGGCCTCAGCAGATCACCGATTGTCACAACAAAGGCAACAGTGCCGCCAAAGGTGTGCAAGACGCGGAGAATGGCGACCACGATGTCCGCACGCGGATGCAGCAGGTGCCTCGCCATCTCCTCAAACGAACGCAGGCCGGTTCTCTCCGAGACTTGCACGAGGAGATGCATCGAGTAGATGGTCTCGGCAGTGATGAGCACGAGGTACACGGTGGCCATGATGATGCCAACGCTGTGAAATGCAGCAGGCAAGCCGAGAATGCCGGCACCAACGGAGGTTGACGCCATGTTGAAACCACTCGACAGCATGCCGCCGTAGGGAATCATTATCTGCAGGAGTTTACGTATCGTACGCAGGTTGCTGTCGTGAACTTTGTCATCGCTATTGACATCCATCTCGCCATCCTGGAAGCCAGAAACTGCAGGCTTCTGGTATTCGCCGTAGTCGAGGCCAACAGTCTCGTCTTCGAAGGCATCAAGTTCGGGCCGACCACCGGTACTCGCTTCGCGTCCCGCACCCGTTTCGACGGGTACCTCGCTCATCGTGAGGCCGCAATGGAAAAGAGCAAGCAATAGAGCAGGTTACGTGCTGCAACAGTGGTGAGGCCGCAAACAAGAGGGAGAACGAAAGAGAGGAGAGGAGCAGCAGCGGAGAGTTGCAATGTAAACAGGAAAGCGACATGGAAAGTGAAAAACGATGGGGTTGAACATCGAAGGGCGAGCTACACAAATCAGGCGAAGCACACGTCCTCAGACGCGTTCAACGGGCCCCCACTTTTGCGGGAACAATCCAATTGACATCTCGTGGCTGGGTGTTCAGGTGCTGGTGTCGGTCGCGCACGCAGGTGTTAGTAAGCCTCAACCGACGCTCCAATCAAGCAAACGCAGATGCGCGCGACAAATGGCTACAAACAAGCAGCGACGACGCGGCGAGGTCGCCAGCGGTCATCGATGTGTCACAGAAACACGTGAGACAACAGTCACTAGGTCTTTCGGCGTTTGATCGCTGACAGTCAGCTGGGAGAAGTTATAGGCGCGCACCCACCTCCGCCGCGCGCATTCAGGTGACAAGTAAACAAAAACAAACAAGTAGAGGAGCGCCTCGGGTGCCCGCACGCCCCGACAGAGGCGCTGGCCGCAAAGCTACAAGCTGGCCGCGGCCGACGGCACCACCGTGTACTTCCAGACAAATTTAGCCTCGGGGCAGTCGGCTTTGAGGCCCGCCACGATCTTGTCCCGCTGTTCCGCGTTCTCCGCCAGCGCCACGGCGATGCCACCGCGGCCAGTGCCGGACAGCTTCGCGCCAAGCGCGCCGTAGCCGCGGCAGGTCCGCACGATGGCCTCCAGCTCGTTGCACGAGACGTGCAGGTCGCGGCACAGGTCGTGGTTCGCGTTCATGAGCCCGCCGACGGCCCGCAGGTCGCCCTTCTGCAGCGCGTCGCGGGCCTGCGCAACGACGTGGCTGTAGTTGCGGCACAGGCGCGAGAACGTCTGCGGGTCCGACTCCTTCATCTTGCGCACGTCGCCGACAACCGCAGTCGTGCTGGCAGTGATGCCGGTGCCCACCACGACGAGGTAGAGCGGCTGCTCAAACCGGATGGGGCTGAACACGGACTTGCCACCGTCGCGGCGGTAGGAGATGAGGCCGCCAAAGGTGGCCGCCGTGTTGTCCACACCGCTCGGCGTGCCGTGGTAGCCGCACTCCCCGGCAAAGGCGCTCTGGTTCACCTGGTCCTCCGTCAGCCTCAGGCCGTACAGCTCACTCAGCGCGCGGGAGAAGGCCACCACGTCGCTCGCAGACGCGCCAATGCCGCTGCTCGGCACCAGCGGGCCGCCGAGGAGCACCTTGAGGCCGTCCTTCGACACGTCGATGTGCAGGTGGTCGAGGACCAGCTGGTGGGCACGCTTCTGCTCCTCGCGCTTCTGCGTGATGTAGCCGGGGATGGCGGGGCGCCGATCGTCCACCTGCAGCCCAGGGACGCCGGGCGTCGCCTCGAGGCGGCACGCCGTGTACTCGCTGATGCCCGCCACAATGGCCGGCGCGCCGTGCACGACAAAGTGCTCGCCGAAGAGGATCACCTTGCCGTAGCCGACGTGCTTGCCGGTGGTCTCGCGCTTCACCGGGCGGGACATGCGTTACAAGAAAAAGTTAGAAGAGGAAGAAGTGAACACCGAGGAAGGTGCGTTTTGAGGCGCGAAAGGGAGACAGCGTGCGTATGCAACGGGCAACCGACGAAGCTACCGCACAACGGACTACGCTACGTTTTGAAATAGGTGGTGGGGATAGGTACAACGAAACAGATGAGATGCGCGAGACGAGGACTGCGTGAGCCGGCCGGATGCCGAAGAGAGCGCGGGGGAAAGATGGGGAGCGGAGAAGGGTGGAAAGCGTCGCACCGCCACGTTGACGTGCGCCACGCAGAGCAGGCATGGAACGGGCACAGCGCTTGACACGGGGCTCGCACGCCCACGACGGAGAAAGCCGCGGCCCCAAAGAGCGGAAGCGAATTTGCTTGATTGACGGTGGGAGCATATGTACAGAAAGAGAGAGAGCAGATAAGAGACATCAAAAGCACAGCGTCTTTCCAGAAAGCACGTGAAGGGGAGTCCTTCGTGCGTCAGCAGAAAGGAGCCGCGAACAGCAGAGCCAAACCAAGGCAGTAGGGAATAGAAGGGCAAAGAAAAGAAAACCGTTGGGAACGGCAGCTACAGTCCCAAACAGCAGAACACAAGAAAAGGTCGGTCACGGGCCATTCGGCAGTTCCTGCAGTGTGCTTCATGGAGTGCGGCGAAGAACGACGAGCAGCAAGGGCCACCCGTAGCCGTTTGGCTCCCTCCGTTCCTCCTCCGTGGCGCTGCTCATCCGCATGCACGCCAGCGGTGGCGCAGCGAACCAGCAGCAGCGGCTGGTGATGGGGAGTACTGACGGCGCATCACTCGCTCTGAAGCGTCTCGGTTCTCTGCCAGAAGGTATATGATCTGCCGTGCACATAATCGCCGCCACTACCCACACTCAGGCAGAATGTGGTGGTTAGTGAACGATGGCCTCGACCGTGGCGAGTGTGGTCGCCCAGTCATCCGCACAGATAAGAACGCTAGAGGAGAGTGCAACGAGTGCGCGCCTAGATGAGCCCAATATGAGAAATAGGAGAAAGGAGCGAAGAGGGCAGACAGACAGTGCACAGCGAGATACGAAAGCAAAGGACATTTCTATTACCCGGGCTCCTGCTTGGACAACGTGTCGGTGGCCGCGTCAAAGAGGCCATGGATTGACTCTCTACGGCTGGAAGACCGAAGCAGCAGAGGGAAGCATCGATGGGGAAATAACAAAGCCGGGACACACAACGTTGCATCACGCAGCGGAAGACAAAACAGAACAAGTTGGCGGTGCTCGCCAGGTTCAAAGTACTGCATTAAGGTTTTTGTCAAGAGTTTAAAAGGGAAAACAATAAAATAATAGTTTTTCTGGTTTCAGTTTTGATAGAAAAAAAATGTTGTAAAAGGAGAGCACATGTCAACTTCACAGCTCGATAAATACTGACATTTGAGCGCATTATCGATTGTGGCAACCAACCCTCAGACGTCGGTTTCTATCCTTTTTGCTCAAGACGAGATAAAGGAAGTAGAAAGATATTGCTGAAAGGGTAGTGGGTTTGACGGTATTTTGAGGTTCAATCGGTGAAAATACAAAAAGCAAAAAACAGAAATAAAAACGGAGTGCCGTGAGGCGCTGTGCAGCCTCCAGGTTTGAGAACAAAAAGACCTTTGTCTTTAACAAGGAAACAGAAAGAGATGAAAAAAAAGAAAAAATAGAAACGTTACGTCAGCAACAACTGTTGCAGAGTAACTAAAACCATATAAATCATTTGTTATTATTATTATTACTCTCTCGTTTTTCATCTTATCGATTCTGCCCCGCTTCATATCATTAGCCGCCCACCGCACTGTAGATCGTGGCGGCAGTTCCAAACACCACGCCGACAACACCGGCAAACAACACGAGGTACGTGCATGTGTAGTTCACGATGCCGACGGAGCGCAGCGTCCAGCCTCCAGAGTACATGATGAACAACGCGGGAAGAATAAAGCCCACGCTTCCCCCACAGACGCCGCCGGTGAAGCCCAAAACCATGGTAACATTCGGCACAAACAGGCCCAGCATGAGATCCAGCACCGCAAGCAGGACGGCTCCGATGAGATACTTCCAGTAGGCAACGGTGTACGGATCCCACCCAATTAGAGGGAACAGGGCACTGCGGCAGGCATTGTTGAGGAGCCCAAACGAGGCGCAGATCTTGATGAACACGCCAATATAGCTCACAAAGATCTGCGGCTGCTCCAGCGGGTTGTACTTCAGCAAGATCGAGCCCTCGACTTCACCAAAGTCCAGATAACCAAAGAGCCCAGTAACGAAGTACAATAAGCCGCAGATAGTCATGCTGAAGAACGCGCAGAGTGTGAGGCGTCGAAGGCTGCGCGGGCGCATTTCGAGCGCCACCTCCACACAGTTGATTTGGCACATGTAAGAGAAGATGATAACACCAAGACCCTCCAGTGCGGTGTTGCCGGTGTTCACGAGGCGCACAGCCGGCCGCGGGTTGGCGCTCATGCCGTTCATCGCGCTGTGCACGACAACCACAACGGCAAAGTATAGAATGAAGAGGATGCCAACCGCAGAGACGTAACGGAGAGAATTAATCTGGCGTTGAAAGACAAGCGGAAGCATGAACACGAGCCAGAAACCTGACTGCAGGAGACGGATTCCCTTCGTCTCACGAAGAAATGCGGGAGTGGAGTCGAAAGACGCGAGGATGGGCCTCAGCAGATCACCGATTGTCACAACGTAGGCAACAGAACAACCGATGGTGTGCAAGGCGCGGAGAATGGCGACCACGATGTCCGCACGCGGATGCAGCAGCTGCCTCGCCATCTCCTCAAACGAACGCAGGCCGGTTCTCTCCGAGACTTGCACGAGGAGACGCGTCGAGTAGATGGTCTCGGCAGTGATGAGCACGAGGTACACGGTGGCCATGATGATGCCAACGCTGTGAAATGCAGCAGGCAAGCCGAGAATGCCGGCACCAATGGAGGTCGAGGCCATGTTGAAACCAGTCGACAGCATGCCGCCGTAGGGAATCATTATCTGCAGGAGTTTACGTATCGTGCGCAAGTCGCTGTCATGGGCTTTGTCATCGCCATTGATTTCCATCTTGCCATCTTCGATGCCAGAAGCTGTCGGTTTATCGCAGTCGCGTTCTCCGGGGCCGACATTGTCGTATTCATAGGTTTCGGAGTCGCGGCGAACGTCGTTGTGGGCTCCACCCAACGGTTTGTTGTTAACGGGTACCTCGCTCATCCTGTGGCTGTAAAAAGAACGGTAAAAGGAAGTAACAGATTAAATGTTGCTGAGGCTCTTGTGCGGATATGAAGGAAATAAAACGCGAGAATAAACGAGGGGAAAGAGAGGAGAGGAGCAGCAGCAGGGAGTTGCAATGCCAAAAATAAAGCCGCATGGAAAGTGAAAAACGATGGGGTTGGTTATCCAATGGCCAGTTACATAAATCAGTCAAGGCACACTTCCTCAGACGCATTCAAAAAGGCTGCGCTTTTGCGGGAACAGCTAAATTGACGGCCCGTGGCTGGGTCTTCATGTGCTGGTTTTGGTCGCGCACGCAGATGCTAGTAAGCCTGGATCAACGCTCTCATCAAGCAAACGCGAATGCGCATGATAAACCGCGGAAAAAAACAGGTGGTTTGACATCGGCGGTTTGGGTGACAGAAAGCGGTGGACAACATGAACCGGGACTGTCTCAATCAGCTGGAATGGCTCCTAGTCGCTGCGGCAGTTGGCGCCTCGGCTACCGAGTAGCTCTTTTCGAGGTGGAACCGCTGCGGGTCCCTTCCAAGGCACAGCAAACACCACTACCAGAAACGACACGCCCGGCGTCTCCGCCACGCTGCATCTGGACCATAGCTACATCCTCGGTGTCCGATGTGTGCAATGTCCCTCAGCGCTCGATCATACGCGAGCTGACGCGGCTGCGTATCGGCGGCACTGCTCGTTCTTTTGCTGTAGTGGTTTTGTCGGGTGCTCCTTCGGACTTGCTGAATTCCGGTACGTCATGATTAGCAGGCTGTGTTCTTTGCACGCGACTGGTTCAGCTGCGGGCAATGATTTTGCTGTGGGGTGATAACGTTTTTGACGTGCCAGGCAAAGGGGCGCTGAAACGTTTTTGGCTCCCCGACGAGAGGAGCCTCCCAGCTCAGTCGTCCAGTGGGGGATATCAAATCTTCGCCGGCTTTGTAAGAAAGTCCGCGCCGATTGCGCGCATCGAAGCAGAAGAGGCAGGGACGGTCTGTGCAGCCGGAACGCAAAGCGGTGGGCACGGCCGCTGGTGAGGAGAAACCTTGGTTTCTTCCTTAGAACGCCGTAAAGAGGTGCTACTGCCCATCAAAACGCTGCGCCTAACGACACAAAAGTATGCCCTCACTCACTGAAAGATTGGACTTTGCAGCAGCTCTGCTGGTGTGCGCGAGGGTTGGCCGAGGAGGCAAAGTGTGAAGCATCCGCGTAAAATAATAGGACTGAGATTCGGAGGGGAGGGGGAGTAAAGAGTTTGGAAGCTGGCCGGAAGGGAGGTTACTCGCTCCGCGTCGCTTCGTTTCGTGAATGAGGAGCCGTGCACGTCTCTGTGCTAGCTAGTTGTATCAATGCTGTTGCAAAAACGGAATGCAAAAAAGGCAGTTGCTCCCCTGGAAAGGTGGAACTCCAGGGAAACAACCTAGGTGCATGATTTCTATTCCTTTGCCCGAAGGCAATATCAGGAGTTACTCTGATAAGAACAGTTTATAAACATGATCTTAGCTAAATAGCCGAGAAGATATGCTTGGAATGGAGGGATTGCCCACTTGCAAATATAAAAGCGTCTTTCGTGAACTTTAGATTCCTCTGCACTGAATATGGTTTTTGAGTTTTAGTCCTTCCACGTTGGCTCGGCTGCTGGCTTGCCGTTGGTGACAGCGATGGGTCCTGGGTTCCGTTCCTCGTCTTCCCGCGAAGTTACGCGAGAGAATGCTCTTTTGCCAGTGCACATCGGGGATGTAGCTCAGATGGTAGAGCGACCGCTTAGCATGCGGTAGGTATTGGGATCGATACCCAACTTCTCCAACTTTTTTTTGAACCGGCGACCGCGGAGGAGAAAGCGCGGAAGCGAAAAGGAGGGGCGAGAGCAGGGAGGAAAGCCGGGTGGCGGCGGGAAGGCTGGCCCGAGTAAAGGCACCCGCCGCTCTTTTCTTTCGGGCAGACACAACGATTCATGTCAACGGCCAGCACCTCTTCTCATCGCTACACCGATTAAGAGAGAGAAGGAGGGCAACGGATGGAAAGGCCTCAAAGCGGCATTATACTACTTTTCGGTTTTGATCGCTGTGAAGGCCGAAGAGCGAGGCGATGGCTATCAACAACAAGGACACAAACAACGCCAATTCACAAAATGCCAGGCGTGAAGGCCCGCTAGCACGCCGGGTTGGCCTTGGCGCATTCGGCTTCCAGCGTGTCCGCGGCGACGGGACCGGTCGGCGCACGCAGCACGTCACGCACGCGTCCGGTCGCTGCGACACGCCGCTGCTGCACGCTGCCATCGACTGCCGCGTCAAGGACGAAAAGGCCAGGTGCCAACTTTCCGGTCAGCTCGGCGTTCTGCTGCGCCGCTTGTTGCTGGCGTGTGTGCCCTGGGACTGGAAGCACCTCGTAGCTGCCGTCTCCAGGCAGGATCAGCACCGCCCAGTGGTCCAGCGCGATGCCGCGCTCCGTAGGGTGGCGCTGCAGCATCGCCGTGAAGTCTTCCTCGCGTCGCACGCTGCGGTCGCCTTGGGCGATGTCAAAATGGGGGCAGAGCAGACCCGGAAGGATGTCCAACCCATGCACGCGGATGTAGCACCAGGAGCCCTCGTCTTTGGGAGGCGTAGCTGCCGCCGTCTCAGCTGAACTCGGCGCATCCGCTCGCATGGCGGAAGCCGTCTTCAGCATCGCCTCACGGAATGTTGTCGGGTCGAAGGAGCGGGAGTGTCCCGCAGTAAACCAGCAAATCGCACCGGCACTGCCGCCTGCCAGGATGACTTGACCACGACCATCATCGCCTCCCCTTTGCGTAGCCACACGCCGCAGCAGCCTGTCAAGGCCCACCCGCTCCCACCGCTGGACGGCGTAGAGCGTGTTGCCACCTGACACGAGTATGATGTCTGCCTGCGCACAAAGATAGGTGTCGTCATCGCGGCTGAGTTGCGTGACCGCCGGGTCGGAGACTCGGATTGGCCGCACATGGCAGCCGCGACGTGCGAGCTGGCCGGTTTGCTTTTCTTGGGCGTCAGGAAGGTCGTACGTGGCGGTGCCGAGGTAAGCCACTTGAATGGCGCGACCGTTCGCCGTTTGAGTGGCAGGCACCAGCTGCAGCAGCCGGTCCACCACGAGGGGCTCGTTGAAGGCGTCCGCACCTGAGCCGCCGAGAAAAGCCTTGATATGCTCCATAGCGTAGAAACAAGTAAAGAGAAAGCTGTGCAAGGATGAACGAGATCCGCATAAGGTGAAAGATAGATAAAGGTGGAGTCAAGTATGAGCGGGCCGTACATACAACAAAGAGCCGAGAGAAAATGGGACTAGTACCATTTTTTTTGTGTTTAAATGAAGTACTTTGCTTCTACGTTGCAAACACGGATTCTTTCGCCATAACAGCTCTTTCGTCACACATATTCATTTTTGTGTTTTGCATGGAACACGCAGTTCGCATGTAAACGGTGGTTCGCGGCCATCGACCAACGTTTGATCTGCTTTTCTTCCTCGTCGTTGCCCTGGTCCATAGGCATCCGCGTTCAACACTTCGCAGAACGATGAGGACTTGACACTTTCCGTGAATACTTTTCGTCGACCTGCCCGTATCAGCGAGAACCAAAACGCGCGCTGTTGAAATCAGCAACGGGCACGACACAGAGAAAGAGAAAAAAACTATTCCGCCTTCGCTATTGTCGTGAGGGAGAAGGAAAGAATGGAAAAGTGGTGGCTGACTGTCTTCATTCACCAGCAAAGCACGCCGAGCCTTGCCGGGCCTCTCGTTCTTCAAAGTGGAGCCAAAACAAAAACAAAGAAACGGAAAAAGAAACAAAAACTCTCTTCATTTAGTAAATCAACGCCGTCGCAGTCGCCGCCACCACACAAACGCCACAACGCAAAAAGAAACGGAAATTTGAAGCGTCATTTTTTGCTCATCGCTCAATGGCGCTAGCCGAGAAGGAAAGGAGGTAGTGACTGGGGCTTGTTTTCTCTTCTTTCTGAAATAAGCAAACAAACAAACAAATAAATAATACCTCTGTGCTGCATGGCATCGCCCACCGGAGAGCTAGTATGCGCGGTGAAGACAAATTCATGAGCAAAAAGCTGTGCTAGTACGAGAGCTCCTCGCTCACTCTTGAACGGAGAAGAAAAGAAAAGAAAAGAACAGGGAAAAAGGTTTTGAAGCAAGAAAGCAAACGTCGCTTTTACAATACCTTTTGACCACCGAATACGTTCTTTCCCTTTTTTGTTTGGCAGGGTTGTACACAGCAATAGATAAAAAGAACATACCACAAACAAACGAAAATGATGAAACTACACATCCTTTTTTGTGACTCTGGTGTCGGTATTAAAGATTAGAAGGTAGAGCACTTTTTCCACTGGTTGTACCACGAAAAAATGTGGGTAACCGCGCGCTCAAACCGAATGGACAAACACGAAAAAAAAATAGTATCTGCTCCGTGCTCTGCGAAACATTCTCCTCGGTGCTTCTCGCAGAGATGCTGTGGGACATTCTTATGGGATGCCGCGGCTGTAATAATAAAAAGAAAACTTAACTTATCAGCACATCAAATCCGTAAAAACAAAGAAAGGTATATATTGATATGTATATAGATATGTTCAGAGATGAGAACGCTGGGTCAGGAAAAGAAAAAGCAAACATAAACAAAAACTTGTCAACTTAAGGAATTAATGGAGAGAGAGAGACAACTGATTGACAACACTGCATCCTCCAACCACAAACTAAAACAGCAAGCAGAAAACACTCCAAGAGGCAATTGAAGACATCAAAGCTAAAAAGCTGAAGAAATTGACGTAGAAATAAAAGGAGCTGTTTTAAGTCCTGAGAAACAAGAACTTCGCCGTGGTGAAAGGCACGTGCAGTTTCCTTCTGCAGACGGGTTGATTCAGTAGTACCGAAAGAGAAGTTGGAAACAAGGCCTTCATCCACATGCGCAACACATCAAAGCGTTGCGAGTCATCTCTCCATTGACATAAGCAGAGATGACACACACCTTCGGGACAGAAAAGAAAACAGAGGAAAAAAGAGTACAGAAAAGACAAAGAAAGCGAACACAGGTGACGGCACGCGCTCCCTCCCGCGCACCCCGCACCGCCACGGCTCAGTTCGTGTCGATGAAGCTGCTGTAGACGGTGGCGATGGTGCCAAAGACCATCGCGATGACGCCGCACACGACGAGCAGGTAGGTCGCCAGCCAGTGCCAGATGCCCACCGTCTGCAGACTCCAGCCGCCGCTGAACATCCAGAAGTAGGCGGGGAAGATGAAGCCGATGAAGCCGCCGCAGAGCGAGCCGACGAGGCCGAAGGCGAGGTTGACGCTCGGGATGAAGAGCCCCGCCACGAGCACCACGCCGGCGATGGCGACGATGAGCATCGAGTGCTTCCAGTACGGCGTGGTGTCGAGGTCCCAGCGCAGGCACGCGTAGACGAAGTTGCGGATCGGGATCATGTTCACGGCGAAGGCGGCGCAGATCTTGACCAGCATGCCGACGTACGCCACCATCATGTAGGGCTGGTGCACCGGGTCGAAGTTGTACAGCACGGAGCCCTGCACGTCGTCGCCGAAGTCGAGGTAGCCGAAGGCGCCGGCCATGATGTAGAACACCATGCACACCGTCATGGAGATGGCGCCGGCGACGGTGAGCTGGCGGATGGAGAAGCGCGGCGTCATCTCGTAGCAGAGGCTGAACACCGGGCCCTGGCACATGTACGCGAAGACGAAGATGGACAGCCCGTAGATGGCCTTGTTGCCGGTGGTGAAGTAGCGCATGTCGCCGCGCATGCCCAGCTTGAGCCCGTTGGAGCACGAGTGGACGATGATGGTGACCACGAAGTACAGCACCATCGTGCAGCCCACCACGGCGACGTAGCGGATGCTGTTGATGCGCTTCGGGATCACCACGGGCAGCAGCAGGCACAGCCAGATGAGCGTCACGATGAGGCGGTTGCCGTTGCGCGTCTTGAGGTACGCCGGGGTGTGGGGTGCCTGCTGCAGGATCGGCGTCATGAGGGTGCCGGCGGCGCTCACGTAGGCGATGGCGGTGCCGGTGCAGGACAGCGCCAGCACGAAGCCCACGAAGTAGCCCCAGCCCTTGCCGAACACGATGTCGCCCATCTCCTCGAAGTTGCGCGCGCCGGTCTTGCGGATCGCGTAGCCCATCAGCGTGATCGTGTACACCGTCAGCGCGGTGATGACGACGAGGTAGATGACGGCCATGAGGATGCCGCTGGTGCCGAAGGAGGAGGGCATAGAGATGATGCCGCCGCCCAAGCGTGACGGAGCCGAGCGTGAAGCAGTTCGACACGAGGCCGCCGTAGGGCACGATCCGCCTCGTCAGATCCAGGATCGGCGTGTACCAGTGCCGCTCCGTCGGCGCATCGGTGGCGTCGGGGGTCGTGGGACCGTCATCGAGAAATGAAAAGGAGGTAACATTCTTCGCGGTGGGCGAACTGGTTTGGACGAGTCCGTCGTCGAGGGCCGCGTGGCCGTCCTGCGGTGCTGCGTCCACAAACACGTCATCGTTCAGGGCACCGCGGGCAGACTCGATCGAGCTGGGAGGGGTGAGGGTGTTGGGCATGGAGAGGCAAGCGTGGGATGCGCAGGGAGACGGTGGGGTGAAGCGGTCAAGTACACCAGTCGAATCTCGCTCGTTAGTGTTCGGGTTTCGTATGGTGGACTTGCTGCTCAGCGTTTCGGTGAAGTTGCTGGTAAAAAAAAAATAGAGTGGAAGTGGTGTTAGCTGCTGGGGGAGTTCGTGGACGAATCCAACGAGGAAAGAAAAAGAAGATACAGAGGAATGCAGGGGCGGTGTTGTGCGACCTTGAGCAGTGGAAGAGGCCTTTTCTGAATTATACAACTGAGATGCCAACACCATCGTAGGACTGAGTGACATGACTCAACGTCGACTCACACAAAGGGATGGATACGACTCAAAGGCAAATGCGGTGTCGTGCGGAGGAACGCGTGTGATGCTCAATCGCAGGTGCACAACGAGGATTCGCCCCTCAATGAAGCTGCCCTCCCCCCCCCTCCCCCTCAAAAGAAGAGAAGAACGCCACTCACTTACCCATCCGCTCAAAGGGCACCAAAGGAGGCATGGGATACGCTGCGGAAAATATATACAACAAAAGATAATTTTGCCGGTTCACGTGGCGTCGTTAATTACAAGAGAAAACACCGTCTTCAAAAGTAGTTTTGTGTGAGCTGAAATCATGATACGCGTCCGACGAGAAGAAAGAGGCAGGCCACGACGCATCTAATGCGTTCACCGACTCGGGGTGCCGCTTGTGCCGGCCCTTCTCTCGACAGAGGCAAAAGGGGAAAAGATGAGGAGCGTCTCGCTAGGGTAAAGTTGCAGATCTCACGAGCTTTAGAACAAAAAACAGAAGAAAAACAATAGAAATAATAAAAAAGAAATTAGAAAATACAGATTGATGCTTTTCTTTAGTACCAAAAAAGAGAAGGACTTCTTTTCATTCTGTTCTCTGCGCTCTTTTATTTCGCAGGCTTTCGGTGTTTGTGCTACCCTGCAGATTAGATCTGCGCAGGCAAAAGGCAGGCGTCGTGCCTTACCGCTTCATCGTGCGTCTCCACTCACCGCGAGAGAGATAACGCCGCAAATTCCTTTACAACTCTTGCATTTCAGCCGAGAAGGAGAGAGAAACGCGTCCGTGCTGCGTGGTCAGATATCAGCAAAAACGAAAACAACATACCAGCGTTACAACAAAAAGGAAGATATGCTAAAAAGAAAAGCGGAAAGAAAAGTTCAATAGAGTAAATAAATAAAGGAGCGTACCGGCGCACTTGCACAGCCAGTGCATCAGAGATGTTTACCGGCTCCTTGCAATTTTTCCTCCTGCATGTGGTGGGAATGCCGGAGTTCCTGCTTCACTAAAAAGGAAAAAAAAGAAAACATATATCAAGGTTATATGTGAAAAAAAAAATGATACATAAAAGGAAACAAGTCAACACACTCTCCCACACACAATAAGGAGACGCGTTCTTTTCATTTCCTGTCATTGGGAGTGCATCGCCACGTGTGTGTGTGTGTGGGCGTGTTTGCGTACAAGTAGGCCGTAGGTATGCATGTCCGAAAGACATAATTATGTGCTTGGCGTATGGACCTTTTGTGTGACGCGACGCACCGATGCACTTACGCACGGCTGCACCAACGCGTGCTATTGCCGCCCGCTCCGCGGCGCACGGTCCACAAAGGAAGACTGCAGGAGTGAGACGCAGGAGCTTACACCCTGCGCACGCACGCGGAAAAGATCTTCAGTGGAGCGGCGAGAGAGGAAAAGGAAAAGAATAGTGCGCGCGTTGAAATCCACAAAAAAGAGAGAAAGAAAGTGAGAGGGGAGGCCTTCAGCAACAGATATAATACTCATTAACAATAATGAAACTAATAAAGAAGACAGTAAGTATAGGGATGAGAGGAGCGACCAAATCGCAAACGTGCGTGCCCCCCCCCCCCCCACCCACACACACACGCACACACACGAGACACATACTTTCACGCTGAGCACAAGGCTATAGCCTTATCTGAAAATGCGATGAATACGTGCCTGCACGTCAAACTAGTTTATACTTCCTTTTTAAAGCAACCGCGGCCGCTCTGCTTGGTGTCTCTCCAATTTAGCTGTACTTCATGACGGCACTGTAGATGCTGCTGCCCGTGCCGAAGACGACGGCGATGACGCCGCAGATCAGCAAGAAGTAGGTGGCAAGGTAGTACCACACGCCCACAGTGGTGAAGCTCCAGTTGCCGGCGTACATGACGAACAGGGCCGGGAAGATAAACGCGATGAAGCCACCGCAGAAGGAGCCGACGAGGCCGAAGACGATGTTGATGTCCGGCACGAAAAGACCGAGGATGAGCGCACCGACGGCAAAGGTGACGCTGACGATGGTGTGTTTCCAGTACGGCATCGTCTCGACGTCCCAGTGCACGACGCTGAAGAGAGCGGTGCGGCAGGCGAGCATGTTGAGCGAGAAGGCGGCGCACAGCTTCACGATGAGACCGATAAAGACGACGAAGAAGATTGGGCTCGTGTAGGGGTTGTACTCTTTGATGATGTTGCCGCTCAGGCCCGGTCCGAACTCCACGTAGCCGAAGAAGCCGGCCAGGAAGTACAGGGTGCCGCACATCGCGCAGCTCAGAATCGCCTGCATGGTGAGCGACCACGTGGTTTTGGTGGTCGCCTCTGCCAGGATGCGCCCCACGTTCACCTGACAGAGGTAGGAAAACATGAAGATGGACAGACCAGACACCCCGTCGTTGCCGTGGCTCACCATGACGAGGTCATCGCGAATGCCGTTCGCGAGGCCGTACTTGGCAGAGTGCCAGATAATGCATATCACGAAGAGCACGATGAAGCACACCCCGGCAGCCGAGGCGTAGCGCAGCGAGTTGATCTTCTTGGGCAGTACCAGCGGCAGCATGAAGCACAGCCACACCGCGCTGACGATGCAGCGGCGGCCCTGGTCCGTCTGCAGGAAGTGCGGCACACCGGGGTGGCCAAAGATCTGGGTGAAGATGTCGCCCACCGCAATCAAATAGCCGACGGCACCGCCGAAGCACAGCAGCCACATGAGCACCGCCACGATGATGTCGCCGCCGCGGCCGAACATGGCCCGGGCGAGGTGCTCGAAGCTGTAGATGCCCGTCTTCAACATCGCCTGTGTAAGCAGCGTGATGGAGAAGACGGTCAGTGCGGTGATGATGACCAGGTAGACGATGCCCATGATCAGACCGGACGTGTTGAGGGACGACGGGATCGACATGATGCCCGCACCGAGCGTCACACTCGCCAAGTTGAACACACCGGACAGGAGACCGCCGTTCGGGATGATCGTCTGCACCACGCGCACAAAGATATTGCGCTGCCGCTGGGAAGGGTAGTCCTTGTCCTCGGAGCCGGCCGGGGGCGAGCGCGTGGTGTCTTCCGCTTTACTCGTCTTTTCATCTTTATCGGCCTTCTTCGGTGCCGCGTCGAGGTCGCTGTTGCTGCCGCTGGAGTAGAGATCGTCGGCGAGGTCGGTGCCTTTCACCGCATGCCCGTTGTCGGTGGTGGCCTGGGCGACACCGCTGCTAGGCCGGCGCAGCTCTTGCAGCTCGAGGTCGTCATCGAGGTCCGAGTGCGTTGGCTCACGGTGGCCGGGCATCGCTTCTGCTTTCCTTTTCAAGTTTAATTTGTAGGACCTGAATAAAACGAAGGTGAAGTGGAGCTGCGTTCCGACCGGATACAGAGGAAAGAAAAAGAGAAGAGAAAGGACTGCGTGTCGTCGAAGGTTATAGAAGGAAATAAACAAAATAGATGTTAGTTTTTGTTGTTGCTGCGGTGGTTCCACTCAACGTGTGTTACAAGCGACAGAGCAAGAAAAAATGAAGAAGGGAAAAAAGGGATGCAAGATACCTCGCGTTGACTCCGTGATGGTGTTCGCGGAGAGAAGAAAGAAAAGGAAAAAAAAATGAGTTAGAAAATAATCCTTGAATATATGGTGTAGGGCAAATCAAAACAAAAAACGCTCGTGAAAGAAAAAGAGCTGGAAAGATGAATTATGGCGCAGTACTGATCGGTTACTTACACAACCAACGAAGAAAGAGCCAGAATAATAATAGTATTAAAGGTATCTCTTCTAAAAACAAGAACTATCTGAGAGGATTCGCACGATTTACTGTGTGGGGAAAGGCAGCATTTCACGGAGATACGAAAGTGAGAGGGAGGAAAACAAACAAACAAGGGAGTAGAAGCAGCGAGTGTAGAGGATGGAGTTGAAACACCACGAAGGCGGCGTGTCATACATATATGTACGGCACACGCTCCAAAATGCACTTTGGACTGTTCGTACGTTGACGGCTCCAGGCACGACTGCTTCTGAATGAAAAACAAAAGAAGACAGCTCCTGCGTTTTCCTTCCGCTTGTCTTCCCACCCAGGGAGGAATGCAGCGACATACTAAGATGACCGTCTGCCTCAGTGAGGCACCGCAACGACGAGGTGAAGGTGCACCCAGACGATAAAGACCTGCTGTCATCTACAGCAGGAAAAAAAAGGTATTCTTTTTCTATCACGCCTTCTTAGCTTTCGGAGTACGGCTGATTCCCCTGAAAATCGCGTTTTTAGCGCGGGTGTACAACACGTAGCGGCTCAGTCCGAGTACGGCTTCATTAAAGATGTGTTACTGAAGTCAACGTGGTATTTAGACTGGAGCAAACGATCAATAAAAAAGTAAAAAACAAACGCACTGCGTACAAAACAATATACTTTCTTCCAATCTCAATGGTCTTTGGTATTAAAAGCAGTAGTAAGTTAACGGTGATAAATGTAGAGAGTTACAGCACACAGACAAGGCGTTGACACTGTTGCCGTGTCTGATGGAGGATGAAATGCCGTCAACGTCACGTAGAATCTCAACCGAAACGAACGACCGAACTCACAGAGTGCAGCGGCAAACCCATTCATGCGATCTGACACACACACACACACACATCTGTGTTGATTACTCGGTACGTGGGAGAAGAAAGAAGAAAGGGCGCCGTTCTTGTATTAAAATCTGAAAAAAAAAAACATAGGAAATTTTAGTGTTTTGACAGTATTAGAGCGCAGTTATAGTTGGTCTGGGTGCCTGTGTATTTTTTTGCCTTGGTTTTTGATTGCCCAAACTCGTCATTGCCGTCGTTTCTCATTCTCTTACGTTTGACACGTGCGGACGCAACGCGTTGGTCGGAGCAAAGGAAGGACCGGCCGTTTGCCCATCACGCTCTGAAATGTGAAAGAAGAAAAAAAATAGAATATTACACATGGTGGAACGACAGACTTGAACCCGCGCTGTGCCTCCGTGTTCCTTCGCTATCTACATCCCTTCTTTTTGGGGGTTTCTTACTTCTTCCTTTCTCCCCTTCTCGCTCTGTCTGTCGCGGCCTTTTCTGCACCGCTGCTTAGGACACGAAGGAGCTGCCGACGGTGCTGTAGATGGTGGTCACGGTGCCGAACACAACAGACACCACGCCACCGATCAGCAGCAGGTAGGTCGCACAGTAGTTCAGCCATCCAATCTCGCGCAGCGTAAAGTTGCCGGAGTACATGTGGAAGAGGGCCGGCATCATCATGCCGATGATGCCGCCGCAGAAGGACCCTAGCAGACCCAGCACCGTGTTGATGGTCGGGATGAAGAGGCCGCACAGCAGCGCCGCCGTGGCGGGGATGGCCATGACGAGGCAGTGCTTCCAGTACGGCACCTCCTCCGGCGTCCAGCGTAGAAAGTGGTAGATGGCGTCGCGGAAGGGGATCATGTGCAGGGCGAAGGCGACGCAGATCTTGATGATGATGCCGATGTAACCCACCGCCATGTACGGCTCGGTGACCGGGTCGTACAGGGAGAGGACAGAGTCGCGGACGCGGTCGCCGAAGTCGGCGTAGCCGAAGACGCCGGCCAGGATGTAGAGGAGCACACACGTGCCGGAGGCGCAGGTGGTGTAGAGGGTAAAGTGAAAGACCGTCTTGTGCTGCATCTCGAAGAAGATGTCGAAGGCGTTGAGCTGCACCATCAGGCTGAAGAGGAAGACGCCAAGGCCCTCGAGGGCTTCGTTGCCGGTGCGCATCGTCTTCATCTCCGCCCGAATCGCCGGGTCGTTCAGGCCGTGGGTGGCGGAGTGCGCCACCATGCAGATCACAAAGTACACAATGAAGGAGACGCCAAACGTGGAGACGTAGCGCAGCGAGTTTACCTTCTTGGGAAAGACAAGCGGTAGCATGCAGCAGAGCCAGACAATGGATGTGATGAGGCGGTTGCCGGACTTCTTCTTGAGGTACGCGGGCGAGCTCTCCACGGCGAGAATGGGGCTCAGCAGCGTGCTGGTCGCGATGACGTAGGCGACCGAGCCGCCAAAGCACTGGATGATGATGAGAATGGCAAGGAAAATGTCCACGCCGCGGCCGAGCAGGACTCGCGCAGACTGCGCGTAGGTGCGCAGCCCGGTCTTGATCATCACCTTCGCCAGCAGATTCATCGAGTACACCGTACCGGCAGCCGCCAGGACCAAATACACGCAGGACATGATGATGCCGCTCAGGTTGAAACCGGAGGGGACGGAGATGATGCCGGCGCCGAGGGTGGCCGAGGCGAGGTTGAAGGAGGAGGCGAGGAAGCCGCCAAAAGGAACGACGATGTTGAAGTAGTGTACAATGGCGTGGAAGAACCGGCGAAATGCACTTGGGCGTTTGTGCGGAGGTTGCTGCTGCTCGTCGCCCTCTCCCACCTCGAGCACGCCCTCCTCCGCGCCCTTTGCGGCTGTGGGGGAGGTGTCCCTGCCGTGTAGGAGATCGCCGTCGAGCAGCACCTCCGACACGCCGGACGGCTCCACGTCAATGGTGGACAGGTTGATGCGCAGGCGGTCGCTGTACTTGTCCGCCTTTGCCCTCTCATCGCTTTCCCCTGCATGGGGATCTGCGAACGCCGGTGCGGCGGCCTCCTGCGAGCGGCCTTCGCGCTGCGCACCTTCCGGGAGATCGCCAGTCTTGCGACGAGCGTTACTCATGCTCCCGCTGTGGTGGCCCGTACGTGCTGCGATGGATAATAATAAAGGTCGAACTTCAGTGCGTGCGTGAAAGCGAATAACCAAAGAAGAAACAAAAGGAATCAGAATTGGATAGGAGGAGAGTGCAAATAAGAAAGGCAAGCGGAAGGGAAAACAGGAAAGGTAGTAGAAGAGCTACTAAAAAGACCACCGAGCTGTGGATCGGCAGCAAACCCGGAGAGCCCAAACACGAGGGAGACGGAGAGAGAGTGTGTGTATGAATGAAAGAAGAAGCGCGACGGCGGTGAATGAAGATGGCACCAAGGTAATAGAGGCACAATTAACGTGTTACAATAACTCTTGAGAGATTGCCTCGGTCTTCGCCTACTGAAAGGCTCCTGGTACTGGTTTGACTCCGAGAAAAATGAAGGCAACACACGACAAAAAGAAGCGGGCATGGGGGGTGCGATCCATTGCGTGAGCAGCCCACGTGCGCCTTCTTCGCCTGATGGCTTGAACGCGCTCCCGTGCTAGCACGGCAGAGTACTTCACCTGCGAAAAATCCCTAGCAAAGTAGCACTCTCATGGCTTTTCTGTTTTCCTTTCCTTTTGCGACCAGACCATTCCAGCTAAGTTTCTGAGGCTGCGGCTTACGCTTTACCTTTACCATCCACAAAGAGGACAAAAAAGAACGAGGAGGGGGATCGTCGTTGATGAGAACATCCCTTTGCACCTTGAGGACCCCTCACCCTAAAAAAGAGAAAGGAAAACGGAGAAGAACAATAATTTTAAGAAAGAGCGATTGTTTTCGGGTTTAAAGTGGCGCGTCAGTAACACGAGTCGCGTTGTACTCGGAATGGCATGCGCGGGGTGGCACCGCACGTGCTCTAACGGCGGACAGACATGGAGACCATATCGGATACAACGCTACCGTGTTGGCACAAGACTCGGTAAACAGAATAATAAAAGAGAATACAGAACAAAAAGGAAGTACCGGAACAAAACCTTAACAGTTGAGGGAGAAAGAGAAAGAGCGTAAGAAGACGGAGGGCCACTCAGAAGGCAAAGCTTTGTCGTACCCTCATCGAGGAGGCAGCACCGTAAACCACGTCGTGCCTCAGCCACCTGTCACACACACTCTCTCTTTACACGGTCTTCTTCCCGCTGCGCTGCTTCTCCGATGGCAGCCCCTCCGCCTGGAAGGTGCCAAAAACCCAGTCCCAGAACATAATGTACTGGCCAAAGTTCACACGCGGCTGGCGGTGGTGGTAGTCGTGCGAGTTCACGTTGAACATGTACGGGATGTGAAAGTCAACCCGGGTGTGGTTCAGGCTGGCGAGGGTGCCGCCAACAAAGATGAAGATGATCGCCGTCAAGGCGTGGACCTGGCCGACGGGGGCCATGCGGGTAAGGAGGTAGAGCGCGAGCAGGTGCACGTACTCCCCCGAGACGTACTCGATCGGGTTGTCGTTGATGGCGTCGTCGTTGCCGCGGAAGGGCGACATCTGACGGTGGTGGTGCTTGTGGATGAGGGGGTAAATCGGGGGCCAGTGCAGGGCCCAGTGGAATAGCGTGTAGAAGAAGTCGTAGATGATGAAGAGCGCGGGGAGGTGCACGGGCAGCCACAGCAGCGAGCGCTGCACGGCGGCGCTGTCGGCAAAGTCGATCGACATGCGACTCACTTCGGTGTTCACCGTGAATTTGTACACGTGGTAGACGAAGAGGGCGGTGCTCGCCTTGGCGAAGGCGATGTAGATCTTGTCCTTGACAGTCAGCGTCTCCAGCGGCTTCACCCGCTCTGGGATGCGCTTCTTGATGACAGCCGCAACCGCAGGGATGACGATCCTGTTGTAGAAGCTGAAGCCCAAAAAGATGATGCCCACAAAGACGATCTCCGCGGCGCACTTCTCCGTCGGTGTCAGTGACGCCATGTCGAAGGACGACAACTTCTGCGATAGGGCCTCCATGTTGACAAGGGGGTGTATGTATTGCATCGTAACAGCGGAAAGGCTTTTCACCTTTTGTTTTTGATGCAGGTGGAAGCAAAGGGACGAAAGACCGGGTGCGCTCACAGAAAATATATATGCAGAAGACGCACCTGACGAGAGGGATGCCTTCCTTCCTTCCTTTCCCTTTTCTCTGTTCGAAAGGAATTAAGCACGCTGTAGAGGGATAATCGAAAGCAAGAAATAAACGGATTTTTTTGTGGTGCGGAAGTGGCGAAAGAGAGACGCGGCTTCTCGACTTTATTCCGATTCTTTTTGGTGTTTTAAAAGTAGAAGAAGAACGGTGACGTCCTCGACCGAAGAAAAGAAAAGAGAAAAACTAAAGGAAAAAATTAATTAAGAAGGTAAGCGACTTAAACAAACGAAGGTAATGATGATAACAAATGGTGATAGCTTTTGTTGGTGCCGGGTAGGAGCTAAGAAGAAAACTTCCGTTGCACGTGAGAGCAACGCAAACGCGTCGTGTAGCGACAGCGGGGGGAAGTAATAAAGCGCATTTTGAAAGAGAAGGTGAAGAGGAATAAAAAGTAAAAGAAATAGTAAAGCGTTGATGAAAGCGATTGCATTGGAGTAGCACAGACACGAAGGTCGCGATCAGCGCTCTTGGGTGCGTCTCAAGGAGCTTCGTACTGTAACGACGGTGTGAGGCGCACAAGTTGGCTGCAAAGGAAAAGACAAATACGAGGTGGTTTTTCGACGTTTCAGTGGAAATCACGAAAGCGCAGGTAATACAACAGATGCACATCGCAAAGTGCAGTGACAGAACCGCCTACAAGTCCTCATCCACTTCGAGCGGTGCAGTGTGGAATGGCAGAGCATCGTGGTCACGATCAGCGCGCTGTTGACTATTCCCATCTTCGTGATCGACGTCCGTCGGTGCTGATGAAAGGGTATCAGCCGGGTCTGAGGCGGTGACGGAGGAAAGTACAGCGTTGTCCCGCGGCGAAAGGGACACCGTTGGAATGGACCGCGGCGGATTAAAAGTCGGTATGGCAGTCGGAGGTGCGTGCGGTGACGGCGTCGTTGGGTTTGCGGTGCGCTGCCCACGGAACAGCACGGGCTTTGGCACCGCACTGATGAGCACCAACACGCACCCCGTCATGGCCAGAATCGCCGCCATGAGCAGCACCTGCTTCACGAGTGCCCACAGGGGCTGCAGCACCGTGCGCCAAACCAGTGGCATACCAGGAACGCACGACAGCACCCACGGCACCCTCGTTGACGCCACCACGAAAGACACACGATCCAGCTCCCGCACGCCCGCCTGCGTCTTGGCCACACCGCCGGAGAGAAGATCGGCGGCCGACTTCATCTGCGACCGCTCCTGCTCCATCATCGCACTCATCTGCAGAGCACCATCTTTCATTTGGTGAATGGCCTGTTGGATGTCTTCCATAATACGGTCTTCCGCGGTGGTCGGAGGAGGGCGGACGGAGGCGACGGCGGGTGCATCGTGCTTCTGGTCAGTGGTGCGATTCTCTGTAGAGGGCCTTTCGTTTACGGACGGAGGTGCAGTGGGCTCGGACGATGGCTGCGTCTTCAGAAAGGCATCCGGATCGCGGCCAACGTAATACGTCGCCGGGGCTGGTAGCTGTTCCGTCGCAGGCGTCAGTGTGTCCGTGTACACGTAACAAACCTGCGCGGACCCATCAGCTTCGACGATCTTCAGTTGGCGAGGTGCCGTACCAACACAGTTAACGGGCAGCCCACGCAGTCCTGGCGTGGAGTCAAGCCAGGTGCGCAGGAGACCATCTGCGGCCACGATGTCCTGCTGCATCTGAGTGTAACGCTCCTGCAGTTGCTGGTCATAGTAGGCTCGCAAAGGTTCATCTACTGCACCGTCCTCCGAAGCGTTGAGTACGGTGTTGGAGGCCAACTCAGCTTCACATTGCTCACCATCTAAAAAGCAGGCGCTCAGCTGTTTCGCTTCTCGCAGCACCTCTCCGAGGCGCCGAGCTTGCCGTTCAAGAGCGGTGCGACTGCCAGTCCCTTTCGCTGAAGGTGCATCGCTGATCGACGTGGCGCACGACAGCAGAGGAGTGATGTCCCCGATGCAGCGATGGAGCCGGTATTGCAGCGCGTAGATGTCCGCCGCGTAGAGCGTCTTGGCGGCTGAGGAGAGGGACTTCTCAGGTGTCGCCTCTACTCCTGTCGCATCCACCATAGCTGGAGCACGACAGGAACCCTAGCCAAAAAAAGGTTGATATAGAATGGTCCTGCTATGAGCTGCTGGAGGTGCTCCAATGGAAAGGGGACAACAGCAACAAAAGAAAGAAATAAGAAACGAAGAGAAGCTTAAGAACTCAAAAAAATATACATCACGATCTGCTCCGGTGCACCAGACAGCGAAATTGCTGAGCGTCAACGCAGAATCAGATAACCAGTTCAAACCAGAAAGATACACAGAGGCGCGGAGCCTACACATCTCTGCCTCACGCTTTCAAAATACCTTTTCTCAGTCGTAAGCAGTCGTGCGAAACATACTAACAACACATCGATGCCACGCAACAGAAGTAACTTCGCCTAAAATCTTCGTTTTCTACCGCAAGGGCCGCGGATTGCTTTCTACTCGCTAGTCAGCGTGTGTCTCCTCTAGCAGTTCATTGGCGTAGACTCGTGTCAGCAGCCGACCGTATGCCACGACCGCCTTGAAGGCGTCGCGGTTCTTCTCTGCCTGCATCACCCCCACACAGGCAACTTTGCTGCCTTTCGCGTACAACGCGTACGAAAGTCTTTGCCGGGACATGCACGTGACACACAACGGCGACGCTCGTGTGGGTGGTGCTACGCTGCTCTCGGCTGTAAGTGCAGATGGAGGGGCAGACGAGGCTTGCGGCGGCTTTATCGTGGCACACAGCTGCTGCACCTGAGTGACGGCTTCATGAAGAGATTGAAAAGCTTTTTTACGAGCCAATTTAGCCGTGGTGGGAACGAGAGTTGACTGCTGCGGTTGTGATGGTGTGCGGAGGCCCTTTAACTCCGCTTCAGACACATCCACGCACTCCACATCAGCCGCCAGCAGCACCAGCTTCACACGCCCGGCTCTCAGACACTTCAACACCTCTTGGAAGCCGACGACGTACCGTTGACGCGCCTTGAACTGCAGGGGCTGCTTCTGCTTCAGATCTCGCTGCTCTTTGTAAAGCCCTTGCAGGAGCGTAAAGCACAAGTCATCGAGTGCGTCTGTCACGACGTTGGTGCAGTACGAAGCGACGGAGAGGGCGGCCTTCTGCTGCCGCTGCGCACGTGTGAGGACCGGGGTAGAGGTGAGAGGAGGGGCAACCACGTTGAAGGTGTTTGCATGGGTGCCGTCATCACCAGCCTTCGTCACCGGTGCGGGCGGCGGCGGCGGCACGGGAATCAAACATGCGTAATTCTCCGGCACAATAGGATTGCTTAACAGATGCCCCTCTCCAAAGTTGCGGAGGATAAATTGGGTCCACTCCTGCGGGAACGCCTTCGGGTACCGACCACTGCGCTGATCCACCCAGTCACTGCGTGAATGCTGGCCCACCCCGAGCCACGTAGTGGACGGGTAGAAGCTGCGGTACGTGGATGACGCTTCTATCGCCGCTGCTGCCGGTGATATTGTCGTTGCTGCTGCAATGGCGTCCATCGCAATGGTCTTTCCCTCTGAGTCAGCCATGCCTCTATCATCATCTGACTTCGTGTTTGTTGTTTCTGGTGAGTGCAGTTTTGATTGCAGCTCTCGCCGTAGCTGATGCCGACGCGCGCGAAGACATCGCTTTAAGAAAGCGGCTCGACCGAACCGCCGTTGCTTCATCGCAGCATCGAGCTGCAGAAACAAAGCGTCCATGGACTCCACTGCGTGCGTCACTGCCGTTGCCGTTGCATGGGTTGCTGCCGTGGTGTTTGGCGACGGAGACACGCGAGGCCTCGCTGAAGTGTCTTCCGTAGCTACCTCAACTCGCTCGTCGTGCTCTGAGACGCTTGAAGAGCCAATCGAAGGGGAAACGGCGCGTGTGTTCTCCTGCACATGTGGGGAGTGAATGCGTGCCTCTGCGCGCCCTTCCAGCACCCATCGTCGCTGTGCGTGGATGCGGCGCTTGAACTTCGTAAAGCGGGCGCGATGGTTGAATGCGGGGCGTGCGTTGGGATTACTCTTCTTGTGCTTCGTTTGCTTTCCGGAAGGCGCGGCTGTCTTCGCTGGAAGAGGCCGGATGCGTGGCTGTGGCGGGGGTCGCGCGGCAGACGCGCCCTGTGGAGGGGCGGTGACAGTTGGGTCGCGTTTGGCCCTCTCAGCCAGCTTCGGCATTGCGGTGCGCTACCTCAGAAGAAGGCAAAAAAATAAAAATGCTCGTGAAGAGAGGCAGAACAGCGTTAGGCAACGGACACACAGACACGCACACGTGAATGAATGAGAAGAGGTGAGGAAAAATAAAGGCGAGTGGGTGGCGCATAAGCACAGGAGCACATGGATGTGGCAGCACCGTTTCTCTTCACATTTCTAAGCAAGGCAAATGACTTTACCAACGTCGTAGCGTAGATCGAGTCGGGCACGCAGGAAAAGATCATTTTGAGTTCACATACTTTCTTCTTGTGTTGTTTTAGCGGTCATCGACAACAGAGGAATCACACCAGCAACGAGCGGGAGAAACGAGAAAGGTGACGTGCCGCCCCCACCTTGGCGTTTCACTCCGACTGTCACGTATCAAACTTCCACGTTAACCCGCACTTCATGTGCTGAAACGTCTCCACCGGTGACACGCGGAAGAAGGGCACCCCCTCGGCCGCCGCCGCTGCTCCTGCTCCTTCTCCACCGTGCGGCGGTGGCTGCACCCCGCTCGTGAATTCCACGTTAAAGCCGCTCCCACTGCCCTCCGCATTGTTGGTGCTCGGCTTGAAGGCGGCGAACCAGCTAAACGAGCACTCGAACTTGTGGGGGATGAGCTCGTTAAACGGCGTGATGGCGACGCGAGGAATCTTAGAGACGAAGGAGAATCCGACGGAGGCGCGCGGGTAGTCCCGCACGGTGTCCACCACGCACGCGTTCGCGAAGGCTGTCAAGGACGTGTTCTTCCACCGACTTGACGCAGCAGGGCCTGAAGTGGAGGCTGCAGTGCCCTCATCCGACGCAGGACCAGCAGGCTTCCCACTTCCATTCTCCGCTTTGCCGTTCAGCGTGAGCTCCGCGGAGAGGATGGAGTACCAGCGGCGGGCGTGGTGCATGCCGCTGTAGTCGTTCTTGAAGCCCCGTACGAGCGCCGCGTCCCACCGTGGCCCCTGCGTCGCCCAGAGGTACGGGTGCTCGCGCAGTCGACTCTCACCTCCTCGTCCTCCTTCCACATTACCAGGCGTGGAAGGCGGCAGAGACGCTGTGGTGGCTGCTATCGTTGGGGTTGACACCATGGGCGGCCAGATCGGTTTGGAGGGCTCCAGCGGCATGACGACAGCGGACTGCGTGCGCAGCTTCAACGCCAACCGCCACGGCAGCGGCACCTCCAGCCACGACTCCGTCCAGAGCCTCCCAAAGACGGTGAACAAAGACGACGGTGAGGCCTCTTCTTTTTGCGCCGGTCCGTGACCGCTGACTCGACACACCTCCAGTCCAGGACCGCCGGACCAGCGCACCCGGTACTGACCACGCGGAGATGAATCCAACACTTGAGTGCCGGTGCCAGTCTCGGCCGCGTCGCTGGACTCTGTGCTCCTCAAGGAGGGACGGACGAGCCGCTGCCAAAACGCGGGGAGAGCGAAGTACTGCACGCTGCTGTCGTAGCCGTCCTGAAGTTGCAGTCGGTCGATGCGGTCGTCCTCCACAGCAGTGACGGAGGAGGGTTTGGTGTGTTTCTTCTTTTCCGTTTTGGGCGTGGACAACGCTGGGGAAGTCTCATGCTGGTGCTTCACACCGCTGTTCGGCACCGTTGCGGTCGCCGCTGTGAAGGACGTGCTGTAGCGCGGGTTGCCCTGACTCACCTTCACGACGGCGGAGTCCTCTAACAAGGTCACTCGCTGCACCTTCGCCCGCTCCGGGGCGTAATGCCGCTCCGTGCGAGACTGCCCGACCGCCACAGCTAACTCGATCGCATCCGCCCAGTTGTGCCGTTGGTGCGACGTTGATGCAGCGGGGACGGCCGTTGCGGCGTATACGCTGTAGCTAAGCCCCGGGATGCCCTGCGACGAGCCCGTCGGTGAGCGATGCAAACCTGCCGAGGCGGTCTCGTCCGTCCCCGCTGCCGCCGGGTTGTTCTTCTCCACATCCCAGTTCACGCTTCCACGGCAGTAGCAGGGGACACCTTGGGGATCGGACAGAGACTTCCCTCGTGGCAACGGCGGCGCTGTCGGGTCACGGAAGTCCACTGCGGGGTGCGCCGATTGCGGAAAGAGCAGGAAGCGGGCGCTGTCGGTGCGGGTTGGCGCACTCACATAGCCGCCCAGCAGCGGCCGCCAGCGTTGAGGGAGCCAGCGACGCACCCAAGAGAGCTGTGGTGCACCTGCCGCCTCTGTAGGACCGGCGAAAGGGACGCCATACACTACACACTCTTCGCCAAGGAGACGACACAGTTTTATCTGCTCTTCGTCGCGCACGACCTTCTCCACCAGCTGTTCGATCTTCATGGGGGGAGAACGAAAAGATGGAGAAGTAGAAGCTGCGTCTTCGTTGTTGCCGTCGGCTTTGGCCCTTTTCCTCTGCTTTCTCTCCTTCTTTTTCGCATCTGCGCTGGCACGTGTGCGGATAACAAGTGCGTGGTGCGAAGGTGCAGCCCCGTCCGTGCTGTCTGACAGCTTCGGTGTGTCAGCGGAGTCGTTGCGTTCGGACTTCTCCACCTTTTCCAGCCGGACAGTGAGGGCGGAAGGATCATTTTTCCTGTCTGGATCATTGCGGTAACTCGAGCTGAGGGGTTTGGTGGGGTGCGAGGGAAACGCAAAGGCCCGCCAGCGTAAGGCGTAGCACGCGGCAACGTCATTCTCCAGGCGCTGCAGAAAAGACCGGTCCAGCTGCGGCTTTGTCGACCTTCTTTGGTCTGTCGATTCGGTGGCATCTGATTTCCCTGGAGCAGCGTCGCACGCCGCCGCAGCCTGAGTGAGGTGGGCATACTTTCCTTTTAGCCAGGCAAAACACGCATCGTGTGCGGCGTCGACGTAGTCAACATCGAGCTGCAACGGGATGGGTTCGGTGTGGGAAGCAGCGCTCGTCATGGATGAAGGCGGAGGAAGGAGATTTGTGCGGCGCTGGCGGTAAATGTTGCTTCACACGCCAGAAAGCGACGAGAAACTCCACGCAGCAAAGAACCAAAAGGAGAAGACAGAAAGTGATATTAACGGGACAAAGAAGCCGCGGTGAGAATGGGGAAGCGATAGAGGAGAAAAACAAAAATGACCAGGCGATGTAACGACAATCATCACCGTCGCTTCGCAAGTCTAAAGAAAGAAAGTGGGAGTTCGATTTTATCACTTTCTGGCAAATGCGCTCTGCGGCGTTGCGAACAATACGACGTGCTGCAGCAGCACATCGGCAGCTTGAATGCACTTTCACACCGAGTCGATCAAATTCATTGCTTTCTGTCCTCGCAGAGTTAGCGATACACACCCGGGCGATTGAAAGGCGACTCTGCTGCAGGCACCGGTGCAGCCTCCCACACCTACAATGAAACACGCCAAAAATCCGTGTTTTCCCTCATTCCCCACTCACACAACAACACGGCTGCTTCAAACAACGTCAAACAAACCGTCATCTTTTTCCTCTTCACGCCCGCAACTCACGCAGGCGCTGCGTGGCCGTCTCCACGATCGGCGTCACAGCGAGGCGCTCCGCCTTTTCCTTGATGAAGATCCACGTCGTCGGCGCGTTGCGCACCGCCTCCAACGGTGTCCGCTGCACCAACTCCACAAACATCTGCAGGTCCTCCCGCGTCAGCAGCTCAGCCCGCGGCTGGCGGACCACCAGTCGGTTCGTCTCCTCCTCGACCACCACCTCACCCTCTTTGCCCACCTTCTCCAGCAGACTCCGACTCAGGAACAACCGCGGGGCGAGGCGCAGCGCACCAGGGCAGGCTTTGTGAAACAACTCCACCGACTGCAGCAGCTCAAAGGCGGACACCTTGGTGAGCTCCTCGCGGAAGTCCACCTGCATAGGACCGGGCAGTGGCCGATAGCCACCGTAGGTGTTAAAGTCATTCGCCACGAGGATCTTCCGAAAGGTTTCCCGCACATCCACGTCGAAGTCGCCGTAGAAGTAGTCCTCCGCCGTTCCACCCACGCCCACCTCCGCAGCGGCGCTGCCTTTCGCGTCTCGTGGACGCTTCACGATGTCACGCCGCAGCGTGGAGAGTTGCTCGATGGCGCCAGAGGCGTCGGGGATTTGATGTCGCACGCACAGCTCCAGAAACTCATCCACCTGCACCAGCGAGATGACGCTCAGCTCCGTCAAAAAGGCGAGACGACGCGCGAAGTCCTCGGCGAGTTCGGCCAGCGGGCTGAGCGTCTCCAGCGGGATCTCCACTCTCCGCTGAAACGCACCGATGCAGTGGATGACACGACACATGTGCTGAGGAAGCAGCACGAAGGTCACGGTGCCAGTAGCGGCAGCCTTCTTCTCTGCCGCCTTCACTTTCCCTTCATGTTGGCTCTCTTGGGCGGACACGGTGGATGTGGCGCTCTTCAGCGCGTCGCGGCAGATCTTCAGAAAACGCTCCAAGTCCGCAGGGACGGGGGTGTCCTCGCGCGACAGCAGTTTCAGCAGCTCCAGCACATCCGACCGCGTCAGATGCCCGGCAGGGGCGAGCACATCGCACACGTGCGTCACGTACGCCTCTATCAGGACGGCGTCATTCGAACGAAAGAGCTGCGTTGCCGTGAGCAGACGTGTAAAGCTGGGTGGGGGAAAGTAGGGAAGCATCGGCAGGATGACCGGCGAAATCAGCGGACGCAAATACTGCTGATGCGGGGCCTTGCAGCGTGCGAGAATGTGGAGGAGGCGGGTCAGGCTGGACGGCTTCAGACCGCAAATGCGCCGCAGCCGCTCCTTCGCCGCCACTTCAGGGCGAAGCTTGTTCATCTGTGCAAGGATGGCCACCGTGTTCGCTGCGGTGGTCGAGGCGGGTGTGACCGTCGCCTCAGGCGGTGCCGCAGCACTCGATTCTGCCGTCTCCTCCGCGCTGTGTGTGTCCTTCACCGCCGCTTCGACCTTTGACTTCCGTAGCTGCCGCAGTATTTTCTTCTCCTCGCGGATGTTCTTCTCCATGTGGCGCAGCATGCTGTCTGCTAAGAAGCGGAAGGTGTTCATGGAGGTGTGGCCCATGCGGGCGAAGTTGGCCAACGCGCGGTACGCCGGTACCGGCTCCAGCGGCACACGCTTCTGCAGCACCGGCAGCCGTCGTGCCAGCAGGTTCAGAAACGCAGGCGAAGGAACGATTTTGGCCCGCGCCAGCGCCGTTAGCACCCGCACCAGCTCATGCGGATCACGGTAGTCATTGATGAAGTACGTAAAGTAGTTGCCAAGGAGCTGAAAGAAGGCCAGGTCACGCTTGCGCCGGCCAGCGCTCATGCCGGTGACGATGAGAGCCCGGAAAATGGTCTCCGCGGTGATTTCCTCGTCCGCGTGAGCGAGGATGACGTCCGCAGACGGCGTGGACGGTGCGGTGAGCTGCTGCTCTTCCTTCACAAAGATCGCGTCTTCGTCCTCTTCTGGCAGCGTATCATCACCCGCTGATGGATCCCTCGAGCGGCTCGATGCATCGGCATCGGTCACGCTCGAGACCGATGTGCTCTGCCGCTTCTTCGCCTCCAGCTTTGTGGCGGCCACCGTAGCGAGCTGCGCAATTCGATCGCGCACCGCGTCTTTAAACGTGGTGCCGTAGCGCAGCATGGTGGAGCGGCTCCAGTGGCACTCCAGTATGTCGAGCAGCTGCGAGATGTGGAACTCCTGCAGGCGCGCCAATAACACCGGAAAGAGAGTGTGCTCTTCCTGTGAGGACACAAGTACAACGTTTTCGGTCGACCGCAGGTAGGCACACACGACCTCCGTGAAGCGCTGCACTGGCATCTCGTTGTAAATGCGTTGCTGCTGTGCGATGTAGGCTTGCTTCTCCCCATCATCCGTTGCACTGACACGGTCGCCCTCTTCATTGCCGTCTACCGCGTCCGCTGCTGTCTCCTCCACCGACTCTGTCCTGGCGGCTTCTGCACTCTTTACAGGAGTCGATTCGTTTTCTGCGTCTGCAGCGGCCGCACCACACGCGCCGTGGGACGGCAGCCGACCCGTACCGTCATTGGCTGTGGGGTTCTCTTGACAGGCAACGTGCCGGTAGAGACTGGCCGATGCCACCAGAGAAGAAAGCGCCGCGGACTCTTGCGGCGTGCCAGCGTGTGCGGGTGGGCCGGGTGAGAACTCCTCGTCGTCGTCCATCAGGTCCGCCACGCCTTCTTCAGTGGGACGCACCACGCGACGCTGCGTTCCGGCACATCGCACCTGGAAATGTGTTGCGAGTGCACCGGTGAAGGCCAGCGCAGTGCGGGGAAAGGCGGCTGCAGCGGTGGCGGCACCAGCGGACCGCGACAAATAGAGCTGGGAGAGTCGCTTCATCTTCTCATTCCTTCACGCGAGTTAAGGCGCAGGGTTAAATTAGAGAACAATTGGAAGGGTGGAGAAATTGGAGGGTACAGGGAAGCGGAGAGAGAAAACACAAGTCTCAAAACGGTAGACCACCACAGTTGAAGTTGTAGAACCTGCGACGACAGAATAACAATATAATAAGTACGTCCTACAGCACCATCGCTTCGAAGTGTCCACACACCGAACCGAAGCACGCCATGGAAGTTATTGCTCGCAGCAACAACAGTAACGAAAAGCACCTGCAACATACGCACAGCCTCACTGTAAAAAAAAAAAGAAGTGAGGAGTCGAAAACACCCAACTCCACACGCCCAGTTCAAAATATTATTATTATTATTGTTATTTACACTCGTATGTGTCTGTCATGTAGACAATGTGAAAGCAAATAATCCACGATATTCTGTACGACAACGGACCCCCGTAAATTAAAACTCCACAACAAAAAGTGTGAGCTCAGCGCAACGTCAAAGCTCTTCCCTGCTGGAAAACAAACGGCCAAAACTCTCTCGCCATTAATGGGTCTTAGAAAACAATAATACACGCAGAAACGTGTTTCATTTTGAATAACTTAGCGCACTAAACGTCCACCGCACTCCTTGTCATCTTCTTCACTTCCTAACAACAAAGATCTCGACCAACGCATGGCATTGCTGCACAAATACATGCACACACACACACACGTGCTAGAACAGAGACTTGGTCAAGTACGCCGAAACAGACTTTTTCGTTTCATCGGAGCCGAAGCGTCGGGCCAGCTCGCGGACGTACAGCCACAACGCCCGCTGGCGCTTCACCATCTGCAGCGGCGACTCCACAAGCAGTGCGACTACCGTGTCCACCTTGGCGGCGTCGCAGTGGACGTGCCCCAGAAGCTTCAGCACTTCATCGTCTGTCGACCCCTCATGAATGCGGCTTCGCGCGATCTTGCGGAGGACAATGGAGGTGATCGTCTTCTCCATCCACCACGGCAGCGCCCGAGGAATTTTGCTTGCGGCTGCCCTGGCGGTGTCTGTCGTGTACGCCACCTGCACCTCCAGGTGCCCGAGGTGAAAGAGCTGAACACCCTGAAAAAGACTGTACAGACCGGCCTTCTCGATGTCGCGCCGGAAGATGTCGAAGTCGGCCTTGTTCAGCGTGGCCTTGAGAACCACCATGCGCTCAAACATGTAACCAATTTCACCGTACACGCGACGAGCCGTCTTGGAGACCGTGGGCAGCTCCGTCTCCGAGAGGTCCTCCCACCGTGCCCCACGACCGGCGGCGAACTCGCTGCTTTCCACCACTGCTGCGCCTTCGTTACTCTCGTTCTCCTCCCCTTCTGGTGTTGCCTCCATTGGGATGTCGACGCTGCAACCTGCACTTTCCAGACGGGCTGCGTGGCGAGCCTGCTTTTGTCCCTCAGCGGCAGCGCGGGTGCTCAGCAGCTCCTGCACGGCGGGGTACAGCTCAGGACGCGGACGCATGCGGAGCAGCACGGTGATCTCCAGCAGCGGCTCCACCTTTGCGGCCGCAATTACGTGCAGCTGCAGTAGGCGGTCCATGTGAGCGCAGAAGAGATGCACTACGGCACGAATGCGCTGACCGGGCACCGAATGCTCATCGTAGCGCCGGCCCAGCGTGTACAGCAGATCGACCAAGGTGACCACGACGGCGGGCTGGCAGAGGCTGAACTGCGCTTCGCACAGGTCGAGGAAGAAGAGCACGAAGTCATCCATCTCTAACGAGGCGAACAGGTCGGGTGCGGTGGCGGCCGTGCGAAGGAGCGTCTTGCTCAGCGTCAGCGCGTAGGGAGTTGCAGGGCCGTTCTCCATTAGCCGACGCATCACCGCCTGCAGCAGCTCCGTCGACTGGCTCTCGGTGTATCGGACAATCTGCAGCAGGGCGAGGAGGTCCTTGGTGCTGAGGTGCGGCACGAGCGGGGTGAGAAGCTCCTCGGAGACGCGTGTGGCGGAGACGCCGATGGGGACGCGCAGGTCCGCGGCGAGGCTGAGCAGCTCGAGGAACTCCTGCGGCCGCATGTCGGCGACACGGCGGATGCGGCGTGCGACGTCGCGCTTCGACGGCTGCCGATGGACGAGGTGCGGTGCATCGAGTACTGCGTGGTGTTCTAAAGATGGGGCGGGAGGAGGAGGTGGATGGATGGACATCGCGCCGCTTGACGCAGGAGCTGCGGCTTCGCTGTTCTCGGTGATCTCCTTATCCGTGTCGCCACCATTGCTGTCGCTGTGGTGCGAAGCCTCAAGCTCGAAGGCCACGTTGCGGAGGGCCTGGTCAGCCAGCTGATGCAGCACCGTCGCGTTTCCCGCCCACTTCGACAGCTTCAACACGAGAAGAAAGCGGTACAGCTGTCGCGTGGTGAGGGTCGTGAAGAAGTGCCCGGCTTGGCGCGAAAGCGGCGACTCCGTTCGTTTGTGTTTGCGGGTGTCGCGTCCGGCGCGCGACCCCGTCTCCGCCACCTCCGTTAGTTGAGTATCCAACGCAGCGTTGAACTGCACGATACGCTGCACCATCGCATCCCAGAAGCTGGCAGGGGCGCCGCAGCCGGTCGAGTGCACGTCCCACATAACATTAAGAAGCCCCTCCACCTGTGCGGCGCTCGTGATGTCCTTCACCGCCGTCGTCGCCAGCGATCCGATAAAGGAGGAAAGCTGGCTCTCGCTGGCTTTGCCGCCTGACGCCGTCGACGAGGCGTTGCCGCGACGTGCGGCACGGGCGTGCGCCACCTGCGATTTGAGCGCGTAGGCGCAGTTGCTCAAAAGAGCACGCGCGTCACGCGGGTCAAGTCGATCCGCCAGTAGCTCCTCCGCCATCCAACTCTGCACGAGCTCCATCACGTAGCGCTGCGAGGTCGGCCCACCGCTCGCGCGCAGCTCATCGAACCAGCGATGCCGCAGGAGGCGGCTGGCGACGATGAGGGGGACGCGGCGCTGCTCCACCAACACGCAGGCTTTCTTCAGCAGGATGTGTTGCTCCTCCGAACTCAATCGGAAAGAATCTCTCGCTTTTCGTACCTTTGCTGCCCGCTCTCGGACGTCCGGCGAAGGAGATTCTTCCTGCAGTAGCAGCGAGTTTTCATGGCGGATGAAGGCCACGACAAGGTTGAGGAAGCGCACACACTCCTCTTCGGTTTCCAGCTTCGAGCCATCCAGCGCCTTCATCAGGTCCGCCATAGTGTCGACGTTCATCATGCGCTTCATGCGCCGCACCGGACGCGTGCCCTGCGGCAGCGCCAGACGTGTGTCTGGTGCAGTGGTGTTGGCGCTGTAGATGTACGGCAGCAACGTCACTGATAAGGGCCGGCGAGGCGCTTTTGGCGTCTCTGCCGTGCCATCCGTACTTTCTCTGCCTTCTGTGAGACGCGCATCGACGTCGTCGTTTGCTACGTCGAGCTCGGCCGCCGCTGCGGTGGCAAAGCATCTGCTCCGCACACACGCAACGGCGAAGGAATATGCCTGCGTGAGCGACCGCTGCGATGCGGAGGCGGGGCAGCGGCATAGCTGCAGAGCTTGCATGGTTGGGTGATACGTGGGACGGTACTCTCAGTGTATAAACAGCTTTTTGTATTCCTTTTGTATCGAAGATCCGTGGTTGCCACGGGGAGAGGGAGAGATGGGAAGCACGAGAAGACGGAGAAGTAGAACAATAAAAAAATGAAGGACAAAAACCAATCAGCCCGGTTTCCACAAGTCCGGCTGCCACGTAAAGCAGCACTAAGAAAGAAAGGGTTAAGCTGGGCAGAGCTACGTTGTCTCCGAAGCTGTAGCATGCCGGCAAACAAAACAAGGGGGAAAAAAGGCCCTCCCAACAAGAAGACACAATCGGTTACATATCAGCAACATGATCCTGTTCTTATTATAGGCGTTACAGACATCAGCAGCTACAGACACCACAAAAGCCGTTTCTGAGGAAGTCACTGCAGAGGTTAGGTCCCGCGATGACAGCCGGCACGGCTGGCAGAGGCAAACGCACCGCACTGAACACACGGCTGCACTCCCATGCAGGTCCGCCCACAGCCCAGACAGCTCCACACCATACGACGCGCATCTCCGCAGTCTTCCACCGCAGGGGGCATGCTAAACAGCGAGGGATTGATCTCCAATGAGTGGCGCTTCGGCATCCATTTGCTCCTCGACCTCTCTCTCGTCTCCGCTTCGCGATGACCGTGATGTCGCTCGAAGTTCACGAGTTGCTGCCAGCGGTGCGGCTGGAAGTGCATCGCCACGATATACGTCTCCTGACTCTCCGCCCGCGAGGCCTGCGGCTTCACGACTGACACATAACGGAAGAGGGCGCTGGTGGCTGCTACCACTTGTGCGGAGTGCAAGGAGCGAAGAAGCTTGGACACGAAGCACACCGGCAGCGTAGCGGAAGTTGGGTGCGCTGAGGGTGCCGTACGATTGCCGGGCGTCGTGGCATTTGAAGAGGACGGTGAATCGGTATGCGGTTTCATCTCCCGTTCGGTTCGATTGCCCTTTCGTGTCTCACCCTTGTCGTGTGCTGGACCGAACTGGAGAAACATTTTACTCGCCAACAGCAGCGTACTCAGCGCCATTTGGTTCTGCGCGTACGTGACGGAGAAGGCGTGCTGGCCCTTCACGACAGAGACGCCGTCGTGGAGGACCATGTCGACCGTTCTCGGCGGGCCCACGTCCGCAGCGGCGCTCGACCTCGACGGTGTCGGGTGGAGTGTGCGCTGGACGGATTGGAGCATCTGCTGATGCTGAAGGATGTTTCCCCGCACCGTCACCAAACCAGGAAGCGGCTGAATGGGTCGCTGGTCCACGGCAATGACCATGGGAGGTGGTTCTATCACGGGTGAGGAGGACGGTGCTTGCGGCGCCGCGCTCTGCATCCGCTCAAGCGCCACCTGCGCAAAGCCACCCGGCGCCGCAGCGAGGTCGACGACGGTGTGGGGGTGGAATCGCGCGAAGAGGTGAAAGCGTGCATCGAGCTCCACGAGCTTGTGTGCAGACTGGCATCGATACATGGCCCTCCTTCCTCTCTTCTTCGTAATTCGTGTGGTAGCTCGTTTTGCTTTACAAGAGAGAACGATGGCTACTGGTGCACGCAGCGAGAAGGCGTTCAAGATTGAAAGCGGGGCGAGTACACTTCGATGTCTTTATGAAGAACAGAGAACAGAGAAGGCAACGAAAATGGAAGTTAAAGGAGTAATAGGAGTACTAGAGCGCACCAGGCGGAAAAGCATGCAATGCCATCACTCAACGCACACACGTGGAGATGCGACGTGAAGGCTGCGGGGGGTACGGGCATGTAGAGCGTTCAGTGAAGCGACAGTTGACACGGAAGACTTTCGTCCCCTGTGCAGATGCCAAAAGAGTCGAAGGTCAACACTGTCATCACGTTTCGCCCTGACCTGCTCTCTTGAATTGGAAGGCACAAGCCCTACAAAAGAGCAACAGGCAACAAGCACAAATCAATGACAGTGAAGAGAGAAAAAGAAAAGAGGCCATCAGCGTTCAGCAACGAGGAAACACCCCGCTGAAACACCCCGAACGAAGATCCACGTACGCACACACACTCAGCAATGAAACGGAACCAGCAAAAAAAATAATAGAAAGGCGTTCGTCTCCCTTCAGTTAAAGCAAAGGTCGTTGAAGGGATAAGAAAGGAGAAAATGGCAGAAAGAGAAAGAAAAGACAGTCGCACGTCAAGGGGTGCATGCACACCTCCGCTCTATGGTAGGGAGAACAAATAGTGTACAGAAAAGTACAGTGGAGGTCAGGAGGAGAATAGAAAAGAAAAGGTACAACGGAAGACTCTGATTTATTCTTGATCCAAATCCACAGGTGCGGTGACCAACGTGGTTGGATTAAAAGCACAGAAAGGTTCCGTTGTTCATGCGTTTTAGGTGGAAAACGGAAAAGGAGAGGGGAGGGGGGAGGGGGGCACAAGGTAATCATAAAAGAAGGGGCGCGTGGTGTCCAGCGACTTCGCGGGTTGCTGGAGTTGTAATTGCACCACAAGAGGAAGGCAAGTCGAACGCCGTGTTATAGAAACGAATAAATTCCTCACATCGACAGTTTTCACTCAAACGACGTCATGGGCCACAACGAAGTCAACAGCGCCTGCAGCGTCTCCTCCTCAGTCCGGCCCTCCGTTTTGCCGGCACCCGTCACCGCCAGCGGAAGCCCTGCGTAGAGGGACACCCACCCGCGCAGTCGCAACGCGTACACCACAGGAGCCAACATTGTCTTCCAGACAGACGACGGCGTCAGCGAGTCCTCGCTCCACTGCGGTGGGAACAGCGCCTTCATCAGCATCGCCCGCGCCGCCTCGCGCACACGGGGATGTACGTCCGACCTCCCGCGCCGCCCCTTCAACCTGCGAGCGGAAACGTCAGAGGCGGGTCGATCGAACTTGAGGGGGAGCATCGAAATCGAGGCGACGGCGGGCCTCGTGCAGGCCATGCTGGGGGGCAGGAAAACACCGCTTCCAGGTGCACCCAGTGAGGGGTGTTGACGTTCGCCGCTGGAGTCGAGAAATGCGGTGCGCGGCAGGGGAATGCAGGGAGCGGAGGTGCGACGGGGAAACATGTGCGGGCTCTTGCGTAGTCCGCTGAAGGACTGCGGTGCGTCGAGAACCGGCACGCCGGGCATCGTGCGGGCGAGTTCGTGCCCATCAGCGACTCGTGGGAAGCATGGTAGCAGATATACTCCGCCGCTCGCGCCGGAAGTGCTGGACCGACTTTCCTCTTTGTGCGGTTGTAGTGCCGGCGGAAGTTCCACGGAGACCTGCGAGAGGGTGCTCGGGACTCGCTCGTGGTGACTGTGAGGAGGAGAAGAGATGGTGGAAGCCCACTGCCGCCGTTTTGATTGCTGCTTGCGCTCTCGCAGTTGTCTACAAAGTCGATCAATCTCGTACTGGTACAGATCCTCTGCGGTGCGCAGGGCAGGATCGATGCGGACGCCCATCTGCGAGAGCACCTCGTCTGCGGTGAGGTAGACGTTCGCCGTGTTCCACAGGAATCGCATGAAGCCCTGCAGCTGCGCCTCCTCCGCCGTATACACGTCGTTTGGATCGTGGTGGCGGTGTTGGGCTATCTCTTCCATCCACTCGAGGTGGCTGAGTCCGTCGTTCCTCGTCGCATGCGGCGGTGCGGGCAGTCCACTCCCTCCGTCTCTAACCTGTGCGTCTTCGACCAGCAACTCCAACACGCCCAGGCAGAACACCGCCACCTCGATCACCGCCACCGACAGCGTACCGTCGCCCTCATATTGCTTGTAGAGCAGCGACACTGCCTCGCTCATCCACGGTGGAAGCGACTCTGTTGGGTAGACATCCGCGTTTGCACGGGCGCTGCCGAAGCATGACCACTTCACGCGCAGCTGGGTGGAAATGTGGCCCGCAAAGAAGAGACAACAAGGAAGCGGGCAGCCATGCACGAGGCCGGCGTGGTGCAGCGCCCGCAGCCCCCGCAACCCTTGCTGCACAACCGGTTCCCAGAAGTCGACATGAAAGGCAACGGGTGCGATGCGTCGCATAGAATTCGAAAGAGACGCGGGCACACCATTTCTAGCGCTCAGTCTCCTGCCTGCCTCGTACACCAAGTCGTGTACGCTGCCTCGTGGGAAGTACTCCAACTGAAGCAGGTGCACCGCTGGCCTCGAGCTGTCCTGTGGAGGTGTGCTGACGCTGTAGTAGCGAGCCAAGTAGTCCTCCGCCTCCAGTACATCCCCGGGCGTGATGACGTGCGCCGAGGCCAGTCGCGTCTTCTCATGTAGGCTGTGGTGGCCGCTGTTCGACAGCGTGAGGCACCGCAGTTCCGCGACGTTGAACGCCACTGCCGGCACCTCCTTCACCGCATACGGCAGCCCGTTCAGGCGGTGCGTGGCGAGCCACGTCACGCCGTTCACCTCAACGCAGAGCGGGATCGGCCGTCCTGCCGCCCCACTGCGACTCGTCCCTGGTGTCCCGTAGGAGGCCTCGACGGGGCTTTCCAGGGCCGCCTCGATGTAGTGCAGAAACTGGAATTCATGGTGCGCCTGGAAGCGATCCCCGGGTGTCTCTTCCTCGCTCACGTCGGTCGCCTCCATTGGGTCGAGGGCGGGGTCGGGGCCCTGGTAGGCGGAGAGGGAGAGAACGGAGGCGACGTCGTTGCCGTCGCAGGCAAGATCCACTGATAGTGCACGCGGAGCTCGCTGTGCCATACCGCCCGTTCCTTGTGCCGAAGTGGATTCCATAGATCGGCGCAGCCCCGGAGTATCCTGCGCAGGCGTGTACAGGCGTTGCGGTGGTGGTGGTGGAGGTGGGTGATGTGGCTCCTGATGGGATGGAGGTCGGACGGGTGACTTCAGCAAGTCAAAGTGCTTCTCTGTGGGCACCTGACTAGCGGCGCTCGACGGCGGCAGCAGCATAGCGGTGACGGGGTGGTCTTCGCTCGCTCGTGTGTGCAGGGCGTCGGGTACATGCGGCAGTGGGGGAGTTGAGAGTTTCTCGAGGAAGGGGTTGATATTCGCAACGGTGCTCCGTAAGAAGTTCGGTGAACCGGTGCTGCTCTCCGTGCACGTGCTCACTTCCTTGTAGGCCAGAGTAAGGGGTGAGTGCACGACGAGGGGAGGGGCCTGCTCCGCGCTTGCTGTGGCTGCATCTCCACTGCCGTTGGCCGTCGCGCTGTCCCCTCCTGAGCGCTCTTCTTCATCTTCCGCATCTTCGGCGCCAAACTGCAGCTGCCGCTCCGCACAGAGACGACTATCGGTGCACAGACTTGATTGTTCGCCGTCGTCGTCGTCGCCGTAGTCAAACTTCGATGTGGGCCGGCGGGGCGGGGGCGAGGAGTCGGCAGCGTCCTCGTCGACGTCTCCGTCTTCCGTAGCTGAAAGAGGGTCGTGGCCGTCCTTCCTATTCGGTGAGACGGTATTGTGGAAGACATGACGTGCGGCTGCCGCAGCGGAAGAGGCGGTGGTGGACGCGGAGCAGTTCGGGGTGTCGTGATCGTGCGCACCGCAAAATAGCGTGGAGGAAGTAGACGTGGCGAAAGTAGAGTACGGGGAGTCGTCGCCAGGCTGATGACCCGGCGCAGGCACTCGCATGCCGATGGGGGTGTCCACCGCACATGTCGCAGCCTGCGCTTCTCCCAGGTCGCGGCTCGGTGTGAACAGAGACGATGACGAAACAATCGCAGCAACAGCCTCCACTTCCGTCACCGCGCGACGTGGGGAGCAACTCGCCAGCGTGACCTGTGGCCGCAGTGAGTTCGTGTTACTACCGCGGAGACCCACATCCTGGTGGGGAGTTGTCCTGATTGTCGTAGGCGCAGCAGCAGAAGAATGCACCGTTGCTCCCTCTTCACCTCGCTTTCCCTCTTCCTCTTCGTTGTTGCGGTGGTCGGTTGTCACACCGGGAACTCCCGCTGCGCCGCTCCCACCCCTGCCCTGCCCACACAGCCCCTCACAGCCGCTCAGTGTCAGCGCGGCGCTGCCCAGCCCGGAGACGGGGTGGCGGGAACGCGGTGCGTGCAGGAGGAGATCAAAGGAGGCCTGAGAGGGCGTGGAAGCCTTCGTGCGGGGACGGTGGCTTCCCGGTGCGTGCGCTGGGGCGGGGATGAGCTGCTCGTAGAGCACCACAGCCGCATCGGGGCGGAGCGTCGCGGTGGCGAGCTCCTTCACAAATTGACGCTCCTTCTCTGTCAAGGGCGGATCTGCGCTGATGACGTGTGTGCTGGCGTCGCTGTTCGTGCTGTCGTCCATGCACTTCTGCTCCGCGTTGTGAAGAAAAGACTCGGGCTTAAACATAGGGTTCGTGTACAGTTCAAAGGAGCGATAGAGACTGAACGGGTTGCGGCTGGGGGCGAGATAGTCCCTCTGCGCGGTGACGGTGGCGTCGCCGAACACACCGCTGGCGTTGGAGGTATTCGCTGGGCCTCTTGCCGCCCACAATCCACTGGGGTGCGAGTGGAGCAGCTGTGGCTGTTGCTGCTGCTGCTGAGACTCGAAGCTGTGGCTCTGCACCTTTGAGCGGAAAGATTGCGATGGCGTCGTCTGACGTGAGAAGCTGCGGCGGGCCGACTTCTGCGGCGTCAGTGGCTGCGAGGGCGGCGGGCGGTGGTGGGGACGGTGCGAGGGGACGCCGTAGCTGCCCTCGGAGAGACTCGTGTAGCTGCCACCGTGCAGACCCGCCGGGCCCGGCGTGCGTCGGTGCGGCGGCGTGTGCGGCGACTTCGGCGTGTCGGCGCGCTGGACCAGCTCAGCGATGCCGGCCAGGTGCGCCGCCGCGCCGCTCACGGACAGCGACCGCACCTCGAGAGATCCCCCGTCAAAGGAGGGCAGCAGCGGCGTGGAGGGCACGGAAACGCTGCCGCAGCCGCTCTCAGCGCGGCCCGCCACGGCGGACACGTCGCGCGGGGTGTGGGGGCTGCTGTGTCCTGCGTTACCCGGCTGGCCGCGCAGGCTTGCGAAGGCGTCTGCAAATGCGTTGTCGGGAGAGTCGTGCGTGGGGGCCTCTCTCAGACGATTCGTGGGCGTGTTGGAGGTGCGCACGGAGTCGCGGGGGTGTTCGTGGGCAAACTTGTGTGGGGTAGCGCTGCTGCCCTCGCCGACGAAGGTGACGCGTGACGGCGCAATGTGGTGCCGCTGTAAAATGGGTGAGATGAGCTGCGCGCCGCCGCAGAACACCTGCGTGCCCATGTCTGCATCACCCGAGGACGGGGAGGGGCGACCGCAGCTGTGGGAGGAGAGGGAAGCAGTCATTGCATGACAGAGCTGCATGGATGCGTCCGCGGTGAAGAGCTGGGGCGGAGTATGCGTACACGGATGCAGCGGACTCTGCCTATCTGGTAGCTCCTGTGTGGCCACGAGGGTGTTGTTGTGGTCTCCGGTTGGCTGTGGCCTCCCGCCAAACTGCGGCAGCATCGGCTCTGTAGCGCTCTCCACAAACACGTTCGTCAGCAGATCCGTGTTGGATGGCGTAACCTGTGTTATTGACACCTGAAGCCCCCTTTGGTACGGCGAGAGCACGTGAGGCTGGAAGAGTGGGTAGGGCAGGGCAAAGTCTCCATCCAAGGGAGACCCGAGGCGATGTACCGGAGAAAACGGTGTCACAGGTGAGCACGAAAACACATACATCCTCTTGTCATGTGAGAAGAGAGAGCGACGTACGTCATCGTCGGGGCTGGCGAGCCCGTCCGACGGCACCTCACGGTCTTCCTGGTCTGCGTCGCCTACGGTGGCGTCGGTACTGAAAAGGCACCTGCTGCGCTGCGGCATGTCTGCTGGACCGTCTCCGTGCTTTCTATCGTGTTCATGGTCGTCCTCCTCTTCACGGCTGACATCGCACAACCAGACACTGCCGCGGTACTGCGGCAGAGTGGGTGTTACCGTGTCTCCTACCGTCATCGAAGACACCGTGCACGGCGACAAGTCCGGCCCGTCGGCGGCCTTCTCCGGTGTGCGCGAAACGTTTGCTGGAGTGCCCAAAGAGGGCGACGCTGGTTCTTCTACGCCCGTCACCGTCGTGTCCACCGCTGCCGCCACTGCCAATGCGGATGCCACCTCAACAAAAGCCTCATCCAAGTTCTGCGATACCCGCGACGAGTGTGAGACGCCGAGAACGGGCGTGGAGGCGCTGGTGTGTTCTTGTTGCAGTGTCTCATCGCCGCTGGGCGTTCCTTTGGCGCTGCCGCTGCACGCTGTCGGCGAACAGACGACGACGGCGCGAACTTGAGAGTGCTCGGGCAATGGGGTCGACAAGCCAGTGACGTCTTCAGGAGGGCAGTCGTCGCTATCGGCCGTGGTCGACAAGAGTCTCCGCATCTGCTGCAGCTGCGTGTCACTCGGCCGCGGGTGCTTCTGTGTTTTATTCGACCACTCCGACAGCGGGGATGGGGTGCCGGAGGTGATGGAGATATTGAGGCTCTCCACCGCGAGGGCCGGGACCGCAGCGTTGCGCTCCACCGCCTTCGCGATGCGCCTCGGCATTTTCGCCGAGGGGCTGTGGTGCTGGCGGGACGTCGTTGTGTCGGTCAGGTGGGCGAGCGGTGGTGGTGCGATGAGATGTGTCGGTGTCAGCTTGGGTGTGTGCGGCGTTGCGACTGTGTCGGTGTGGTCAACCTCGGTCGACAGCAGTCGAACGGCGGTGGTGGGTTGGAGCGGTGTAGCGGGGCGCCGCACCGGCGTCGCATCGTTGGAAGGAGCAGATCTGTCCATGCTGTGCGGCTTGGAGGCGTGGGGCGTTGCGCTCGGCGTGGACACCGGACCGCTGTCCGCGCTGTGGACGAACGTGCAGAGGAGAGAGGAAAAAGTACAAAGTATCTATGAAGGAGCGAAGACCAGGGTACGCACACACACACAGGAGCGACACCCCGATCAACCAGATTGAAGAATGTGAAACAAGAAGATAAGAAAAACAACACAGTTATATATATGTGTATGGAATACAAAAATAGGTGACAGTAAACCACCAATCCGGCCTCAGCTAGCCGTTCGCAGGCTCACGCAGTACATACACCACACACACAGAGAAGAAAACAGGCAGAACACCCAAATGGAGAAGGTAAAAGCAGTTGTAGTGGTAGGGAAGAAAAGAGCAGCACAAGTACCTAAGAGGTCAGTTTGTGCACCGCGAGTACACTATACGCACTGCACTAGCCCTCACGGAGAGATTTCACGTGCGTTTGTGACTGTGGTGCTAAAGCATATGAACAAAGGACGAAAAGCGCGAATTCGTATTTCACGGGAGTAGTGGTACCAAAGGAAAAAAAAGGAACGTAAAAGAAAGAAAAATGTTCTATGATGATGAAGTGCGACCGTTAAAGCAAACGAGGTTGGAAATAGGCTTTACCAACAGAAAAATAGTCAAAAAAAGGCCCACAATAGAGAAAAATATATACAGAAGAATCGAGGGTTTTTCTTTTCCGCGGGGAGAAGCGTAGGCGGCACGCGTCCGAGAAACCTTTAACTGCTGCTTATGTTCTTCAGAAAAATAAAAAAGAAGATATGTGCATGCGTCTCTCTGTTCTCACAGATGAATGCGCTCTGATGTGTGAAGATCGGAGCGGAGCAAAAGAAGAAGGAAGAACAATTGTTGACCTGCCGAAGCAAAATAACGCCTCTACACGTCCTCCACAACAACAGTAAAGTGATAGAAATCTTCGGTGGCCACGCGGACTCACTGCTGCTACATATATATGGATATGCGCTCAAACCTCTATGTCTTCCACTTTCCGCAGCGAGCGGCGAAATGGAACGGTGGACTGCGGTATGCGTTGACGAAGAAGTCAACGAGACCAACAAGAAAAGGAGAGATTGTTGTTGTGTAAATGAAAGGAAGAAAGCGAGGAGGAGAGAGATGGCAAGATGGCGTGAGAAAGGCACAATGCCGATGCACGGCAGTCACACGTGTCTGTCGCCTGCGAAGAAAGGCGGTGGGGAGGCATGCGTAGTCTCTAAAGACACTACGCGTTCATCACTATCATCGCATGAAGAGGTGCGAGTCAATGCAAGCAACACCAAAGGAGCATGTCAGCTGCCGCATTGCTGCGTCCGTACCAAAGCATGAATATAGATACACGTTTGAATGTATACGCCCAACACGTAGTAGAACCAATCGAAAAACAAAACAGCAACAGAGAATTAGGCGAGCCACGTAACACACCCCGGTCAGTAGTTGTATAAATAACCACGCCGTCTTTGGACCATTACCAACAATAACAACAACAAGAAGACCCATGAGGAAACGACGTGAAAGCGGCGCGTTGCACCGTCATCGTAGTACGGCAAACCAGAAGCTTCCACACAGGCGAATAAAAGAGAGAGAGAGTAAGAAAGCAGCACTGAACGAAGGAGATTCACAACAGGGGAATCTTAATAAAGTAAGTAAATGCAACCACAGTTCTAAAACAACAACAACCAAAAAAACATACACATATGTGTTCACATGCTTCTATGAATCCAAAAGTGCAAAGTACTGCTGCACCACCTCCCGCCACTGCTCTCGCGGTGAGTCCATCTCGTGCTCGGCGTTGTCGACCGCGGCGTACAGCACCATGCACAGAGTCGGGAAGTCCAGCAGAGGAATGCGACCAGCTGAGGCAACAGGGATGACGACGTTCACCGCAAAGGACAGGAGCAGAAGTCGGTGCGTCAGCGCGAGCAGCTCCGCCTGCGCCGCGGGGGTGAGCCCAGCGCCATCGGCCGCGAGAACCTGCGAAAGACCGCCACTGCCATTGGGTGTGTCGTCCCCCGCCCCTCGCCCACCGTCCCACGCGGAGGAGTACTGCTGACGACTCTCCATGGCAGACACCAGCAGCGTGGCGACGGGTGTGGCCTTCCCGGCCAGCAGCGACCTCCGCGTCTCCTCAATTGCGGCCAGCTCCCCCTCAAACAGTCGGCTGAGAGAGGGCAGGAAGTCCAGCACAAGACTGCCTTGGTGCTTTAAATCCATCACGTCGAACACCTCACGCATTACGCGACTGCGCCGCACCGCCTTCTTCGGGAGGAGCGCCGAGAGCTTCGCCGAGAGAGGAGCGCGCCGACGCGTTGTGAGTGCCGACGAAGAGAAGGCGCGATCGTCGCGTGCGGTCAGCGACAAGGGATGGTCGTGTGCGTTGCCTCGGCTGCGCAGCAGCGCCGAAGCGGGGGAGAAGTGGCGGTAGCTCTGCGGGGACAGGGTGACATCCGTCGAGTTCAAGAGGAAGTCACGACTGGAGTTCTTCGCTTGCTCTGCCTCTGCCTGGACCCGCACCAGATCCATAAAGCGGTCCACCTGCGCCGCCGTCAGACGCGATCCATTCACAAAATACAGGTCCACCGGCTGGGTGTTGTCCTGGTAGGGTAAGGTTCTGTCTGCTTTTGAAGAAGCTGCAGCACTGCGAGGAGGCCACAGCACGCCCAACATGTCAGCCACAGAAGCCGCCGCAGTTGTGTGCAGCAGGGTATGCCTGGAGGCACCGGAGGATACCGCTGTTGGCGTAGGTCGAGCAGTTGCACGACGCGACCGGCTTGGGTCTTTAAGGGAAGCTGCAGTCGGCTGCAACCGAGAAGAGGCGTGGGGCTGACGCGCAGACGACGCTACAAGCTCACTCAGTTGTTTCATGTAGCGAGCGTTGGCTGGTTGTGGTGGCTGCTGCTTCTCTTGTCGCCGGGCGGAGAGGGGGCGGGACTGAGGGGAGGTCTTTCTCGACCTTTCCGTTGCCGATGGCGACAGAGAGTGCGTGCCGCTCCTCGCAGACTCCATGCTCCGCTGATCGTGCACCAACGATGCGTGAGCAGAGGGTGCTCGCTTCATGTCGCTGTAACCCGGTCCGGTCTTTGTCCATCCCGGTAGCGATGCAAGGGCGAGCGCGGTGGGCTTCGGGTCACCGCCGCGGCGGCTGTTGGAGCCAGAGGCCGCCCCGAGTCCTTTGAGGGGGGAGTTCTCCAGCAGCGTGCGGTCCTGGCGGCGTGCGAGGGCAATGCGGTGGCGCAGCTGCGTCAGTTCGGCGCACTGCTGCTCGTTGAAGCGGCGCCACTTCTCTGTCTCTTGCGCCGCGGCTGCTGATGCGCCAGGATCGGTGCACTGCGACGGCGGCGATACCTCGCGATACAGCACACGGTCCGTCCGGGTTTCGTGCCGCGCGTGCTGCGTCAGCCCGTGGCGGTGGTACACGTTCTCCATCTCCTGATTCTCCAGGTAATCCTCGACGGAGTTGGAGTGGCTGGGCACGCCTCGCGGGGGCGGTGCTGCTTTCTGTGACGGCGGGGCGGATTTGCGGCCCTCGACGGAGGTGCGACGGTGACGGCCGGTGTGAGGCGGCTCGGGCGGGGAGTCGGTCGTGCCGGTGCTGCCGGCCTCCGTGAAGAGCTTCGCATTCGGCGAGGCGCCCTGCGAGTCGGACGTGGCGGACTCCTTAGAGCGACGCGTCTGTGGGCGCTGGAGGTTCAACACAGCGCTGGGGTCTCTCTTCTTCGGTAGGAGATGGCGGTCGGTGAGGGAGGAGGGGCGGCGGGGATTCCGCCGGGTATCATCGCTGTCTGCCGCGGCTTCCGTGGCAACGCCGGCGGCCTGTGCGGCGAGTGGAGTGGACACCGCAGACTTTTGGTACAACGGCGGGTGCGTGCTGGCGGACAGCTCGCGCTCGCCGTCTGCCACGTGTTGCGTGTTGACTCGTGACTTCGATGATGACGGCGGTGGCCCACTTTGGCGCTGTCGCTGCTGCCGTCGCTTCAGGTGATTTGTGACGACTGTTTTCTTCGTGGGCTGCGTGCTTGACGCACCACCGTCGCTGCCCATCTCCGGGTGACTCGTGGTAGGACTCGACCTCTGTGCCTTCGTCATTGCTAAGGTGGGGGGAGAGGGGTGCGACGGCAGCGGACCACAACTGGGAAGGCCGCCGTGGACAGCGGAAAGACTGCTTACACCGACACGAGAGGCTGACTGGTCTGGCAAGCTCTCGTTATCAGAGTTGTGCTCCGTCTCGAACTGAATGGACGGGCTGTTGGGGCGGGAGTTGCGGTAGCTCTGCGCAGACTGCGAGCGACGCACGTGGGAGTTGTAGTAGGGCGTCGCTAATGCCCCTCGTGACGGGCTCGCCGTGGCTTCTCTCGGCGCAGAAGCCTTCACGGCCGGGGAGTCCTCGGCGACCTCAAATGCGATGCTACTGGTGTCCGCCAACTCATGCATGCTGGTGTCAGCCGCAGATGCGGGTGGCGCTGCGGGCCGGTCTGACGTGGTGCAGGCGGCGGTACTGGGCGTGGTGGTCGCTCGTCGCTGGAGCGGAGAGATGGAAGGAGACTTCACGACCTGCTGTTGGTGCTGCTGCGGCTGAATCGCGTTGCACGAATCCTCTATTTGAAAGGCAATACTGTCGTTGCTCATCACGGAACTGCCACCTACGGGACCACAGGTAGTCGCGAGCGGGACGGGTGTTGGGGCGGAGCGCCCGCGGGCGGTGGCCGATTGCGGGTTCGGTGAGGCCGCCCCGAGTTGGTCACTGCCGAGGCTCTGATCGAACACGAAGCTGATGCTGTCGTTTGTGACTTGAGCCTTGCCGTTTGTCAAGGGAGAGTACCCGGCCAACGTCTTCTCCACCGGCGTCGAGCCGTGTCGATTCACGCGTGGTTTGGGCTGCGGTGAAGTCGATCGACTGCCCGGCTCGGAGTGGAACTGAATGGAGGAGACGCTTCCCGCACGTGACAGGCGCCGTGATGCGAAGGCGCCCCTGGTCGCAGGAGCGCCTGTCGCAGCATCCGCGGAGGTGAGGGCGCCGTGCTTCGGTGTGCCGCTCACGGAGTTGCTCTCCACGACGAAGTTGACGCTCTCGTTGTCGGACATCTCAGACGCGGCATCGTGCTTGCCCCTGGAAAACTTGCTCGTCACCTGCACAAACCCTGGACGCGGTAGATGGGCACTCTTGGTGGCAGCAGCGGGCGTCGATGACACGGCGTGGTGCAGCGGCGGCTTTGCAGGCGTGGATTTGAACGGCGCGGGACTTGGCGCTCCCGTAACGTGTGGACGAGGCACGTCTGCTGGCGGGACGCGCTTCGGTGTGGGCGAGACGTCGTCCTCCTCCATGAAGGCCAACGACTCGGTGTCGCTATACATGCTGATTATGCTTTGCTGCGGTTCTTTTTTAAATTAAAACAATCAAACCAAAAAAAAAAATAGTTACTTGGGTCTATGAACCGTATCTGTTCTACAAGAGGAGAGCTCCGTGAAGACAGGTTCTCATTAAATCGAAATAAACTGTTAGGAAAGCGCTTTTTTGAGGTGCAAAGAGTTGTGCCTGGCTGAGTAGACAAAAAAGTGGCGAATGCGGGTGTTTATTCGCACTGTAATAGAGAGAGGGTGTGAGGAGGAGCACGTACGCGGCAGGGAGAGCCTATCGAGCTTGAGTCTATGCTGAAGAGGGCCTTTGCTACCCAGACAAAAGAAATGGGTGTCTCTGTGCACGTACGTCGCCGCGCTTTGGATTCTCCGCCCTCAAAAAATAATAATAATAATCAATAACGAGAACACCGAAGAGAAAGAAGTTGCGTGGAAATCCAGCGGCACCAGAACACCGTCGGATTGTGCAGGCTCTTTCCTGCAGAGCTTACGTACGGGAGAGAGGAAATCACGCAGGCGAGGAATGCAAATGAGGAGAGAACAGTTACGCAGGAGAAGCGGGTCAGAGAAAGCAGACACTTCTTTGAAGAGGAATCAAAAACAAAAGAAAGACATGCTGAAGAGTCTTCGCAGTCCTTCAAAATCCAAAACCCGCTTCCTTCATCTGCTTAGTGAGAATCGAAGCGCCCTAGTAGGGACCAACACGCAGCGAGGTATGTTTACCTTGCTCTCTGTTTGATTAGCCACATTTGCTGAGGAAGAAAACAGAGATGACATACAACACCACAGCAGCAACAGAAAATTAAAGATAAAAAATACTTCAAAGCAAAACGCCCTCGCAGCCTTTTGGCAGCACACGCAGCAAAAGAACACGAACAGCGACAATAGATGGGCCTACAGAAATAATGCACATCGCACACCACCAAATCAGTAGCGGTAGTCTTTTCGTCGCGGGTCGTAGTTATTCACCGGCGCTTTATTCGGCGGGTAACCGGGACCACCGCTCGCGTAATTCGGTGCCGGCGGTGCACTCGGTTGCATCGGCGCGTACGGCTGCAACGGGGTCGGTTGGGGCGGCCAGGGAAGCGGGGGATAGGGACTGGTGCCGGGGCCAGCGTAGCAGCCTCCCTGCGGTGGCGGCGGGGCGGGTAGTTGGCGTAAGCGGCCGGCGCGTAGCAGCCTCCCTGTTGCATAGGCGGCTGCGGCTGGGGGTAGCATCCGTACGGTTGCTGCGGTGGCGGCGGTGCACCGTAAGGGTACGTTTGACCAGGAGACGGGTACGGGTACGGCTGCATGGCTCGAGAAGGGAACGCAAATACAAAAGATAAAGGGAGAGCGAAGAGAAGCCGACTTTTGTGGTCACACCGCCACTTACCGAGGCGTGAGCAGTGCCGTTAGATTTCTACAGGAGACGAAAAGTCAAAGCAAAAAAAAGGAAGGTGTCGAGGACGGCATAAAACACATGCTCACGGCAAGAGCGCAGTGGTCAATTACACACAATTTGCGGAAATAGTGGCTCACGGCACTCTTCCTAACGGCTTAATACAGCTCTTACACCACGATAACTGACGGGTATTGTGTTCTCAGCGCTCCGTTCACCAAGTGAGAAAGTGTGAGGCGCAATGCGGTGTAGATCACATCGGTTCATGCTCGAAATATTTCCAACAGCGCTGCTCTCAAATAGACATTGGAAATCCCCTAAAAAAATATACGAAACAAGCAACAAAGCACAAACAACTGCGCTGCACAACGCAAGTACTTTTCTTCTATTTTTACAAAGCTATTCTTCGCTAAGTGAATGATGGGCGCGGCGGTGGCTCATCTCGCGGGGTTTTTTGGTTGGGGGCAGGAAAAATGTACGCAGTTCGGGACTCGAACCCGAGACCTTCGCCGTGTTAAAGCGACGTCATAACCACCTAGACCAACCGCGCTTAACAATTTGGACAGTTTTTTGGAATAGTGATTAGTCGCAGTTCCACCACAGAGCCTCCCGTAGACGCCGCGCAGCTCTACATAAAAGAAAAAGGTGAAAGATCAAGAACCGTTACCAGGCACGAGCAATTCCCCTGAAGGGTTTACAAGGGCATGCATCGCACGACTCAGCAATTGAGGCACGTCAAACTGGAGAGGGAGAAGAGGAACGCAGAGGCCTCTTTCATACATTTAGTACTGGTAATACGGCTGCGGAGCATAGCCCTGCGGCGGCGGCTGTGCGTAGTACCCCTGCTGGCTCGGCTGTGGCGGCGGCGGGGCTTGCGAGTAATACCCCTGCGGCGGTGGCGGAGGTGCCTGCTGGTAGTAGCCGGGCTGCGGCTGCTGCACGTATTGTGGCTGCTGCACGTACTGCACCTGCGGTGGCGGCTGCTGAACGTATTGCGGCTGCTGAACGTACTGAACCTGCTGTGGGGGCTGAGGGGCGTACTGCACCGGCTGGGCGGCGTACTGGACAGGCTGGGCGGCTGGCGCCTGTTGCACGTACTGAACTTGCGGCTGTTGCGGAGGTGCCTGCTGGACGGCAACAACGGGGGGCTGCGCATACACTTGCGGCTGTGGCTGCTGCGGCGGACCCGACGGCGGTGGAGCCGTCTTCTGCCCCGGCCGCCACGTCCCGTCCTCGATGGCGCGCTTCACCGGGTCGCGGGTGATGTCGGACGTGACCATCCACTGCTCCTCCGGCTTTGGGAGGGCGCCGAAGTCGACGGCGAGGACGCGCACGTGCAACTCCGCCTGCGTCTTGGACTTCTCCAGGATGTACCACTGGTCCTTCACGATACCCTTGGTGAGGCCACCGACGGAGAGGGTGTAGTAGCCCATAAGGTCGTCGTCGTAGGTACACTTGTTCCACACCTCCAGCCGGATCTGCGTGCTCATCTCGTCCGCGATGTTGAAGCGGAACGTCTCCTCCCACTCGGGGTTGAGGTTGTTCTTCACCACCTGCGTTTTGTACTTTTTGTCGCCGGTCGTGAGGCGCACAAAGGGGTCGGGGAGGCCGACCAGCTGGCCATCGTGCAGCTTGCGCGCCGCACACACGGTGAGTTCAATCTTGCCCATTACAGCGCTGAAAGGGGGAAAAGAAGAAAAAACCTTTACTTTCTACGGTAAAATAATAATAAACACGAGGCGTTAGGAGAAGAGCGACAGCGCGGCTTTAGCAGAGTGGCTGCTACTTCGATTGCTTGAGAATAGCAAAATAGGAAGATACGACAATCTAGCAGAAACGAAAAGGAAGGCACGAGATAATTCGCGCACGTTGACGTTGGGAGAAGAGAAGATGAGGAGCTGAAAGACGAGGAAGTAAAAAAACAAAAACCACACACGAAGTAGCTGAATAGATAGCGCGTAGAAGAACAGCTCCTGCCAAATTGTCGCTTCCCGGCTGCATAAATGCCGCGCGGAGAGCCGTGAAGCTTCGTTGGTCGAAGAGACGGTCTTGTCGCTGCACTCTATGATGCAGCACAGTGCGGTTTGAGCGAGGCAATCATAATCATAAAGTTTGCGAATTCTTTTGCAGAACACGCTGACAATCGATGTAAGTTCAACGACGGTTAGAACAGAAGAACATCAAGGAGAACCGTCACTCTTGTTCCTTCTGCTGCGGCGGCCGTGGCAACGGTGGCCGTTATCAATGGAGCACCGCCGGCAGCACGCCTCCCCGCCACGCCGGGTTGCCCTCCCCCAATATGCCCTGCTCGCTCGAAGCCGGCAGCGCAGAGGAGCCCGTCGGGGACTGCAGCACCGCGCCCGCTGAAGGCGAAGGAAAGAGAGGAAAGACAGGGGGTAGATTGGCATTCCACGGCTCGCCCATCCCCACCACACCCGGCACTGGACGCACCGCCGGTCCTCCTTGCCCTGACATCGGCAGCACACCGAGAGGAGCTAACAAATTCGCCAGCACGGGATTGATGCTCCCCATCGACGAGACGTAGCTCGCGTTGAGCACCGCCGTTCGGCCGGTCTGGTCGTTCATCGCGAATGCGTACGGCAGTGTGTAGTTCCCTGCGGCTCCAGCGGACGACGTGCTGGCAGTTCCAGCCGGCAGCATCCACTCCGCGGCGACGGGCGAGAGTCCAACCGCCTGCACACGCAGCCGCAGACTGAGGCGGTGCCCGCTCCAGCCGTACAGGTTGCCCATGATGCTCGGTGCCTCTCTCGTCCGTAGCGGCACCACTCGCTCCGCGACGACGTCCAGCGGATGCAGTCCGTAGCCGCCGTGCAGGAGCTCCAGCGGGACGTGGTAGGTGTAGCGACCGAGGCAGTTTTCGGAGTTGGGTGTGCTGCGCCACAGCTCGAGATCAACGGCAGGGTGAAGGAAAGGCGAGTTGCTTGCGTTTGCCGCAGGCGAGTTCGTGCTCGTGTGTTGTTGGAATCCGCCTAGAGGCGGGGTAGAGTTCGGCGCAGGGGATTGTGGGCTGTAAGCCGAGGAGTGTTGCGCACTCACTCCTCCAGCACTGCTCATCGTAGCTGCTGCTGCTGCTGCCGCGGCTGCAGCGCCGGCAGTGGACATGGGCAGCACCGCGCTAAAGAGACCTTCACAACTGGCTACCGCCGGCACGGAAGGAAGAGATGGACGCGCTACGGGGGAGGAAGAGGAGTTCCCTCCCGCCGCTGACGCACCGTTTCTCTGTCCTTGCTGGGAAGGTATCGCCGTTGAGTCGGCTGTCACCGGTGACTCGTGGGGAAGCTCAAACCGGAAAAGCTCATTCCACACCCAGTCATTCTCGTCTTCCTCACCAACCATCGCGTCCATCAGGCGGCCTTTAGAGCTTGGGAACGATGGCGTGGACGGCCAGAGGCAGTTCGTGCGCCGCACCTCGTCACCGCAGCGGAGCACTACGTAGAGGCCGTCCACGTGAAAGCCGCTGTCCAGTCCGCTGGGCATGTTGCCGTATTGGATTTGCAGGTCGCACACGCGGATGTAGACGTACGCGGTACCTTCCGCCTCGCCGGTGTTGTTGTACATTCGCAAGTGAAAGGGTATCGAAGGAGCACAACGTAGAGGAAGAACTCTACTGTTGTGAAGAACCAGTGTATTAAGAATTATGTGAAAGTACGAGAGCAAAGAGGTGATGGAGAAGAAAAAGGAGTGAGGAAATGATTCATTTTCGTCGTGCAATTTAGCAGCGGTACTGCAAAAGATGTGAGCGAAGAGGCACGGAGCAGACATACGCCGTGGAGTTGATCAGCGCAGCACACGCAGTGAACAGAGACAAAAACAATGTCACGCAGAAGACGGTAAAGCATCGCGTGAAAGTCAAGCGTCAGGGTGACGGACAAATAGGCTCACACGCGACCAACCTTTCTTCCTCTTCTTCTTTGCATTCGTTTAACGCACCGCAATGACAGTAATAAATGTGTGGGCTGAAAGCTGTGTGCGACGGCAACAGATCTCACGCCTTAATCAGCCGCAAGAAAACAGAAACCCCCGCTTACTCACCCACCATGGTTCAGCTCTCTGTATCAGAACCCGTTTATGTGAAGAAACATCAATTAAACAGCACACAAGGCAACGAAATGACGTGGTAGTGTAGTTCAATGCTCCAAACCAACAACGTAGACACACACACACATACACATCTTCATACGATATATATATATATATATAATAACGAGAAGATACCAAACGACTTCTCATCAACTCAGACAAAGGTCATCTGTCCTAAACACCCTTCTTCTTGTCGGTTTGTCGCGTGCCGCGAGCACCGAGGTAGCGCACGACGTCGCTGTAGGTGAGCAGCTCGTGTTTCAGCAGGTGATCCGCCAGCTTTTTCATGTCTTCCTTGTGCTCCGTCAGCAGAGCCAGCGTGTCCGCGTACACCTCGTCCACCAGCGACTTCGCGCGGCGATCAAAATCGTTTGACTTGTTCACGCCGAACGGCTTCACCAGGCGCGTGCTGTTTGTCCCCGGTGCCGGGTACACCGAACCTGGCGAGAAGGACGACACATACTGGTACGCCATGCGACCCACCTTGCGCAGGTCATCTGAGGCACCAGTGGAGAGGTGCCGGAAGAAGATCTGCTCCGCCACCCGGCCGCCCAGCGTGACGCTGATCGAGTCACGGATCTCCTTCGCCGTGCGGGTGAAGTTCTCGTTGGGCAGATACTGCGCGTAGCCGAGCGCAGAGCCACCACGTGGCACAATCGACACCTTCATCAGGGGATCTGCACGATTGAGGAACCAGCCGGCGACGGCGTGACCGGCCTCGTGGTGCGCCACGACGTTCTTCTCGAAGTCGGACATGGCGCGGCTGCGGTGCTCGATCCCGGCGAGCACGCGGTCAATGGACCGCTCGAGGTGACTGATGTCGACGTGGTCAGCCCCTTCGCGCGCCGCCAAGATGGCGCCTTCGTTGCAGACGTTGGCGATGTCGGCCCCCACGAAGCCCGGGCAGAGGTTGCTCATGCGCTCCGCGTAGACGTCGATCATCGCGCGCTCTGCGTCTGACTTTTGCATCAGCAACGCGCGGAAGTCGAAGTCATGCGCGTCGTTCCTGTCGATGGCCGAGGATCCGTCGCCCCTTTCGCTGACGCCGTCCTTGTACTCCGTCTCGAAGGCCTGCTTTTCTGCTTCTACCTGAGAGAGAATAAGGCTGTTGCCCGTCGTGCTCTTCGGTGCATCAGCGGCGGACGCGGGCGACTCTGTCGCCTCCACCGCTTCGTTGGAGGGCTGCTCTTCTTTCTTCCCTTCTTTCTCCTCTTCCATCGTAGTCGCAGTGGTCTCCACTACTGTGGCAGCAGCTGCCGTGTCCACCGCGTTCTTCTCGGCCGACTTCTTGGCGTCGTCGCTGACCAGCTTCAGCTTGCTCAGGTGCACCTTGAAGATGTCGATTCGCTCCGCAATCACCGGTGTGTCGACGTGGATGATGCGATCGAAGCGGCCGGGGCGGATCAGCGCAGGATCGAGCGCCTCTTGCGGGACGTTGCTGGAGGCGAGCACCATCACATCGCCGCGCTTGCCGGTGCTGAAGCCGTCCAGCTGTGTCAGGAGCTCGTTGAGGGTTTGCTCCTGCTCCTGCTTCTCGCCGTGCCCTGCGCCTTGACGCTTGAGGCCGATGGCGTCGATCTCGTCAATATAGATAATGCACCGCTGCTTACGGGCCTCTTTAAACAGTTGCCGCACACGCAACGCCCCCATGCCCACGTAGAGCTCCACAAAGTCGGAGCCGATCGCAGGGATGAAGGCGACGCCGCTCTCCCCGGCCACCGCCTTCGCGAGGAGCGTCTTACCCGTACCGGGCGGTCCCAGCAGCATGGCGCCGGTGGGGATCTTAGCGCCCAGCCGTGTGTAGCGCGCCGGGTGGCGCAGGAAGTCCACAATTTCGGTAATTTCCTTCTTTGGCTCCTTCATGCCGGCGATGTCGCGAAAGCGAGTCGTCGAGGACTTCTCGACGCGGAAGACCATCTCCTTCACCTTCGTCTTGCCTTTCGTAGCCTCGACCGCGTAGCTCATGGACTTGCCGATGTACTGCGAGAGGAACATGACGAAGACCGGGAAGAAGACGAACGGCACCACCCACGCAAAAACACCGACGCCGACAAGGGCCGTCTCAGCGAGGGGGCTGCCCTTCATGGTGACGTCGAGGTCCTCGGGCTTGTCCGCGGCGGAGTGCTTATTCCTGAAGAAAGGTTCGGAGGACGTGTCGTCTTCTTCTTTGTTCGTCTTCTTGTCCTTCTGCGTCAGTGCGGCCGCTTGCTGCTGCTGTTCTTCCTGTACGGCCGTTGCACGCGCCGTGCGGTAGTGCGCCGCCAGTTCGTCGATGTGCCGCTGCGTGTCGTGGTCGTTGATGAGTCCCAGATACACCTTCGCCTCGTCCAGGTACACCTGCAGATAGTTCGTGTAGAGGGCCACCTCTTTGATTTCACCAGCGTGTCTGTTTAAGGACGCCCACCCAATGTGTTTTCCACTGGGCCGTGAGAGCTGGTACAGGGCGACGGTGATGGCGATCATGATGAGCACAAAGAGGCAGGTGCGGGGCACTATCCAGTCCTCCGGTTTTCCTTCGTCCTCATCTCCACCCTCCACCGGGTCGTTGTTGTTCTCGTTGCGGCCTCTGTTTCCTTTCTTGGCATTATTGTTCTTGTTATTGCCTCCGTCTCTGCTCAGCAGGCGACCGTCCTTTTCCTGTTGTGCGTTCGTGAGGCGCGAGTTTCGAACGAGGTGAGAGAAGGAGACCAGAGTAGCCCCTTTGCCTGCCGGGAGTTGCACGGCTGACTTGTGTGAGAAAATGCCAAGACGTGTGTAGAGGTGGTCGAGGTAGCGCACTCGACGCAGCAGCGCCAGCGCATTGGAGACGCGAGAGACAGAAGACGTAGAGGCATCCAAGACGTCCGCACAGACGCCCTTCTCCGCTGGCACGTGCGTGTAGCGCGACTGCAGGACGCTAGCGAAGTACCTCGGCGCCTCAGCCGACAGCGACCGTGTCGCGTTCCACCGCAGTGCCCACGACTTCGATGGAAGGTGCAGCACCGCTGTGGCTGCGGGTGCCACCGCTGGCCCTTCAGAGGCATTCGGCGAGGAAGACGTCGATGCCGCCTGTGCAAAGGAGGTGGCAGAGAAGCGGCTCATGGCGCGGCTGCTGTGGAGAATAGCGGGAGTGTGCTTCGACGCCGGCAGTCTCGCCGGCCACTGTGCACAACGCGCATTACAGCGACGGGAGAGCATCCTTGAATGACGCTGACAAACCGCCGAGGAGTAGAAGATGATCGAGTTATATTCCGCAACACGGTTTGAGTTACTTGTAAAAATGGAAAAGAGTGAAAAAGAAGAAGGAGTGTTGGCGACGTATTATGCGACCAGAATGGGGAGTACCTAGAAAAGCAATGTACACGTTGCGTCGATCTCCGCTGTTGCAGGTGGGTACTGCTGTGAAGCAGCGCGAAACTCACACACACAGGGACCGGTCACAATAGAAACAAGAAAGATAGAGAGAAAAGTATGTCACGAAATGAAGGGTGATAAGAGAAGAGATGGGAAAAGTCAATAGAAATACGGAGGACTCGTAGACCTGGGCCTAACGGACATGCATGTTGCAATTCCATTTGCGTAAATGCAGCTTTTACCGTTGCGTGCGAAACGAATACCTAGGAGACCGTGCCACGACAAAAGTGCGTTGCGGCAGCGACGAAAACACATGGACAACTGAAAGTAATGCAGATCCTTTTTCATTCCTAGTAAAACTGTTAACGAACAGACTACGGGAACGACAATGCAGACAGGAGTGTGCCATCACAGAAAAGAAAAGAAAAGAAAACCGAAACACACACACACACTTGAAGAAAACGTTCTACGTGTACGCTATACGTTTCCATACACGCAAAGCTGAGAACACCCCGGACTGAGCCGTCACGCACAGGAAGCGACGGGCTCTCCGGTGCGTAACGTAGAGCGCTGTGACCTACAACTTCACGGAAAGCACTCCCATTCATGTGGCATAACCCACAAAGAAGTTCTTGTTGCGACGCCGTGTGTGTATGGATGTGGGAAGACGAGCTGTTACGTTGTTTTTTTTTCTTTTCGTCAGAATCAGCCGTCATTCCACGGGGCGTACACAGCTGCGCTGCCTTGTTGTTCTGTTAACAGTAATGCAGAGGAAGAGAGACGGAGATGCACAGGTCTTGTTGGACTGCTTCTCTAGGGTCCACGGTGCAATAGTTGTGCTCCTCAGAAGAAAGTTTTTACAGAGAAATTAGAAAACAAAAGGGTTCGTTCGCAGAAAGCAATTTGTAAGAAGTTAACGATTTCTAGTGCTTTTGGGCTCCTATTCTTCTTCTTGTTTTACCTCTTCAGGAGAGAAGAGACCAACAACGATAACGGAGGTCTGGAATGTACTTCAGCGCACTCTGCTGTACCCACGCTAGCCGAGTGCTCAACATGCGTAAAACATGAAGAAGAAAACATGAGAAAGAAGCAACGTTGGTGCAATTGTTGGCCAGCCCTCCCGCCTCCGCATCCATTCCAAGAGGAAGAGAAAAAAGAAAAGCACAACGTACGAGGGGAACACGAAAAATACCGCAAAGGGAGAGAAAAACTGCAGAGGTCTTCCGACACTTGACCAGGAGGGGGGGGGGGGGGGATTCGGTAATCACGGAGAGAGGAACGGAAAACGCACTTCAAAATAAAACCAATTATTCACCATGCACTCTTCAGCGAATTGCACTGAAATAGCTGCAATGGGAAAACAAAAACAAAGCAAAACAACATTTCAATCTCTCTCGATTTTTTTTCTCTTTTACCAAAAGAATAGTTTTGTGCTTGTTTTCACCAAGTTACGGAATGTACGAAGTAAAGGTAAACGTAATGGTTCCTTTATATCTAAGCAAATATAAAAGAAACAGTACGTTGAAGCGATGCTTGCGCTGCATCGTGAAAGCCATCTTTATTATTTAAAACAAAAACAAAACGTGTACGCTCAGAGTGCGAAACACGCGAATTGAGTCGAAAACACAAAATGAAACTTGCAACACCGTCCGCCAGCGTGGAAGCGAGTGTTACTTGATGAGGGTGCAGCAAGTCGCTAGAAGTAGAAACAACGCGGCCAGCTTGTGGTGATGCTGCCCTTTATCCTGTGCATGCGGGACGTGAATACGGCAGATTTGCCTGAAAACGAACGCAAAACAAAAAACAGCAGCATCGGGGGAGGGGACGGGAAGAGAGAAGAATTAAGAGCAATAACTTCGACACGGAAATCAATAAGTTCAGAAAGCTGCTGGCAAGAAAATTGAATCCATAGAAAACACACACAGCATATAAAGAGAAGAAGCGACCCCGCACGCATCTCTGAACGCCCGCGTGGCGACGAATAAATCTTCACTTTCTAGCTTTTCGGTTTAGAGGCTCACCTGCTTCGTAAAGTCGTCGCTGAAGTCGGTGCCTATTTGGGTGCACAGCTCCGACATTGTGTACCACACATCGAACAGCACCTCCAGCGGACAGGAGGGAAGATGGGTGTTGGAGCTGCGTCGACTGGCGTGACCCGAGACAGTCTCCTTGCTGGGCGGCTCTGTCAGCCGGTGAGGCGTATGCCCGGACGCGGATGATGGCTTGCCAGTAAGCGCATAGTTGGCCGCGTCAAAGAGGGCAACGAGACCAACACCCTTCTTCGAGTCGTCCTGCAGCTGACGAAGCTGGCGGAGCACGCCGTCTGCCATGATCATCTCGTAGCAGGAACGGCGCGTCGTCATGCGAGGACGGGAGTTAATTAGCGTCGAGTCGAGCTGGGCAATGTTCTGAGTGCAGTCGGCCAGCATGGCCGCCATGGTGCCAGAAGAGACGGCTGACAGCGCCCCTGTGAGTACGGTGGCGGCCACGTTGAACTGGTGGATGGTGTCGTGCAGGAGATAGACGTAGGCAAAGAGGGCATCGCGAAGCTCCTCCACGGCACCGGCGGCCGCCGCGAAGTCGTCGCTCAGGGTCTTCAAGGAGGTGTGCCGCTTCTTTGGCGCCACGTGTGCGTCGGTCGACTTCAGAAGGTCCATGAGCGGTGACCGCTGCTTCGGTTTCTTGTAGCTCGACGTCCTCGACGGTGCGACAGCGCAGAAGTGTTCTGCGTGCAGCGGCGCCACCATCGGCGACTGCCCCGCCTGCCCCGACGACCACACCACTTCCTCCGCGCTCTTCTGCGCCGCGGTGTCCCACAGAGCGCAGAAGTCGCCCAGCGTGGCCACGGCGTACAGCAGGAAGCCCTCGTAGGCGGGTGCGAAGCGCGTGCACGCGAGCTGCTCCAGCTGCCGCGCGCTCCCCTGCACAGCCGCCGTGCTCTCCGCCGTCGCGCCCGCCGGCTGCTGCGCGCTCGCCACGCTGCGATAGAAGGTCGCCGCGCCGCGCTCCATCAGGCTCAGCCGGCTCGCGATTTTGTCCGCCACCGCCGCGTCGTACGCCTGCAGACTCGCCGCGGACAGCAGCCGCGCCACGTGCGTGTGGAACTGCGACAGCGACCAGGACAGCTGCCGGTACGACGCGGTGGCGGCCGGCGCTGCGCTCGCGCTGCTGCTGTCCGAGGAGATGTCCGAGGCGGCGGCGCTGGGCGAGGTGGAGAGGCGGGCCAGCGCCTCGGCGCAGCGCTCCACGGCCGCGCCGACGTCTTGGCACCGCGACAGGAGCAGCTGCATGCCCTCGTGTGCGCGCTGCAGCTGCACGCGGGTGTTCGCAAACGGCTTCTACGAGGTCCTGTGCGGCCGCCAGGAGAGCTGCCTCCGAGAGCATCTTGTTCCTCACCGACTGCGAGAGAGAAAGGTGGGGCTCGGGCGGCGAGGAGACGGCAGAACCGGCGGACATGGTGCCGATGAGAATCAAGGTGGAGGGGAGTTAAGGTGGAGTAGGAACTCAAGGCAGAGCGGCACGTCGGGTCCCAAGAAAAAAAAAGGACGGCGAAGAGTCAATGGAGAGACGAAAAAACTGCATGAAGACGACAATCAGAAAGACGCCGTTCTACGTTTCAGCACTAAAAAGACAAGGCAGTATTTATTCCGATGCGTTCGACAGATTTAATGAAAAAGAACGTTTTGTGTTTGTTATTAATGAAGACAAGTGCAAAGGGAGTGGAGGAAGAGAGAAAGAAACGAGCGTATTTTGGTGCGTGTGTGGAACAGCAGAGAAGGAGAGAGAGAGCAAGAGCTGGCAGCTGTCCTGTCCGAGTGTTACTCCGTCGTGTATACGCTGCTGAAAGGCACACCCAAAGAAGATAGCGTTTCACGGAGGCGGCGAAGTTGTATAATACGCGCAGAACGAAAATATCTTTACTGCGGAGAAGAAAACGAGGAGCGGCAAAGAGGAGAAGAAAGCAAAGAAGAGAAGGTGAGGAAGCGCAACGATTCAAAGTGAAAGGAGGTGGGGGGGGGGGAAGTTTTCAATGAGACATATGCACATACGCACTCAGGAGAGGGCGCGATGTGCGAAGGACAGAGAACACTTTCATCCACTCTGTTTTCATTATGATATTTTAAAAACTGCTGCATTGACGGTGAAATGCAGTACAGAGGCGTAGTGTTTGAGAAGGGCGGGTAGTCTGCTCTACTCCTTCGATTCGTGTAACCACTTCATAAGATCGAAATGGAAAAACATTGTTGCTGTGTACGAGCGAAGCGTCGGAAGAAAAAAGACGGAGGGGCCTGTCAATGATGAAAAAATATATATCAACAGCAAGTCACTTGAAAATGAAGAACAAAATGCAATCACGTGACGTACAAAAAAGAATAGCGTGTTCCCTGCCTCATAAAATGAGAGTGACAGGTACACCTACAATAAAGGCCACACACGTTGATGTTCTTTGATAGCATATATATAAATGAAGGGCAGACCCGTTTCAAGCAGCGTGTTATGTATTAGCAGTGTATATATTCGGAGTATCCTTCACCACGAGGTAGGGAAGAGAAGACAAAAATAGAACGTCAAGTACCTTTAAAAATAATTTGATAACAAAAAGAAACCGATTCACACTCCTCGCCTCGAGCCGAGGAGACAGCCGGTGAAAGCTGCTGCAGCAGCTTTCGCAGCACAGGCTCAGAGGGAGAGTTCATGGCCACGCGAAAATGACGGAGTTTGGTATTGATCGTGAAAGTAAAGGCACCAGAAGGAAATGTGTACTGAGAAAGGAGGTTTATTCGAGTAGGCGTAAAAAGCTACAAAGGAAAATGAGAAGAAGCAATACTATGTGCGTTGAGATGTATCCGGTGAACACACACCCACACACGTATGGCTTTGCATTGGCGTTCACAGACACGTTCCCGTTGATACCGGCGCTTCCGTTGCACACGGCAGAGAAGAAGTGAAGGATTGCAAACAGTTTGTCGCCACAGCGTTCGAGCTGCGGTGGACAGGACAAACAAAAGAAACCCTTCCTAGAAGATGAAGTTAATGTGTGACGGCAGAAACGGTAAGGCGCATTCGGGCATTCTTGCAGGTGAGAGCGATGCAGTCGTTTTCTCGCTCGCCGGTACATGCGCTAGCAAACTCCGAGAACGCAGAAAAGAGAAAAAGCCTCCAGTTTATTAAATGAGCCTACCAAGACGGAAGAGAGAGAGGGACAGAGGAGCAGCGCTGCGGTAGCACGTTCAGGCCTCGGGCGTGCCGCCCAGCGTCACGATGAAGTCGCTCACGGAGCTGCGAATGCACAGCAGCAGTTGATCATAAAACCGAATCATCTCCTCCGCCCCCCGCCCAAACACCTCCACCCGCAGCAGCTCAATCGAATCATTCGCCTTCGTCAGCCGAGCACTCCACTTCGCATAGGCGTCCTTATTCTTGGTGCCCGCGTACTTGTTCACGTGCGTTTCTGCATCCCGGGCAAGGCGCACGTACGTCTCCATCACCTCCAGGTTTTTGCGGTAGGTGAAGATCTCTTTCAGCACCGCCTGGAACTCGCGCTTGTGGCGTGCGTAGCGGGCAGTCGTCGATTCCGTCTCCACGCGGTCCATGTGCTTCTTGATGGCCGGCGGGATGGCGTAGCCGGCGCTGCGGGCGAGCCGCCTGCAGTAGCTGAGGTAGAGGCAGAAGGCGATCGCCAGCCGCTCCGTCGAGTTCGCGAGGCGGTCGAAGTAGTAGTAGCGGAACCAAAAGGGGAACTGCTGGTGCACGACGCCCGCCAAGGACGGGGCGACAGATTCCTCGGCGTGGGCCGCCGTCACGCCGCCATCCTCGTTCGGCCGCGTGGAGGACCGCGTTGAGGAGGACGGTTCCTTCGTTTTGCCCGCTGCCCCCTCCGCTCGCGATGACCCACCGGCGGGCCCCGACGTGCTGGAGAGCGACTCCGTCGGAACGCTGCTTCGTGTGGTTGTTGGGAGGCCGGTGTGTGACGCCTCCAGTGGTGCGACCGTCGACGCTGTTGGACTCTTTAGGAGAGCCGTCTGTGCTGGTGCCACCGCTGGTGCCGCGTGCGACGGCCCGCTCGGCACACCGGCGTCTTGAATACTCGGAACGTCGGTTATCGTGCTCATCGGGACTGACGGGTGCGTCTTTGCGTGTTCGGCTTCGTTCGCCGTCGGCGGAGCGGTGGCGTTGAGGAGGTTACTTTTGTGCCGCAGCTTCTGCTCTCGCGTCTTGTCGTCCTCCAGCCGGTGCTGTGCCTCTCGCTTCATCTCCTCCAGCGCTTCATGGGCCTCTAACACGTCCACTGTGAGCGCCACGCTGGGGATCCTCTGATGCGCCGCGTCGCCGTTGGTCGGAGTCGCGGCATCGGAGGTCCCTTGCTCGATGATGTTGGTGCCGACAAGCGTGGCCCTCAGCAGGCTGTTGCACAGGTCAATGTACTCCTGCAAGATGCGCTTGTACACGGCGGGAAAGCACTCCGTCAGGGCCTCCTGCAGGTCGCCTTTGTACTGTGCGAGTTCGACGTTTAGCGCGTCCTCCGCTTTGTGTGCGACCAGAAGCTTTTCGGCTTTCTTCTGCGATGCGTACTTCTTCACCTTCGGTTTCAGTGCGTGGAGCTGCGCCTCCTTCTTTTGAATAATGGCAGCGGTGTCGTAGACCTCGCCGAGCTGCCGTACCAGCTCTGTGGAGAGAACGGCGCTGAGGTTTTCCGCGCCGACGGCGTCGAAGGAGTCGGAGGTCACCTCCTGGGCCGTCTTGGACGACTTGACGGAGCTAGTCGAAATGCTCAAGCGCCGCGGCTGCTGTCCTGAAGAGAGTTCGGAGGCGGATGAGGCCGCCGCCAGGTAGTCCCCCGTGCTGTCCATCATGGAGAAGGTGTCGGACTGCTCCACGGTGCACTCCGACATGGTCGTGTTCGTGTCGATGATGTTCTGCAGAGAGGTGAAAATGGCCTGGTAGCGTGCCAGCTGCTGCGGCTCCGTCGTGAGGAGGCAGGTTTGGCTGAGGTTCTTCACGGCACCGCGCATGACGTGCTGGAGGTCGTGGCAGAAGTTGTTCGGCGCGCGAAAGGCGGAGTGCACGCTCTTGGCGTACTCGACAACGTAGGACATCAGCCGTGCAACGTAAGCAACTATGGAGAAGAAAAATATGTGAAGGTGCGTAAGCTCTGGGAAGAGCGTAAACACCAGAGAAAAAAAAAGTACGGAGAACGTACAAAAATATGTAAAAATCCTAAGTAATAGTATTGAAGAGAAGGAATAATAAAAGGGAAGGCAGCAAAGCTCTTTAAAAGGGAGTTTGCGGCAGTTGGCTGCGGCTTCCACCAAAAGTCCAGCAGGTTTCTCGCGTGATTACGACAGGATGGCGATGCAATGAACGTATCCTTCGCTTTTGCTGTATAGTGTGAGTGCGTGTGTATATGTGTGGGTACAGATGCCGTTGGTTGTGTGAAGTGTGCCTACGATTTATCACGTGAGCTGCGGCGGTGTTGTGCGATCCCCTTCGTCAACACCTCCGTGCGCGAAGCCGCCGTACACCAAAAAAGAAGGCAGAAAACTCATCAAAATGAAACAAGAAAAGGATGAAGAAGTGGGAGGCAATTACATCGGCACACGACACCGACTACTTCAAAGCATCACCAAACCTCGCCTAGCGGAGCAGTCGAATGAGCATAACACGCCAGCCGGTGGTGATACTTCCCTCTGTACAGATACTGCCCTCTCCAATTCAGAAGTTTTGTCCACACAAAAATGCACCTCAGGCTTCGTTCCTGCTTCTATCTTCCTTTCCATATCTCCTGCGATATCAGAAGGAAAAAGAAGTGCTGAGAAGCGGAAATACGCAAAACAGCAGAAAAAAGAAGGGCTGGCTCATCGATTCAGAAAGGCAGGCGATACGGCTTGTGGAGCTACGGAGAGACTCGAAATGCGAACTTACCACGCAAACGCGAAGCAGAAAAAAAACACCCGCTACAGTGGACGTGAAAGAGGGTTTCACAGAGGTGAACAGGGAAAAGCAAGAATCGATAATAACAGAAGAGAGAAGTAACGAAGAATCTTTTGGTAAGAATAGAAGAATCGAGAGGTGCAAAGAGTCCGAGAGAGATGCATTGGCTGAGACCTGATTCCACCCTCCAAACTCGCGATGGACTTCCAACATATTATCTATTCACCCCGCGCAGCGTCCCGCTGCCAAACTTACTCCCTACAACGTCAGGGGACGATGGTGCACTGGACTTGGCGATTTCCTCCTTTTCCATTTTTTCTAATAGGTAGCACTACTAACGAAGTGGCAAACAAGGGTAGTTGAATTGGTTAAACCCAAGGATCCCTGTCGTGCTGGGCAACCACGGGGGTGGGTGGGTGGAAAAGAAAAAACTCAAAAGTTGTGTGAGAACTTTGATTCTGCAAGTCCGAAAGATAAGGCGAAGGAGAAGAGCGAGGAAGAGTAGTAGAGGTAGAAATCATGTCATCAGCAAACGTCGGAGCCGTTGCTCCTCATCCTCCTCGTATCATTCTTACTCTTTTCATCATTCCATTCTTTTCGTAAACTACCAAAAAAAACTGGTAAAGCTGACATAGGATATCCTAAACATTCGACCACAAACATTCCTAAAGTATAATGCAACTGCACTTGCAATGAAACCAGGTATAACCAAAAAAAAAAACAACCGTACAGAGCAAAGAGAGCAAAGGAGAGGGGCTCCACTGTGACCACACACGCACGTGCGAAACAAAGGGGGGGGGTTGAAGAGAAAAAGGCAAGACACTGTTCTTGAAAGCATGAAAAAACACGCGCAGGGGAGAAAGACATAAAAAAAAAGAAGAAGGAAAAACAACTCAGTTTCATGGTGCACATGAGGAGCCAACTTAAGTTAGGACAACGGGTTCCGCCACTTTCGCTTCGACGGGTGTCCCGCACGCAACGAAGCGACCACTGTAAAAGTAAAACAACCTCTCCATACTATTTGTTTTCGTTAAGATAGAAATGGAGAGAGAGAGAGTGCAGTACATTTACGTGAAAAAGGGGGGAGAGAGTACTGTCGCAGCATCAACAAAGTGTCGTTCTCTGCCACGACACTTCTCAGAAAGAAGAATTCGCTGCACAGGACGGCAAAGGCAGAAACGGAAAAAAGAAGGGGGAGCAATGCGTAGCGAACAGAACGTGTGCTTTCTCCACGTGAGCCGTATTCCGTTACTCTTTTTCTTTCTAAATGCCCACCTCTTTTGAGACCTCACTGGCGGCGTCGCTTCCAAGCCGCACAAAGACATCCACCATTTGGAACCACGCTCCATACAGCACCTTCATCGGGCTCACCGTGCAATCACCCGAGCACTCGGACTGGCTGACAGTGACAAAACCGTCACCAATGCGCATTCTTGCCACCATTTTTGCTGCCATGTTAAACGCGCCCGTGCCGCGATCAGCGACGTCTTTGTGACCTCTCCCACGGAACAAATGACCGAGTCGCAAGCCGCCTTTCGTGTCGTCCTGCAGCTGGCGCAGCGGCACCGTCACGCGCTCCTGCAGCAGCGTCTCGTAACACGACCGTCGCGTCTGCCACCGCGCATTCAAGGCGGCCAACATCTTTTCCAGCTTCTGGACACGGAGAGCCGCCTCGTGAACCTTACTGACCTCAGAAGCTGGCAGGGCGCCGCTTAACACCGCCAGAAGTGCCAACGAGGAAAGGCTGAACTCATGAACGGTGCCTTGTAGGAGCCGCACGAATTCAAAGAAGGCGTCGCACATCTCCTCGACAGCGCCGATGGCAGCAGCGAAGCACGCACTCGCCCTATCCGTCGTCGCAGACTGTCCCGTCGTCTGCTTACTGCTGGATGTCTTCGACGGTGCGACAGCGCAGAAGTGTTCTGCGTGCAGCGGCGCCACCATCGGCGACTGCCCCGCCTGCCCCGACGACCACACCACTTCCTCCGCGCTCTTCTGCGCCGCGGTGTCCCACAGAGCGCAGAAGTCGCCCAGCGTGGCCACGGCGTACAGCAGGAAGCCCTCGTAGGCGGGTGCGAAGCGCGTGCACGCGAGCTGCTCCAGCTGCCGCGCGCTCCCCTGCACAGCCGCCGTGCTCTCCGCCGTCGCGCCCGCCGGCTGCTGCGCGCTCGCCACGCTGCGATAGAAGGTCGCCGCGCCGCGCTCCATCAGGCTCAGCCGGCTCGCGATTTTGTCCGCCACCGCCGCGTCGTACGCCTGCAGACTCGCCGCGGACAGCAGCCGCGCCACGTGCGTGTGGAACTGCGACAGCGACCAGGACAGCTGCCGGTACGACGCGGTGGCGGCCGGCGCTGCGCTCGCGCTGCTGCTGTCCGAGGAGATGTCCGAGGCGGCGGCGCTGGGCGAGGTGGAGAGGCGGGCCAGCGCCTCGGCGCAGCGCTCCACGGCCGCGCCGACGTCTTGGCACCGCGACAGGAGCAGCTGCATGCCCTCGTGTGCGCGCTGCAGCTGCACGCGGGTGTTAGAGAGAGCAACGGTTAACTGCTCAACCGCTCCCACGGTGGCATCGGACAGAGTGTACTCCATGATTATGGGTCTGAGGAAAATAGGGCTTCTTCGAGGTCCTTATTTGGAATAAGGGAGAGATCAAAGAAAGGGAAAAACAGATGAGGGAGGGAAACTATTCGGCAAAATATTTGTGAGTTAGGTGAGCGAATCGAGTGGGTGGTGCGACACAGAAAGGAGTCGTCCAATGCGTCCCACTTACGCTTCTCTCTTGTAGAGTTCTGCAGCGCACCACAGAAAAATAAGACACTGATAGAATTGTGGAAATGGAGAGGGGACGCAAAGCAGGGGAGAGAGAAGTTGGTCGCATGGAGAAGTCAGTACGTGACACCGAAGAAACCATATCAGTGGCTTCGTGAGGCTGCTCACGGTCCCTGTTAGAGATCGCGGCACCACTATACTGTTGTGTGTAAGTACGCTTTAAGGATTTGCGGAGAAATACAGGGGGTTCGAAGAGAACCAGGACGTTGGGGGTAGTACCCTTCAGATCTAGCTGTTGTATTTGAAGTGACTCGTAGTAACGCGTTACAAGCGAGATCCAATCGCACAGAGAATTGGTATTAGAAAAAAGAAGACCAAGACAACACAAAAACGAATGATGGCCGGAAAGGAGGAGAATTTATTGGAAAATAAGTGAGAAGAGGAAGGGTGGGGGGGGGGCGGGTCACAGTAAGTCCGCTTCTGCTGATAAAGGAAAAGAAAAAATATCACAAATGAAAAAGGAAGATAGGCGAAAACACTAGCGCGAAGATGCGAAATTCCGGCTAAACAACAGCATCAAAAGTGTTCTTCCTGGGAGGGGAAGAACAGAGCAAGAGCTACGACACCAAAGAAGAGAAAAGAAAGGAGCGTGAGGCGACAGTCGTAAAGAATATTAATCTGAATGCGTCCAACACGCGAGGCGCAAACAAACAAACCACGTACACCGCACGATACGTTGCAGTCGAAGACGCCGAAATAGCCGCTGTGGTGGTGGGCAGTGGAGACCGAAGAAAGCAAGAATAACACAAAGATAACACCGCAGGAAGGGGGGGGGGAAGGAATGTTCTAGGAAAACGATACACACAATTAGGCACCATGCGGGCTGATGGCGACGTCAAACGTACTCATTACAGAACAACAAAAAAACCGATACATTGGAATAAAAGAAGCTCTCGTACACGAAATGGGTTCGTTTTTCTCTGTCAACTGTCGGAAGTCGCAGTCGGGAGAAGAGACGAAGTTCAATGAAAAAAAAGTATCATCTCGTGCGCGCTAGCGTCTACGTGACTCGTGCTACCTGACCGTTCTGCCTTTTCGGAACACTGTATCGGCGGCGCTGATGGGATGAGGAAGAGGATAAAATGGATCGAACGGTGCGCCACCGTGGGCGTGGAGTCGGGTGCACATCCGCATCCGCAGCTGCCGTCCGGCGTTCGTTCAGGTGATCTTCTCTTATCACCGCTGGTGAGTTATTGCTTAACGGTGCAGTGACTCGACCCTCGTCTGCGTTGGCGGCCCGTCGTTGCGATGGCGGCGCAGACTCACCGGATGGCACCGATGGCGGTGGCGGTGGAAGATGCCACAGCACTTCGTTTACCTCATCATCGCTCCCGTAGTTCTCACACACCTGCGGCGGCGGTGAAGTCTTCGCTGGTTTTCGCCTCATTGGGATCTGTGAAGGGGCAGGCGGGCTGAGGGGTGCCCGATGTTCCTTCACGGCATCGGCGCTGGTGGGGCTGCATGCTGTCGTCCACACATTGAACCCATCCGTTATGGTGAGTGAGGAGAGGAGGGACAGCCGCTCCGTCGAGTCCTCAGTTGCGCAGCAAGGCGACGCAGCGCAGGCGGGGTGGTAGTGCACGGAGGAGGTGCTGTCTTCCATTGCACAGAAAGAAAGCAAGAGAAAGGTGCTAACCTTCGCTGCGTGGGGAGGTAGAAAAATGCGGATCAGCGAGGAGGCGCAGTCCCTTCGGACATTTAGTCGTCGAAAGCGTTGGGAGGCCGCTCGGCATAAACTGAAGACCACGAAAGAAACAAAGAAACAAAGAAGTAAAAGACGGAAGCTGAGTAGATGCGGAAATCTAACAGAAAGAGAGAGAGAGGGCAGAACACTCCATCATCGAGGCGCTCGCCACACCCCAAACACACCGCAACGTCCTCGACAGACGATGCAGCTACGAAAGAGAAACGAAGGCGGTAGATGTTTCCCTCGAGGACTTATGCAGTAGAGGAATTGCGTCACTTTTTTTGTTTCCTTGGGGTTTTCGTGTGTGTGTTTGGGTACGTGTTGCTGAGTGCACGACATCGAAGAAGAATGCTCTGATCTGAGTTTGTTTTCTTCGTAACCAACACCTCGCCTGCGGTCCGTCAACGCAACGGAGGTAAACAAACAAACAGAGAAGAAAACAAGCAATTGACGTTGGCGTCCTTTTTCTTCTTTGCTTTGGCTGCGCATGGACGTGGATCGGAGAGATACGTTGCACAGCATTCATGAACACGGTGGTCCGGCTTTCCGCTGTGCAAGAGAGAGAGAAGCCGACATACCTACATCAAGTGGTGCTTGGGTGGAGGGGTAAAGGCTAAAGCACCATCGTCGGTCGCAGCCTGGTTGCGTGTGCCCTCGTTAGCCGCTGTGCTCAATAACTTTCACACGGGGAAAGAGGCCGCAGTCCGAGCAAATCCCGGCAGCCGGTTGCATTGGCTTGTTATCAGTGCAGAGCACGGATGCAAGAGACAAACCTGACGAAGGCTTTCTTCTCATGAAGTCAACTCGTGATGCCTCCGCAGCGCGGAAAGAGCGCTGACGCCGTTCAGCGTCACATTAAAGGAGAGGCCCCGGCGCCGTGCAGCAGAACACAGTTGCCTAAAGCACCGAGCCCTCCTTCAGACCACACAGCGGTGCTATCATCTTCTCAAGACTTGGAACACCGGCAAGGGAAGAGAGAGGCGTCACAGACTGCCATCATGCGAGACATCAACGCCCGCCAGCTGCGGACTTGCATGAAGTATACCCAATCGACGAAGATCGCACGCAGGTGTTATTTCCCCCTTCTACTTCTCTGCGCTCCGTTGACGGCACATCGCATTCTTCAGCGACACCAAAGGCTGGCCCGCCGGCGTGACCAGCCAAAACAAAAACGGAGTGGGATGTTGCAAAGAAGCATCAAGTCAGCGTAAGGGCACAGAACTGATGAGGACCGCCCATGCTGCGCCTGCAGTGCTTGATTGCTTTCAAGCATCGCCACTTCTGCGTACCGTTCACAACAGAGGGACTAGTCGGTGCTGAGTCGTAGGACTCGTCCACATCCGTCAGTCGTGGACACGCACACAGACGCTATCTCGGACTCTGCAAACCGCACCGAAAAGCGGTCACGTTCCTCCGCTGCACCGTAACACAGGCGCCACGGTCAAGCACCGCAGGTGCGCCAATCGGAGCCTCGCTCGCTCGTCGTCAATGAAAAGCACCTCTACGGTGGAAAGCGTAGATGTGGCCTCTGCAGCGGTGGTAGGACATGGACTTCACACAAGCACTCAATACGGCAGAAACTCCCGTGGAGAAGACCCGAAATGCGACTGCTTCAGTGTCTTCCCACCAGTGATTTTTTCTGTTCGTTGTTTTTTCTCTTTCATCGATTTGATTGCCGCCGGTCCCTTCAAGCACATCTGCGCTGCACAGACGGTGTAGCACTCCTACGAGGTGCAGCGTTCATCAGACTAACCCCTGAGAGGTCCATCTTCTCTGATGTCGGTCTCCAACATCAACAAGGGCAGTCCGCCACGTTCCGCCACGCTTCAGAGAGAGCGTGGGCGCTGAAAAAAAAAAAAGAAGCAGATGTCGTCTTTCCAGCGTAGACGCCGCCCACAATGGCCTGGGGAGGAGGCGGGAGGAAGAGTCTTGTGGAAGACGCAACGCTGAGCACCCCATAACAAAGACCACGTGCGAGAGTGGGTGAGAGAGGTGAAGGACACCGTTTCAGCCACGGTGTTGGCTGCTGCGGCAGGGTCGAAGTAACACAGGCCACAGTTGGGCAGTTCGTCGCGAGATGCAGCGCGCCGTTTCGAAAGGTGCGCTGCTGAGCTCTGCCGTTTGGTTCGCTGATCGCGTTGCTTCTCTCATGGTGACTACGCTGTCCATCAATTATGAGCAGTGTTCGAGCAGCCGTCGCGCAATTGGGCTGCATTGCGCTGCACAGGCCGTTCGAGGAAGAGGAAATGCATGTTAAACCGAATATAAGTTATTTAAAAGAAAAGATGCAGAGCATAACCTGAAGTAGACTACTGCACCAGGAGCGAGCTGAATCAAAGGTCTCAGATGGCGAGTCTTCTCAACAATCTTGGTCCGTTGTCTGTTAAAGATCCCATACGAAAGCATCTTCTGGGAAAGGCAGCGCGTCACGTAGCTCCATAAGAGAAAACAAGATTCAAAGCCCCAGAAATACGTCTCTTCGCTTTCCAGTAGAGAAAGGGCCGCTTCCTGACTTCCACGACAAGGTATAGTTCTTTGTTTTCTTTCGTTTCTTTTCCTTTTTTTACTTCCACTTCCGCTGGGCGCTGGGAGAAGGTTGTATGCCGCTGTGATGCTGCAATTTTCATTCGTGGCTGGAGTTCGTGTTCACACATTTACTAGTTGTTAGACTGCAGATAAAGGCAGCTGTTTCTCCTGTGCATCGCTCGAACAAATTAACGTGATTACACACCGTGTATCTGAAAGGAGAAAAAAAAAACAATATGAATAGAATATTGAGTGCACTGCGAGGAGGAGAGGTACGTTGGTGCGTTCCGTATCGGCACCGCAAATCTCGCGCGCAGTTGATCGAGATCAGCACAAAGGAACGCGTTTACAGTCTGGGTCAGGTGTTCAGAAAAGCGAAAAAAGGGAAAAAATGTACCTTAGACAAAAAACAAGGGAGTTTAGGGTGCTCCGTAGCGCACCAAACGATTTATGAACTCGGCGATGTATCCAGAAACAAAACGATATACTTACATATATTAATCTGTATAGACTCTTCCTGCAGAAAGCAGAAGCAGCTGAAACAGAAACACACACCATCCGAGATTGGTGTGTTGTTGACGGAGACGGGAAGACGTCAAGAAAAAGGTCCTTTCCATGACCAAGGGGAAGAAGAAAAGAAGAAGAAGGGCAGGAGAAGAGGGAAACGGTTCCACACAAAAACCAAAAAACGCGGAAAAGGCACACAAAATAGAAACAAAAACAAAGGCGTATCGGGATGAATGACTGATCCGTCCATCGCAAAAGAATCAATACATTTCAATCCAGGGCTACATAACATAGAGAGAGGGCAGAAGTACGCGGAGTACTCAGAACACCTTTTTCTAGCGGAGCTTCCGAGCAGAGACGTATTCCAACCCAGGCCCCCACACTCTCAAAAACATGAAAAAAAAACTCAATGAACATCACGCAGCAACTAATGGGTTACCATCGTGTGGAAGTGACGTTGGGAGGTCGGGATCCACGCGTCGCTGTCACTCACAGCACTGCTCACAGCCGACTCCACTTCATCGCGACAAAACAGTCCACAGCAGCGGACCATTCGCATGAGGTGCGGCACGATGACTTCTTTCTGGGTCAGTTCTCCGCGCACCAGCTTCGAGTATCGGCGGTGCAGGATGTACGCGGGGAAGATGGAGGAGAACACGAGGGCCACGTAGATGCCGACGGCGCGATTCATGCAGCGGCGCTGGCCAATGCACAGCTCGCCCAGTGGGGTCAGCATCGTCTCGTTCTTGTAGGTCAGGTACCACGAGCACCAGTAGCACAGCACGAAGCCCACCGCACCCGCTAGAAAGCAGAAGCCGTAGTGCATGCCCAGATCGCGGTCGAAGATGGTGCCAAGGATGTAGGGCGTCACACTGCTGCTGACACCGTAGAAGGCGGGGCCGATCAAATACGCGAGGACGAGCACCTTGTCACCGGGCAGCGCGATCCAGAAGATGACGCCGACAAGCAGTCCAATCGAGGTGATGGGGTAGAGAAGGGTGGGGACGACAGCCGCACCGGTGCGCTCACGGATGACCTGTAGCATGCTCTCGTACACGCCGAGGAACACGCGTCCGCCGGCGGTGCACACACCCGCCATGGCAGCGAAGAGCATGTAGTGCTTCTGCTGCATCCCGCCGTAGCGTGCCAGCAGCATGATGTAAATGTTCCAGTTGCCCACCATCGTAAGCCCCACGCCCCACACACACATCGTCACGTAAAAGATCAGCCACGTGTCCAGATACGTGAGGCTCTCCCAGAAGGTGGTCTGGTACACCGGGGCGACGAAGACCTCACCGCACAGGGTGATCACCTCAACTCGCGGCTGCTCAAACGAGAAGTCGGCGGTTCGCTCTTCTTCCGTGTGTTCTGCCGCTCGGTGTGCCGCGTCTCCGCCGATCTCGTGGCAGTGCGGTACGGTAGCGGAGCTCAGCATCAGGTTCCCACGGTCGTCGAAGTTCAACAGGTAGGAGGTGTCGTGCGTCTGTTTGCCATCGGCGAGCTCCTCGAGCTGTGGGGTGGCGGATGCGGAGACGGCGGCAGCATGGGGACACCGCCTCGAGACGCTGAGGGACAAGGAACGCCGCGGTACGTTCGGGGAGTGCCGCCGTGCGCTGCTGAGGGGGGAGATGCGGTTTTTGTCCAGCTGCTGCGCACCCTTCTCCTCCCCCGCTTCATCCTCGTCCAGATCAACGGAGATGAGAGACCGGTTCGGGACGGTGAGTTTGTACAGCGGCAGACCCAGGTGCTCCGTCAGCGCACCACCGCCTGTGCTACGCCGACGGTGATGGTGCTGCTGCGCAGAAAGCGCGGAGGACTCGTGATGAGGCAGTGGAGGGGCGGGTACGGTGGTGGTGCGGCAGGTCTCCGCGCCCTCCTTCAACGACATGGAAGGCGCCGATACACTGCACGTACGGAGAGGAGCAGCGTTGCTGCCGCTTTGCTCAGCTGCACGCTCATCATCATCCATAGCACCGACCCGTACCTCATCGGAGTGATAGTCGCTTTTAGAGGTGAAGGGATTGTCTGAGGGCTTTACGTTCTCACCGTCGCGTGTGCGGCTCGTCGGCTCATGCGCCTGCCGCGAGTGACGGCCCGCGTGGCAGGTGCGTTGCGCGTGCATCTCACGAATCTCGCACTCCTTCGCCTTGGCGGCCTCAATCACCTGCTTATCCTGCTCCGTGGGGCCGTCCACCTCCTCAAATGGTACCACCAGGATGAGACACAACAGAAGGATTACGATCGCACCTATGGCGATGCCACGCCGCTTGCCGTCCGTCATCTGATCCGCAAGGTACGAGACCACCACCGCCTGAATCGTCACGTAGAAGTTCAGGAGAATCAGGATCACCGTCATGATTAAATACCGCCGACCCGGCACCAGCTGCGACATGTAGCGGTTGCGGATGAGGTACTTGCGCAGCTGCTGACGCGGCGTGATGTTGCGCTGCTGCCACCGGTTCACCATGTAGGGGGCGTCCTCCAGGTACCACGTGCCCACCACACCCACAGCCACCACCACAGCAAACATGAACCACATCACGTTCTCGAAGTTGTTCTCGAAGAAGCCGCGGAACAGGCAGGAGAAGAAGGAGCTGCCAAGGCCGGAGAAGGTCATCAGCAGACCCGTCGGCTGCCCACGGTCACGCGGCATGTGGGTCAGCACGGACGGCAGCACAACGACATTCAGCGCGTAGCATCCCCAGCACATGAGGCCGTAGAAGATGGCGCAGTGCGGCACCGTGACATCGATGTGGCCGCCGAACATCAGCGCGTACAGCAGGTGCCCCAGCGCGGCGATGATCGAGGCGGCAGCGACGGCGAAGCGGGGGCCGAACCAGTCGTACAGCATGCCGAAGGGGAACACGAACATGCCGAAGGCCTGGCCGCTCAGGTACACGACGGCCATCTGCCGCACCGTGAACCGGTAGGCGACCTGCAGGTAGAGCGTTCCGAAGAGGGAGTGGATGCCTTGCGTGGAGCTGGAGATGAGAAGCAGCAGACCCACGAAAAGAATGCGGAAGCGACGCAGGTTGTCCACCTTCTTTGGATGAATCAGAAGCGCATCGCGGTCCAGATCCGACTCCGTGGTGGTGTCTGATGCTCCCATGGCACAACCTGACTTATGCAGCGGCGGACTGACACCGTTGCTGTCAGTGCGATGTGGAAAAGAACCGAGCTCCATTGCCGCATCGTCGTTGTCAGCAAGGCGCTTCGCTGAGCTGTATTCAGAGTGGGTGGTGTTGGTTGTGGGTACAGGAGACTCGCAGCTCTGCGCTTCAACTGGTTGTGGTCCGGTATGACGAGTTTGCAGTGGTACAGGAAGATTCGATTGCGCCTCCTTCTGAACATCCTCACAAAATGCGGTGACATCGGCGAGACGACCGATCCCAGCGTCCCGGGGTACCGACGGAGGTAACGGAACGTCATTGGACGTGGGGGTGACCCCACCCTTTACCTCCCCATCACCCTCCACAGCGGCGGGATGGACAGAGCTGTCTGACACTCGATGCATCGCGTAGGCCGTAACACACACACACACACAAACGCACAGAGAGCAAACAACGAAACAGTGACAAAAGCACTAAAAGAAGAGCAGGCAGCGTATTGGGGCGCCTTTCCCTGAAACGGAGTAAAATACGACGGTGTACGTCAGACCAACGTGCCAGAAGCGGTTACAGAGAACTAAACCTCAAAGAATGCAAAGAACGAAACGTAAGGAATGCGGAAAGAAGAGCTGCAGAATTCGGACGTTCCAGAAAAATGACAAAGAATACAATAACGACTTGGATATGCGTAACAGGCAAAGCGACAAATACGAAGGCGCGAAGAGGTGATGTGCTGTCACTGCTCAAAATCGGAGTAGTGTCCAAAGGAGTCAACGGAGGTCCCGTGAGGAGTATTCCGGTCTTACAGGCCCGTGCAGACTCTGTGTGGTGGCGGCGCTGCAACGATGGAGCCCGCGAAGACACCACGAAGGTGAACTGCAAAAAAATACAGACGTTAACTGAACGAAAGAAAAAAGAGACCGGGCCGTACAATCAAACGGAGCCAACTTTCAACGGATGGTGTGTCGTCGCCGATGGAGGAAGAAGGAAGAGCGGGAGAGAGAGGCGGACGATAGTCGAGGGCAGCAGATAGGCGTTTGCGGTGCCTGTCCTTGTCGGCACACTGGACACAGCGCCACCGTGCGCGGCGGAGCTCCAAGGTAACCGCCCTTCGTGTGCCCACTCCATGCGGGGACCGGAGGCACACGGTAATCACGCACCATAGGCACAGTCCTTTCAACGCCGTTGTTGCGGTTGCTGCTGCTGGAGTTACGGAGGTCTCGCAAAGAAGCACTACGCGGAGAGGGCACACACATACCAACACATACCACATACGCAGCAGCCCCTCTGCAGCGCTAATCCTAGGGGAACACCGTTATATTAGAGAACGCACCATAATAAGAAGAGAAAGCAAAGGAACCCGATTGCAATACCACGACAAAGCCCGATGCTGAGTCCCACCACCCCTCCATCTAGCCGGTGTGCCTTCCAGTGCACAAACTCAGCGAATGAGATGAGCCGTCAGCAGGGGTATGAAAGGGCCGGGAACCCAGCACAGGCGCTAACATCGTCGTTCCGTGGCTCGGAAGATAGGGTCAACAGCAGAACCAAAAGGCATCCGGTGCCGACAGCAGCGAAGAAGGTGCCGAAGCAATCGATGCTGTCAACGGGTGCATCATGATTACAGAGTTTCTGACCCCACAGATATGCTCAACGCGGAAAGTGCTGTTCTTTCTCTCTATCCAGAAAACTATAAATTGACGAAGGGGAAACGGCAGAGGGGAGAAGGCAACTTAAACAAAAGAGCATGTTAGATTAAATGTTGATTACCCCAAGTCTGCATTCGACAGCATTGATGCCCACCGGATAAAGGTGACTGCGACATTGACAAAGAAACAATTCATGCATCTCAAACAGTCTTCTACAGCACAAGTATCAGTAAAGAACATCATTCACAGCTCAGGATTTAAAACGGAGAATGAGGATTGCTATTAAGTACAAAACGAAAAGAAGGAGATTACCTGAGCTAGAAGCGTTACCACAATAAGCATGGCAATTTCCGACGATGTGACCCTACGCGTGGCCGCTGTGGCCGTGCGTATCAGTCGTTGCAGAGACAGTTGCCCTTCTCTCGCTCACACCTTATTCGCCACCTCGTTGTTGTCACCGTCACTGTCACCACCGTGGGGAGCCTTCACACCCTGCTCCCCACAACAGCCGGACCCGCACAGCGCCAGCATCTTCTTGATGCGGGGGACGATCACGCGACGATGAACCAGTTTCCCTCGCACCAGCTTCGAGTATCGGCGGTGCAGGATGTACGCGGGGAAGATGGAGGAGAACACGAGGGCCACGTAGATGCCGACGGCGCGATTCATGCAGCGGCGCTGGCCAATGCACAGCTCGCCCAGTGGGGTCAGCATCGTCTCGTTCTTGTAGGTCAGGTACCACGAGCACCAGTAGCACAGCACGAAGCCCACCGCACCCGCTAGAAAGCAGAAGCCGTAGTGCATGCCCAGATCGCGGTCGAAGATGGTGCCAAGGATGTAGGGCGTCACACTGCTGCTGACACCGTAGAAGGCGGGGCCGATCAAATACGCGAGGACGAGCACCTTGTCACCGGGCAGCGCGATCCAGAAGATGACGCCGACAAGCAGTCCAATCGAGGTGATGGGGTAGAGAAGGGTGGGGACGACAGCCGCACCGGTGCGCTCACGGATGACCTGTAGCATGCTCTCGTACACGCCGAGGAACACGCGTCCGCCGGCGGTGCACACACCCGCCATGGCAGCGAAGAGCATGTAGTGCTTCTGCTGCATCCCGCCGTAGCGTGCCAGCAGCATGATGTAAATGTTCCAGTTGCCCACCATCGTAAGCCCCACGCCCCACACACACATCGTCACGTAAAAGATCAGCCACGTGTCCAGATACGTGAGGCTCTCCCAGAAGGTGGTCTGGTACACCGGGGCGACGAAGACCTCACCGCACAGGGTGATCACCTCAACTCGCGGCTGCTCAAACGAGAAGTCGGCGGTTCGCTCTTCTTCCGTGTGTTCTGCCGCTCGGTGTGCCGCGTCTCCGCCGATCTCGTGGCAGTGCGGTACGGTAGCGGAGCTCAGCATCAGGTTCCCACGGTCGTCGAAGTTCAACAGGTAGGAGGTGTCGTGCGTCTGTTTGCCATCGGCGAGCTCCTCGAGCTGTGGGGTGGCGGATGCGGAGACGGCGGCAGCATGGGGACACCGCCTCGAGACGCTGAGGGACAAGGAACGCCGCGGTACGTTCGGGGAGTGCCGCCGTGCGCTGCTGAGGGGGGAGATGCGGTTTTTGTCCAGCTGCTGCGCACCCTTCTCCTCCCCCGCTTCATCCTCGTCCAGATCAACGGAGATGAGAGACCGGTTCGGGACGGTGAGTTTGTACAGCGGCAGACCCAGGTGCTCCGTCAGCGCACCACCGCCTGTGCTACGCCGACGGTGATGGTGCTGCTGCGCAGAAAGCGCGGAGGACTCGTGATGAGGCAGTGGAGGGGCGGGTACGGTGGTGGTGCGGCAGGTCTCCGCGCCCTCCTTCAACGACATGGAAGGCGCCGATACACTGCACGTACGGAGAGGAGCAGCGTTGCTGCCGCTTTGCTCAGCTGCACGCTCATCATCATCCATAGCACCGACCCGTACCTCATCGGAGTGATAGTCGCTTTTAGAGGTGAAGGGATTGTCTGAGGGCTTTACGTTCTCACCGTCGCGTGTGCGGCTCGTCGGCTCATGCGCCTGCCGCGAGTGACGGCCCGCGTGGCAGGTGCGTTGCGCGTGCATCTCACGAATCTCGCACTCCTTCGCCTTGGCGGCCTCAATCACCTGCTTATCCTGCTCCGTGGGGCCGTCCACCTCCTCAAATGGTACCACCAGGATGAGACACAACAGAAGGATTACGATCGCACCTATGGCGATGCCACGCCGCTTGCCGTCCGTCATCTGATCCGCAAGGTACGAGACCACCACCGCCTGAATCGTCACGTAGAAGTTCAGGAGAATCAGGATCACCGTCATGATTAAATACCGCCGACCCGGCACCAGCTGCGACATGTAGCGGTTGCGGATGAGGTACTTGCGCAGCTGCTGACGCGGCGTGATGTTGCGCTGCTGCCACCGGTTCACCATGTAGGGGGCGTCCTCCAGGTACCACGTGCCCACCACACCCACAGCCACCACCACAGCAAACATGAACCACATCACGTTCTCGAAGTTGTTCTCGAAGAAGCCGCGGAACAGGCAGGAGAAGAAGGAGCTGCCAAGGCCGGAGAAGGTCATCAGCAGACCCGTCGGCTGCCCACGGTCACGCGGCATGTGGGTCAGCACGGACGGCAGCACAACGACATTCAGCGCGTAGCATCCCCAGCACATGAGGCCGTAGAAGATGGCGCAGTGCGGCACCGTGACATCGATGTGGCCGCCGAACATCAGCGCGTACAGCAGGTGCCCCAGCGCGGCGATGATCGAGGCGGCAGCGACGGCGAAGCGGGGGCCGAACCAGTCGTACAGCATGCCGAAGGGGAACACGAACATGCCGAAGGCCTGGCCGCTCAGGTACACGACGGCCATCTGCCGCACCGTGAACCGGTAGGCGACCTGCAGGTAGAGCGTTCCGAAGAGGGAGTGGATGCCTTGCGTGGAGCTGGAGATGAGAAGCAGCAGACCCACGAAAAGAATGCGGAAGCGACGCAGGTTGTCCACCTTCTTCGGGTAGATCAGGATGGCCCCACTTGCCGGGTCGAGTGCAGCGGTAGCGTTCGGGTCGTCCACCCCGCTCTGATACGCGGCGGCGCCCACCCCTCCGCCGTTGGGCTCCGCAGCGGCCTCATGGAACGGCGGGGACGCACGAGAGGGACTGCCCGCCGCACGGTGCTGTTGAGGGATCACACTCTCCGGGTACAGCGGCGACCGCGGCGTGACGAGCTGCTGAATGGCGACATCTGTCTCCTGCCGAGGCGCGGTGGAGATGGTGTACTGCTGTGAGGCGGTGCGGTTGGCAGACTGTCTCTTCCCTCCCTTCTCGGAAGACGCGGCAAAGGACACCTTGAGCTCCCGCTTCATTGGTGCGTGGCCACGGACAAAGGCGGTGCAACACTGCTTCGATCACTGCGGCTGCTCCCGTGCACAGCACCGTTGCTGAACCACGCGAGAGCTGTGTGGATGGAAAAGGTGAGGGGCTCGCACCGCTAGACAGATAGATGTAAAGAATAGCAACGGATCTCGTGGGGAGTGCGGAGTAAATGAAAATCGACGAGGCCGCTCGCTGGTATTTCTTGGTGGCTTTTAGTTTAGTGAAGAAAAGTTCCAAAGTGTTTTTTGAGGGATAAACGACTAAAGCGAAGGAAAAAAGAAGAATAAGGGTAATACCACTATACGTAACTGTGTGGTGCGTAGCAGGAAAAGTCGAAGGAAGGCGGTAGGACACCAGGGAAGCAAGAGTAAGTTGTGATGGGACGGATGGGGGTTCAGCTATTGACGCAAGCCAAAAGCAACCAGGAGGTCGTGTCAGCAATGCAGAGACGCATGGCGAGGTCACACTTCGCATGCGAGAACGCACCTTCCAAATGCTTCGACAGAACACAGCTGTTCCAGAAACGTTGTTTTGTGTTTGTCGCCGTTTCCCTTGGTGTTTGCCCACATCGCCTAACGAAGCGCATGCGCGTGGCCACGCTCATCCAGTTCAGCAGGTTTGTCAACCCGCAGTCGAAGCGAGGACCATCAAGAGCGAGGAAAACAGAGTAGGTGGAGAATCTATCAACAACAACAAGTAATCTCTAGGCGCCGGCAATAGAAGTCGCATAGCCCATTGCTTGGCGGGGAGGGTCAAGAACACGGCTTACCTCGTCCGTTACCAGTAATGCGCCACTATTACTGCGCAGCTGGAAGCGCATAAAACACAAGGAGATCCACCCCTTTGTAACACGAGTAGCCACAGCACCACGCAGGAGTGGCCAGCGTGACTCTCGAAGAAACCATGAGACAAGCACACAGGAAAAACCCCCGTCGGCTCACAGTACTAGTCACAAAAACCTTCTCAGCTTGGTGGCCGCACTTCAGTTCGTTGAGCATCCTTACTGCACAAGGTCTCTCACCAGGTCGCGCCACCGCCCTAACGTTTCCACAAACGTCGGCATCACCTCACACAACGCATCCGGCTGGCAGTACTTCACCGGCAACGAGGTAGTCAAGACAACGATGTTGTTCTTGGTTGACACACCGATGCCGCCACCGCATACCTCACGACCCAGCAGCGAGCCTTCAAGGATGACTTCGTACAGCTTCATGCGGACTTGCGTGTCGGCGGGCAGCTCGGTCAGCAGGGTGGAGTAGAGGTACAGCCGCTCCGTCGCCGGGTCGTAGGTGAGCAGTATGGAGAAGTCCTCGTCCGTCCCCACGACGCAGGTCAAATTCTGGTCAAAATGAAAAGACGCGTGCAGCTTACCGGAGAGAAGCCGCAGGCTCTCCTTCGCGTTGACCAGGCCGTCCGCGGCGACGGTGGGGGCTGTGTCGAGCCCCAACGCATCGGACCGCCGTGCCTGCGCCAGCTGGTGCTCCAACTCCGCGTTTCGTGCGTTCGCCGCCTCGAGACGACGCTGCAGGTCTCGCAGCTGCTGCGGCGGGGAATCGGCGTCTTCTCCACGCGCCCCTGCTACCGCCGTGGATTCGGTCAGCTCCGTCCTGCGAGGTGGCTGAAAACCAGATGTGCCCGTTGCGTAAGGGGAGGAGGCCGCGCGTGACTGCGCGTTGCCCTGGTCTGCGTACGACGGTCCCTGTGGACGGCCGGCGGCCGAGGGGGCGTCGCCCAGGGATTTGGTGGGGGGTGCCGAGTGAGATGAAGGGACCGGGTCCCGGAGATGCAGTACCCCTTCGTTCTGGAGGCCGAAGTGCTCGCCGAGCATGTCGTCTTCTAAGATTAACGACCCGGCGAGGATTTCTTGATTATCCGGCACGCCGTAGGACTTGAGGTAACGGCGGATCTTGCCGACGCTAAGTTTGCCCAGGTCTCCTCGGATGACCATCTTGAACTTGCGTCCATCGGTGCTCTCCACGTAGAACGCCTGCTTGTCGTCCATGGTGCTCGTGGGCGTGGCGGTGGATGCGGTTCTACGTAAATGGAACAGGTAACAGCAGAAAAGGAGCCTCCGCTGCGATAGATTCTCTTTTTCTTCAGAGCGGGTGCGTTTAAAAAAAAAAGTATGAAATGTCAAAAAAAGAAACAAATCAATACGTCTATCGTTGTGTTCCCACAATCCGTACGATAAAAGGAGGTGTTGAGAGAGAGACGGGACCAACAAGCTAACGGTCATACATCGGCGTAAGGCAATGGACAGCGCATTACGACGGTGCATATATATATATGGTTGTTGTGTACGCACAGGAAGGAAGTTGGATAAAGACAGAGAGATGCTGGTACCTGACAAAACAGGGTCTTGTTCTCTACCCACGCAGAACACCGCGAGTTTAGAGAGCGGCCAGAGTACACCAGCGACGTGACAACAGCAAAAAGCAGCGTCATCGTAGACTGCTCGACGTAGGTGCGTACTTTTTCCAGCGCAGAGACGGTCGTGGTCTGCTGACAGCAACGCCGTCTTCACCGTTTGGATGCGGTGAGAACCAAAACCGCATTAGCGAGAGAACACTTTGAGCGGTCATCGGAGGATAGAGATCACGTTTCGCGCAGCGCCGTTTCGATTGAAAGAGATAAAAAAGAGTTTTTGGAAACTTGCTCAAACAAAAGCCCATCGAAGAAAAGCAGTAGAGCAACCGCTGAGTGTGAACGGTATACAGAGAGGCCAGCAAAAAAGGAAAAGAACAAAAAAGTTCCAACGTACATGGGCACGCAACACTTCGAAGCCGAAAGCCGGTGTTGAGTTGCCTGTTCCTCTCGCCGATCATGTGCGTGCGCTCTCATGTTACGTGTCCCGTCGCAACGCTGTTCAACCAGAAAAAGCGGTCCGCTCAGAGAGAATGCACACGACACATCAGAACACGTAATGTGAGAGTTGGTTGTGTATAAAAAGTACAACGCCGCGGCGTTACAACAGCGGGGCGCAGGAAAACGTCTTCGCCAGTAAGGAAAAAATGAGGGAGAGGAAAAAAAATGCGGCCGCAGCGAGGCAACGACGACAGGGGCATGTGAGACGGTGCAGAAGGCACAGCGTAGAGGGAAACAAACATTGTTAATCGGAGGAAACAGCTACCACAACAATAACTATGGTAACGAGGGAAAGAATCAGCGCTGCGTGCGTTGCACAAGAAAGCGAAGAAACACAACAAAAGGAAACAGGAGAACCCGCGCACAGATCTAAGAAGAGCACGCACGTTTTTTTTTCTTCCCATTTTATCGTGATACGGAGGAGAGCTTTCACGGCGCCGATACCATTCGAAGAAGGCCTCTTTGTCTCTGTCAAAAGAAGGGCAGAGCGCACACACACATGTGGGCATCGATTGTCTTTCCATGGCGCGCCATCGGCGCTGCGTCAATCTCCGTCGAGGTCATCTGGTACGAAAGACAAGGGGCACTCCTGCGGTTGGAGGTGGCACAACGGTGACCGCCTCGCTGGCCCTCCCTTGCATGGGGCCACCGGCGTCGTCTCGGTGCTCCGCCGAGGTCAGCAGCGAAGGCGACGACGCCGCGTTGCGCGTCAAAGTTTCTGCGTTCGCCGTGACGGCGGTGGCGGTTCGGGTGTTAGAAACGGATGAATTCGTTGTCGTCGTCTGCGGATGCCGTGCGCTCACGGAGGAGGGAGGAATAGAGTGGGCCGCAGGCACGGTGGGATCCGCGTGCACTGCCGTCAGGTGGTTCAGCGATGGGTCTTGACGCAGCTCTGAAGGTGGCAGCGCCGGTGGCTGAGGAGGAGGGGGAGGAGTGCCGAGCGGTGCGTGCTCTCCGGCGGAGACGGGTCGTACAGCAGGCGAGGGAGGTGGGAAGAGGGCGGTGGTGGCCGCGCCGATGTCGGCGTAGCTAGAGTAGATGCCGTTCGTCACGGCGACCAACTTGCTCGACCACCACTTCGCGATGGAGAGCATGCTTTCCACCACCGCGTCGTTCATCACCTGCACTTGCGCCTCCACCTCTGTCCGTTTCGCCGCTCGACGGTTTTCACGCGAGGTGAGGGTGCGGCCCACCGCGACATCCTTTGCCTTTTTGCGCACCTGCGCTGCGTTTTGCGCCGCCTTCTCGAGATCCGACGAGGACTTCTCCGCCAGCTTGACGCTGCGCTTCGCCATGCCGCTCAGGTACCCCAGCGCGTCTAAATCTTCGCGCATCTTCTGCACTTCTGCCGATGACTTCCACGCAACGAAGGCATCGGCGAAGCGGCCCGTGACTTCAAAGGTGGGGGCGATGACCTCCTCGCCCTGTGGGCCGAACAACATTCGCGTTTCCTCCATGCGGTCGCTATTGTCGAGGATGGCGGAGACTACGCTCTCCATCGTTCGCATGTACTTGTCGTGCTGCTTTACGGCTTTCCTGGCGGCCTCCTCGACAGCGGAGAGCGCCCTGTGGGTGGAGTGCAGCTGATCTGACCGTTGGCGCTGCGCCGCGTCGAGAAACGCCTTCGGCATCGCGGTCCGGAATAAACGCAGGAGCCGTCCGCAGCGAAAGCACTAAGTGGAAGCAGCTTGACAAGATGGGCTTTACAACGAGTTCAAAGCCGCAAGTGTAATATACGAAGTAGTCATGAAGCCGCCAACCGCCGTCGTCAAAACGTGCAACAACAAGGAGAAAAAAATGAGCAGAGAGACTGTTTAACTTCACAAATAAAGGGAACCAAATAAGTCCGAAAATAAAATAAAAAACAGAGGAGAAGCGCGTGTCGTTTCAGTGTTCACTGGCAAGTGATATCTGCCGCTGGTACCGCGCCCCGTAAGAGCTGATTTTTCACTCTTTTCCTACAATTGCCGAATCAGTTGATGGTGATAGTGACACGAAAGGAGGCAAATCGGTACTATCAGCAGCGATTGCACCACTTCCGTTGCGTTGGTGAGAACTCAGAAAGGAAAGAAGATTTTCGCAGAGACCGTGCTTGAGTTCGCGAGAGAAGAGAAATGGGAGAATTCATCGGGTGCGGTGAAGCAGGCAACGGTGACAACAGCGATTCTGCCGGACCGGAAGCAAAGAGAAAAAAAAAGCGCATGAAAAGCGACTCTGCAAGAGAAGCTGACTCCACACAGTTGTTTCCGTGGACATCGCCGCGTTGAGCTGCGTAGACGGTTTTGTTCTTCCTTCACTTAGAGTTGGTGTCGTGTACGACTCAACATTCGAGAGCAAAATCAGAGTTGACACACATACACACGGAGGGTCGCATCGCTGCTCGCTCAGCACAACCCTAAAGCACTGCCTATAGGTAGAAGGAAACAACAGCGAGCCAACAGAAAGAAAGAAAAGAAGAAGGGGACAAAAGCGTGCCAGAAGGTCTAACATATTTAAAAAAAAAGATAAAATTGAGAGGCCGCCTCTCTCTTGAAAAGGCAGAAGGATGGGAGAAGGGGGAGGGTAACGGAGTCGGAGCCCTCCGAAAAAAGGGGGAGCTAAAGTAGTGTGTCGTCAAGAGGTTTCACAAAAGAAAAAGGAAGAAACAATAGGCACGTCGCAGGGACTTCAGTGGTTGCTGTGCCGTGAACAGAAACACACACAGCCGCGTTACAAGGGAAAGTTCCTCCTTGCCACTCTGCAGCCGCTCATTATACAGTTGTAGAAAGCAAAGAAATTGTGATTGTACACGTATCCGGGAGATGGCGCTTCGTATCCGCAAGTTCTACACGGCTGACGTGAGAGGAAGCACAGGAGCAGCAAATCCGATTTCTTTCTGTGTGTGTGTGTGTGTCTGTGACCACCACTGCACACTCGACACCAACACCGACAGGGAAAACAAAAAACCTCGCAAGCGAAGAAGAGAATTCCTTCACGTGTTTCCACGGCCACACGAGCAAGGATTCAACTTCGATAGAAGTAGGCCTGCACCTTCAGCTGCGCACACGGAAGCACAGGCCTGCTCACGCTAATGCGCGTTACCATTCCCTGGGATATTTTCAAACGGCAGTGGAACTCCAGGGGTGGTCGGCGGAGGTTAGTAGGGACCACCCCATTCGGCCCACAACTGGCAAAGTCGGTGGCCGGCATCGATCCACCGAGAAGGGCCACAACCGCAGACGGAATACTCATGTTGCCGTTTGGATACGCATTGGCCGATGGCGCATGTGGGTGAAGAGGTTCGCGCTGCGGGGCCGCATAGGGGGGGGGGGGAGCACGCGAGGGTGCGACGACCCACATTCAGAAAGGCGCCATAGAGACCATCGCAACGACTCATCAGTCCGGCGCACCACCAGGCCCCGGCGGACTTCGGGTGATTGACCGCTGCGCTGTCCACCGAGCACAAGAGAACGCTTTGCTTCGGCCCCTCCACCACCCGTTTATTCCTCGCCTTGCCGCTGCTTTGCGGGGCTGAGGCATGTTCGCGTCATGATAGTTTATGATGTTCTCTTACAGCATCAGCACAATTGAGTTACAGAGGAAAACAAAAGAGAAAGAAGAAAGCAAGAGTTAACATGCAGAGGTATACAAAGCAAAAGACGGACTGGTCGTTCGGTGTTAGCAAACTTTCCTTGAAAGAACGAAAGTGCTGTCTATATGACAGAGAAAGTAGGTCGGCCTTTAATTTTTTATATTCTAGCTCTGCTGATCTCCATGACACAGGCAGAATTGGGCAGCTAATGAAGGAAGCCGCGTTGGACGGAAACGTTGCCAAGAAATCTGCCTCTCTTTCCTTTATAGAAACACGTCCTTGTACGCGGAGTCTCACGGAGGGACAAACAACGCCCTTGCCCTTGGCGCATGAAACCGTGGAGGCAATACTCCCACTTCTTTCTTTGATCCTCCCTTTTATTGCCATCGCTGTGCACATGAAGCAAAAAGGGAAAACCAATTGGAATGGGGCTTAACAGAATAAATAAATAAATAAAAGGGAGCGTTGCAGCGAAGAAACACCATCATGAATGAAGAGAAGAAATGAAGGAGGAATACACACAAGTAGAAGAACGCAAACGAAGACAAAGGAGTAAGAACACATATACACACATCAGTGCTCCGACTGTGATGGAAGACGAGGGTAGAGATGTGCTCTCCCTATGCGGTAAACAAGAAACAGAAAGAATTTAGAGAGCGTTGCGATATACACATAAGAAAAAAAAAGCAGCGTCAGCATCCTCTCCGTGCTACGCGGCGCTCTTGGTGCTTTCGTACGCATGAAACTCCAGAGGAACACCACTCGCGTAAGGGGCAGCGTCGCTGTGGGCACTGCTTACCTGCGCAGAAAGGTGTGGGGAAGAGCTGTGTGCGTGATAGGTCGGCACATTTGACGGCGCATAAGCCGTGCCGGCATCCGCAGCAGCTGCAGGACGAAGATCGGAGCCCCGCATCACAGGCTGCGTCACGGGTGCAGCAGCGGCGGCAGAAGCGTACATCGGCACGGGGAACGCCACCGCAGCACGACCGCCAAGACGCGCGAAGGCAGCGTACAACTCGTTTGTCCGGCACGTCAGCTTGGTGGACCACCACACGCTGTTCGCCTTCAAGGCCTGAAACAGCAACGTGTCCATCTGCACCATCTTCGCGTTTTCGTCTCTGGCGTTGTTGACGAGTTTCTCCTGCGCCTTTCCTTTGCAGTGGGCGATTTTTGCCTGATACGCCGGCCTGTTGACGTCAGCGCACCTCCTCGCCCTGCGCGCGACATTCTCCGATAGTATTCTCGTGGCTTTGGCGGTGTGGCGGCCCTCGGTGCTGAGCACGCGCAGCGCCTCCACCTCCCCGCGCAGCGCGTCAACCTCGCCGGACATCTTCCAGTTCGTGTAGGCCGAGACCAGCTGCGTGGTGGCGGGCGTTGTCGGCACGACGGTCGCGCCTTCCGGGCCGATGGTCTGGCGCACCTCCTCGAGAATGTCGTTGTTGTTCAGCAGGCAGGTCATCACTTTCTCCAGCGCGGCGAAGTACTTGTCGTGGCACCGGACGGCTTCTTCGGTGGCCTCGTTGAGCTCTTTGAGGTATTTGTGGCTTTGGGCCGCCTGCCGAAACCGCAGCTGCTGCGTTGGGTTGAGGTACGTCGCGGTCACGTTCATTTCTGTTTCTGTTTCTGTGCGTGTGAGGAAGAACGAAAAAGTTACCTTCAACCTGCGTGGCGAATTCGAATGCGAGTGCGAGAGCGTGCGCGAAAGAACACTAAAGCAGAGAAGAAGAAAAGGGAGCGACGCAAACGGAGGAAGTGCACAGCAAAAATGTGGCGTTGGAGAGGGAGAGAGAGAGAGAGAGCGACAGAGGAAGATGTGAAAACGTAATGCAGCTAAAACGGCAGAGTCAACGCAGACGTAGCCCCCAAAAAGGGAGCGTGTGTTCCAGCGACGTTGAAGGAGCAGCACATGCGTCAGCATTACGCTGGGTGCAACCGAACACGGCGAAAGCAGAGCAGCTAACGTGCTCTCAACACCATTGGGTTAATCATGAGGAGAAAAAGACGCTAGAAATGCGCGAGGAAAGCAAAGAAATCATCGAAATACCGCGAATTCAACGGAACAATAAAGCTGAAAGCCCACGAGAACACAGCATCCATCACGGTGCGGTTCGTAGCTCAGAATCAAAAACCTTTTATAACTACACGGAGTGGTTATGCTCTCGGCTCTCCGCGGCAGAGGAAACCCTTACGGACACCGTTACCGCCTGAGAACGCGAGAGCGCAAATAGAAGAGAAGAAATACACGATCCGCAGCGTCGCGTGCGCCGTGGTACTCTTTGAACATCTGCGGTGTCGTGTTGTGAAATGGAAGGAGTACGCTCATCTAGCTGTGCATCTCTACTCTTCTATATGGGAAGTACATATCAGTATACAACATGAAAAAAAAGGGGGGGAAACAGCGGTTATTGTGTGTTGACAGCTGTGGGTGCCTCGGGGTGGTAGCGGAGAGGGATGCCGGTGCTCTGTGGGTTGTCCACCGCGGCAAGCAAAGGCCGCTGCGCCTCCTGTGGATGGTAACGGTTGCGGTTTAGTCCGTAAATGCCGCTCGCCGTGACGGACGAACGCTCGCTTTGTGGACTGCGCAGACCACCAAACACGCCGGTGATGGCGCTGTTCTCGTCCGTCTCGCTGAAGCTCGAGACGTCCTCCTCCCCCACGCCGAGATGGCTTGGGCGGAATTTTTTCTCCAGGTACGCGCCGTTCTTGTACATGGCCTTGCAGAACTTCGCGGTGAGGTGCGTCAGGCTGGCGCTGGACTTCACCGCGACCGCCTCCACGTTCTTCTGCGTCGTCGCCTGCATCTCCCCGAGGCGGCGCTCGAGCTTGTCGCATTCCTTCTGCAGCTCCTCTGCCTCCGGGCTTTGATTGCGCAGCTTACGCGCCAGCCTCGCGCTCTTCACTACGTAGGCGCTCATTAAGTTTTCCCGCTCCACGCACCCGTCGAGCGCCTTCGCGGCGAGGGCGCTGCGCGACTTGAGGACGTCGGTCTGCACATGCAGTTGGCCGCGCACGGCGTAGAGAACCTCGGAGTGCTCCCACCTGTGCACGATGGCGTGCATGCGGGCCGTGTTCGCCTTCAGCTCCGCCAAGTCGGGGATGTCGGCCTCAATGGCAAGAAACGGCGCCTTCGCGGTACTTAGCAGGGCACCGTAGTCCTTGTACAGCGCCGCGACGTGCTCCATGGCGGTCAGGTATTGATCGAAGTTGCGCTGTGCCTGGGCGGCGCTGCGGGAGAGCAGCGTGGCCGTCGACTTCACCTTGAGGACCCACTCCTTCTGCGCACGGCAGACGCCCTCAGTCTGCTGGGTGCCTTCGATCGCCATGGGGGAGAGCGTGGGGGAGAAGGAGAGAAGGTAAAAGAGAGTGAGGAGGTGTGGGGATACACAGGAGCGATAAACCAAGAAAGACGTCCTCTTCCGCGGTGGAGGATCGTGCTGTGACGTGTTAATCGTAGCCGTCGGCTGTGTACCGAAAACAGAACAATATAAAAAAGGGAGTACGGCGGAAAGCAAGGAGCCGCTATGATATAATTTTAGAGCAGGCGAAATAGATATGTTAAGGAGACGTTCACGCAAATAGTGGAGGAATAGTAAAAATAAAAGTAAGAAGATCGATGAAAGAGAGAATGCGGATAACAAAAACAGACCCGAAAGAGTGACAGCGGAATAGCTGTGAAGACAGGTAATATAACGGTTGGCACAAGGGTTATTCGCGGTGCGGCACGGAACAGATATTTCGTAGTCGTCGACTTGCACCACAGACCCGGAAACAAGTATACAAAAACAGAAGAAGAGAAAAGGAAAGAAAGATGGAATAGAGATGCAGTCAAGGAGCGAGAATAGGCAAATGGAGCGTGAAACAAAACACCCAGAGAAACATCTTCGAGTCCGTGCTGCGAGTCGAAAGTGACGTCCCTTCTCCCTTATTCAAGCTGAGAATTGAGTGTTGCTTGATTCTCGTGTGTACGCTGGTTGCGGTGGACTCGTGCTCATGGGTGAAGGAACAAGCGGACCGATGGGAGAACCAGTTCGAGTATCAAATCCATCTTTTTCTTTTTATATACCTTCCCTCAACGTCAGAATCGAATCAACAGAAAGATTCCAAAAAACAAAAATATTTGACAGAAAGAAGTTTGCTTGGCCCCTGGAGGATTACGCTCACCTGCACGTAGGGGGGAAAACCAAACACAGAAGTTGCAGCCAGCATGTGTACAACACGAAACTGTGCGAAGCAATTGTCCCAAAGCGCTACTTCATACATACGGTTTGACACATCTAATTAATGTTGGTGTTGAAGTGACCAGTCAGAGAGAAGGTAGTAGTAGAAGAAAACAATAGTAATAATCATAAAGCATCTACCCGTCCACCTTGATGCTCTCCTTTCTTGAGCAAGAGAGAGAAAAACAAGATATCAACGACAAGACGGCGATAACAAATAAAAATAAGACGTTGTAACGGATGCAGTATATTTAGAAACGAAAACACGCACAGGTCCATCTGTCAGCGGTCAACAAAATAGGTGAGTGAACGCAGGCACACACATACGCATACCACCGATCGCACTGTGTTGAACAAGTTAAAACGGAAGAGAGAGACAGAAACGAAACAGACGAGACAGCACTAACGTAATTACTGTTGAAGGACGTGGTGTTGTTTTCCACATTAGTCAAATGAGAAAAAAAAACCACGCATTCGTTTTTGATTAATAATTTTTTTTCCAATAAGAAGGAAGAGCGAGGAAGAGACGGAGGCGATAACAAACGAGTGAGCCAAAAGCGAAGAGAGAAAGAAAAGGAAGAGACGGCGATAACGCAATGCCCCACGAGCAAAGACCAAGTGGTTGTGCCAAGGCAGCAAAAAAAAACGACTTTACCACCAACTGAAGGGTAAGAAATTGAACAACAACAAAGGTGCAAACAAATAATTCAACGTAGTTGAAAACACCTCTTAAAAAAAATCGAGTGGACGGCTCCACCGAAATGCTTGAGAAAGAGCCAAGAACGTGCGAACGGTGCTGCTCGCCACGGCGTTGAGAGCATGGGAATACAAGAACGCACATTGCGGAAAAGGAGGATCTACCGTGTAAGGGAGGAAGATAACGACAGAAGAGGCGATTGCATGACATTCTCGTTCTGTCGCATCAATCGATGCATATGAAACGATACCTAATACCAACAACAAAGGAAAATGTGAAACACAAGAAGCAGCTAGCAGTTAATAGCAAAGATGCGAGCACCGTAAGGTTATTCTTGGATGCCGCTACATAAGGGATGGTTGGAGGTAAGGTAGAACAAAGATTAAGGAAAACCCTCTCCTTCGCTGTACGTTGGGTACCCGACGAAGCAATGGGTGCGGCGTCACGTTGTTTTCCATTCAACGAGCTGCAGGATTCATTGCCCGTCTACGAGTCTGCCACATATATTTTTAAGAAGACATCCCACGTGGCCAGCGTTGCGACCACTCTCAAGAAGACAGCACATGAGGAGGAAGCAACATACAAAGGGTCATCATCAGTGAAAGGAATCTCTCCACCAAATCATGGAGGAGGTCTGACGGTTGCCGCTTGCGTCACCGCGTCATACGAGTTCTCTGACGGCGCGAGGGAAAAGTCGTTCGAAACCTGCCGTACCGACACACTCCCCTCCGTCAGCGGGAAAGCAGCGGCCGAGGGATTCACCGAGCCTCGCATGGCGCGTGACTGGGCCGCCCTCAACGCCTCAGAAGTTTGGAAGCAGCATGTGATGTTGAACCCGCTGGCCGCCATGACGTCCTCCAGTTGGACGCCGTGCTTCGATAGACTTCGGCTGAAGAGCTTGACGTTGTTGCTCATGTCTCGCTGCACTCGCTCGTCCAGCTTCGCCAGCTCCTCTTGAAGACCTCTCAGCTCGTTCTCTAGATTCTTCACACCAGGCGACGAGGCATCCTTGCTACGGGCCAGCTCCAGCTTCGAGTGGACCTCTCCCATGAGCTGCCGAACATCCGTGCGTGCTCTGTTGTGCTGATGGGTCCGCGTCGTCTCCTGCCGCCAGCGCAGCCACTCCTCGCGTGTGGCGGTGAGGGCAGCCAGGAACGCCTTCTCCTCGGCGGAGCGCCACCAGTGCTCGATGGAGGACATCACGTGCCCGGTCACGACGCGCGCCTCCGGGGCCTCCGACACCGGCCGCGCCATGGCCAGCGCCGGCGTGCCGGCAGACACCATCAGCTCCCCGCAGGTCGCATAGAGCTGTCCCACACGCGCCATCGCACCGACGTAGGCCTCGTAGCTCTTGGCGGCTTGGTTCGTCATCTTGGCCAGGTCGCGGACGGTGCGCTGCAACGTGGCGCTCCACTCATCCTGCAGGCGGACCGTCTCCGGTGAGAGCGACATGTCTGCCGAACAGCGAATTTGAAAGGAAGAGAAAAACAACGGGTTGTGAAACAAACAAAAACAAAAAACCCTCTTACACCCAACACCACGACAGACGTCGTTTAAAAAAAAAAAGATGAAGAAGAGAAGATACCGTGGAAGAAACCTCAACGTGGACTACAGAAACGATTTTTGTCCGTTTGACCACGTCTATGGAAGCAAGAAAGAAATGCGGAGCGCGGCGGTGTGAATGGCAAGAAGGTTGCGGAGTTGTTTATGTGAAGGCTCACTAGGGGGAAGAGAAACAGAGAACACCAATGAAGGATACAGAAGCGAAGAGGCCTAACATCAAACAATATGAACTGACATCGAAATGGGATAAGCGGAGCAGAGCAAGCTACAACGCAGGAGTCACGAAATATCAGCTCTTTTTCCAAAGCTTCTCCCGCCATTTTTTCCCATTTTTGAGTTGGTGGGTCGTCTTCAGCCGTCCAAATCAACGTGTAAAAATGTTAAGAAAAGGGAAAAAAGGCTTGCTTTTTCTTTTTCTTTTGAAGGTATCAAAACGAATGATGAAAAACAAACGGAAATGTATCAAGCACGAATGTCAAGGTGACGTCCATTCATTCAAAACGCGAAAAAAACATCAGAAGACAGTTGAGAAGCACAGTGACCGGCAATGAAACAACCCATCAGAAAAGTTAGCAAAACTATAGAAGTCATTTACGATGATTCTGATGCCACTGCGATCGTTAGCAAGAAGAAATATTTTGTGTGCCTTCATAAAGGTCAGCATGTGTAAAGTAGGAACAATTAAATAAAAAAGGTTGCGGGCTTCAATTTCAACCAAGATTCGATCAGAGCAGGTTGTTTCTACCGTGCTACGCGCGTGGAGCGAGGACGCAAAAGAAAGGCGTAGAGCGGCCTCTGTGTTTCTGTGGTTGTTGTTCACGTAGAGCTCATTGAAGTAAATCAACACTGCTCGGAAACAGCTAAAATAAGAGAGAATCGTCGCCACACAACACGAAAACAAAGAAGGAATACAGGAAGAAAAGGACGGTGAATAGATTTTCCTTTTCAATGTCACTTCTCTACGAAACTCGGTGTTCTGCACCGAAGAAATGGTCGCCACCGCGCTTAGCTCGTGCTGGGACGATTAGGAAGCAACGATGGAGCCACCTGTGAGCTCCGGGTGCTGTCGCGCTGGTAGGTGTAACTCCGCGTGTAGCTGACGCCGTCGACAGTTTCGGCGCCGTCATCCACCACATCGCGCGGAGACGGTCGATGCAGCACAACGCCCAGCACAGATTCCGTCGGCGCGCTTCGCGAACTTGCAGAGCCGTTGACTACCTTCGCTGCGCTGACCGCGACATCTGCGAAACCGATCGGTTGAAAGCTAACCGCACACATCTGCCCGCTCTTCGACATTTGGTCGATGAACTCGATTCCGAATTTTATGAGGTCTTTGCTGCACAGCTTCGCATTCTCTTCTATTTCCTTCTGCACCTTCACATCCATCGGCTTCCGCGCTGCTTCGAGCTGCTCGAGTTGAAACTTGAGCTCCTCCCCCATGTATTTGTTCCTCTTCTCGGCGGCTTTCACGTTCTGCCGCACCTCGGCGATGGTGCGCGAGTGGGTCAGTCGCCGCTTGTGGTGCGCCACAGACCGCTGCACCTCGTCCTCCCACATCTTCCACTGCGCCTGCTGGTTTTGAAGAAAAGAGCGCAGTGCCAGCTCGTCGGACGAGTGCCGCCACTGGTCAATCGACAGCTGCAGCTGCGTGGCAACCCGCCTTGCGTCGGCGGCGGCGTCTATTAGGTGCGGCGCGGCAAGAACAGGGTTGTTCGCCCGCACCATGAGTCGTCCACAGTGTGCGTACAGCTCGCCCATGCGGCCCAGTGCGGCTAAGTAGCCTTCGTGGTGCCGGCATGCTTCACCAGCGACGCTCTGCAGCTCCGACACGGTCCCACCAAGCTGCAGAATCCACTCGTCCTGCAGCGCGATGGAGTCATCAGACAACATCGGCATAGCCACCTAGTAAGAGAGATAAGAGAGTGTAAATATCTGTGTTCGCGGCGGCGGTCTCAAATGTGAAGAATAATAATATGTGAAGGGGCGAAGGAGAAAACGAAAAAAGAATCGCTGGGCTAATGATGTCAGAGGGCTCCACAAAACACTTAGACGGTGCCGACTGCCGTTACTCCCCAAAAGTGGTGATGAATATATACCTTTTAAAAATGGGGAACCCGGCGCTGAAGTGCCGCAATGAGAGTGCTTCTGGGGATGGAAGAAACAACACTACAAAACAGAAGGGTTTAACAAGCAGGCGGCAGGTCGGATCTGTGGATAATGGGTCACTATTTGAAAGGAGTTGTGCAAGGTCCTGCCCGATGCAGCGAAGACGAGATACACAACCGTGGAACGGAGCGGTAAGAACAGAAGAAGGGAAGAAAAAAGGCAGTGAGAGAGAAGGGGATGAACGAATTCTGGAGTGAGGTGGTGGTGAGGCTTCTCGTAGCAACTCATCACCGCTGCGCCATCACCGGCAACCGTTGTGGTCTGTTGGTGTTGTTAGAGACGCTACACGCGAAACGCAGAGGCCGAGTTCCTCTTCGACGGAGAACCGCTGCATGAAAAATGTGTGCGTGCGGTTCGAGCCACTTGGTGGTGTAAGTCTCTCAATCTTACTGAATGACAAGCGGCCAACAACGTGGAGTGCCGGTCGTATTGCGCCCCACGTCAAGGACACCTACCAAGGAGGCGGCGGTTCACCTCAATTTTTCTTCTCTATTAGTGCCACACTGAGCAAAGCTCGACTACACAGCAATTCAGACGTGGCAGTGCAGAAGCCGTTAATTGAAACCGATCAGATATAAAATAACAGAAATAATAATAATAAAAAGAAAAGCACATGTCTACCAACTTCAGTTTCGCGTCTTGCGATACAAAGATATGTGCAGTAAAGAAACAAACTAAGAAAGAAAACAAATAAAACTCAAACAACAGGAAGGTATTTGGTGCGGGCGCGAGAAGCCACCGCAGCGAAAGCAACGCGCTTCATTTTTTTGGGGGGCGTACCGAATCAGGCAAAGGTACACTAAGAGGGTTGAGAACAGATGATGGAAGCCGTGCAGCAAACTACAAAGAAAAAGATCCAGTGAAGTCAACGATCGGAGAAGTAAAACACGAAGGAGAAAGCAGAAGGTAAAAACAATCAAAAAAGGAAGAGACGCTGCGTCGAGCACTCGCAGACATTCTACATTGGGGAAACAAAAGGAGAGGAGTGCTCGCTCCGTCACTGGCAGTGACCGTTGTTGCGAAGCGATAACTCAATGTAAAGGACGAAAAGGAATAGGCAGTAATAGTTTCGATATTGCTGCATCGCCTCACTGAAAAAAAAAAATAGACGAGGTGTGAAACACAGCGTGTAATAAAGAAGCCAGAGAAGGAGAGAAAACAGAGAAAGCGCACGGTAAACATCACCACCCACAACACCCAACACTAAAGTAATCACACGTACACCGGACGCAGGGAAGGGGCGAGAAGACCTAATGGGACACCTCTAGTCATTTGATTTAGAAACGAAGAAAAAAAGAAGCAACAGAGAAAGAGAAAGAGTGTGAGAACACGGAGAAACAAAAATGATGAAAAGAAGGGCACAAGACCATAACGAAAGAGCTGTCACTCAGGAAGGGGGCTTCACGGTAAACCATAAAAAAGGGGGTAAAACTGATACAGCTTCACGGGCGCCCAACATACATATACGTGAAGAGGAGGAACAAAACAGCTGAACAACTCGAGTAGGGGCGGCGGGTGAGTTCCGCCGTGGAAACAGGCAAAGAAGACGCACACGCCCCCCTCATACATTGGGCCCCAGTTGCATGTTGGCCCCTGTATGCTTAAACAACCGCAAAAACCCGACTCTCTTGCTGGTTGAACGAAGAGAGAACTAAACAGATTCGCTAGCAATAGAAAGATCTTAGAAAGCAAAAAAAAATATATGAGAAAGTGAAGTGAAGGGATTCCTTTATCATATAAATGCAAAGAGCAGTTTAAAACGGAAAAACAAGCTCTTGCTGCATGGCGTTCGGGTGGGTAAATCGAAAGGAAAGAGAAGCGATCGCGACCGCGTATTATTCCAACAGCAGGAAAAAGGCGAAGTACGCGCGCTTCTTCCCGACAGTTTGAGAGTTACGGGAGACTGTTGTATCCGCTGCAAGTCAACGAGCAGCAGCAAACACGCAAACAAACATAGAAGGAAAGAAAGAAAGATTAACAATGAAAGAAAATCACCCCAATTGCGTCAAGACCTGCCGCTTCAAATAAGAAGACAATAAAGGGGAATACAGAGATACTTTGTTTTCCTTTCATCACATTTTAGATATTAAAGGCAACGTTCCAATTCTCGTATTTTCTAATGGAGAATGGGCGTTCACCGCCGGCGAAGGGTATTGACACACTCCAAGGCTTACATAACTAAGCTGCGATAGAAATGCGTCGTGCTCCGAACGAGATCACATTTAGAGGACTTTCCGACAATGCGTAAGGGAACCCATGGCCGTACTCCGCCTCCGTGCTGGCCGGTGTAGCGGGCTGCGCGCGCTGGCTGGCACGGAAGTCGATCTCGAGCGGAACGCCCATCACCGGCGTGCGGGAAATGGCGGGCGTCGCCGCCGACACCGCCGCCATATTGCTAAAGCCCTCAAATGCCTTCATCAGGCCTCGCCCCGCGTTGCGCAAGGCATAGCCGGTCTTGGCCGCGCCGCCACCCTCCCGCAGGAGCGACTTCTTCAGCACGGCTTTGAAGTCGCTGGCGATGGCGACGTCCTTGCTCTTCACAGAGTCCTCCGCGGTCTTCATCTCGCACTGCAGCGACTTCACGGCGCGGTCGACCTCCGGCGTGCTCTTCTTCCGCGCCAGCGCCTCGACGCTCTTTTGCATATCGCGCAGCTTCTGCGTCTGCTGCCGCCGCTCCACGGCCACGTCGACCACCTTCGCCAGCCGCCGCTCCGTCCGCCGCCACACACACCACTCCGCGTACAGCTGAGCGCGCAGGTCGACCACCTCGTCGGACTGACTCCACAGGTTCGTTGTCTGCTTTAGCGTCTTGCAGGCCTTCACGATCTCGGCGGTGACCCCAAGCGAGGCGTCGAGGCCGACCTCGCCCGCATTCCCCGCCGTGGGAATGAAGGAGGCGTACTGATCGTAGAGCTGCGCAACGTTCTCTAGGGCCTTCGCGAACTGCTTCCACGAGATGAGGGCGTCGCGTATGGCCTCTTCAAGGTCCTGCACGATGGGCCGCAGCTCCAGCAGCGTGTTCGTCTGACGGCTGCGAATACTGTCGAGAGAGGGAGACATTAGCCACAAAAGTTTTCCAAGCGTAGTTATAAGAATAAAAAGAGAGAGAGAGGACACCGAAGAAAAGAGCAGGCAAGTCAAATGGTGCCCCGGAGTTAATGGAGCGATCCGCGCTGTTCACGAGAGGAAGGAATAGAGGTAGCTGTGCAGCGAAAAAGCGGGGGGGGATGCAGATAGGAAGACGGCGACACACACGTACGTGAGCCGTCCTTCGCGAATAGGCAAACAAAGAAAGAGGAAAACACACAAACGGTGGAGGTGATAAGTAAAAATGAGGCCGGTTAATTGAAACGAGGTAAGGTATTATATATATTTAGTCCACTGCAATGCAGGCCGCAACGGAGAAAAACAAATAATGGAGGCCAGAGGGGAGAGAGAAATAACGAGCAGCGTGAACGCGTAGGTTTCGGGGAAGGAGAGGCGGCAACGCCAGTACCATGTCTGATACAGAGAGAGACAGAGAGAGCAAGAAGGAGGAGAGGCGGACGACGACGTCCGTCCGTCTTCTTCGGTCCTCGGGCCCAAGCACCTCATCCGACGTATTTCCATGGTGTTTTTCAATTTCATGTGGGGAAATCCGAAAAGTGGGCTTCTGCGTTCATCGGATACATGGACGCTGAAGACGAATAAAGTTCGTTTATTTCCTTAGAGCTATTCAGCTGAGACCACAGACATCAGATTTGCTTTTAATAATAAAAAAGGGGCTGACAGCTCTCGCCGCATCACTGCACTTTCGGCCGTGATCGGCGTCCCGAATCAAATAAGGTAAGGTAAGGCAAGAACACGTCGATAGATATATGCGCGACTTCGTTGAGTACACCGTCTCCCGAGCTGGCAAAGCGTCAGGTAGAGGAAATGATGATAATAATAATAAAGTGGGAAGAAAGAGAACTTAAAAAATATATATAGCGGCGTCGCTTTGCCCAAAACACTGACGCGCGCGTGACCACTTACTTTCGGTGACTTACAAACACACGTGCGAAACACTCTCATCACAACTACTGCACGGGGGAAAGAGAAACAAAAAGAGAAGAAAAGAAAAAAGGCTTTGAGCGGGTAACGGAAAGCCCAAAGGTATTGAGTGTGCCACTTCGTCAGTAAATACACACACACACACATATATGTGTATGAAAACTATTTTACCCGTCAAGAAGGGCGTCCAGACGTTTAAATCGGCACCTTCATCGTTTCGATTAATCGAGCGACGTCTCACACCTCGCCGTTCGCTCTCCCGTTACGGCGGAGACGAAGAATTGTTGTTTCTTTTCCTTTCGCGGCGATGCAACGTTGACGGCCGCATTGCAACGGGACGGGGCCGACAGCCCACATTCCTCCAAACGTGCAGACAACAGAAGATCAAGAAGAGGCGCAATCAGTTAACGGCGGAGAATCGACGTCAACTAACAAGCAAACAAACAAAAAGAAGAGAAAAAGCGCACGGAAAGGAGAGCGCTATAAATTTGGAGGCAGATGCTCCCTGCGAGCGAAAAGCAGTTTTGATCAACACTTATTCGATGCGTGGCACGGCAGAACAGCGTCACGACACGGAGAAGGTGAGAAGTAAGTATCGGTTACAAAAACAATGAAGGCTTTTTTGAAATGGAGAAAAAGTTAGGCCGAAGGGCAACGCGCGTGTAAGAGAGAAGAAATGTATAATCCGCCACTTCGAGGCGCCACACTCCTCCCTCCACGATTCCTCCGTTCATGGAGGAGTGCGCAGGCGGCAACGGACGCCACTACAGATGGAAAGCGTAGCCGGCGGCTCCCTGGCACGGCCCCTCATCGTGTCGGATATATATATATAAACAAACATGGTGGAAGAGAAATGAATCGGCTTAAGACTGTAAGATACGGAAAAGCGAAACAAGAGGGGCGGGAGATACAACACGGTGGATACATAATAGATTGCTAGAGAGAGAGAGAGAGAGAAAGAACACACAGACTGGCAAAAAACAACAACAACGATATATATTTCTATAAGAGAGAAGAGGAAGCGCTTTTCACCTGTAAAGAGAGAAAAAGATCATCATCATCATCAAGAGAGAGAGAGAGGCATTCCCGTAAAAGTCAACCACAGTTTAGTGCGATGTCCAGCGCAGGGGCGTCTTCAGGGGTGAGCAGCCACGGCCGTGGGACGAGTGAGTCTCCAAAGCAGCTGTACGTACTGCTGTCATCAGCCGTGAAGAGCGGCGTCCGTCGAGCATCGGCCGCTGCGCTGGCGCTCATGCTGTACGGTGAGTTGGCAGTGAAGAGGTCGATGTACGTCGGCTTCCTGCATGACCGCTGCACCGGAGGCGGCGGTTGTGGTTGCTGCAGCGGCGCATTCGCCATGAATCGCCGCACCTCGCGTGTGTTTATCCAGAGGAGTACGAAGACCAGCACGGAGACCGGCGTGAGGATCAGCGCGATGGCGTGCAGAACAAAAGGGTCGTTGACGAACTCCATTGGTCAGCAAAGAAGAAAAAGATAATCCAACGATAGATATCCACAAATGCAGTACGTGCAGCGAACGCAGCGGAATAATAATAATAGTTATATTAACGACAGTAATAGTAATAGTCGTAGGCGGGTTTATCGTAGAAAGAAGACAATTTGGCGCAACAGCGGAAAAGGAGGAGAAAACAAAATGCAGGTGAACAGAAAAAGCTATGAAACAGGAAAACAATGATACCCGAACAATAAAAGCTTGAAGGAGGTCAGCGCACTTCAGCTGCCAGAGGAGGAGGCTGCACAGCAGACGGAAAACCTTCTGTAGAGGACGTTATCGAAATAAACAAGAGAATTCTTTTCAAAAAAACTGAAGAAGGGGAAAAGACGAAAGAAAGAAACGTCGTTGTGTTTCACGGGGATGAGCGGTGCACAGAACCAGTGAACGTCGAGGACAACGGTGGGACTCCAGCAACGGCTTCTATTGTCAAAGACCGCGACTCACTAAAGCCCGTCGTAGAATAGGGAGAAGGAAGAGAAAACGAAGAGAAGGAAGAGATCAACCAGTTCAAAGATCGAGATGCGTCGCGGCATTACAACGCGAAACACTTCGCTGACGTTGGGTCGCGTAGTCAGCCACTGCGCGTGAAAGAGATGTGGTACTGTTGACCTGCCGCAAAACGTTCGATTTGTTTTTACCAAAAACACACAGACAACCACAAGGAAGTCAATAAGGCGTCGTGCAACGCAGAAAAGAAAAAGGGAAACAAAGGCGGTGTGTCCTCACGTTGTCAACGCTTATATGAGCGACAAACAGTCGGTGTTCAAAAACCGTTTCGGTGGCAGCGACTTTAAGAAAAAAAAACAGCAAAAGAAGAAAACTGACATATATAGATCGATAAACAAACATATATATGTAGCGGATCGTACGTAAAAGTGGAGAAAAAAGCACAGAGCGTTGCTGTGAGAAACGAGGAAAAACAAAACTAAAAACAATGAAAGTGATACCACAAACTCTCTCAAAGGAAAACGACAGCAACAGAGGCGTACCTCACTTAACCTGATTTTAAAAATTCAATCCGCAGTGGCAAGTGAACTTCTTAGAGGAGCAAGAAACAACACACTTCCGTAAAACAACACGTTTTGAGGTCTAGCGAAAGGAGGTTCTAGACTTCAGCAAGAAAAACAAAAAGAAATACAAGTCGTCGAGGACATCTACGCACTTCGCAGGAAAGGAAAGAAAAAAAACGAGATGAAGAATCCGTCGTGTAACGTGGAAACGTCAGCGTGTGGCTCACCGTGCTCTGGGGCAGCCCCTCTGTCTCGTGCTTTTAACCCTTTTTTTTTTTAATTCTGCTGTTTTTAATTGTGAGGTGTGTGTTGATCGAGTTCGCCAGGCAGATACACCGGAAGCGGCAAGGAGGAGCCGGAGAGAGAAGTAGAGAGAGGTCGATAGAAAGGTAGTTTGCCGAAGAAAAGCACGATGCACAACAGGCATAGGCGAAAGCAGCTTGGTGTGCGTGGAGACATCTATTGCGATTCTGGGTAGAGAGCGTGGATTCATCCTTTGAAAGGAGGAAATTTGTTCCGTACACTCACGATGAGAGAGCTGTGAGTGTGATTATACCAAAAAGCCGAAAAGGAGCGTTCGCGCAAAAGAAGCCTAATGCCTTGAAAGGATAACTTTGGAGAATGGCTTTGCCACACGAGACAACTAACATCACATCACTCCGCTCAACAAATAAGATGAAGCGCATAATTATTACTAATGGATTCTTTTTTTCTTTCTTTGGCTCTCAACCACGCTATGCAACACATCGCGAAGGCAAGAGCGTTCGAAGAAGTGAGGAGGTAAAACCACCACAAAATAACAAACGGCATCGATACAGGACTGCGGCACTCGAACACAATACAAAAGAGAAGAGAGTGAAGAAGAGCCAATACTGCCAGGTGCGTTCCGCCTACGACTGTGGAGCGCGGGCCGCGCACACCTCCGAGGCGGAGAGACTCGTCGATTCCATTTTTCGCAGAAAATCATTGGTGAGGTTGGCATCCTGCGCGGCCACGTAGCCGGACGGCGGCCGCACCGACGACACCTGCGAAGTCGGACCTCGGCTAAAACTATAAAGCGGTGGGGCGGTCGCTCCCGCAGCTCCAACCTGCGACGCCGAGCCGAAGTCCTCGTCCAGGTCGTCCACCACGCGGCTGTTCCCGGCTGAGTCCGCGGGCGGTGCCGCCTGCCGTGCATTTGTCGCCGTCGTCGTGACAGTGAAAGCTCCTTGTTGTGCCGCATTGTGGTTCGTTGCAGCGGAGGGCTGCGTGGACGCCGTGGCTGCTGCCGGCGGTCCGTTTGGCGCGGAAGACAGCGGAGTTGCTGTTTCTTTTACCGGTGATGGGGCGAAAGAGCTGCTCGCAGAAGGGTTGCGTGCTGCCGCTGCGACGGTGCCTGGAGTGGGTTGTGGCTGGAGGCGTGACGCTGACTGCCTTGTGGGGGTGGAGAGTGTGCCTCTGCTGGCGTCACTACCGCCGACTGCCGAGGCTTTCGTATTACGATTTGTACTGCTTGGGTTCAGTCGATAGCCCTGCGAGACGCAGGCGGCATTAATTTCCGTGTCGACCGCCGCGCAGCGCTGCTTGATGGCGCTCTGCCGCTGCTGCCGCTGCTCCTCGCGGTAGAGCACGACGGCCTCCTCTACCGTCGGGTCCGTCTTGGTCAGCGCGTCTACGACAGAGGTCATGTATCCCGCGTTTAAGTCGAGGTAGCGCTTCAAGGTGGTGGCCGTCACCTTCTCTACCTCGCTCACGAGCCCCACAAACTTTGTCTCGAAGTCGTCCTTGCTCCTTTGCAGCCTCAGCAGGGAGTTGTCCCGCGTCTGCACCCGCGTGGGGTAGCTCTTGCTCGTATCGAGCGACTTGCTCTTTGTGGCATAGGACTTCTCCTGTGCGTCCACCTTGCGCTTCGACTTCTTGTACCGGCCAAAGTCCTTCTTCTCCGCCTTGGCGGCCTTCTCCGTTGCCGTCAACGAGGCCCGCAGCTGCTCCACCGGGACCAGCACCTCCTCATGCACGAGTTTGTTGTAATGCCGGAAAGCGGTGCCCTCCATCATGTGCATGACCTCCTCGGAGAAGTGGTGGACGTACTGCTTCACGCCGTCGTCGGAGAAGCTGAGGGAGGTGAGGGCATCGAAGGAGTGGCTGACTTGCTCTAAGGTGGTGCCCAGGTCTTTCATGAGCACCATCATGCGCTTCATGGTGGCGGTGAAGCTTTTGATGGCGGCGCGTATCGCCCGCACATCGTCCAGCTGACGAGGGTGGATGAAGTCGTGCTGCATCGACGCCATTCCCTGAAAAGCAGCGGAGAGTAAGAAGAACAAAGAAAAGGCGCTACGTCGTCTGCAGAACAGTATACATGCGAGTAGAGAAGTCGTATTCAACTCCTTGAGCGAAGACTGACGGACGATGGGAACTGAGCAAGGTGAGTGTAACATAATAAAAGAATGGAACACTCAGCTCGTTAACAGCAAAGGAGAGCGAGAGGGAGAGCACATGTCTCTTTTAGACAACACCGATTGGTAGAGGATATCACCCAGTGGAGATGGGGTGGACGCACGCGTTCACACCGACGCAGCTTCTTCGCGGACGAAGCTGTCAAAATCAAGTCGGTCTATTTCTTGCTGACAGAACGAAAGGCACAACTGACTTGAGCTTTTCATGCAAGCGTTAATGAAACACTTACATGAGAGTCGCCGGCCTTCGCCGGTTGAGCAACAGCAAAGGCCATGAACCGTCTTGTGATGCAGCTTCTATCAGACGAAAACACGCCTTCATACGATTATGTTTCTTAATTTCTCTGGCGACGCACACCGACATCGAAGACAGAAGCCGAAAGAGAAGGCAAACAGCTCAACCGATGAAGCACCCATTGAATGATCCTTTGAAAGGAAAAACGAAAGAAAACCAAACTATTCCACCGCTAACAAAAAAGAGCACCTCAACGGGATAAAACGTGCGGAAGGAAAAGAAAAAGCAAAGGGGTCTACTGTTCGATTAACGAAAAAAAAAGAGGAGGAGTTTTGGTACTGCATGGGCAGGAACACCGCGGTGATACAAGTACCTGCTGCACCAGATCTTCCAACAGCTTACAAACGAGTAGGTCCGTAGTAGTACGGCTGCTGCGGAGGTGAAGGCCCGTAGTAGCCGCCTTGCGGTGCCGGCGGGGGAGGGCCCTGCTGGTAGTACACCGGTTGCTGCGGTGGTTGCTGCATGTATACCACCTGCTGCGGCGGCGGTGGCGCCTGTTGAACGTACACGACCTGGGGCTGCGGCTGCAGCGGCGGTGGCGCCTGCTGGACATACTGCACAGGTTGCTGCTGTACGTATTGGACGGCTTGCTGCGGTTGCGCGTAGGCCGGAGGGGAGGCAGCAGCCTGTAGTGGAATGCCCATTGCCGGAGACGGCTTGCTCACCGGGTCGAAGCTCGCCGAGGCAGGCGAGTCGGCTCCTCCATTCGCCTCCGTGGCGCTCATGACGGGCTTCGCTGCGGTGGAGTTGATGTACTCCTCAATCGAGCCGACGCAGCGACTTCCCGGAGCCGGGTCCAGACCAAAGTCCACGGCCAACACCTGCAAGTGGATCTCCGCCGACGAAAGCTTCGCACCCGTCAAGATGGCCCACATGTCGTGCACCACGCCGCGCTGCAATCCGTTCACTGAGAGCGCGTAGCTGCCCAGCAAATCGTCCACCATCACGTTGTCGTTCCACACCTCGAACACAATCTGTGCGGAGTCGTAGTCCGCGATCTGGAACTTGGCGAGCTCGTTCCACACCGGGTTGAGGTTGTTGTTCACGACCTTGCTCTTGTATAGAATCTGCGTCTTTTTGCGGTCGCCCATGATGATCTTCACGTAGGGGTCGGGGATGCCGACCTTCTGCGTGTCACCGATGTGACGCGCACCGCAGACGCGGACTTCAAGACGGCCCATTATGGTGTGAAGAGCTTCTGTGTGTGTGGTGGGGGGGGGTGCTTGTACGGGGTATGGGTGTAGTTCTTAAAGAGGAAACGATTGCTATGGTAAAGCCTCCACACTGCAATGTTTGCTGGTTGTTGCGACTGCAGTGGTTTGGTGCTGATGCGGGAAACCCTACAGGGGAAGGGAGCGAGGAAGAGATGAACTACATCGAGGAGTTGAGGAGCCACGAAGGACCGGAGGATAGAAAGGGCGCATGGAGCTCGTAGCAAAGCTCCAATGGACTCGGCTAACAACCGGAAAAGAGAGAGAGTCAACTGACCAAAGAATAAGAGGGACGCTCATGAGCGACGCTACCGTGGGGAAGCCGATCTCACAGCCTCAAGTCACGTCTGGCTCCTGGAACGTGAAGTCAGCAGCACGTCGCCGAGGTTTTGTCTTCGAGAGGCAGAACCTCCGCTTCTAATCAAATTGTAGCGAGTCGTACCCACACAGGAAACACAGGCGAGTGCTGGACTCGCCTTCATTTTTTGTTCTTCGGGACGGCGCCGAGGAGCCCAAAGGAGCCACATTAAACAAGAATCACTCTGCCTACAAAAGAGGTGAACTAAATACACACCGCAAAAACCAGCGGCAACGCAAGGGCCACACGCCTACAATCGCTTCAAGGAACGTGAAGCACCACAACGAGGAGGCGAGTGAACGGTCCGACAAAATAAAGAGAACTGAAAGGAGCAACACCTATGTAAATATAATAGAGTTTTCACGACCAACAAAACAAACGTCCTCCACCGTACGCTGCAGATGGGAGGAGGCGGCAAAAACAAGTCAATTACACGCCTTTAGCACAAGAATAGCAATCATAATAAAAGCCACCATCGGAGCCATAACGTGAAATCACATGTCCGGTGGCACGCCGTACGCCATCTGCACACCGGGCTGCTGCATCGGCGGCGGAGGCGGACCGTACATCTGCGGGGGCGGACCTCCACCCATGTACGGCGGTCGCTGCGGCGGCGGCGGCGCACCGAACATCGGCTGCGGTGGCGGTGGGGCGCCGTAGCCGTAGGGTTGCTGCTGCGGTGGCGGTGGTGGCGGTGCGCTGTACATCACCGGTGGTCGAGGGGGCGGTGCGGAGTAGACGGGCATGAAAGGCGCGGGGGGAGCGCCGCCGTACTGCGGCTGGCCGTACATCACCGGCTGCGGCGGCCCCGGAAAGGCCGCGGGGTAACTCTGTTGGACGACCACCGATGGGGCAGGGGTGTAGTTCTTCGGTGGGCGGTAGCTCTGGTTCGTCGGCGGCGGCAGGTTGTCCTGCTCCAGCGACGAGACCAGCACATCTGTAGGGGCCGGATCGCGGCCAAAGTCGACGGCCAGGATGCGCAGGTGCAGCTCCGACGAGGAGCCTTTGGTGCCGGTCAGAATGGCCCACATATCACGCACCACCCCGCGTGTGAGCCCGTCAATGGAGAGGCTGTAGCTGCCCAGCAAGTCATCGACCAGGACGTTGTCATTCCACACCTCGAACAGCACCTGCGTGGAGTCGTAGTCAGCCACCTGAAACTTGAAGAGCTCGTTCCACACCGGGTTGAGGTTGTTCTCGATGACGCGCGTCTTGTACTTCATTTGCGTCTTCTTATTATCACCCATCTTCACCTTCACGTAGGGGTCAGGCTTGCCGACCTTCTGCAGGTTTGCGATGTTGCGCGCGGCGCACACGCGAATTTCTAAGCGACCCATTGTGCGGAAGATATGGAGGGAGGAGAGAGGTGTTGCTCAGAGCTTGGTACGTCAGCAAAAATAATTAAAACGTAAAAAATACAGGCACACGCAGTACTGCTTTGCACGTGTATCGAGCCGGGATATGAAGGTTACCGCTCCTCGTGGAGGGGCCACGCAAAGACGATGGTAGTACACTTTACTCCTTCTCGGGAATGAAATGCCAGTGGATGAAAGGGAAAGAATCAGAACGGGGAAGGGGAAGGAGAACAAAAGATACTTTAAAAAGACAGCTTCGTCGAGAGAGCGGCAGGGAGACGGGCACCGTAGCCGCAGTGTAAAAGGCCCGTCATATCGATTGCAAAGGAGCCCCTTGATTGTGTGGTGGTCACCCGCTCTGCTTCCTATCGGAGAGCCCTCCGTACCATTCGGCGCGTTGTCATCGGCGCCTGCACGTGGTTGACCTCGGACGGTGGGTAGAGGAGTAAGGCTACACAGACTTTTTCGTGCTTCAGGGGTGGGCTTTGACCCTGTTCAACAACAACAGAAAAAGAAACGTCGTCGTCACAGCTGAGACGAACAACACAACAATCAGCACTCACAGCGCCTTTCAATCGAGGAATACAGATAGATATATATCAGAAGCATGCAGTTATTTAGAAAGGCTAAATGAGCAAATGAATCGGGATCGGTTGTCCCGGTTTATTATTATTCTTTTCCAATTGAGGAAGCTCCAGAACGCACTCCCCACACGGCTTTTCCAGTCAATTAGCGGGAAGCGTACTTCCCTTATTCATAACAAGAACTATAAAAACTCAACAAATGCCTTCGAAGTTCATAGAAGAATTTGAAAAAAAAACCGAAATCGTTCATGGGTAGCGCAACAATCACCGTGCACCTCTCCGCTGCGTCTACAACACTGCTACCCACGACGAACAACGAAATGAAAGCGGAAGGAGCAAGAGAAAAAAAGAACTGGTAAGCAAACAACCGATACGTTTAGGAGGTAAAAACACGAATGCGTTGTAGAACGTTTGTTTTCCTTTTGAACAGCAGAAAACATTTATGGACAACAGCCACAACGACTACAGAAACTTCTCTTCCTCCTTTTCTCAGAAATGCCGTGGAGAACAAAAGACAGCGGCTGATCATCCAAAAGTCCAACGTACAGAGAGAAAAAGGGCTAGAAAATACTAAAACTAAAGACAAATTTCGGAAAAGGGCTTTAGCGGAGACGCATCACGCAGAACTCAATTCCTCCGTCAAATTCTGATCCGTGGAAATATACGTATAGATGTAAGTGAATATACACAAGCAGTTTCTTTTTATCCTTTAGTGCGGTTACCATGGCAGCTAAACTCTGCAGGAACAACTATAAAAAAAGGGAGACTAAATCGCATAAGAGCTTGAGTTAAGAGAAAACAAATCAGCATCATCACACAATGAAATACACAGAATACCAAACCCACGACACTTGCGTGGTTTTTTGTTTCCCTTCTTAAAGTTGCAGCCGAGCTTCATTTTTTCCGTACTTCATATTTCAATGCTTTAGCTGCGCGCCGAGTTCCCCAAGGCGCGGCCCAGCAACCACAACTTCACAAACTGGAAACTGGAGTACACCAAGGCTAGCAGAATGAACACGCTGAAGACGAGCAGCGGCACGATGACAACCTGCAGCTGACTCCACAGCTCGTAGTAGCAGACGGTGGAGTAGTTGAGTGACGGCGGGCAGGTGCCGCAGAGGTTACTGTCAGTGTAATAGAGGTCGGCGCACGACGTGGTGAAGCCGCTGCACTGGTGTGCGGCGTAGAAGCCACAGAGAAGGTCATTGGCCCGTAATGCCAAAAAACTGTACAGTGTCGGGTTCACGAGTCTGCCCAGCAGCATTACCAGTGTCATGACCGCGCAGGCCACGCCGCCCAACATCAGCACGGCGCGTGTAACCATCAGCCGCAGGTCGTCGCGCAGGGGAATGTGCATATTGATGGCGTGCAAACCGATCGCAACGCCGGTCAACATCCACACGCACATCGAGGCGATGAAGTAGCGCATGACCTGTGAGAGGTACGACACAATCAACGAGTCGGCCACGACAGCGAGGACGACGGCGAGGAAGACGGCAAAGATGATCGTGAAGAACACCACCACAACCGCCGAGAGAAACGTGCTCTGCGGTGTGTGGGTGAGGTAGAGAATACCGGTGTTGGAGAAAAGACCCGGAGGTGCGCGGTACTCTTGAATGGCCAGCTCACGTCTCACTTCGCGGTTGCGATTGCGCTTCTTATCCCTCTCGATGGCGCGGTCCGCCTTTATCAAACCCGGCAGCTCCTCTCGAACAGTTTGATTTGCCAGTTCGTGCCCCAGCTCTGGGCAGGCACCACGCACCGTGACGAAGGCGTACATCGGCACCTGGCGTGGGTTGTTGTTCTCGCTCGTATGTACGATGTAGCGGCGCACAAACATGCGGAGGTACTGCATATCCAGCAGCTTCCTCGAGGGGTCCTGAAAGAGGGCGTAGAAGCTGCTGCGCGGGTCGCGGCCAAACCGCACGTCATGAATACTCTTGCGAAGGAAGCTCACATAGGGGAGTGGTCCGGCAGACGCGGCGGAGGTGCGGAAGTGCGGTGGCCGCCGCGTGGGCACAGCCCCGTTGACACCGCCGCCACTCAGCCCCTCGTTGCTGCCCTCCTCCATCTCGGTCTCCTGTGCGCCGCGGAACACCTCGGCCTCGTCCTCGCCCTCCAACGTCATCTTCACCGCAGGGGCGAGACTGCCGGCGGCGTCGACGTTCATCAGGGCGGCACCGTCCCGCTGTCCGGTGATTCCACCGTCGCGGTCTACGCCGACCTCGCCCGCGGCGGTGTAGCCGTGCTGAGGACCACCGATGTGGTGCTGATCTTTATCGACGTCAGAGGACGGCGACCGGGCACGCTGGTGGGCCTGCCTGGTCATCTCCTGCGCGGACGCGTTCACCGCTCGCACAAGCGCCTTCTCTCGCTCCACGTACACCTTGAAGTCGGCTTCCGTGTAGCGGTTCACGTACATGAGGGCTACGGCTGTCGCCGTCACGGCGGACACCAGCCCTGTGTAGAAGTACTGGGCAGTGACGCCGTTGATCGTTTGTTTCGTGCTGAGGCTGACGCACCGCCCAATCAGCTTCAGCTCCGGGGCCGTCAGCGTGGGCAGGTTTTCGATCGGTTTGTCGTCGTGGATGATGAGGCGGTTCACAATGCCTTCGATGGACTCCTCGGCCTTCTCGTTGCCCGTCTGCGGGGTCTGCGGCACCTCGAGCATGGCGGACTGCTCGAAGGGTTCACGCAAAGATGGGCCGCTCTGGTGGGCTTCACGTTCGGTGCCACGTCGTGCGTGTTCTTCTTCTTCTCTGGTCAGCATAGCAGCGATGACCTATTCGATGAATGGAGTGCAAGACGAGTCCGAGAGGAGTGGGGGGGGGGGGAGAGGAGAGGAGAGCCCGTTGTGTTGGTGTAGGCACACAAACCGGGGAGGAAAGGTGCAAAGAGGAGAAAGAGACGGACGGAGAAAGAAGAGCGCGATAGGGAGACGACACGCACCGGATAAATACGGCGGCGGATGTGGTGGAAAGGGGGCCAGAGAAGGAACACAACGAACGCACGTGAAAGAGTGTACGGACAGCTTCCATTGAAGGCCCACAGTAACCCTGCGTGTGATGCGGATGTCTTTTACCGTTGAAAGGGAAAGAGAAAAAAAAGGCACTACAAGAACAAACCTTTCTCTTTGTGGTTTCCGCTGAGCTTCTCATGTAAACTAAATAATAACAAAGAACAACGAGCGTGCTCCATTGAGTTCACGCAACGACAATAGCACAAAAGAAATTTTCGAAAACCCCAAAATAAAATCCGCCGCATCACCGCCGTCATGAACGGAGGAGAAGAAAAAACAAAACAGAGTAGAAGGAATACAACGAGGGCACCATACAGGTAGAAGCACGGATCACAAGCAGGCCAGTCCCATTGGGGAATACGATTGGGTCGTAGAGTGGAAGATAAAGGTCCGTGCCCAGTGGAGGAGGCAAAAGTATTAAAACATAAAGCGTAAAGAACGTATATTGTACCTCTCACAAAAGAGAAGAAGAAAACCACAACGAGTCGGCGTAGCGCACACAGACACAAGCAAAAGAACGCAGCTCCTCTACGGAGCCTACGCGAAAGCAGTGAGAGAAGTGGTTCGAGCAACCAAGAAGAGTCTGAGAACCAAGAACAAGGAGTGCAGGGCGCTAAGAAAGATCACGATGGCAAAGAGAAACAACGGAATCATCACCCGCTGCAGCTGATCGGTGATGGCCGAGTAGCACGACGAGTCCGGGTAGGACACCGGCATGCACGGCGCACACAGCGGGTCGCCGCGTGAGCCATCGCCGCAGCCGACGAAGAAACCAGAACACATGTTCTGCTCGTAGAAGGAGCACAGGTCGCCTGGGTCGCTCAGCCGCATCCTGTTAAGCAGGTAGTCGTTCGTGGTGCAGTGGGTGATGAACACCGCGCAGAGAACGGCATACACCGCAGAACCGACCGAGGTGAGCCCACGCACAATCAACAGAGGAGAATTGGCCAGCGACGGAACGCGCATGACGAGGGCGTGAAGGAACATCGCGATGCTCGTCACAACCCACATCAGCAGCGCGGACAGGAAAACATTGTTGAGCTCCTCGAAGAAAAACTGGATGAGGCCATCACCTGCGATGACAACGGGCAAGACATAGCTGCACGCGAAGACAAAGGTAAAGAAGAACATCGTGGCAGCAGCCAGTAAGGTGCCCTGCGGAAGGCCCGTCAGGTACAAAAAGCCGGTGTCAGCGAATAGGCTCGACGGGGCGCGGTAGTCGCGTAGGGTCGCCTCACGACGCTCCTCACGACTCCGCAGGCGCTTCTTTTCCTTCGCAATGCCGCGGTCGTGCTTCATCAGGTCCACCACCTCCTCCCGCACAAGCTGACGCGCGCGTTCGTGACCCAGATCAGAACAGCCGGCCACTTCTCGAAGGTAGGTAAACAAGGAGATCTGCTCCGGGTTGTTGCCCTCGCTCGTGTGGACGAGGTAACGGCGCAGGAACATGCGCAGGTACTGCATGTCCATCAGCTTCTTCGAGGGATCCTGCAGCAGCGAGTAGAAGACACTATCCGGGCTGCGACCGAAGGCCACATCGTGAAGACCCCTGCGGAGAAGCGTCACGCACGGCAGAGGGCCGAGCGAGTCGCTGCAGGTACGGAAAGTGAGTGCCCCCGCACAGTGCGGAGATTTCGTCATTGCCGCCGCCGTCGTCGCCGCCGTGGCGACCTCCTCGCTCCTCTCTCGGTTCTCGGGCTCGCTGCGACAGTGATGGGCGGCGAGGCGTTGCAAGTCGGCTCCCGTTAGCATCCGTACCGCTGGGCAAACGCTCCCCCGTGGGTCGGTCGACGAGCGGGGTGGGGCACCAAACGCGCCTTCCAACACCTCACTGAGGCTGTAAGGGAATCGCGACACCTCCGCGTCTCTCTCCGACGACCGGTGATCCGCAGCGAGTAGCTCGGCGCCAGTCAGGATCAACGCCGCGGCGCGGCAATCCTTATCAGGAAACTCATGCGAAACGTGCACCCCGCCTGCTGTAGAGGCCCTCTTTTCGCGTTCTCGGTACGCCTTGAAGTCGGCTTCCGTGTAGCGGTTCACGTACATGAGTGTTACGGCTGTGGCGGTGACTGCGGAAACCAAGCCAGTGTAATAGAAGAGGGAGCTCACGCCGTTAATCGTCTGCTTCATACCGAAGCTGACGCACCGACCGATCAACTTCAGCTCCGGGGCCGTCATCGTCGGCACGTTTTCGATCGGTTTGTCGTCATGGATGATGAGGCGACTTGCTGCGTCCTCGGCGAGGGTACTCTGCAGCCGCTCCGCCACCGCCGGCACGCGTGCCTCTCGCAGCTGCGGCCGAGCCGCCGTCGCCGCCTCCTCCTCCGTCGCCGTCAGATCTGCTGGGTCGTTGCGTGCACGGTTGATAAGGCGCTCGACGACGTGGGCATACGCGGCTCTGGACGACATTGAAAAGAGAAGAGGAAGAAAAAGATTGCTCTGCGTTTCTACTTTTTCTTTTTGTGTGCTATCCTGCCGCACCGACACGGACGGGGGTAGGCACCGGAAAGATGTCAACGAGGAAGAACAGAAGAGGCCAAAGAAAAAATGAATAGTTGCATGAAAGCTCTCGGAGGAAGCCCACCCAGGCGAGCAGTTGACTTCCATGTCATCTGTAAAGGGAGAGCGAGAGGAGAGCTCCACATGTTACCCAGTATGTGAACCAGCTTAAATTGGAAGGTCTTCGAAGCAAACGGGAGCAAATTACATTGCCCAGAACCCTCCGGTGCGATAAACCACCACCACAGCCAAAACAAACGCATTATTTGCCCCGCTTCACGCCCACCACCGAAGCAGTTTCGAGAACACCTTTGCCCTTTGTTTTCCCAGCGGAAGAGCACAGAGGCGTACAGCCCAGACGTACACACATAGGTAGATATGGGACAAGAAGTGCCACGGAAGACTGAAGAGCTGGAACGTGTCGGCGTCAATTTCAGTGTTGGTTCATGCCATTGAAAAACGGCAACGGGGAAAACCATCGAAGAAGAGCAATAGAAAACAGCAATTTAGGGGAATAGAGAGTATGCGTCACTCGCCTGTTCTTCTTTTTGGGGCCACTTAGCAGTGGAGAAGCAACAAGACACAACGCTAAAAGACTGTCGCCAAAAAAAAAGCAAATGATGAAGACCAGCAACAATGACCTTTGGCTATGTTGAATTTACCTGTTCATCAGAGCAGTGACGCTACATATGCAGACACAACAACACGTCTCACCCGAGTTTGTGAGCGACTAGCTGTTTTTATGCTGAGGTAACCGTTTCAGTGCTACGCAAACGCAGAGGCATCGAAGCGAGGGGTCATTGAAATACAATGTTTCACTTCGGTTGACCTCCTGCTTTTCTGCCACGTCCCCCTCCCCCTCTCCCCGCACCAAAATAAAAAGAAAGCTAGCACTGCGTGCTTGGATATCGTAGACAATACTTGACTATCGGCACGTTAAAAAGAAAAAAGAAAACACACGCCTGTAGTGCCGATGTCACGGTGGGGTGGAAGCAATAACAACCAAAAGCAGTGCAATTCGATTTACAGTATTTTTCTGCTTGTATCACCAACGCTGTCGTACGTCCTCGGTTCGTCTCTCCTTTGCTATCCCTCTTATGCTATTATGGCCGCCGTCATGGAGCGTGAGACGAGGTACAGCTTCACGACCAGCATCAACCCATTCACAGAGCTCAGAAGCACGAACACACAGAAGAGCAGCAGCGGCATGGTAGTAAACTGCAGGCGACTCCAAATGTCGACAAAACACTCCCGTTCTGGGTAGTGGATCGCACAGCTGTTGCACAGCGGGTTAGTAGGACCGGCGTCGCTGCAGGGGTAGTAAAACCCAGAGCACTGGTGGTGTTTGTAGAACGCACAGAGACTGCCGTGGCGGTGTTTGTAGAGGTGTTCGTAGATGCGCTCGTTGGACATGTTGTTGGTTATCACCGCGATGGCCGCTATCGCACACGCCGCAGCCCCAACGCTTAACGCCGTCCGCGCAGCCAACAGCGGTAAGTCCTGCTGCACGGGCAGGCGCATGGAGACGGCGTGCCGAAAGGTGAGAACACCGGCCATCGTCCACACCAGAATCGAGGGGACAAAGCACTTCAGAAATCCGGCCATGAAGGACCGAACGAGGCTGTCGCGCAGCGTCGACAAGGAAACAAGAAGGAAGACGACAAAGCCCGCGGTAAAGACAAGCGTCACGGAGGCCGACATGAACGTTTGCTGCGGAATCTGCGTGAGGTACAAAACACCGGTGTTGACGAAAGGGCCGGGTGGGGCGCGATATTCCTGGACGGCGGTCTGCAGACGAGCCGCCCGGTTGCGCCGCCTCCGCTTCTCCTTCGCGATGGCGCGGTCCGCCTGCATCAGCCGCGGCAGCTCCTCGCGCACCAGTTGGTTCGCCAAACCACGGTCCAGGTCTGGGCACCCGCCACGGTCGGTCACAAACGTGTACATGGGCACCTGGCGTGGGTTGTTGTGCTCGCTCGTGTGGACGAGGTAGCGGCGCACAAATGTGCGGAGAAACTGCATGTCCATCAGTTGCCTCGACGGGTCGTGAAAGAGGGCATAGAAGTCGCTCGTGGGGTCACGGCCAAACGCCACCTCGTCAATGTTCGCCCGGAGGAGCGTCACGTAGGGGAGAATCGCGAGCGACTCGGTGCAGAGGCGGAAGCGCTTGGGGCGGGCAGAACGCGGATGTGCAGGCTCGGTGTCCGCCGTCGGTGACGCTTCCGCCGGCTCCAGCGAGAGACACAGCGCCGGGGCGAGACTGCCAGCGGCGTCGGGTCGTGAGTGAAGCCCGGCCACTGCGTCCCCTCCCTCTGCCTCTGTCACCCGCCCGGTCGAGGACGAGGCGCCTTCGGAATCGCCCCCGTTCTTCTGCGACACGGTGGAACTGCGCTGCACCGCGTCTTCGTCGCCGATGTCCAGTTCTCGCCTGCGCCGCAACGGTGGGTAGCCGGCGCTGGAAGCAACATCCGCGATGCGGCGTTCTCTCGTCTGGTAGAAGCTGAAATCTACGGCGGTGTAGCGGCAGACGTACATGAGCGTCACGGCGGTGTCGGTCACCATTGACACAAGCCCGGTGTAGTAGTACGGTGCGTTGATTCCACCTATCGTTTGCTTCACGCGCAGACTCACACATCGCCCGATCAGCTTTAGCTCAGAGGACACCATCTCGGGCAGGTTTTCAATGGGGCGGTCCTCGTGGAGGATGAGGCGACGGAGAACGTTCTCGATGCTCTCCACCGGCTGCACCGCGGCATCCTCAATGGTGACGTTGTCCGCCGCACGGAAAGCTGGAGTAGCGGGTGTGACGGCGGACGTCATCGGGACGACAACGATGGCCTCGCGTGGAGCAGCCTCGTTTCTATCGACCGCCGCACGCGCCGCCGCCGCCACCGCCACGTGCATCTCGGGCGAAAACATATAGAGAAGATAAAGACAAAAAGGTTCTCACGTTGCTTCCCGTCACTGCGACGGAAGAGCAGAGCACCTGAGGGATTCGCGTGCGTGCAATAGAACTCGTAGAGGAAGTAACAGGAGGTGGAAACAAAGGAAGAAGAACGTACGATGACAGGAAGAACGGCATCGCGCGGGCACGATGAGTCGAACGTTCCTCCGATCTGCATATATATATAGAGAGAGAGAGGACAGAAAGCAGCAGCATCACCTCGTTGCTAAAAAAAAAGGAGTATAGTTAGCTGCGTGGAGTTCATGTTCTCCTTTACCGTTGCTCAACCATCGGAAACTCAAAAGGTGTTCGTCTATCGCGGCCAGCAGCAGACGCCTTCCTGGTTGTGTCGCATTCAATTGGTTTCGATTATTTTTAGTGTAGCGCTGATTCACTCGCGTTGCTTTTGCCTCGAGAAGTCAGCAGTAAGGAAGGAGCATCCATATAAACAGAAGTAGAGAAGTTGTATTCCCTAAAACAGTTAGTTTTACGTGCAGCAAAGGTTGAAAAGAAAGAGAAGAAAAGTAATAAATAAAATCCAATTGTGTATACAGAAGCGACCCACGTGGCACACGCTTGTCGCCAGCCATCGTACAGCGACACTGCCCTCCCCTCTCTCTCTATTGGCTGTGCATGAGATATTACAACCAACCCGGAGTGAAAGAAGGAAAGAGAAAAATAAAAGGGAACAGCCCAGAATACACGCCTTTGGCGGGGAGCAGAGAGCGCCTGCTGTATAACAGCGCACCGCACCAACAGCCACCGTGATTCAGGACGCGAGTTACAACGAGACAAGCGGTGATTCCCATCACCGGTTACATAAAAAGGCAGCAATCAATACATAAAAAAGGAGGAGATAAGCGACCCGAAACAAGCCGACAAAAATACACCTGCTGCCCCACCACACGGAGCGTACGCGACAGTCGTCCGCGTCTCCGCTTTTATTATACATCGTTCAGTGAGAGGAGGCAGTCGAAACAGTCGTACTTACTGGGAGTAAAGAAGAAAGAAATAAGTAAAGTAATAGGAGGAAGAACGCGCGAAGAGGGGAAATTGTCTCCGGTGGCAGCTGCAGCTCGCTTATACGCCACGCAGAATGTCCGCGAATGTAAAACAGGAGAGTTCCGCTGCAGCGTTTTGTTCTGCACTCACGGCACAGAAATTAATCGAGGTGAGTTAAAAACCAAAACAACTTGCCATCCATTTCGGCTTTTAATCTTCACCGTTGCTTCAAACGAGAGGAAAGACGTGGGCTCCTACGGTGAACCAGCAGCGCTACTCAGAACTTCAAATGCTCCTCTGTGCGACACGTCGGCCGATCATGACCATCTTCACAGTCAATATCAGCGAGAACAAGCAGGCACATAGAAAGAAAACGGAGAGTACCAGCAGAGGAGCAACTGTAAACATCATCGGTGCCCACATCGCACCGTAGCACGTCGTGTCAGCGAAGGCCTGCAGATTGCATGGAACGTCACACAGGGCACTCTCCCTGTACCCGCTGTTGCAGCTGTACTCAAAGCCGGAGCACTGGTGTTCCTGGTAAAACGTACACAGGTCCTCGCCGGGCTGACTCGCCATGTACTTGTAAACCACAGCGGTCGACATATTCACAATGAGCGCCACGATACACATAGAAGAAAAACAAAGAAAGGGCTCAAGATAACACGAGAACAGAAGAGAAGAGGAAAAAAACAGCGCAGGGCACACCATGCTTCGTGACAAAAGGAGAGGCTTCCGTACAACAGCGCTTTTCAGCAAGCATCAATGCGCACGGGGACCTAGTGCACGCATAAAAACAGTAAAAAGGCGGTGGCTCCAATCACCTGAAACAGAGAAGGCGGCAGTTCATATAAAATGAGAGACGACGTAGCCATGGAAAGAAACGTCCTCGAAACATACACAAAGGCACGAAGCAACCACAGTATCCCAACCGTAAGAGAGATGCTACATAAGTGTTCTCTCCCTCACATCCATCTGCGGGACCTTGCGGTGAGGGAAACAAACGACGTCACTGCCGGGAAAACAAAAGGTGCAATGTACAAGGAGAACGGCAAACAAGAGGTTCAAACGGAGGAAAAAGGAAAACAAAAAACGAAAAAAATGTGCCAGAGAAGAAAGAAAAAGAGGACTCGAAAGAGATGCGCTTGCTTGCCGCAGCTGTTACAGTTCGCACATACGCGCTACAGAACGTCTGCGAAGACAAAACAGGCGGGTTCCACTACGTGCTTTGCTTTGCTTTCACGGAACAGGCTGTAATTTGAGACTCAAAAAAAATTACGTGCAACTCCTTCATCTGTGTTATCTGCATCGCTTGATGGGGTGACTCAGAAAAAAAAAGACAATTATTTGTGCGTGGGAGCGGACAAAGAACGCTGTTCAGAGCTTTAAAGGCTCCTCTGCGCGACGCGTCCCGCAATCATCAGCATCTTCGCCATCATCAGTAGCGAGAACAGGCAGCCAAAAATGATGCAAACTGCAAAGACGATGAGCGGGTCAAAGGTTATCTGGATCGCCGTCCACATAACATTGTAGCACGTCGTGTCAGCGAAGGCCTGCAGATTGCATGGAACGTCACACAGGGCACTCTCCCTGTACCCGCTGTTGCAGCTGTAGTCGTAGCCGGAGCACTGATAGTTCCGGTAGAACGCACACAGGTCCTCGCCGGACTGACTCGCCATGTACTTGTAAACCTCGTTGTTCAGCAGGCTAACAACGCACATAACAGAACAGACGACACCACCCACGCAGAGCACGCCACGCGCCGCCAGAAAAGTGAGGTTCTTGCGGAGCGGGAGCCGCATGTAGACGGCGTGCAGGATGGTCGAGACACTCGCCAACGCCCACACCGGCAGCGACGCCACCACGAACCACAGCGTCTGCAGGAGAAAAGAAAGGACGAAAGGCTCGTGGTACACCCCCACGCTGACCGCCAGGTAAAGTGCACAGAAAAACGTGAGGACGGCCAGAGCGACGCCGGTGAAGAAGGACTTTTGCGGCACGCCGGTGCCGTAGAGAACACCGGTGCCGGCTAGCAACCCCGTGGGGACATCGAGGGTGCGGCCCTCAGCACCCAGCCCGGCCGCGCGCCGCCCCTCACGCAGCGCCACCCGCTGCTTCTCCTTCGCGATGCCTCGGTCCGTCTTAATCAGCTCGGACAACTCCTCCCGCACAAGCTGGCGTGCAAGCGCCCGGTCGAGGTCAGCGCAGCCGCCGCGCGCGGTCACAAAGGCGTGGAGTGGGATCCGATCGGGGTTGTCGCCCTGGCTCGTGTGCACGAGGTAGCGGCGCACAAACATGCGGAGGTACTGCATGTCCAGCAGCTCCCTCGACGGGTCCTGAAAGAGGGCGTAGAAGCTGCTGCGCGGGTCACGGCCGAACTTCACGTCGCGCGCCGCCTTGCGGAGAAAGGTCACGTACGGCAGGGGGCCAACACAGCCGTCGTGCGCGGGGACGGAGTGCCGCCGACGCGCGGTGCGTGCTGGCGCTGCGGTGGCCGCCTCCGCTTCCGCCGCCAAAGTGCATCCGCTGCCCTCCTCCTCGAACGCCACTGCCTCCGCCTCCGCCTCCGCGTCGACGCGGGTCGCACGCGCAAGACTCCCCGCCGCATGCATGCGGAGCAGCGCAGCGTTGTCGTGGTGCAGCGTCAGCCGTCCGTCGTGCCCCACACCGACCTCGCCTTCAGCGGAGTACCCACACAGGGACAGGGGGTCGCCGCGCCGCTTCTCCTTGCCGCCGGCAGCGGCAGGGCGTGCGGTGCTCGTGCCCTTCGGCTCCGAGGACGTCGGCGCACCCTTCTTGGACAGCGACCGCTCGCGTTTCTTGTACAGCTCAAAGCCCTCCTCGGTGTAGCGGTGCACGTGCATCAACGTGACGGCGGCGGCGGTCACCACGGACACCAGCCCGGTGTAGTAGAACTTTGTCCGGGCGCCGTTCACAGCCTTCGTGGCGGAGAACGAAACCGCTCGGCCAATCACTCCCAGCTCCGGCGCGGACAGGACGGGGAGGCCGTCGATGCCGTGGTCATCGTGGACGGTGACGCGATCCAGCACATCGTCGATGGACTCCTCCGTCGGCTTCTGTTCTGTAAACGGGTCACGACTGGCGCCGGCAGTCTCGTCGTTCCGGAAGGGCTCCCGAGAGGACTGCCGCTCCTGCGAATCGCTGCGGGGGCTGTTCGGAGCGCGACCAGGGGCAGCGGGGGGAGAGCCAGCGGTCACAGCTGCGGCTGACATGGCGCCTTCGCTTGTCACGCGTGCGGAACGCCTTGGCGGAAGACACGTCTCGCTTTGAAGCTCTTCTATTTGATTGAAGGACCCAGCGAAAGAAGAGGACGTGCGTGCGTCACCAGCGGAATAAAGGACAAAGACGAAGAGAAGGGAAACGAGAGGAAAGGGGATGAAGAAGATCAAGCAGCGAAAAGCACGAGAACGGAGAGGGCGCACCGTCTCCTTTGCATATGGGCCGTCGCGTTGGTGCGCACCACATCGCCGAACTCCTTACGTAGTCTGCTGACGCGGCTGCTGTGTTGGTCCACTGAGACCTGCATACATACACCGTTGCGCCTGCAGACCCTCCGGGGCATCTCAAATACTCGTACTTGTGAAGGATTCTTTTTTGTGAGAGCGTCTCCCCTCGCCAGGGAGGAAAGAGAAGAAAAACAAAGAAAGGGCTCAAGATAACACGAGAACAGAAGAGAAGAGGAAAAAAACAGCGCAGGGCACACCATGCTTCGTGACAAAAGGAGAGGCTTCCGTACAACAGCGCTTTTCAGCAAGCATCAATGCGCACGGGGACCTAGTGCACGCATAAAAACAGTAAAAAGGCGGTGGCTCCAATCACCTGAAACAGAGAAGGCGGCAGTTCATATAAAATGAGAGACGACGTAGCCATGGAAAGAAACGTCCTCGAAACATACACAAAGGCACGAAGCAACCACAGTATCCCAACCGTAAGAGAGATGCTACATAAGTGTTCTCTCCCTCACATCCATCTGCGGGACCTTGCGGTGAGGGAAACAAACGACGTCACTGCCGGGAAAACAAAAGGTGCAATGTACAAGGAGAACGGCAAACAAGAGGTTCAAACGGAGGAAAAAGGAAAACAAAAAACGAAAAAAATGTGCCAGAGAAGAAAGAAAAAGAGGACTCGAAAGAGATGCGCTTGCTTGCCGCAGCTGTTACAGTTCGCACATACGCGCTACAGAACGTCTGCGAAGACAAAACAGGCGGGTTCCACTACGTGCTTTGCTTTGCTTTCACGGAACAGGCTGTAATTTGAGACTCAAAAAAAATTACGTGCAACTCCTTCATCTGTGTTATCTGCATCGCTTGATGGGGTGACTCAGAAAAAAAAAGACAATTATTTGTGCGTGGGAGCGGACAAAGAACGCTGTTCAGAGCTTTAAAGGCTCCTCTGCGCGACGCGTCCCGCAATCATCAGCATCTTCGCCATCATCAGTAGCGAGAACAGGCAGCCAAAAATGATGCAAACTGCAAAGACGATGAGCGGGTCAAAGGTTATCTGGATCGCCGTCCACATAACATTGTAGCACGTCGTGTCAGCGAAGGCCTGCAGATTGCATGGAACGTCACACAGGGCACTCTCCCTGTACCCGCTGTTGCAGCTGTAGTCGTAGCCGGAGCACTGATAGTTCCGGTAGAACGCACACAGGTCCTCGCCGGACTGACTCGCCATGTACTTGTAAACCTCGTTGTTCAGCAGGCTAACAACGCACATGGAAAAAGAGCAAAGTGAGGGATGAAGAGATAATGTAGGTGCCAGTTCTTGTGAGGACAGCAGAAACAAAAACACTCGCAAACAGCTCCCTACACTGCAACTCCTCTTGGGAGCCTTACAAGGTGAAATACTCGAATCGAAAGCCAAACCACTCACCGATGTGCCTTCCATGCAGTAGTTGAAGAGAAAAACGTTCTCTCCCTCGAAAAAAGAATGACAAAAACCCAACAAGTGAGCCGTACTGCGGAGTTCACTATAACCAAGTGTTTAGTCGCTGCCGTAGCGGTAACACAATGGGGAGGCACTCACTCACAGATAAAGATAATAATAATAAGGCGAGCTTCGACAACAGGTGCGAGGAAACCGGGCACACAGGGTAACAGCGAAAACAACAAGGTAATAACACGACACAGTAAGTGATAAGTGGAGAAGCGAACGCGCTTGGCAACACCTGTTTTCACGCGCTCATGACACCTTTCTCAAGACAGCAGTAACGAGAAGAATAGAATCGTACACAGGAGCTTCCTGCGTAGAAGGCGAAGGAAACACCTACATCCCGCATCCATAAACATCACCGCTGCGAGGGCTGCAGTGACGCCGTACGACTGCACTTCCTTTTCTTTTACGGGAAACGAAAAACGTCAAACGAAAGAAACGCCGTCGTTAGCACGTGAGAGTGAATCTTCTACGGATGCTGGAAAATCAAGCAAAACAGATTAGTAACCGAAGCAGCAACAAAGCAAAGTTAGGAAGGAAAAGAAGAGAGAGGGCTATATCAGAACTCAAATCACCATCGTGAGCGAGAGGGAAACCAGAAGAGGCTGGACATATCCAGTGAAGATTTAGAAACGACAACTCCGCCTACGTCACCGTCGGATGAAGCAACAGCAGTAATAGAAAGAGCAGAGCTCCTCACAACAACCTCTTCTATACGCCTCCACGTTAGACACCCGAACACACACACACACACACAGAGCAAAAAGGGCTTTCAGCAACACAAATAGAAATAAAAATGAATCGCGCGGCAAACAGCAGAATCTCAAAACCGATTGCCGCAGCAAAACTGTACAACTCGGCTGTCCTTCATCAAACACACAAAGAACGAAATCCTTACCACGGCTAAAGGAGAAAAAAGAAACACCCTCAACCACTTAGTTCACTCGTGCACTGATCTCGTTGGCGGTGGACCACAGCTTCCATAGCACGAAGATGGAATAGAGAAAGAGACAGAGCAAAAACACATCGAACACGATGAGGGGGACCAGCTGAAGTTGCACGCGGTTCCACAGATCTGGATAGCAGGCCTCATCGAAAAACTGTGGTGGTACTGGTGTACAAGAAACGCGGCACATGGGGTCTCCACTACCAAGGCACGTGTTCCAGAAACCGCTGCATTCGTAACGCATGTAGAAGCTGCACAGCTCGACCGGGTCTGCCGCATTCATAAAGTTGAACAGCGTCTCACTTTTGAGTCTCTCCGCAATAATCCCAACCACCATCAACGCACAGGCGACGGCACCGACGGTCCAGATGCAGCGCATGCACATCACCACCAGCGAGGTGCGCAGCGGCACACGGGCATAGAGGCTGTGCAGCAGGATACTCACACCGGCGACGGCCCACACCACAATCGACGGAACAAAAAAGCGCAGTTGCTGCCGCTCGTAGGACACGATAAGAGGATCGTTCAGTACGCCGATGCTCACGCCAAGGTAAACGGCGAAGACAACTACGAAGAAAAGGACTGCAAGGGCGGTGAGGAAGGTGAGCTGTGGCAAACGCGTCACGTAGAGCACGCCGGTGTGGGCGAAGATGCCGGGGGGTGCCTGGTAGGCCTGTATGGCCTGCTCTCGCCGGATCGCGCGGCTGCGCTGGTGCTGCTTCTCCTTCGTGATGGCCCTGTCGGCGTTCATGAGACCGGGCAGCTCCTCATGCGCGACTCGGTTGACGAGGTCACGATCGACGTTGGGGCAGGCGCAGCGCACCGTGACGAAGGGGTACAGCGGCACCTGGCGTGGGTTGTTGCCCTCGCTTGTATGGACGAGGTAGCGGCGTACAAACGTGCGCAGATACTGCATATCGCCGATTTCGTTGGCGGGATCCTGAAAGAGGGCGTAGAAGCCGCTGCACGGGTCGCGGCCGAAGTGGACATCGTGGATGCTCTTGCGCGGAAAGGTCATGTAAGGAATTGGGCCCACCGACGTGTCACACGTGCGGAAGCCCTTGTGCCGGAGCGCCCGCATCGACGACGGTGTCGCGTCCGCTGGGTTGGGCTGGTTGGGCGAGCCGGCAGCCACCTCGGCTTCGATCTCCGCCTCGGTGTACAGCCGCACCGCCGGCGCGAGGCTGCCGGCAGCATCCATCATGAGCAGTGCCGTAGCATCCTGCCCGCTAACCAGCTCCCCGTCCTGCCCCACGCCGACCTCCCCTTTGGTGGTGTAGCCGTGGGAGGGCAGACCGCTGCCTCTCGCCGGCGCCGTGCCGGTCGTCGTCAGTGCAGGCATCCCACCCTTGGTGATTGCCCTCTCGCGGGCCACGTACTCCTTAAAGTCGGAGCGGGTGTAGCGGTTGACGTGCATAAGGGCCACGGCGGCGAAGGTCACACTCGCCACGAGCCCGGTGTAGTAGAAGACCTCTTCTGCCTCACCAACCCGCACCTTCGCGCACAGACTCACACAGCGCCCAATCAGCTTCAGCTCCGGCGCCTCGAGGACTGGCAGGTTTTCGATCGGCCTGTCGCTGTGGATGATGATGTTGCTCACTACATCGTCGATCGACAATTCCGCCGCGTCGTTCTTTGCGTTGGGGCCGTTGTCGTTCGCGAACGGCTCGCTGCCCCCGAACGGCTCGTTCGCGGCTGTGCCAGCAGGCGTCGTATCGCGCGTGTCGGCGGGCAGATGGCTCACTTCTGCAGCGTCATCTCTGTGCCTCACAAACGCTGACGCCTCCTGCAGGTCTTCTCTACTTGTCATTTTGAGGTGTACTCGATATACGCAGGAGGTGGTGCGCGTTAACAGGTCTAAGTAAAGCAGTTAGGACTAAACGGTGGTGCTGGACTGTTTGGTGCGTGAAGCAAAGAATCAAATCGCCCGCAAGCGGGGGTCCGCAAAAAGCCTCGAGTGAGCGGATAACGCAGCGTGCGGCAGAACCAAAAGCGAGGCGAATAAAGATAAGAACAGAGGCACGACTCCACCGTGAAGAGCCATCGACAGAGATGACCAAATCACACGCACCGGGGAGTGGAAAAGAACGAAGTAGAAAACCTATCCGACACTCGGCTTGGAAGAAATATATTTGGCACCTAGAGCACCCGAACGGAGAGAGAAAGGTTGGACACGTACACACAGAATGCAGCGAGATGGAAGGATGGGAGAGAAAGATTGGGTGAAGAGCAAACGAAAAGACCGCAACCCGGCCGCCATCTGCATCGCTGTCCCCTTCAGCAAAGAGCACAGCGAACCTTTTCTTTTTTAAAGAGAGCGTTAGAGAACGCGGAGATCCTCCACGAGTCACCTGAGCATCTGTTGTGCGGCATCCGCGCTCAGAGAACCGTTTCCGCAGTAAACCCGACGCTCCTCCCGTCACAGGGTTCGGGCCAAAACAGTGAACGAACGGGAAAGGGAGGCGAGAAAGCAGCATGGCGGTGCGAGACCAAACACAAAGAGTAGCGCTACAGTTGAAGGGAATAGGCAGGTGCAAGAGAAGCAGGACAGCAGGCAAAATGAAAGTGTGTTCATGCGAGCAACAGCTGTTTTTCAAGGGAAAAAAAAACAGAAGAAATGACGAAGGGACAGAGAGATTCTCCCTACAACACAATTTGTTGTCTCTGTCCACGTACAACGGCACAAAGCAAGACCTCGTTGCGGCTTCAATTTTTCCACGACCTCGGACGTCATCGCGGAAACACAGTGGAGGAGGGGGAAGGGGATGGGAGGAGGGGAGAGGGGCATCGAATATAAAAAGAAGAAAACAATGAGGATGCTTTAGCAACACAAGATGAGAATTGGCGAGAGAAAAGAGACGATTACAGCTGAGAGTAACGCAACTCCGCACAAAAAATAGCTCACATATATAAGTATGTGTGGGTGGGTGGGTGGAGTCAACGCACACAGGAGCAGATGGGACCGTTGCGCTACCCATCCAAAGCCTCAAGAAATAGAGGAAGAGAGTTCCGTCGACATCAGCTCTTCTTCGCTCTTGTGAGAATGAAAGAAAGAAGGTGAGCAACGATGGGACCAATCGCTATGGAGCGTCTTCGATCCGCATTCAATGAGCGAAACGAGCAGGGATAAACGAAACGGCTCAATGAGTGTCTCTCGTGACCCTCCCAGAAAAAGCTCACGATTGCCGCGTATCTTCGAACTTGAACTGCAAGTGTCGCACACACCGCGAGAAACTGCGTGGAGAAAACCAATCAATCAAACGAAAAACGGCGGGGATTTGCTGCTTTTGGAGATGGAGGACGTTGAGGTGGGTCGGCCGTTCGTTGACTCACGTCAGTCGACCCCGGCACCTTAACCCCACTCACGCCGTTCCTGTCCGTATCGATAACGGGCTACCCCACGTGGTCGGCATTATCGCTGCCCTTGGCCGCAGTGATACCCTCGTCGGCCTCGGTGGAAGTGCCGTTATCATTCGTCATTCGTGATGTCTCGTGTGTCCAGCTTAAAATGACGAAAAGCACCGTAGGCTACGTGAAGGAGGCCAGTAGTCTCACCAAAGTCGGCAGCCGTGCGCCGCCTCAGCGCTTTGTCCAGTACGCACCTGGTGACCAAACCCGCATCATCCACTTTCCACCACAGCGCACTGCGAACATAACCGCAAAAGAGACCGTGAAGAGATGCAAAGGAGGCCCGACAGGCGGCGTGGACGTTGCAGTTCGTCATCACCGGCCGCGTCTTCCGTCGTGTACGCACTCGCACGTGCCAAAGAAAACGAATCCGAGTCTCGTGGCGTGTGACCACCGTCTCTGCGCGGGCCTCCGATGAACACGACTGCTTTATGGGGGGTAGGTGGTGCTGACCGTGATGTGCAGTTTTGTGGTGCTGCGGGTCCGTCGTGTTCGCCGCTTCACGACGGGACGGTCACTTCGCTGTGGTGCGTTCATGTGAAGCTGCGCGGAGCGCCGACGTTCGTGTTGTGTGGAAACCGGATAAAGGCTGCGCTGGAGGACACGTCTTCCTTTGCGAGGGAAGGAAGGAGGAGGACCCCCCCCCCTTCACTCACACACACCAAAGCCTACTTGACGGAGGGAGAAAGCCAAACGACAACAGTAGAATCTGTTAGCTACCAGCGCTAGACCTTTGGATACTGCAGAGGCGCCAAACGGAACCGTCACACATGGGCCAATGGAGCGCAGGACTACTTCGTCACGGTCGCCAAGAAGACGCAACGCTGAGCATCCATAGAAGGATAGAAAGAGAACAAGAAAAGATGAGAGCAGTTCAGCGGCGACGAACTCGTCCGCACGCAACGCCTTGAACACAAGCTCAGAAAATAGGCATGTGTAACGTCATTCAACGGAGCGTGAGTAAAACCGAGGCGAGAAACCTTTCTTCTCGCACAGCTGAATCGACTCCCACAGCAACGCATAAAAATACTAGTGTTATATGGTTCGCGCCATGGACTGGACAGCGCAGCGTACATATCCCCGGTTGGTCCGGGATGCCTCCGGCATTCATTTATTATCAGCCTTGGTATCGGAAGAAGAGATACGAAACAAAAACAGAAGCGCTTGCAGTAGAAACTCAGTCGTTTTAAATCCCTATAAAGAAAAATAAGCAAAACACAGTTCGCATGATGAAACCAGAGAAACAAATAAGCAACTTGCTGCGCACTGCCATCGGGACAGATACACCCAATCCACGGTGGCACCTACCATCGTGTCCCTTTTGAAATCTACGCGGCAGCTGAAAGTAAAAAAAAAAACCAATAAAAGGAGAAAAGAGAGGATGGTGGCCCTGCACCGCATCATTCGCGGGCGCCACATCCACGCTGCCCACGCAGGCACGAGGGGGCGTCGCCGCCACACGAAAGGCAATAGAGAGCACACCTCCAGGTACAGCGCGCAATACTGCGAAACAAAGAAACACCATCAACAGAGGAGATGAAAGCGGCGACCGCCCAGCAAGTCGTCTAACGACTCTTTCACACACACGGCGCGCCGCTCTCAACACTCGGATAATGGAGAACATCGGGAATAGGGAAGGAGGGGCGTCTCGGGTTAGAAGATGTGTTTGATGTACTCCCACGTGAGCTGCAGATACAGCTTCTTGGGGAGGGATGGCACTGGCTTCTTCGCGTCATTGCTGCTGAGGCACATCACAAAGTCGCCAAAGTAGGACATGTGGTCGATAGGGTTTATGGACCACATGCCGATGCTGCACTTCTCGTCCGGCTGGATCACCGTGTCGACGCACATCACGCGGCTGCTGAGCGCATCGGTCCTGTAGAAGACCTCGCCGGGGAGGTGGGCGTAGCCCCAGCTGATGGGGGGCAGGCGCACCACAGGGTCCTGTGAGTGGGTGACGCGGTAGCTCGCGCCGTCGGACAGCAGGTCCGTCACCCACTGCGCAAAGGCCGCGTTGCCCACGCGAGGCGAGCCGTAGGTGTACAGCGTGACGGGCTGCGGAGCCGGCGTGAAGTTGCCCTCGTTCAGCACCTCCTGCAGGCCCGCAGCAGCCAGCGTCGCCATCGCACCTCCCAGCGAGTGACCCGTGACGACGATGCCGTAGTTCGGGTAGGTGCCCAGCAGCGTCTGCACCGCGTGGTGCATTTCGGAGCAGACAGAGAGGTAGCTCAGCATGAAGCCCGTGTGGACTTCACACGCGCTTCCGCAGCTGGTGGGTTTGTACGCAATCGACTTTGCCAGCAGGTCCATCAGCCAGTTCGCCAGGTCGCTGCTGCCGCGGAAGGCGACAACGATTTGCGAGTTGTTGTGGTCGACGCCGACGAAGCCTTGCGTGCCAAAGTCGTCGTTGTCCAGCACCGCAAAGGTTTGGAAGCCCGGGACATGCGAGCAAACACGCCCACACGTCCACGCTTCCACCGCGGAGGCGCCGCAGTAGGAAGCAGCCTCGTAGTAGTGGTACCGCATCGCGTCCGCCTCGCTGAACTCCCTCCTCGCCGCGCAGCCGCAAAGGCAGCAGGCGAGGAGGACAGCAGCACACAGCAGCAGCCGCGTGGCGCAGCGGCGGCCCATCCTGGCGTGCAGCGTGTACATCACGCGGGGTCGCGACAAGCTGGTGAAGGAGGTGAGGGAGGTGGGTAACACGAGTATGGAACGAAGAGGAGAAAGAGCTGTGGGTGCGGGTGCTGGCTTCTCGAGGACGTGCGGTGGCGGGGTGCTTAGCGGTTGTTAGTGGTCTGTCGGGGGAAAGTGGAGAGGCGGGAGAGAAGAGAGGAGGTGGAGAGACGAGGAGCGCGAGGGGAGCACTTGCCGGCTTCCCGCCGGGGTAGGGAACACTCCTCCTCGTTGTGGTCCACACACACACACGGGCCACCGCACACCGTCGCAGCGGTGGCCGAGGGCAGCACCGCGTGGCACGACACAGCCACGACCGCACGGCGCGCACACGCACACCGGCGCCACCCAGCCGGGCTCCACACCGCGGTTCACTTGGTCAATTTCGCCACACAAAGCCAGCAACCGTAAAACTCCGCAGAGTTAGAAGAAACAAGAGGGAAAATAGGAAAGAGAAGAAGCGGTTCTGGTGAATGCTCTCGAGACGAAACGTTCACGAATGAAACAAAAAAAAGGAAATAAAGGTAAGTTAGGCGAAAATTCTAACGGGCAGTGAAATGCGCTCGGTATCACTGCACGAAGAAGGAAAAATAACGTTCTCATGATGAAAGTAGAGAAGAAAAATACATCGGCGGCGCGTACTGACGTGGGGGCACGTGCGCTCAGCACACAGCAGCAGGTGCCATTTCGTACATTTGGCAAGCTACGCAGCAGCAGAGGAAAAAACAAAAGAAAAGACGTCAGGGAAAAGGAAACAAAAGAAAGGAGAAGAGGAGATTGGACGGTGGCCCTGCACCGCATCATTCGGGGGCGCCACATCCAGCCTGCCCACGCAGGCACGAGGGGGTGTGGCCACCACACGAAAGGCAATAGAGAGCACACCTCCGTGTACAGTACGAATTATGTAATAACAAAAACGGTACATGGATTGAAAAACAAATGCGCTGCAACCGTTTAATGAGTCGTGTAACAACTCTCTCTACAACGGCGCGCAGGACACAACGCTGAGAGAACAGCGAAGGCCGGAAAACAAGAAGGAAAAGACTGAAACGAGAGTAATTCGTCCTCGGTTAAAAAATGTGCTTGATAAACTCCCAGAAGAGGATGAGGTACAGCTTGAGTGGAAGGCGGGGCACTGATGTCTTCGCTGTGAGGGAGTCGCTGTCGCAGCCCGTGTACTCACCCATGTAGTACAGGTGATCCCAAACAATCACGGAGAACATGCCGATGCTGCACTTTCCGTCCTGTTTCGTCACCGTGTCGACGCACATCACGCGGCTGATGTTCTGCAGAGATTTGTAGAAGACCTCGCTGGTGACGTGAGCGAAGCCCCAGCTGATGGGGGGCAGGCGCACGATGGGGTCACGCGAATGGGTGATGCGGTAGCTCGCGCCGTCGGATAGCAGGTCCGTCACCCACTGCGCAAAGGCCGCGTTGCCCACGCGCGGCGAGCCGTAGGTGTACAGCGTGACGGGCTGCGGAGCCGGCGTGAAGTTGCCGTGGTTCAACAGATCTTGCAGGTCTGCAGCAGCCAGCGTCGCCATCGCACCACCCAGCGAGTGACCCGTGACGACGATGCCGTAGTTCGGGTAGGTGCCCAGCAGCGTCAGCACCGCGTCGCTGGTGTCAGTACTGAGCGAAAGGTAGCTCAGCATGAAACCTGCGTGGACTTTACACCCGCTCCCACAGTCGTCAGGTTTGTATTGGACAGGCACCGCCAGCAGGTCAAGGAGCCAGTTCGCCAGGTCGTCGCTGCCGCGGTAGGCGACAACGATTTGCGAGTTGTTGTGGTCGACGCCGACGAAGCCACGCGTGCCAAAGTCATCGTTGTTCAGCACCGCATAGGTTTCGAAGCCCGGAACGTTAGAGCAAATATGCCCGCACGTCCAGCGGTCTACCGGGGTTATACCGCAGTCGGTAGCGCGCGCGTAGTAGTGGTGGCGCCATGCTTCCGCCTCGCTGAACTCCCTCTTCGCCGCGCAGCCGCAAAGGCAGCAGGCGAGGAGGACGGCAGCGCACAGCAGCAGCCACGTGGCGCAGCGGCGGCCCATCCTGGAGTCGTATTTATACATGGGGAGAAAAAGGAGGCAGTCCTCAATGGGAGCACAAACTATCAGGAATAAAATAGAAGATTAAAGAAAGTGTTTAACGCGTACTCAGAAGGGAACGGTGAGAAAGTGTGTCTGTAGAGGGCTGAAATGGCGGAGCACGGAGGAGGTATTACTGTGGAGTGCGGTGGCGAAGTTGACGGGAGAGTGAGACGTACGAGAGTGTTGAGGTGCAAAGAGTAGGGCGGAGGAAAGAGAGCCGCTTCACTACTGGTTCTGAATGCGACAGCCTGCAGACTGACGGCTGTGCGAAAGTCTGGGGTGTGCGCGGCCACGTGACGTGGCATGCTCCACTGCTGCTAAGCAGAACAGTGTAAATACCCAAGAAATTTGCATCACCGTCTGTACGCAGGAAGGCGGAGAGAGCAACACTCTCGTTTAGACAGTAGGACGCACTCGTAGTGGCGTGCAGGTGGTGTCGTCACGTGTAGCCTTGGACTCAGAGAGACGGCGATCGAAAACCTCAACAAAACAAAACGAGCACAAAGAAAAAAAAAATGACGGGCGGAGAGAGTAAAGTAGATTTGTTGAAGCGAGGTAAAAGCAATAAGAGCTGCCGTTTTGATGGCACGCAAGAGAGCGAGCGCCGCAAGATGCACAAGAAAGAGGAAGCCGGAACACGCTCACACCACTGAGACGAAAACAAGAAAGCGGTCCGAACAACATCGTGACGTCCCTCCCTCCGCGACCGTGAGGCGATGGCGCGTTTACGTTTTGTGGCCCTCGCCTTCTGCTTGCCGCCGTGCGGACACACACGAGAGGCGCCGCGGCACGCGCGTCCCCCTTCCGTAAAGCCATCGTCGGTGAAGCAACAAGAAACGGGACACAACCACGCCGTTGCAACAGCAGCCAAACCGTGTGAGGTATCGACACCCCCTCGTCCTTCTCGTTCTTCGCAATTACCTTCGAGGGATCACCGCGGAGAATCACAAGGGGAATCGGAGCGGGAAAAAGGTTTCCAAGAGACAGTGAAGCCACCTTCTTTTCAAGGCGCATGGCGCATCACACAGGAGAAGAAGGCGTGAAGGAACGCAAAACAACGCGTCTTCGCACGCAGTGGACTCTTCCGTGGCGGTGGGGTGAGGAAGTCCTCCGACTGTGGCGCGCAGCAGACACACATTCGCACTGTTGAAGGGGCTCATGGAGAGAGTGGTGTGGAACAGCGCGGGGATCGTGCGCGGGCTGCAGTGTGGCTGACGTCGGCAGCACTCCCCTCTTTGAGTTTCAGCGACGGAGACACCTGCCTATCTACACATATACATCTCTGTAGCTCCGCCGACGACGCATCACAGTACATCCACCTCTCCCCCAAGCACTCGGGGAAATCCCCAATGCCGGAAAACAACAAGAGCGATTTCAGAACAAAAGGTGCTTCATGTACTCCCACGTGAGAATCACATAGAGCCTTAGCGGGAGGCGGGGAACCGGCTTCTTTCCACTCCCACACTCGTTCTCTTTGTCGTTCGCCGCGCAGCCGCAAAGGCAGCAGGCGAGGAGGACAGCAGCGCACAGCAGCAGCCACGTGGCGCAGCGGCGGCCCATCCTGGCGTGCAGCGTGTACATCGCGCGGGGTGGCGAGAAGGCGGTGAAGGAGGTGAGGGAGGTGTGTGTGTGACGCGAACGGGGAAGAAAGAGGAGAAGGAGGCTGTGGGTGC